ATCCAGTATGAAGCGATCATCTTTTGTATAGTCTATGTTCCAGTACTAAAATCGTCAGTACATGGGTACCGGATTCCGGATCGTTGAACACAATCACAGTGTTCGTCGCATTCACCTTTACAAGAGCACCCAGTTAATTGCTAGATGCTTATGAAAGGTAAAATACTATACAGGAATAGTAGAAATGTCGACCGAGTAGATATTAGAGTCAACTCTCTATGAAAACATAAGAAAATTTTGTAATACAGTAACTCCTTCCCATATGTGATTAGAAGAATCCATTGATGCTAGGTATTCAGTAATTACTGTGAAGACCGAGGAGAATTGGAAATAGAATAGTGAGATAAGCTCACACAATTAGTAGCTTAATATTCTGGATACTAAAAACGAACTACTAAAGCGAAAAAAACTATTGTTGAAAGGTGGAAAATGTAGTCTATATTCAATAAATATATAAAAAGGTAGTTTGGAATGTGCTTTAGAAATGATATCTGCTTTTTCAGAATAAATGTAAGCGGAAGAATCGATACGACTGGCACACAAATGACATTTTGTAAAAGAACATCAATCCCGATATATGAATTGATATCCTGTTCAACATTTCAGATGATGGTTCCCAGCATTAATAACACCCACAATTGGAGCATGAAAGTTGAACCTATCTGAGTGAGTTGATGGAAAAGAAAATAAATTGATGTTTGAATTCTAATCAATCAAAGGCTAAACACTGATAGAAAGAGGTTGAACCAAACAAACAAACAAAATAAATCATTGTATTGAACGAAATGGGGATGAATAATAAGAAATAGCACAAAGTGGGCATATCCAGTGTTGGAATTACTCATTCATTTGAACAATAAGAGCAAGTTAAGAGAAATATCTGTGAATGAAATCAAATCAAATAATCAATACTCACGAATGTTCTATGTCGAATTTCCTTGAATGAATCCTGTAGGTTGGCATTTTGAAGATTTGGAATATCTAAATACTATCAATATTCACCTTTAGAAATACTTTCCAATGTCACTGTTCGAGGATAACGGAAACTATTTCCTTCAGAATTCATGGATTGTAGATTTGGAAGATCTACATTCTATCATTTCGAATCATGCAATTTATACTTCGCATTGTCAAGGAACATGACTTGATGTTGCTTCCAGCAAGTGCATATTTACCGAGTGTAATAATTCGTAATGATGGAAGATCTACATCAGTCATTTCTTTCATATTCATTCAATACTTTCAATTATTGTTGATAAGGGTTCACGAAATACATTATCACCTAATGTAATGGATTGTAGATTTGGAAGATCTATTCATTACCTAAATATACACTCTTAATATAATACCTCGAATCATAAATGAACTATTATAGAAATTGTACGAAGTACTTCCGATTTTACCAATTTGAATGGATTGTAATTGTGGCAGATTCTTCAATTCAAAGTCGCCTCCAAAATCACTGAAACTATATTCACCAATTTGAATCGATTCCAATGATTCACAATTCAATATGTGGAATGACTTCGATTTGTCATTTTCATAACTATTCTTTTTCTGTGTAAATGAATTCTTGCCGATTTTGATAGTTTTCAATCGATCCAATCCATCGATTTTGAATGTTCTCACATATACAAAACAATCATTACCAATTTCGATAGATGTAGCATAAGTAAATCTAGAGTAGTCGAATAATCTTGTGCTTATATCATTATTAGTCTCATCTCCAACGATAATTGATGGAGACGAGTATTCAATCCATTCCATTTTATTTGGTGTATTATTCTTTACAGAAACACAGATATTATACAGCGAGTCATGAATATCTTTAATATAAGAGATGATATTATAGTTACTATTTATAAATATTCTATCAGCAGACTCAAATGAATCAGATAAATCGACATTTTGAAGATTTGGAATATCTAAATACTATCAATATTCACCTTTAGAAATACTTTCCAATGTCACTGTTCGAGGATAACGGAAACTATTTCCTTCAGAATTCACGGATTGTAGATTTGGAAGATCTACATTCTATCATTTCGAATCATGCAATTTATACTTCGCATTGTCAAGAAACAAGAATTATCATTAGGTCTTCCACAAGGTGCAAACTGGCCTAATGTAATGGATTGTAGATTTGGAAGATCTACATCAGTCATTTCATTCGAATTCATTCAATACTTTCAATTGCTGTTGATAAGGATTCACGAAATGCATTATCACCTAATGTAATGGATTGTAGATTTGGAAGATCTATGCATTACCTAAATATACAATATATTAGCAATACCATGAATCACAAATGAACTATTATAGAAATTGTATGAATCAATTCCAACAACACCAATTTGAATGGATTGTAATTGTGGACAATTCTTCAATTCAAAGTCGCCTCCAAAATCACTGAAACTATATTCACCAATTTGAATCGATTCCAATGATTCACAATTCAAGATTTGGAAGGATTTCGACTCACCCTTGTTACCGAAGATTCTGCTCTGTGTAAATGAATTCTTGCCGATTTTGATAGTTTTCAATCGATTCAATCCATCGATTTTGAATGTTCTCACATATATAAACCAATCATCACCAATGTCAATTGTTTCTAATGAATTGAGATTATACAGACAGTATATTTTGCTGTTTCCAAATGCTTTATCACCTAATGTAATGGATTGTAGATTTGGAAGATCTATGCATTACCTAAATATACAATATATTAGCAATACCTTGAATTACAAATGAACTATTATAGAAATTGTTTGATTCAATTCCAACAACACCAATTTGAATGGATTGTAATTGTGGCAGATTCTTCAATTCAAAATCGCCTCCAAAATCACTGAAACTATATTCACCAATTTGAATCGATTCCAATGATTCACAATTCAATATGTGGAATGATTTCAATTTGCCAATTTCATAACCATTCTTTTTCTGCGTAAATGAACTGTTTCCGATGTTGATACTTTTAATTCCATTCAATCCATCGATTTTGAATGTTTGCACTTCAGAATAGCATTCATCTTCAAATATGATACATTGATATTCATTTTCATAATAATACTTCTTACTCAATACTTTAGGTTCAAAATCTTTTGTTACAATGCTTACTTGTTTTAAACTCTTCCAAATATAATCAAGGAATATTAATCCACAAATGATTATTGCTATTATTATTAGCCATTGCCAGAATCTTGATATTGGTAAAATAAATGTCAATACAACAATACATAGTTCTGTGATTACTGGAATTACTGCAAAAAACAAGATATACCGTGATTGTGAATATCCATTCACCCATTTTCCATCATATTCTATTTCATTGTTGTCATAATATGACGTTCCTAATCCACATCGTTTTCCATTCAGAAAATCACCGTCATATATCACATTCTTGCCTTCTTCATCATATTCAACTCCATATTGTCGAGAAAATCCTTTCTCAATGGATCCATAATAGCATCCTTCAAAACACTTTACACCATCTTTGTATTCTATCATTTTGCCATTTTCAAATCGATACAAAATCGATATTTCTTCATTGTTTTCCCAAATACTTACTTGATCCAGTAATCCTGATTCAAAATAGTAGCACAATCCTTCATTCATTCCATTTTCATTCTTTTTACAAATCGAAATCACATTTCCATTCCCATCCAATTCTTTCCAATAACCTTTCATTCCATCCATTCTTTCATAATGATTACCTCTACTTCCTTTCTCATACCTACCTTCAAATATCACATTCCCATTCTTATCATACTCTTTCCCAAATCCTTGACGATATCCATCTTCAAGATTCCCTTCAAAATATAATTCGCCTGAATCATAATACAATTTACATTGTCCCTTTATCTCATTACTTCGATATTCGAATTCTGCTATTATCGTGTTGTTCATTGTTTTGATAATAGCTTTCCCATTTAATTTTCCATCTTTCATCTTCGTTTGAATAGTGTAACCTTGATGTGGGGAACCAATGTTCAGAATCACATTTTCACTATCAGTCTTTTCTATAGTACTAATAGGGAATTGATTGGTAATGCTCCAACTCCAAATATCAACCTCAAACCCCGATTCCTTTTCCAGGTCAAGAGATACGTTCAATGGCTCTACTTCGATAATGTAGCTTGGTTGAATTCCAAAATTCGTAGATGAGTCCATAAATAATGATATTATGGCCAAAACCTCGAAAATGAAACGAATCTCCTCTATTTGATTCCAGTATAATCCTCATTTCATTATCATACTAATATTGTGCATATTTCTACTACTTACTATCATTTTGTGGATTGATATGTAGTATATGGCTATTTTTGTAAAGATTACACTATTTTTGTGAGTAACGAGAATGACCATTGTTTTTTTACAAATTTAGTATTGAATAGAATGTGGCTAATATGTGGATCGATATTATCCGTTGAGATCGTCAAACTAGATCTACATTTGCTCGATTTGTATCAAAATGGTTTTGCAAGTGTGTAATGCTATTATTACTATGGAAATAGACTTGTTAACAGTTATTCTAATAATATCTACTCTCAATGTTGTGTTTTAGATGTAAGAATGTTGAGAGTGACAATATTGTCATTCTAATATACAATCCATATTCGAATTGTCATCCATGAATCTATGCTATGTTGGAGATGCGTAAATAGTTTGTAATTCAATGATATTTGAATCAAAGAATAGGATACATGTTGTTTCCAATTTTGATGTTGGATAATAGTCGAATTGATTCAAACTATCCAATATGCAATACTGATAAGTTGTAACTACTGTTACAGTTATTGTAATCATGAGTATCATATTCTACATTATTGTGTGAATGATTCAACAAAGCTCAAATCCTAAGGGTGATGAAATGACATGTGATATTGACTATTCTTGAAAATTGATTGTATTGATGTTTATTTCGTTTCATGATTGTGCTATACTTAGCATTCTTCTGTCATAACTCATTTGAAAATTATAAAAATGATTTCGAACTTATAAATCGATTGTTCACTTCATTTGTATGAACCAAACTAAGAATTCTGATTCAAAATGTACTGAAATCACACTTGATAGATATTCATTATGAATAATGACTTGATTTCTAGAATATGAGGAAGAGGTGGAATAAAGCAAAAATGAGTTTTCTAAAGACGGATTCTTGGTGCACAAGGGCATAATGATCAATTGGAAACGATTTGGATAAGGAACGAGTTATCATAATAATGGTTTGATTGAATATGAAGGATATTGGTGTGATGATAATCGATTTGGAATTGGAAAAGTGTATGATCGATATGGTAAATTAGTGAATAAATGTGAATGGTATAATGGAATTGAAAGTGATATTGATGAAAAATATGAAGGAAATGGCAGCAAGCCAATGAATATCGCAATAAAACATTTGAAACTGATTGACAATTGTGTATTGGTTGATTGGGATGTTTCATTGTTGTATAATTTGGAATCAATCGAAATCGGCAATGATTGTTTCGAATTAGTGCAAACATTCGAAATCGATGGATTGAATCGATTGAAAACTATCAAAATCGGAATCAATTCATTTACTCAGAAAAAGAATGATGATGGAAATGATAAATCGAAATCATTCTACATATAATGAACTGTGAATCATTGGAATCCATTCAAATTGGTGAATGGAGTTTGAAGGATTTTGCTGGCGACTTTGAATTGAAGAATCTACCACAACTACAATTGAATTAAATGGGTACAATTGGAAGTCACTCATACAATCTGTACTATTAGTCATTTGTAATTCGAGGTATTGATATGATTTTGAATAATTGAATGATTAGATCTTCCAAATCTTATATCCTCTATGAATAATGAAAAAGGTAACTTAACTTGTCCTCGTTCATTAACAATTGAGAGTGGTATCTAATCGTGAATGTAAATAGTATTGAGATACTAGAAATATTGTATATGCTATTCTACCAAACTCATTATTGATTGTACCATTAACAACAGTATTCTATATAGTCCGATTCGTATCATGCTTACATAGATATTTGCTTTGTTATCTCTAGGAATGTGACTTAAAGTCATACGGATGATCCTGCTACATTCGTCAAGGTGCTGATGTCCACACTTTACGTAACTAACAGGTTATATTCCATTTTTGTTTCAATCTGTTGTTAATTTTTCCGCTTTGACATATTTCATGTATCTGAAAATGCCGTTTTTATCAACAAATAAGTGATTCAAAATGATGCAACAATAGCCATGTTATAATTATCGATTCTCGAGGTTTTATTTTCCTCCTTTATCAATTGTAGAATTACGTAACAAGCAATCCAACAGAAATGAGCACAACGTTCGATTTGCTCTGGATGGAGCTCAAAGGGTTACTTTCCACAGAAGAACTGCTGAAACTCTTGTTTCTGCAGGTTGATGAAATGTTTGTTGTAAGAGCGGGAAATGCAGTTGACAAATAGTACTCTGCTTTTCAGCTCTATCTTCTTCATTTAATCGAAACACGGCTTCGCAATGACGAATTGCGTGCCAAAGTGATATTTGATTTACAGGAAAGAGTGTGGTGGTTGGACTATTTGGACGACAGTGATTACCGCCAAATTTATGCTCTGAAGGTCTTGATGAATGAAGACGAAGATTTTGAGGAAGATGAGAACGTTATTGCTTCCTACGATGCTGCTTTTGAAACGTATCTCAATCATCGCAAGTACTCGGTTGTCACTTTCTGGTAGTATTTTTAGTTGGATTCTGTTTGTTTTTATCGTTCTTTTTGCGTTTGTACGATGAATGTCCTTACCGCGGGAATATGAAACATGTAAGAATATCTGCTCATTCTGAGTTTATTCCAGTTTTCTTGTATTCTGATTGACCTTGTAAGATGCAGCGTAACCGAGATCATAACGGTGTAGTGAAAAAGGGAAAGGTGGCAAGAAAAACATGAGTTGTGCAGGAATTATTGAAATGGATTTGCGGAACTTGGCAAATGAAGTGAAAAAGAAAGGTTTCTCTAAGAGTATCCGCTGAGTTGTAGCTCCAGAGATTCGCAAAGCCGCAGAAAGTGGAATTGAGACGCTTCTTGTGCTGTCAAAGAAATATGCAAACAAGCCGGTAAGAAATAGGCGGAAAAAGTTAGGTGTAGAAAAAGATGCGCAGCACAGATTATGTAACGCCATTTATCGAATGTCTGAACAATGAAAAAGTGAGTCCTAAAGCTTATGACATTGCTGTGAATGGGTTGAACCATGTGTTGGCTTACAACCTTGCTTCGGATGCTACTGCCTCTACGATTGTTGATATTCTGAATGACCGTGTAGATAGCGAAGGATTGGTTATAAAATGATAGTTGAGCACCGAGGAGTCATCCGCTCTGGGTCTTCGGATCCTTCAAATCTTTCCGATTATCGTGGAGAACACGTCCTTCATTATCCCTGAGCGCAAGCTCCAAAGTGTTCTCTGCCACATGGCTACAATTCTCTGCTCGGAGGACGCTTCATCGCAGGCCTTTCAGCTCTCGCTTTCCTCCTTCCAGCAAGTTTGCTTCCGCTGTTTTCCTTCCCAGTAGTTGGTCCAAGCGCTGGGCAACAAGGCCGCCGCCTTCAGCGAAGCCAACGTGAAGAAAACCTCCAGCAAGGTGAACGATTCGCTTCGCGAGAGGCCTCCCAAGTCGCTGGGCGATGACGTTTACTGCTGCGCCTACTGGAGCGTGCTTCAGGACCTCGCAGCGCGCGTCATGGACCAGAACGCCGCGTGGCTGAGCAACGGAGGCAACATGGAGCGCGTCCGCTTGCCGCTGGCGCTGTCGCTCTCGTTGCTGCTCACGCTGCTGACGCAGAACGAATCGGTGGTGCTGAACCGCGTGGAGTTCGCGTCTCTGCTGCAGTATTTGGTAGAAATCGAAGCGGGCTGCGATGTAGCTGCTGCCCGCGCTGGCGTCGCTGCTGAAGGAGAAAACGGACGATTTGGAGACTTGGATCGCGGTGCTGAGGCTGACGAAGGTCGTGATGCTGAAGTATTTCGAGGTGCTGCCGGCCGTGGACTCCGCGCTGAGCGCGCTGAGCGACGTGCTGAAGCAAGTGGCGAAGAAGAAGCAGAAGAGTTGTAGGATCGAAGGGAAGGAGTGAAGGAAAGCGATGCGATTGATGGGAGTGCTGGAGTGTTTGCAGGGAGTGCTCCAGGAAAAACTGTTCGTGGCCTTCGCGTTGACGCACTTTTTGAAGGTGGAAACGGGGAACCGAATCGATCGTAGACGCTGGGATCGCTGCTGGGATACTGCGTAAAAGTGTTCCAATTGGCGCACAAAGAAAGCGACATGTCCACGCTGATTGGCTGCTTCGAATCGTTCGGAAAGCGCGCTCTGAAGGATCTTTCGCCATCCTCGCGCTCAGCCCACGATTCAGCTGGCAACGACGACAAAGATGACAACGAAGACGACGACGAAGATGACAATGACGAGGCGGAGAACGAGAGTTGGGAATGGGCTTGCGTTCGAGCGCTGTATTGTCTCCGCGCCTTCGTGAGCGCGTGCGGCGAAGCGCTCTCCGCATTCCCCGCCGATTTGCCTTCCGAGACGCGCGACGCGCTGAAAGCCTTCGCCGAAGACAAGCTGGTTTCGATCGGAAGCGAATATCAGCAGCTGGCGGAGGACCAATGCGGCGAAGATCTGTTCAACTTTTTGCTGCAGTGCATGGCGACGCTTTGCCCCATCTACGGCTACTTGGGACTGCAAGCCGAGCAGGCGCGCATCGCTTTCTTCATCTGCAAGGCCACGCTGCCGTCGATGAAGCCCGAAGAAGCGATGAAAAACAGCCCGGACTTCGTGTTCGATTCGCGGAATCTCGCGGCGATCGAAGCGCTGAGTCGACTCACGAAGGGAAACGGGGAAGGCGTGGAGAATGTGTGGAAACTCGTGGAAGCAACGATGGAAGTGATCGAGGAGTACATTCCCGAGAAAGACCAGTCCAATAATTATGTTCGGGTGTTGGTAATCGTTGACTGTAGTCGTCGCCCGCTTCGCCTCGCGTCTGTGCGGAGTACGAAATTATCGAAGAGCAGACGGACGTTTTGCTGGGCCAAGTCGCTCAGTACTCGCAGGAAGGCTGTAGAGACGGAGATGGGCTGCGATCTAGTGATTCACACGCTCGAAATGATGCTCCAAGCCGCTCGATCGGGCGTGTCGAGCGAGGTGCCGAGCGGGAAAGCGAATCTGATGAAGGCGTGGGACGAAGTGCTGCGGTCTGCGGGGTTGGAGGAGAAGGTGAAGATTCCGCACTCCTCGCCGATCCAGACGGCCTCGGGATTGAAGCATTTGCTGACCATCGCCAACACGAACATATCCCGATTGGAACGACTTGTCCAAACGACCGAATCCTTAACACCACGTGAAACGAATCGACTCTCTAGTCTCGTCAATCCAGTCGCTTCTGACCGAAGCGGTGAGTCAGCTCAAGCGCCACCCGTCGCTTCCTGGCTTGGTCCAGCCGATCTTCTTCTTCATCTCCGAAGTGATGGAGCAGGTCAACGACAACCACCCCGCCAAGGAAACCTACCAAGCCGCCATCCCCGAGCTCCTCAAGATCGTCAATACGCTCGTGACCAATCGGCAGACGCAAGTGCTGGCGCTGGACACGCTGTACGACGTGATCATCCAGGGCGACTGTCTCCGCGGCCAGTGGAAGCCGATCATTTCGTGCCTGAAGGTTCGCTGCACACTTCTTTTCCTCCTCATCACTCATAGAAAATCGCCACCTCGGATCTCTGCGCAGAAGGTTTCCAGCGCGTTTTTAACTCCTCATTCGTAGGATTCCACGACGTGCAGCTGATTCTGGACGATTTCCTCAGCGAAATGGATTTCAGCGAGGCGCTCACACTGGGTGCATTGATCGCCTCCTACACGCGCCAAGCCTTCGATATCAACATCGCGCTCAGCGCCATCGGGCTGTACTGGAAGCTCGCCGACTACACGCTCATCACGGCGCGCGGTACTCGCTCCCTGCGGATTTGATGCTCAGAGGCGCAGCCAGGCGAACGTCCGGAGATCGTGCGGAAGATGCGGCAGGAAATTATCGTGACGATCCTGCCCACGTGCATGGACAACGTAGTTCCGCGGGGATGGTGCGATGTAGCGACCGAACATCCGCAACACGTCGATCCAGACGCTCTTCCAGATTTTGGTGCTGCAGCGCGGCGGCTTCATTTTCGATGATTATCTGGAAGTGGTGGAGAGCGTGACGGGCCTGACCTCCAAACTGGAGCGAATCCGCGTGCACGGATATCAGGAAGGCGACACGACGCCGATCGAAGACGAGGAGAACATTCGTCGCCATCACACACGCGACACCGTGGAGAAGCAGTTCAACGAAACGTACTGCTATCTGCTGAAGGGAGTCGTGTCGATGCGAGCCTCTCATTCCTAGCTGAATCGTCTCTTAAAGCTCTTCATCCACCATCTGCTGACCAAGGTGTCCGGCGACGCCATCGCGGAGTACCTGAAAGTGTTCAAGTCCATCGTGAAGTTCTACGGCAAGTGTCTGCTCATTCCAGAAGGCAAAGAAGTCCCCAGCGCCACGCTGGGACTCTTCCAGGTAGTCTTGAGAGACCGGAGCGACGGGTAGGAGATGTACGACTGGATCCAGCCCGCTTTGAACGACGTGGACACCGTGGAAACGGGGTAACCGGTAGAACAGCAAGGCCAAATCGGTGTTCTCCGTGCTGACTGCGCGGCTGTTGGACCAGGCCGGCAATACCGAGTTCGCATTCCCGCGGGTCTTCATCGTAGAATCGGCAAGAACTCGGAAGCGGACGACGTGCTGATGTCTCTCTGCATGCTCCTCCTCTCCCTCTTCCGCAGCTTGTACCCCCGTTTCCCCGTTTCTCCCTAGTCAATCCCTCTTCCTGGACCCGAACGAGTCGTACTTCGCGCCGCTGCTCAACACGCTGGTCGCGCTGGTCACCACCGACAGCATCGCGCTGGAGACCGGCGCAGGCAACAAGTACAACACCAACCGGCCCAAAGGCAAGCTCAACAGCATGCAGGTCGCTCCTTCTCCCTTCTCTTTCTCTCTAGAAACTCCAGATCCAGCTGCTGCAAGCGATGTACGACGCGATGAAGGCGGAGCCGCGCTATCTGGTCGACTACAAGACCTTCACGAGCTCCGTCGACTCCATCTATTCCACCGCCGAGTCCCTCAACGCCAGCCACGCCAACGACGTTTTCCTCGCCTCGCTCGACGAGTTCCGGAACGGTCTCATGAAGCGAAAGGAGGCTCGCGCGCTCGTGAAGCAGTACCAGGCCGACTGCGCGGCGCAGCAAGCCGCAGCGCTCGGCGGCGCCGCTTTGGAGCCGTTTTCGCTCTTCGAAGGACTGTCCGAAGCCACCAAAACGTCGGTTCTGGAGGGCGTTTCGCGGTGTGTGGAGGCGTTGGACGAGATGGAGGGCGGCGACAACGCCAAGGCGCTGCTGTTCTTCCTGGGCCGCAATCTGAGCGTGCTGGAGCGCGTGGTGGACCCGCGGTTCTGCGAGGATTTGCTGGGAATCGTGGGGGAGGCGATCGCGAAGGCGATGCGTTTGAGCGAAAGAGGCGTTGAATGATAGAAAAACTGAGACAAGAGAACGACGTGGAGCGCAAGATCTTCGTGGAGAACGCGTTGGAGCTACTGGGGAACGCGGCACGCGGGCAGCTGGAGGACGGCGACGGAAAGCGGAACGAAACGGTCGCGAATTCGGCGTGTGCGACGCTGTCGGAGAGCGTGAAACAGGCCGCGGGAGAGAAGCTGGTGGCGGTGAGCAGAGAGGAGTTGAAGAAGATTGGGGAGATTCAGGAGCATGAGTTGCTGTCGGATATGAAGAAAGAAGCAGTCAAGATGATGGAGGTGTTGGAGAAGATCGAGAAGATCGGGGAGGTGAAGGAGGAGGTGTCGAGTCTTTCTTCCTACGGAGATAGTTTGGTTGCTCAAAAGGCCGCGAGCGTACTAGCGAAGTTGGCTTAATGTTTTGCGTGTTGTGTTTGATTTGAAACAAACGTGGAAATGTCGTCTGTGGAGGTGAGTGATAGGCAGAAAGAAGGATATTCGGTAGGTTGACTCAACAAGCGTGATCCAGCTGATTCTGCAATATTTGAAAGAGAATAACCTTACAGAGTCGTACACAACGCTCTCGAAGGAGACACGGTTTGGATCCATCGTTTTGAATGACGGTGCAGTGTATCGACGAATGAAATATCAAACAAGGAATTATTCCTGATCTCAATCATAAATGGAAAGTGGGACTATGTTTTGGAACAGGTCGAGTTTTGGAATGGGCTTTCCGTCTAGGTATCGATGCTAACCTTGCCCAAAGAGGTGTTGATGGACTTGTATGAAGCTGTTTTCTACGAACTGCTCGAGCTTCGCGAACTTTACACAGCCAGCGAAATGCTGACCAAATGCGATGTTTTAGTGCAGATGAAGACCGAGCGGAAAGAAAAGTTTGTAATCTCAAACTCCTCATAAACTCCCTCAGATACCTCCAAATGGAATACTGGCTCAAGAAGCCTTCTTTCGATCCCATCGAAGCCTATCCCGTCGGAGAAACCAAAGAAACGCGTCGCCAGCGACTCGCCAGCACGCTCACTTCCTACATCACCGTCGCTCCTCCTTCTCGTCTTCTCACTCTTCTGCAGCAAGCGCTCGCCTTCGAGAAATCCAACGGAACGCTTCTCGAAGGCGAGCGCTTGAATCTCTTCCAGAACCGCACAGAAACGCTTCTTCTCGAAGACGAAATCCCCACGATTCGCGGTCCCGCGGTTCAGTTCCCCCACGGAACGTACCCCGAGGTTGTCTGCGTGTCCCCGAACGGCCAGTTCGTTGTGAGCGGTAGTTTCGACGGGCTGATCGAAGTGTGGGACCTGGAAGAAGGCGGTCTGAAGCTCGATTTGCCCTACCAAAAACAGGTTTTCGTCCTCCCCGCGGTGAACCATAGGAGAAGTTCATGGCCCACGCGAAGAGCGTTCTGAGCCTCGCCTTCAGCAGCGACAGCGAGTTCCTGGCGTCCGGCGATTTGGCGGGGACGATCAAAGTGTGGCGCGTGGCGACGGGCGGCCTGCTGCGCCGCTTCAGCGAGGTCCACGAGGCCGGCGTGACGTCGCTCTGCTTCAACGCCAGCGCGCAGCAGATCTGCTCGGCGTCGTACGACGGGACGGTGCGGTAGAGCGAGCGGAGAGGCGTCAATCGCAGCGTGCACGGGCTGAAAAGCGGGAAAACGCTTAAAGTGCTGCGTGGTCATAGCAGCTACGTCAATCACGTGACCTTCACGGCGGACCAGCAGCACGTGCTGAGCGCGTCAAGCGATGGCTGCGTGAAGCTGTGGGATCTGGGGACGAGCAGCTGCGTGCGGACGCTGCAGCCGGCGCGTGCTGCGTCGAGTTTCGCGGAGATTCAGGTGATCAGCGCGGAGCGATTGGTGCAAAACCCGGAATGGGTTCTGGTGGTGGCGCGATTGGACCGCGCGTTCGTGATGACGATGCAGGGAGGATTGGTGTTTACGCTGCACGCGGAGAACGAGAAGGTGCAGTTCATTGCGGGGTGCCAAAGTCCGCATGTAGGGGAAAGGAGAGGAATGAATGGAAGGGGAAATATCTGTATTGCGTTGGAGATGACGGGAATCGGTATTGCTTTTCGAGCGGAGATGGCGAGTTGGTGGAGAAACGCGCGATCGCAGATCATGAATTGCTGGGAATGGTGCATTATCCGAACAGGAACGCGATGTTGGTGTATTCGCAGAAGGGAGAAATCGCAAGTTGGAGAATATAAAGGGAGTGAACGGTGGATGAATGAATGAATGAATGAATGAACGGATTTGTTTGTTTGTTTATCTACATTGTTTGTGTTGTTTGATTGATTGTTATTTTCCTTCTATTTACAAACCAATTCCAAACACATTGATGAATATTACTGCAACGAAGAACCCTCAAATTCTCTTCATTCCTCCACTCGGCCTTTCAAATCGTTCAGAATCCACTTCAAACCCACAATAAATCCCTCGTCGTGCTGCTCTGAAGGCAGTTGTCTCACATGAGCAAAATCCACAAGGCGAACGATCGGGCGATAATCGCTTTCCGTGTTTCCCTCGAAAATGATCAGAACACTTGTGCAAATAAACTGCAGATGGCCTCGTAACTCGAACCATTCCAGAATCGATTCCAGTTGCTCAATAACAGAGCGGATCACTGCTTGGCGGAGTTCTGTTTTTACGAAAGAGAAGTAGGTTGCAAACATGTTAGGTAATGTTTCCTCGGTTAAGCTATATCCATAGTTCTTTCCATAGATATCGAATTCCTGCTTTTCCGTATTGAATACTCGCATTCCTGTAAGTCGGAAACCGATCTTTCGCTGAAGAGGATACTTCTTCGACTCGCGTTCGATTTTTTCTTTCGGAGCATCGTCTTCCCATGTTTTTACTCCCATCTTCAGGTCAATAATCGATGGTTTGCTGTAGGAATAGGTAAGATCGTCGATAATCATGAACTTTCCATTAATACCGTTCTGGTTCACCTCCTTTATTCCGTGATACCCTGCAATCCACTTCACAAATTCAGGATCTCGTTCTTTGATGGTAGAATAGAAAGCAACTTCCTTGTCACTAAATAATGAATCAAGAATAGAAATGATACCCTCTTCCCTGGTCTTGGAGCTGCTTGAGAATGCAAGTACCCTGGTGTAACATACCTTGGTTTTGCAATTCAAAAGTATGGCCACCGACCTGATTACTAAAAGCTTCGATTTGAGTATCCTCCATATCGGATAATACAAAGAATATGCAATTTTCCTGACACTTCTTTATAAATACATTTTCGATCTTTTTAAAATAATATAAAATAATATGGAATCACAAGATATGTTATTTCAACATATTGTTGGAACGAAGGAACCATGTGACATATAGGACCAATTAAAGCAATCTCTGAGTAAAGAAAAGTGCAATCATCGCTTATTTCTAACGAGTAGAGTAACAGAACAGACACTTTCCAAAGGAATCCAGAATACTTTAGGTTTCGAGGCCGATGAGCATGGTACTATTGTTAGAATTTGAATTATGTTTTAGATTTGAAGCTACTCATGAGATTCATGAGTTCCTCGATCAATTCGATTCGAGATTTTTGTAACAATGAAGGTGAATCTTTGTTTCTCGAAGCTAGTACTAAAAATGTGTTTTTCATGAGATAGACATCTTAAACGACAATGAGCTGCAAAATGTACCGTTAGACACTATTCCAGAGATGAATGAGTCCACTTCCTCGCAATCGAGAACATATATATCAGGAACCACCATTGAGAATCCATTTGTCACTGAGCTCACCTCTCAAAATAGTTCCACAATCAATCTCGATACCCGCGATGTTCCATTAGTAGACCAATCTTTCTCCATTGAGTTCGAATCTGTCCGCATGATCCGCATGAGTAATTCATGTTAGTTTCTTTACACCCAAAGAACATCTATCGACAGGTCTTCAATCGCTCCATCGAACAATCTTCCTTGGCGTTCCCTCCGCCTCCGATTCCCAGAGAGAATCGCTGATTTCCGCATTGAAACAAGCTGAAAACGGCTTTGCAACGCTTCTTTCTTCTTCGTTTACTGACATTTCCGAGGAGAATCGGAGCAAACTCAGCTTCCCCGCCACGCTGGCCGTTTCGCTCGTGTGGCAGTTGGAGGCCACGTCGGAACGAGCAGCGGAAAGCACGCTGTTTTCAAACTGGAAGACGAAGGTGAACAACGTGGTGCAGAAATTGTGGAAGCAGAACGCGTTGGGATTCGCGGATGTGGGTCCGGAGGGACTGAATGTATATGAGTAATGAGGACGGATGCGGCGGATGAATCAAATGAGTGCTATTCCAATATTACTTGTTTGTTTGATTCAATAAGGGAGAATAGCAAGTGATTGAATGGGGTTTTTGGAAAAGTGGGTTGGATTGTTGATGGAATCAGCGATGATTTCTGCGATTATTGGACGGATTGATTCAATAATAATCCATTAGTTACTTCATGATTTTACAAATCGATCTCGTTTCATCATTCATCCATTACTCAATTTGCCTTGCCTCCTTTTTCTAATCCCTTCATTCCACATCCCACTTCTTACGACTCCTCGTCCTCCTCAACTCCTTTATTTCTCTCAAACAATCTCAAAAACGCATTTCCATTCGCTTCTCTTCATACCCTCCATACCCCCTTTCTTCCCCTCTTCTCTCCTCTTCTTCTTCTTCTTCCTCTTCTTCCTCCCATCTCCTACACTTCACTCTCTTTCTCTTCCTCTACGGCCGCTTCTTGCACTCCTCATCCAGAACCTCGTTATTCTTCACAATACACTCGCGATATCGCTTCACCGTCTCCATCAATTCGCGCTCCTCTTCCTCGCTCCGCTTCTACTCCTCATCGCTCCTCCCTTTCCCCACCAACTGCGCCTCATAAATATCCAGCTGGTCCTCCAGCGACATCAATTTCTCGCGCGTTTCCTCGTAGAACTGCTCCAATTCATCCGCCGCTTCGCGCACCGCGCTACGACGCACTTTTTCCTCGTATGTCGGACCGCGGACCGCGCCCTCTTTTCTCTCCCGCACGCGCTTGATCCGCTCCAGAACCGCGGAAAACCCGCGGATTTTCCCCAGTTTCTCCGGTAGTTTCTCCATTTCCCCGAAGTTGTCTTCGATGGCCTGGACGAGGCTGGCGACGTTCGAAGGCAGCTGCGCACGCATGTCTGCGATCTGCTGATCGGTGTAAACAACGGGAGGATCGCTGGGAGCCGATGAAGCTGATGGAGCCGATGGAGCCGATGGAGCTGATGGAGCTGATGGAGCTGGAGGTGTGGAGGAATACGATGTAGAATTAGTGGAATTGGATGGAGAAATAGAGGGATTGCCGATTTGGACGTTTAGATCGGCATAGGAGGGGAATTGCGTGCTGAGTGATAGAACATGAGAAAAAATACAAAATTTGAATCGGAATGCTGGAGAGAATTTGAAAAGTCATGCTGCGACCCATTGTTCGGTGATCTTTCCACAAGCGTAGAACATCGAGGATCTTCATAGCGATTTGTGAATCCTGGACCATGCTATCCATAATTTGAATAACACTGAATTACCTCAACGAGTTCAGACACATGGTCGGCAAAAGCGTCATAAATTCAGGAGTATACTACAGAATAATGACTAACAATGAGTAGTCACTTTGAAATGACCAGAGTTGCGCTCTTTGACTAAGACATTATTTGCTAGATAAAATAAGTAGAGTTTGGTCTGATAGGAAGCTAGCCCTCAGATAAAAGTTCTCAATTCATACCTCGGATAAACACATCACTCCAAATCTGAACTACTTTCGCTGCATCGTTCTCGTTACTGAAAAGCCACGCAGTTACATCTAAATGTAAGTGGTATTCAGTAGGAAAACAAACCTGAAATGCTCTTCGTGGAACCGTTGATCGAATTCAACTTCTGAAGACACTCCTCGACAATGAAAACCATCTGGATCAAAGTGAGATGTTCTCTTCGTGAGTTCAAATTTATCTTAAACAAACATGTCACACACTTCTATCTTCCTCTTTCTTCTTTTTATCCTCCTTCAGCGATGCACCGTAGATCATGTAATACGTAACGAGTGTACTAAGGACTCCCACAGCATAACCAGCCAGTACATCATCACCTCGATGCTTGTAATCCCACTAATCGTAATCCTCTTCCATCATTTCCGTACAATCCGCGAAGATCCGACGTACAAAGGCAGACACACACAGATTAACCCAACGAATACGATAACTCCCCTCTTAACCGATTTTTTCAGTCCTGGAATGTTCGATAAAAGACGTAAAATCAATAAATAGGCGATAGCTGCGGCACAAGCTGAGTGGGCTGAATGGCCAGAAGGATAGCTCTTAAATGCGTCATTCAGTTTTTCCTAGGATGAAACAAGACGAACGAACCCCACTTTGTTAGTGCACTTGGAAATGTCTGCAACAACGCCGATCGTTCCAAAGATGCGTGTGCCATTCTCAACAGAACTCGGATATCCACAAAGTTCGAAGAAGCATGGACGGGGTCTTCCTGTCACGTTCTTCAAACCTCCGCATATAGCTTCGGTCATGATGATGGAAATTGCATACATCACTAGGAAGTTGTAAATCTGGGCGTGAGGGATGACAAAGAAAGAAATCAAACAGTCCAGTTCATTTTCTTTTCTCGAGCAAAGTAGATGGCGAGCAGAATGACGAACGGTACGGCATAGAACAGGACGAGCCAGGGCAGCGTTCTTCATCTCAGAATCGAATCGAATCATACGGAACAGTGTTACCCACAGGGTAGGAAAGCGAAATATCGCCTTCAATAACCGTTGTTCTGTGAGGAGTCGGGAATTGTACGATAAGGGCGATAATTCCCAAAATAACAATAGCAATCACGTCGCGAATGACGGCCGATTGATGCTTTTCGTCCATTGAAAAGGAATTGAAAAAACAAGTAATATCGCGGGGATAGGTTCATTTTTGTACAAATGAGATTCGTCGTTCTTGTATTTTTGATTGCAGCGGTGTTCGCAGAGGGCCCGATCACCGATTTGGATGCCGATACGTATCGCCCTTTCATTGAGTCTCATACCGATGTTGTGGTGAAATACTACACTCCTGTATGTCGTTCTAGTCTAATCGAATGTAGTGGTGCCATCATTGCAAGCGCCTTGAACCCATCTATGAAACAGTCGCTGAGAAACTGACGAAAAAGTATCCACAGGTGGTGTTTACCCAAGTGGATGTGAATGACAATCCCCGAATTGGAAGACTGGAAAAGCTCCATGGTGTACCGGTTATCAGATATTTCAAGAACGGGAAGTCTCTCCCATATGAGGGAAGGATGGAGAAAGAGTATTTCGCTTCCTATGCTGCTCATGTAGATTCATCCAGTCCTTTATCGAGAATATCATTACATCCTCGTTCGAAGGCGTGCAAGACTCCATAACCGAGTCAAAGCTCTCTGATCTGCGCGCAAAGCTCCAAAAGTATACTCAAACGATCGTAGCCTACTGCGACGACAATTCCCGCGACTATATCGGCGCCCTCGAACTCGCGATGCAGGAAGTCGTGAACCTCACGCGCATCGTCATATCAGATCGGGAAGTCGCTTCGAAAATGAACGTCCCCTTCCCCAGCCTGGTTCTCTACCACGCCAGCGGCAACGGGATCGTCTACCACGGCGCGCTGGACAAGCAGGAGGTGCTGAAATGGGTCCTGGTGGCCGATCTGCCTGCGATCGTGCCGTACACCGTCTCGTTCACTCGCCGTCTTTTCGACAAACGCCACGGCATCAATCTCCAGCTCTTCTTCTTCGCTCCCGAGAAGAATCCGGGAAGCAAAGCGCAGCGCTACCGCGCGATTCTGGAGCCCATCGCCGAGAAATACCGCGGGACGTTGTTTGTCTCGCACATTCCGTCGGAGAACCCGCGGTTATTGGACTATTACGGAGTGCGCGCGACGCAGGTGCCGACGATCGGCTTGGCGAACTTCGTGGGCGAGCGGATGGATAAATACGCGTTCAGCGGCGAGTTTACGGAGCAGAACATTGTTCGGTTTATCGAGCGCTTTTTGAAGGGCGAGCTGAAGCCGTTTTTGCGATCGGAGGAAGAACCGAAGACGAATGAAGGGCCTGTTTATGTAGGAAGTGCAGTGGAGATGGCATGTAGACCATTGTTGGAAGCACGTTTAATAAGATGGTGTATGACCCATCGATGGACGTCGTTGTGAAATTTTACGCTTCTTGGGATGGAAAGAGCAATGATCTGGCTCCTGAGTTTTTGACGGCGGCGAAGCATTTTCTGAAGGATTCATCGATCCTGTTTGGAGAAGTGGACATTATGAAGAACGAAATGGAGGGAATCAACACGAAGGAGTTCCCGAAGGTGATTCTTTTCAAGGCCGGAGGGAACGGAAGAGAGCGTGTGGAGTTTACGGGAGAAATGAAGGCGGATAAGTTGATAGCGTTTGTAGAGGCAAATCGTGGTTCAAAATTGGGAGATTCTGAGGAATTGTGGAATGTTTGTTTGACTCCTGTGTTTCGGTTGGCATTGTGAGATTCTTTGCGACTCATTCGAGTCGATTATGAGTCCATATAATTTAGATCACACTAAAGCGTGTAGAATCGATTCTCTATCAAGAGAGAAACGTGGAAATCGAAATGGGAAAATAGTAGCGATTTCGGTCATTGAGCTATTGAATTAAACCTACAGAGAACAATGTGTAAAACTGTCGGAAGTAGGAATAGAGAGACAGCGCATTCCATCTAGGATCCATTCTGTTCACAATCTTCTCCATTGTGGGAACTGCTTTTATGGTAGCTCTTTCCTGATGAAAGGATTTAATTCTAGCTCTTCTTGTATACAATATTCAAAACAAATCCTGAGATGTATGAAGAAGTAACAGATCCAGATAAAACGTGTGCTGGGCTGTTCCAAGCAGGTTGGCTGCGCTGGCACGACTTGTTATCTTGTAGCTATGGCATATCTCGCCACCGCACTGATTTCTATTTTCTTCTGGATTTATCATGCGTATATTTTGGAAAAGGATTCTCATTTGCAGCAAGAAGGGTAAGGGCGGTAAAACAGAGGAGTCTTCCGTGTTTGACGAAAGCAAGAAGAAGTACCATTTCTCCACGGTGTCGACGGAATCAAGTGCAAACATTCCTCTTCTCAAAGCGCAGTTTTAAGTGGGCAGTTGCCTTGTTGTTTGTTCTATTCGCGTTGAAAACGGATCTTACTTGATCGAAATGGGAGCTTTGCATATTGTACTGTAAAGTAATCCGTTTCTGGACCGCCTGTACAATATTTTGGAAGTTGTTACACTATTTGGAAAAAAGGGCGATTTTTGTCACACCATAAATACTCATTATTTTTTTGTTATTACCTTGTTCAGGGTGTTTTACTATGCCGCAGGATTCTCAAGAAATGTCTACCAAAACATACATGAAGAAGTTATACATCGTGGTGTTCCTTTATCAGTGTGCTAACGCTCTACTCCTTCCCATCATGCCTTACTTTACCAACTCTCTTAATGCAAATGTAACCGAGTATGGTCTTGTATTCACTGTCTATTACGTTGCTCAACTCATCAGTCTTTGTCACTCAATAGGATTATTTATAGGCTCTTTGTCATTTGGTGGAATCGGTGATAAATATGGAAGGAGGGTCGCCGTTTGCGTCCCCCTGATTGGTATTGCCATTTGTATGTCTGTCAAACCCTGTCAACTCTAGTCACAACGTGTGAAGTGTTTTGTACCAATGTGCGATTGCTCATTCTTTGGCGCGTATTGACGGGTCTCTTCGATTGTCTCACTGCCGTCTCGCAAGCGTTCCATCTTTTATTTTCTGCACCTCATTTCTAGTTGTGTAGGTGACGTGACCACCTTTAAGGAGCGTGCCTCCTACCTTGCCGAGTTGGAGGCTGTCAACAATGTCGCCCAGTCTTTTAGTCCCATCGTGGGAGCTCTTTTGGCCAACTACAGCCTCCGCTACGCAGTGTAGGTGCCCTTCTCCTTCCTCTCCCTCAGCGCTGCCTCTGCGATTTTTTACATCTTCTCCGCCCTAATCTCTGTCTTCATGCTCCCTGAAAGCGTTCCCTCGATCCTGGAGCGTTCTCGGATGGTGGAGACCCTCCGCCAGCAGAACCTCCCCGCGGAAGTGTTCGAGGCGCGCAAGAAGCAGCTGCTGCACCAATTCTCCCTGCAACGTTTTGCCTTCCGCCTCCGCTCACCGTTAGAACAAGGCCTGTCGCAAGCCACCGCGAGCTCCAAGCAGAGCAAGCGGCTGCACTTCAACTACGTGATGGTAGGGCGTCTGCGCTTCTGTCCATGCAGGTGATCGCGCTGATCGGCGAGTTCGCCTCGCGCTGGCTCATCAACGTCTTCGACGTGACCTTCTCCGTGTACGGCGAGGAGCACTTCGGCGTGTCCTCCTCGCTCTACTCCTACACCACCGCCGTCGGCAGCATGGTCAACATCTTCCAGACCGGCTGGCTCTTCAACCGCCTGCTCCGCTGGGACGTCTCCATCCCCCTCATCACCTCCATGACCGGCGTCTGCGGCGCCATCGGCATCTTCACCTGTCTCTTCGCGCCCAACAAGGCCGTCGCGATCCTGGGCTCCGTGTTCTTCATCTTCGCCTACGGCTGCGCCGCGCCCACCGCGCCCACCGTCATGTCGGTACGTCTGCCCAGCGAGGCCTCACGCGCAGACCGAAAGCCCCGCGCACTTGCAGGGCGTCGGCACGGCGTCGGTGCTCATCGGCGGGCAATCCGCGTACATCCTCGCGCCCAACATCCTCTCCTCGCTCTACGCGGTGGACTACCGACTGCCCTTCTACTGCAGTCTGGTGCCCTGCGCGGCGGTGTTCATCAGCATGCTGATCCTGCATTTCATCCCTGGAGGCCGCACGGCGGGCCAGGTGCCGCTGGAGTTCGCGCTGGAGAGCATGGTGAAGAACCAGAAGCTGGAGGGCGTGGATAACGAGCATGAAGAGGAAGTGATCGCGAGAGGAGGAGAGAAGAAGGAGAGAGAGAAGGGAGAGGAGGAGAAGAAGGGCGATGGAAATGAGAATGATGTCATGATCGAGATGGTGTGTATGGAGAGCAAGGAGAAGGGAGCGGAGAATGGAGACGAGAGATGGATGATGGAGGACGATCATGGCGTGGACATGGATGCCTTCATCGTTCCGCCGCGGTTTAACTCGGGAGACGCCTCGTCGCTTCATTCGTCGTCGGTGCACACTCCTTCGGTCCATATGCCGTCGATACACGCTATTCGCAACGATGTATACGAGAGTCAGGAAACCGAGGAAATGCCGCCCGGTAGCCACTTCAGCGAGGCCGACAGTGACGAAGACCTTGCTATTTAATTCGTTTTCGCTGCTTGTTTTTTTGAAACGTATCTCCCCTTGGAGTTTCATTAATATAAACTTCAATCTTCATTTTTCCATGAATCCTCAAGATTGGGACTTCTCAAAGATAAAACAGAACCTCGTCAGTCCGGATAAGTTCGTTCAATCGTTTTTCTCTCTGTGAAGGGTGATGGGGTAGAGATGGAGCGCGACAAGTGTTCGACGAATGGTACAAAGTAGCTAAACGTTTTGCAAAGCAAGAAATCACTATTGGTACAAGAGAATTCCTTGCCTTACTCGATAGAAACGATGATCCGCTGCACCGATGAGTGTTTTGGAGTTATGTTTATCACCCATTCTCCGACGTTGTTTGTAAAACGAGACATCGATTACTACGTGCTCTCGTCGCTCATGAAAGGTTTCCGCAACATTTTGACCATTCTGGAAACAAAACCCAAATTTCAGATCATTCGAAATCATCCAAACTTCCTCCCTGTAATTAACTCGTATTCCTGTGATTCCCCTGTGATTCTAGCCTTCGAGGCTATTCAATGAACCAGCTTGTAATCGGAACCAAGAACGATCGCGTATTGGTTGCTTCTCTGTCTGACCATGGTAGCTGGATTCGATCACGCGCGCAGAATACTCTGAATCCGTCTACGCTCTCCTTGCGTTCGGCCTCTCCTTATTCCAACTGTACCCATCCACTTTTCCCTCGCCTCCTTTTACGCTCTACGCTCTCGATTTCTTCGTTATGGGATTTAACGTACATTTTTTTCCTCCTCTCCTCTCTTTCTAGACTAACGAGACCATCAGTCTTCGCCAGAGCATACTGCGATCTGCATCAGTGATGCTTTCGATCGATCCCGCGCGAATGACCGGCGCATTCTTCCCTATGATCCAAGACAGCGAAGGCTGCGACGTGATGTGGTGCGAGCCAGTGCTCACCAACGAGCAAGCAGTGACCGTCGTTCAGCAAGGCCTTCCGCTGATCATCAAAAAACACGGCGTTTCAATCATCACCATTTTCTTTAACAGCCTCAACGACAGCGTCAGCGTATTCGATTCCTCCTCTCTGCTGAGTGGCGTAGACCTTTGTGCCGCTGATCAACACCGATCCAGAAAAGCTTGATCGGGTTTTGTATTCGATTTGCAGCATCACGTCGACGGTGATCGTCAACATGCCGCTCCCCACAAAGAACGAGCTCTCCACGATCCCCGAAGAGCTCATCGCGGGTCGCACGCTGCTCCAGTCGCTCACACACTACTTCCCAAGTACGCGTGGAGGCGTGGAATGAGCGAAAGACAATCGCTATGTGCTGAATTTTTTGTTTTCGGAGCACGTCGTGCGCGAATTCCCCGTCGCGTTGATCGCTTCGCCGTATCTCGACTCGTACGACGATCGTTCGCTGATCGAATACTTCTTCCCCTATCTCGAAACAACTGTTTTTTTCTGTTTCTTCGTGTATAATCGGCTAGATCCGAGCGATGTCGGTTGCCGGAGTTTCGGGAAATGAAGAGGATCAAGACGTGATCAATCTGCTTCGCGATCTGGCTCATTTCCTGCTCAATTCGAGCACGCGTCCCATCGACTACACAGTGGGACATGAGTTGTTTTTAACGCTGCTCCTGGCCATGCGACGCGGATACATCGAGACCGAGCGTTTTCCGGAAATAACCGCGAATGTGATTTCCTATTACTGCATTCTGCCGTCGTCCTATCCGAAGGGAACGCGATTCGACACGCTGAACGAGAGCAGCAAGTGGATCGCGGAGATTTTCGACGATAGCGACGACCGGCTGCGCGATATGCGAGCGATCACGGAAGTAATCGGGATCGTGCTGGGCATCAAGGAAGTGGAAAGCACGATCAACAGCAAAGTGAGCTCGGAAGTGAGCGAGATCGTGATGGAAGTGAGAGTCGATGAGGGGTTGGACGCCTAGCAATTCCTTCGGATTCACCACATCGAGGTGCTGCAAGTGTTCCGCGATTTGCTGCTCGCGATCGATCTGCATTCGAACGACAACATCACGTTCAATATCCAGTCCAAGCTGCTCTACAGCGTGAATAACTGGGTCATCAACGATTTCTCGCACATCACTACCAACTCCATCATCACCGTGTATCCCGCTCATTTCTTCGCCTCTCCTTCAGATTCCTGCCGCTTCTTCGCGCGCTCACGCCGCTCGTTCATCCATCCATCGCATATCTTCTGCTCGAAGTGACCACGCGCGTCCTGCTTCTTTTTAACAGCTTGAACAGCATGTGTCCTTCGTTTGGCGAGGAGGTTCTGGATGCTTCCGAATCGATTATGGACGATTCGCTCATCTGCGGAATTCTGGAGCGCGCGCCGAAGGAAGACACGGACATCGGCGACGAAATGTACTACACCTCCACCAGCATCATCGAGAAATGCATTGAGATCTCCGGCGTGGAGGCGCGCATGAGTCTTGCCGAGTTTTTCCCGTATTACTGCCTCACCGATACCAACGTGGAAGTGCGTCGAATCGCCATCGAATCCATCGGCCATTTCCCCGATTTGGTCTACAAGTACTATAACGAGGTTTTGTTATGGTCTGCTTTGTCTCTCTGGCTTCATTGGCAGCCTCGAAATGCGCGTTCCTGGCGACGAAGCGCACATCGAAATCGGTCTGGCTGATCTGTTTATCGCCGCAGCGCCGGCTCTGCAGCTTCTTTCTCTCCACAACGTCATCTACGTGCCGCAGTGCATGATCTACCTCATCGAAGGCCTGGAACTGTCCATCGTGAACGATATCATGTCCACTCCGCATCGCGCGATCATCCAGGCGCTCCACACAATCTACGCCTCCATCGATCCTCGCTTCATGCAGAGCATTCTCGCCGGTGTCTCCAGCCACAACCCCAAGTATCTCGACATCCTTTATCAGTGGTGTCCTGAATGGGCCGCGCCGCGCTACTGCCACCCTGCTCTGCAAGCGAACAAGCAGGTTGTTGAGGGGAGAGCAGAAATCCAGAACGTGCCAATGCAAGCAGAACAAGTGGCCGGACCGAGCGTCGCGGTGGACGGCTGGACGATTTATTGGAACAAGGTGAAGGAGGCGCAGCAGAAGGGGCCTGCCGGCTTCCTGGAGAGTTTGGAATACGTTTCGATCATGCGAGCCTACGAAACGAACCAGTCGCGTCAGCAAATGCTCGGAAACTACTTAATGGCGACGCTTCTGCCCACGATCAGCGCGTATTATCTCCCTCAGCTCGGCTCGAATAAGCAGTTCGTGTTCACCGATGTGATTCTGGCCAACGCGTCCAGCGTGCTGCAAGTGATTCACTACGTCTCTTCGCTCTGCCCGCAAGAGGCCAATTATCTTCTCCACACGACCGACATGGTGCAGCAGTTGCTCGCAGCCGTCAAGCAAACGCAGAAGGACGCCGCCTTCGTCGCTTCCATCGAGCAGCAAGCCGCGCAGCTCTTCTCTCTTCCTCCCCAATCGCTAGCAGACTCGTATTCAGCCATTTTACAGCCCGGACAGCAACAGCAACAGCAGCAGCAACAAGTCGATCCCAACGAAACGCCCCGCGTGACGTTTATGTTGCCCGCGGAGAGGACGGATGTGACGTTCGGGAACGTGAAGGGCTATGAGCAGCAAGCGGAGGGTGCTGGGCCGAAGGAGAGAGCAGAGAGCATGCTGCTGTCTGTGCGGAGCGAGGAGCTGGTGTTCCCGGATGTGAAGGTGCCGGAGGGAGAAATGGACTCGCAGACTACGAGATTGCAGATGCTGGGAATCGCTGGATCGGCTATTGGGTCGGGTAGGTGCGAGGCGGGGTCGTAATGCATAGTGTCGAAGGCGAATCTGGCGGAGTTGGAGCAGTCTTCCAAATTCCAGCAAATCGATACTTCCTCAGAGGTTCAGTCAGCGAACCTGCAGCCAGCTCAACAGGAGGCAGGAAAGACGGAGAGCCAGCAGCCAGTTCAACAAGAACTGGTTCAATCTGTTAATCAAGAGCCAGCCCAACTAACTCAGCCAATGAATCTGCAGCCAACTCAGCCATCTCAACCAGCTCAGCCAATGAACCAACAGCCATCTCAACCATCTCAACCAGCTCAGCCAGCTCAACCATCGACCCAACAGGTCAATCAGCCAGTAAACCAACCCTCTCCAAACGGCGGGGATGCAGAAGACGAGGGAGAAGAAGTGGCTGAAAAGCCCCCAAAGAAGGAAGAAGCCAAGTCCACTTACACTACGCAGATGCCTGAACTTCCTTCCGTTCCAACCTCTCTTCCTCAAATACAGCGCGCAACAAACAGCGAGACGCAACCTGAATTCGAATAGACTAGACTGTTTTCTAACAAACACTACAAATCGCACCAGACTGCAACATCCTTAAGCCAGAATCTCGTAGGGAAGCACGAACACGGTCTTAATGGGCTTGGTGGGAACCACAGTGTGAGCAGCACGAGGCTGAGCAGGCAGGCGCTTCAGGCACACCTTCTCGGCTCTCTTCTCGGCCTTGATGGCTTCGTTCTGCTTCACACGATCCAGATGCTGCTTTCTGCACTTGGAAGGCAGGACATGCTCGACCTTCACATGGATTCTCTTCTTGATGATGCGGTTTCTCACCTGCTTGTTCACCTCGACACCCACAGCGGTCTTGGTGACATCAAACACGACTCCAGTGCGTCCATGGTAACCCTTGAAAGGCATACCCTTGTGAACAGCTCCGTTGGCCACAATATCGACGTAGTCACCTACGTGATAGCAGCGCATGTTCGTAGAGAGAGGAACCACTCCGTGGTTGCGGAAAGCTCTCTTGAACATGTAACGAGTACGGGCACGATATCCGTTAGCGTGAGGCATTCTCTATAGACAATATTAGATCTATTACAAGGTCCAAAAGGAAAAACAACAAGCCGAGGCACACTGCACCTAGCAGACTGCAGACGCGTAGGTACCCCATACAAAGCACTGAAAAACACTTACATTCTATTGCTCGGTGCGAAATGACTGAGTTACTGCTATGAAAAACCACCCAGGGGTAGAAATAAATCGATTAGGAATGAAATACAGACCCACGATTTCTCTGGTAGGGGCTACACACTAACAATTTTTCCAATTTGAATTGGAAACAAACAAGCATTGAAGTCGACGTCAAGAAGATTGCTAAACTACGAGAGGGCGACTTATTCCTTATTCTTCTTTTCCTTTTTCTCTTTCTTGTTCTTCTTGTCCTTCTTATCTTTCTTGTCCTTCTTCTCTTTGCTCTTTTCCTTCTTTTCTTTCTTTTCCTTTTTATCTTTCTTTTCCTTCTTCTCCTTCTTCTCTTTCTTTTCCTTCTTTTCCTTCTTCTCTTTCTTTTCCTTCTTTTCCTTCTTTTTGTCCTTCTTCTCTTCCTTCTTCTCTTCCTTCTCCTCAACCTCAGCCTTCTCCTCAGCCTCCTCCTCCTTCTCTTCTTCCACCACCTTCTCCTCAACCTCCGCCTCCACCTTCTCCTCTTCCTTATTTTCACTCGTTTCAGGAGCCGCTTCCTTGCTTTCAGCATACTTGTACGACTTCGTGTTCTTATCAAACTTGCGCTTTCCCGGCTTGTCGCGAGGAAGGAACTGGTGAATCGTGATCACACGACCCTCAAAGTCCTTCTCGTTCACAGCATCAATGGCACGAAGCATGTCCGCCTCGTTCTTGAAGCGAGCGACAGCCAAACCACGACTATGCTGGGTTTTGTTGTCGTAGAGCACCTATGTTCAAACATCGTCCAGAATACTACCTTGCAGTCTTCCAACTCACCGTACTGCGACAGGTACTCAGCTAAACTCTCCGAAGTCGTGTTCCAGCTCAAACAGTTCACAATCACCTTGTTCTTGTCGTTGTACTCCGATCTGGGAGTAGGCGCTCTTTCCTTGTCCGAAATGGTGATCTTCAGGGTACGGCCTTCACATTCCTAAAAGTCACCTCTAAACAGGCTTCGCTACGGTTCCATCCATTGCAAGGCATGCGTCCATGCCAGCCTTGTCCTCAAAATGCACAAAACCAAATCCACGAGAAAGATTGGTTTTCTTGTTTCGGATCACCTACTCGCTCACACCCCAAAATAGACGATGATACGTAGCAGTCGGAAATCGCTCCACAACCCTTAAAGAACTCGTACAAGGCATCGTTGTCAAAAGACCACGGAATCCCTTTCTCTCACTCCCCTCTTCCTTCCTTACCAAAGACAGCCACAGTGTTCTCAGCCATTTTCCAGACTAGGACTTTTTTAGAAACAAACACGCCACAAACGCAATCCTTGCTTTACGCCTTGCCTGCCGCCTTCATCAGTCCATAAATCGCCTCTCCGATCTGCGCCGGGGTGTCCACCACCTTGATTCCCACCGCAGTCATCGCCTCCATCTTCGCCTTCGCCGTTCCCTTTCCTCCCGAAATGATCGCTCCCGCGTGCCCCATGCGGCGACCCGGCGGCGCCGTGCGTCCGGCAATGAATCCCACCACCGGCTTGGACGGGTCTCCGTACTGCTTCAGCCACTCCGCAGCGTCCTCCTCCGCCGTACCGCCGATCTCGCCGATCATCACGATGCCCTCCGTCTGCGGATCGTTCGTGAAGCGCTCCAGACAGTCGATGAAGTTCGTACCGTTGAACGGATCGCCGCCGATGCCCACCACCGTCGACTGACCCAGACCGTACTTCGTCGTCTGCGCCACCGCCTCGTACGTCAGCGTGCCAGAGCGGGACACCACACCGATCTTACCCTTCTTGTGGATGTAACCGGGCATGATGCCGATCTTGCACTCACCGGGCTTGATGATACCCGGGCAGTTCGGACCGATCAGACGAGACTTCGACTGGCTCTTCATGATGTCCTTCACGCGGAGCATGTCGTGCTGGGGAATTCCCTCCGTGATGCACACGATCAGAGGGATCTCAGCAGCAACAGCCTCCAGAATTGCGGAAGCAGCACCACTAGGAGGCACGTAAATGACGGTAGCGTCAGCATTCGTAGCCTTCTTGGCCTAGAAAGATAGTTTAGCGATTCAAACATTCTACCTCCTCCACACTTGAGAAAATAGGCAGACCCAAGTGAGTGCTACCAGCCTTCTTGGGATTTACTCCACCGACCATCTTGGTTCCGTACTCAATAGCCTGCTGCGTGTGGAACGTACCCTACAACATCAGGCAAACACAAAAACGATGCTCACATTCTTTCCAGTGATACCCTGACCGATTACCTTGGTGTTCTTGTCAATCCACACGCGCGCAGTGCTGCTGGCGCGAGCAACGGATAATCCAATCCGCGATACTTTAGAAACGCACGAAAGCATTCTTCAAAAAAATATGGCCAGTTTCTACCATTTCTCCAATTGAGAACGCTCGAAAACACGCTTGCACTTGGCAAGAAACGTGTACAACCCGCATCCCCATCCTTCCACGATCGTTTCTCCAACAAACAACTCAACCGAGTCTGACAATGTTTAAGATTCACAGAAGTAGCTTATTCCTCAGCCTCCGCCTTATCGTTCTTGTGGTGCTTTCTGGCCACACGTCCCTACACATTAGCAATTCGCCCTCACACAAAGCTTCTTACAGGACGACCGCCTCCATAAGGAGAGTTCTCAGCGAACTGGATGTGCTTCTCCGAATCCACATGAACCATGAACGAAGGAGCGTTCACCACCTGCTGGCCAACACGGATGTGGCGCTGCTTGATCAGCACACGAGCGTGGTGGATCGACTTGGCAAGGCCCAGCTTGAACACACGGGTCTGCAGTCTGCGGTCCATCAGCTTGGAAGTCGACAGCTCCAGAATCATATCGAGCTTCATCTCCTCCTCAGAGACGAGTCCCAGACGGGCCATGCGGCGGATGATGGCAGCTCCCTGGAAGATTCTGCGAGGATCATCCTCAGGAAGAGTCAGCAATTCACGAGCAGCCTTTGCCTTAGAAATATGCACGAAATAATACCTTGCGGATCTTGGCAAGCACCAGCTGCACACGCCAGATCTCACGCTTGCAGCGCAGACCGAACTCTCCGCAAATACGGAGCTCCTGGTCCAGACGCTCGCGCTCGAAGGGGCGACGAGGAGTACTGAAAGTAAGACGATCTAAAAACAGATGAGATTCCTATTCCGAGAGGACCGCGAACTCAATGAACAATGCGCATATTCGATCGTTAAAACTCTTATTTCCAACACAACTACCTACAGTTTCTGTGATGAGCACAAGTGACCATAATAGACTCTTTTTGTAACGAGATGAACGGATGGAGAGAAGGCGTTTCATCCCTTGATTATCAAGGATGTCTGCACACAATCCCACGATTTTTTTTAACAAACAAATAGGAAACCCTTTAACCATATTTATACTCACAACTCATCCTCTACTCCTCACCGACCCATTCCAACCATACCTCCATCACCTAGCGGAGTTGCAAGTCCCAGCGAGTAGTCGTTCACAAATGCCACAATATCCGACGCAATGGTGTCCATCGATAAAGGTTTTCGTGGCTGGTACTGATATTTCGTCTTCTACCCATTATGGCTCCACACGAAACAAACAAAGTCAATCAGCAACGCCACGGGCAGCGAGTCCCCCCTCGGCGCCATTGTCTTCAACCATTTCTTATTCTCCTCTCCATCCGAAAAAATGATCGTAAACGTGCCTCGCTTCATGATCCCATTCGAGAAAATCGGCACTGCCATCTCCTGGAACACAAAATCCTGGAACGCATTCCAATCTCCTCCCACCGATTCCTTGTCCACCAGCATGTGTACCAGAATGCCTTCCTTCCGATGGTATTGCATCAGATGCTGCTCGTCGGCGAACCCAACCGACGGATGCTCTCGGATTCTCGCCCATTCCTCGATTGCCTTCGCGTCCCACGGTCCCTCGTACACCGATTTTCGCTCGTCATAATCGCGGTAAAGCACGATCGCAGGCTCCCCCGCGGGAAGATTGTACTCCTCCTGGATCTACATAAAACGGAGAAACTGGGGAAACCGTATCGCTGATGATCTCGGCGCAACGAACCAATCCGTCCAGCGCAATGACGGCCTGGGTAAATGCGCGATATTCCGCGGAATCCGTCTACAAAACGGGGAAACCGTGGAACCTACGGTCGGGAAGAAGCCGTTCAGCGAGGGCTCGAGGTGGTTATCGACGGTGCCGCGCCAGAAAGAGAACTAAAAGGAGATTCGAGAGAGAGAAAAAGAAATACGCGAAGCGCTTCTAAAGCATCGGTGAAATGAGCAGCAGGAGAACCGGGGTTGGGGTCTCCAGATTGTTGCTGGGATAAGAAGGAAAAGGGGAGAGTACCTTAACGAAGAAAAGGAGGGATTCCTTGTATTGACGACCGTTGAACTTGATGGGGGTGGCCATGTCCTGAGTAGAAGAAAAGTACGAGTAATACCCTGTGGAACAGAGCGAGAGTAGGAGTGTGGCTGACCCGATAAGCGTTGATGATTCCCTGGTTTTCGTTTCCTTCGAGATGGGCAAAAACCACCTTCTTCCCGTCATACTCACACGAAGTTTCTTCCCAAATCGGGTCGAAACGTCTGCAAGCAGGGCATGTAGCCGAGTAGAAGAAGACAAATACATAATCTTGTGTTAATAGCAAAGAAATTCAAACCATTCGACTCGATTACGGATTTAAAGTTTTCGTCCGTGAGCTTAACGGAACATTTTTCGCTGACAACGAGATCCTGCGCTAGAACGCAACTACGTCTCATCGGGTGCCAGTAGTCACTACACGTTGCAGAGAATATAGCTAAAAAGAAGAAGCGTACGAAAATGCATAATTATGGAAATAACACTATTTGAAAATTGTTCTTTTTCGTATCTACACTTCGATCCTTCTCGACCCATCGATTGAATTGCAACAAACACGTAAAATAGTCATCATCTATTCACTTTACAATCGTTTTCGTCACACTAATTCAATCAACTCTTTCTCGTATCCTACGTCTTACTTCCACGCTTTGTCGGAACCGGTTTCGTTGTAACGGCTCCTACTTTAATCGAACTAATCTTCTCTCCCAGCTGAAGCGAACTTAGCGAATTCCTACACAGTCATGTCTCCGCACTTCTAGTACGCATAATCTCGATCTGTGGGATTCAAGTGAATCAATACCAAGTTCTTCGTCTGGCCTCCGAGCGAGTCCTTCAACATCATCGTGAGTTTGCTGTTTCTGAACGAAGGAATCTTCCCCGGCACATTCAGATCTCTCAACACGTTCGTCAATTCAAATAAACTCAAGTTGATCATCTTCGCCTCCTTCCTTCTCTCCTCCTGTCCGCCACTCTGTCGTAAACACTCGCTTCCCGCCAGATCCACCAGCGTCAGCTTCGCCAGCGGCTTTTCCGTCCCATTGTACAGCACAAACTGCACGAGAAGATGCGATCGACTGCTCTGTATGTTCATATTCGTCGTGGCAGTGGCTCGAATCGCGAAGGCTTTCTGAAGAAGACGCTCCATTTCATTGGTCGATCGCACGGTCATCTACAGGGAGAAACGGAGAAGAAAGCGACCTCGACCAACCGATCTTTCGCAGAAAACGGCACGCTGACTTTCCGACCCTCCGCCAATAAATCGCGAAGCGTTTCGCAATAGATCTCAGAGATACTAATCTACGCTCAACCAATTCCATGAAATGCACTTTCAATTCGTAAGAAGTGTCTGCTCGGTAGCGGAACTCCTCGAATAATAAGTGACAGCTTCGGAATGTGAGGCCAAGCCGGCCTTTTTCGCCTACCATGGAGTACGTTTTGCCCGATCCCGTTTGTCCATAAGCGAGAATCGTGGAATTAATGCCTCGGAAAACGCTGAGAACCGCGGGTTCGATCTCTAAGAACAGCTCTTCTTGAGAGGCTGCTGGAGGGAGAATTCGATCGAAAACGAACGACTTGGGTTCGTTTCGCGTGTCTTCGGATTGGATGGAGATGTTGTATTCGTCTGTGATTCGGATGCAAGAGTGTGTGGAAGTGTCCGTATTGTTAATGGGTCGGACCCGAATCATAACTCGGTAGTTTCCTTTGTAGTTCTGAATCTCATCTCGAAGCGACGAGATTAGCTGGCGAGAAGAAAGAAGATGGTTTGTGAGGAACGCGTATTTCGCTGCGATCGTGCGGATCGTTGTTTCCATTTCGCCTCGCAACGAAGTCTGCTGTGCTGTGAGCAGAGGAGGCAGCGAAGATAGCGAATCGCGCAGCTGGCCTAGCTGGCCTTTGAAGAGCGTGGAGAGCTGTTGGATGTTCTGGCGAGAGAGAGAGAGCAGGGTTTGCAGTTCCTCGCGTTTTTCTTCGAGAGCGGAGACTTGGTTTTGGAGAGATGCGACCTCGTCGGAGAGCTGCTGCTCGCGCGAACGCTGCGCCTCCAGCAGTTTTTCCTTCGCGTTGTTTTCCTCCATCAGCTGCTCGCACGACTGGCGCATTCTCTCTGCTTCCTCTCGCGCCATCTGCATCTCTTGAGAGAAATCCTGCTTCGGAGAAGCTCCCTTCTCTTCTTCTTCTTCTTCTTCTTCTTCTTCCTGGTCTTTTTGATCTTCCTGGTCTTCATGATCTCTTTGGTCTTCTTCTTCTTTGTGTTGGGACTGCTGGGACTGCTCTTCTTCCCCTTCACTCTCTGTTTGCTCCTCCGAATTCAGCATATTCTCCGTTTCCACTTCTCTTTGATCGAGTGAAAACTCTCCATTCGGATGAGAATCGGATAGGAATTGTTGCAGTTGCGCATTCAGCTTGGCGATGAGATCGTTCTTCTCCTTCAGCGTGACTTGCAACGTTTGCATCGTCATCTGCATCGAAGCGATCAAACTCTTCACTCCTGCGTTCGATTCCTCCATTCCCGAAGGAGTGATTGTGATTTGAAGGGGCTTCGCAGCATCCAACTGCGCAACAAGGCTCTGATTCTCTCTCTGGAGGGAAAGAACCTCGCGGTAGAGCTGCGAAATCACGAGCCGATAGGCTTCCAACGAGGAAGAAGAGGTGGGAAGAGGAGATGAATAGAAGAATTGTTCAGGTGGATGAGTTCGGAAATCCGGTTCGCCTTCCAACGATTGTTGATCATTGAATTCATTGAATTCATTCAAATCGATTTGATACCCTCTGGGAAGTTGATGGGAAAGGAGAGGATTCAAAAGGTTCTTTCGTTCAGCACTCAATTTGATGAGTTCTTCTCTGAGAGAAGCGTTCACTTTGTTTAAATTATCCAGCTCTTCTTTTAACGCGATCGTCTCTGCCATCGCGACTCCTTCTTTTCCTCGTTCCAACTCCGCTCTCAGAGATTCGTTTTCTTGTTTTACCCTTTCTAACTCTTCAATGCATTGATTCAGTTCTTCTCTTTCATTCTCCATTTGAACATTTTTCAATTCTCCTTTCAATGATTCATTCTCTTTTTTCATTTCATTCAACTCCGTTTTCAGCGATTCATTCTCTGTTTTCATTCGATCCAATTCCTCTATTCCTTCATTTCGTTCGCTTTTCCCTTTTAGTTCCACGTTCAATCGATCCGCTTTTTCTCTCCACTCCTCAATTTCATGCTTCATTTGAATCAACTGCTCCTCCTTTTCTCCCATTTCCTCCTTGAATCCTTCGCTTTCTCTCTTCAATTCTTCTCTTTCTCTCTTCAATCCCTCCACTTCTTCTCGCAACAACTCCAGTTCCTTCTCCTTTTCTTTTCTCTCTTCCTCCATTTTCAATCTCTCCATGTCGTGCTGCTGCAGCGACTGCGTCAACTTCGCTATTTGGTTTTGATATCGCGCCTCCATCTCTTCGGATGCTTTCCGTCCCTGATCTCTCTCCAAAACATAGCAATTCACATCCTTCAGCTGCTTCTGCAACGATCGAATGCACTCATCTTTCTCTCCTACACATCATCCAATTCGTTCATTGCGACGATTCGAGCTATTCAACAGCTTCATGTCTTCTTTTGTCGTCTGCAATTCTAGTCGCAACGATCCGATTTCCTGACGGAACAACTCTTTCTCATCCTCTTCGTAGGAATTCTCCGTGAGAAAAGCAGGCTGCTCCGGTTTTGGTGTGGGTTGCGAGCCCGAAAGAGAAGAAAGCAGGGAATTGTAGAAATGAACCAATTCGTGGTTCGCTTCGAGTAAATCAAAAATACGCGTGTGCGCGTCGTCTAAATCACGTTCTACTTCAGGAAACTCGGAATAGAGAGGCGTTGGAGAAACTTGACTACAACGATTCTTCGCCAGAGATAGTTCTTCGTCCTTTGTATATAAGAGACGCAGAAATAAAATGATCAAATTCTTAAATACACTAAGAGAAGCATCGGAACCCGCATTTTTGTTGGCTATTATTTCTTTCATTGATTCACTACAAATTTAATTGTGTCATTGATACAAACCATAGAGATGATGATAACTCTTTGTCTAGAACTGCATCGACGTCAATTCTATACATAAGCAGTTCTTCAACATTCTAAACTCTTCTTCGAGACTGTCAGAGAAAGACATAGAATCTTCATCTGTCATCACTGTCAACATAACCTTATCTCTGATTCCGAGATACTGGATCAACTGGGCAATGGTCTACGATTGTATTCCAATAATAAGCTGGGACTTTGGTACATGCCACAAGAGAATCATCCCGTTCCTGATTTCCTTGAATCTCTATCGTAACCATGGTAAAGAGTTGCTATTGAGAGATTTTCACAAGGTGGAACGTTCAACAAAGGTAATTCTGTGAACAAACAATTTCAAAAACCATAATTACAGTTTAGACAGAATTTCCGGAACAATCTGATGCATATCACCCACAATCCCATAGTCCGCAATCTACTCATCACACTCTTCCCTCCATCCTTCCCACCTTAAAAAGAGGAGCTTCCGGATCTTTATTAATACACACGATCGTCTGCGACTCCTTCATTCCAGCTTGGTGCTGAATGGATCCGCTCACGCCACAACCCACATACAGTGCAGGTCGAATGATTTTCCCCGTTTGCCCCACTTGCAAACTCGGCTCAATCATTCCCTGGTCCACTGCTGCTCTCGTTCCTCCCACTACAAAACACGAAACTCGCTGAATCAAACCTGCCGCTCCCAACTTGTCCGCCAGCTTGAAAAGAACCTCGAATTGTTTCTTGTCGCCAGCTCCACGACCTCCTACGACAACTCGCGAGGCAGTAACGAGAGAAGGACTAGATGACAAACATTACTGTCGAAGTACCGATCAGACTGTGTTTTTGTTTCTTTCAGCACCTTGGCATACCGAGAATCCACAGAGATCTAAAGTTACAGGCGAAGATTCAAACAGCACAGGAAGCGAAGAAAAGGAGGGAGAAGGCGAAGTGGCGGGAAAAGATGGAACGTTATGGAGCGAGGGACGAATCGTCATAATCTATTTCGTTATGGAGAGAAAAAATGTATATACCTGTGGATGGCTCGTGTATTGGACAGTCTCGATTGCATTTCCTGCGTAAACGAAACGCTGGAAAGTGGTTTTGTTTAGAACCTTTGTCACATCGCTAAGCATGGGGAGGTGTTGAGTGGCTGCAAAACGAGCCAGGAGCGATAGGGTGGAGGAAGTCGAGCAACCACAGATAAAATCGAAGGAATGCGTAGAATGGAGATTTTTAAGACAGGTGCAGCGATTTTCTGGTAGTTTGGAGGAAGGATCCTTGCATAAATGAACGGGATTACTCCTACTTCCATTTCTGAGTAGAATACCTCCTTGATAGGAATATTCTGCGTGAGTTCTTTACAAACGGACTCGGTTATACCCACTCCACAAAGCCACAAGGAAACCTAGAAAGCTCATTAGATCACACATCCCCTACATCACCAAAATCCTTTGCCACTTGAATCGCATTGAGTGTGTTTTTGGAAAGGGAAACATCGTCATAATCCCCGATGACAAGCGAACCGATACTTCTCCGGATAGTCCTTACAGCCTGCACATAATCCAGACAGAAAGAACAGTACCATTCCACTGTTTGTAATTCTCCGTGAAATCGTTCGAACCAATGGTCTACAAAACATTGGTAATAGTGAAGGATAAAAGGATGCGCTAGATTCGGAGAAAAATGAGTTGAATTGGGGAGTTTCGCCGCGTGTAAAACTAAACAATACTGCGGAATTGTGATTGTTTCAAATATCATAGCGCACCTGGCCTATATTCATGAGTAGTAACCGAAGCAATGAGTTCATTCGGGTCTTTTGCCGAGTCAGGCCACTCCGCGAAAAAGAATTAAATGGTTGGCTTATGCGTTAGTTTACTTATTCTTTTAGATACAAAACAATGTATTCGGTGCAATACTCCCTATATTGAATATACAAGTGAGAATTCTTCGGGACACAACTTTGTTTTTGATTCTGTGTTCGATGAAAAATCATCGCAGGTTTCTTCTGAGCACCCTCTTCAAAAATAGGAAGATATATTCGATGCCTTTGGAAAGGACATCACAGAGAACTGTTTAAATGGATATAACGGGTGCATCTTTGCATATGGTCAAACTGGTTCGGGGAAGACGCACACTATCTTGGGCCCTTCGTCTCCGGATGGTACGTTGGTCAGCGATTCCAAATTGTTGGGATTGCTGCCTCGAACGCTAGCCTATCTCTTTGAAGAGATCCGACGTCGCGAGGCGCAGGACAATGTCCATTACTCGTGTTTCGTATCATTCATGGAGATCTACAACGAGCGGATCCGCGATCTGCTCAACCCTACCAACAACAAGAAGCTGAATATCCTTCCATTCAATTCGCCATCGTTCCCTAACTTCACCGATCCGAGAAACGGTCTCCAAAGATCACCGCATGACCGTCGAAAACCTCTCGACCGTAGACGTCAATTCAGCGGCCAAAGCGAACCACTACATCGAGCAAGGCCTCCTCAACCGCCGTGTCGGCGTCACCAACATGAACATGCGCTCCTCCCGCTCCCACGCCGTCTTCACGCTCTATCTCACCTGCGAGGTTTGCGAGTGAAACGCCCATCAATCGAAGGAAGTCCAGTCGGACATCACCGTCACGCGGAAATCGCAGTTCCACCTCATCGACCTCGCTGGAAGTGAGCGGCAAACGCTCGCCGGAACGGGCGGCGAGTCCCTCAAAGAAGCCTGCTTCATCAACAGCTCGCTGAGCGCGCTGGGGAACGTGATTCGCTCGCTGACACACCAGGAATCCCACGTTCCTTACCGCGATTCCAAGCTCACTTATCTGCTTCGCGTTGCTCTGGCTCGTTCTTCTTACCGTTCAGGATTCTCTCGGAGGAAACTCTCTCACCGCGATCATCGCGACGGTCTCTCCGGCAGATTCTGCGGCGCTGGAAACGCTCTCGACGCTTCGCTTCGCGACGGACGCGAAGATGATCAAAAACACGGCGGTGGTGAACGAAGTTCGCTTCGGAAGCGTCGCGGCGCTGCAGCAGGAAATCGCGAAGCTCCAGCAAGAGCTGCAGCAGTGCCGATCGTCGCGTGCTGTGTCGGATTCGCCTGGGTTTTCTGCGTATTTGCTGCGCGAATTGGCGCGGTGCAATCAGACGTGCTCGGAATTGTATTGCCGAGTCGCGTCGCTGGTTCGAGAGCGAAATGGATGGAGAGACAGCGTGGCACGACTGCGGAACGAGCTGCGAACGAAGGAGGAAGTGATGGAGAGAAGGATGGATGGCGTGGTGGAGCCGGACGACTATGTGAAGAGTCTGAAGAGCACGGTGCAGACGCTGCTTCGGCAGAATTTGGATGGAAACACGGTGAGCGTTGCGAAGGGAATGCGAAGTAGAACGCGATGTTGTTGGAGAAATGCAGATTGCTTCAGCATGGAGGGAAAACGAGCGACGATCCTGCTGACTCCATGCTGGTTTCCACGGTTTCCACACTCGCAAATCTGCATGTAGACCTGAGTGAATGAAAGATGAATGAAAGGCGGAATTGGCGACTGTGGAGAAGCATCGAGTCCAAAGCGCGGATTCTTCGCGAACCGAAGAAGAAATCGGCGCGATTTCTTCGTGGATCGCGACAGAGAAGCAAAAGTTGCTCGTGGAATTGGAGGAGGTGCGATCGCGATGCGACGAGCTCTACGCCGATTTGGCGGACTGTCAGGAGCAATTGCGAATCGAACACTTGCAGCAAGAAATCGCGCATCGCGAAAAACGAATCCATTTCGAAAAGGAATCCGTTCCGTACAGTCAGTTGCTGGTTCAAATCGATTGCCAACACGTGGAGAGCGATGGAGCCGATTCAAAAATAGAACGTTCTGCGCGAGCAGAGGCGAATCATCGCTCATTTCGAGCAGCAGCTTCGCTGCGTGGACGGTTCGTTGCCCCCCAAACCGGACGATTCGCTGGAGCATTCGGTGTGTTGCGATGACTCATTGCAGCCCTCGAATAGCTTCTATCATCAGCTCTGTTCTGTGGCGGTTTGCTCTGGAGTTGGGGTGTGATGTAGCGAGAACAAGAGCAATACGCTTCGCGCGCAGCGATCAGTGATACGACAGAACTGCAAGGCGAAGTAGAGCGTCTTCAGCATCAACTCGAAGAGAAAAACGCAGAGATCGAAAAGCTCAAATTTGATCTTTTGGTATTCCATTTTCTTCTCTTTTTTTCTTATCGTGCAGGATCTCAACAATCAATTCGAATCGGAGCGAACGTCCAATCGAACGCTCGTCGTCCAGGCCGCCGATCGCTTGCAGCAAATCGTGGAGCTGCAAACCGCGTTGGAGCTTCAACGGCACGACACACAAGCCGACGCAGAGCGATTGCAGCGACTCGAAGAATCGCTTCAACGCGTGGAAGCAGAGAAACAAAATCTGGAACAACAATTGCACACGGTGGAATTGGAGTCAGAGCGATCCAAAGAACAATCGAAGCGACTCAAAGAAGAAATGGAGCGCGTCCACGCGGAAGGAACCATCCAGAAAAACGTCGTCGACGCGCTCACAGCGGCCGTGAAGCAGCGAACAGCCGAATGCACGGTGGAATCTGAAAGGGGAGGATGAGAGCTAGGAGCGAGAACGGCAATTAGACGAATTAGCTGCGCAGAAAGACTCGCTGGAGAAGCGAATTCAGCTCTCGCAGGAAGAAGAAGAGAAAAGGAAAGTGGTGATGGAGAGCCAGACTCTTTCGATCCAGGCACTCTCGAAAAGCTTGGCGGACGAAAAGGAAAAGCGCGAGCAAAGCGAAGCTGCGTTGGAGGATTCCAAAAAACGGGAGGATTTTTTGCGTTCTGGAATGGCAGCGATGCAGGCGTCGATCGAGCAGATTGAGGTGATGCTGAACCGGAATCGCGCGGAATGGCAGGAAATGGGGGAAATGAACGCGAAGGGAAAGAAGACAGATTCGGTTTTTCAGAAGGCATTGTCGATGAATCAGCTGAAGGAGGAGAATCGAAAGCTAACTGCAAAAGTAGGGTGAGGGGAAGGGGGTGAAGGGTAGCTGGAGATTGCAAAGAAGCGAATGACGAACTATGGGTTATCGACTGGAGACATTGACGTGCATTCGGAAGAGCTGTCCTTTTACAATCGCATTTCTGGATATATCGAGGAATTGAAGAAGATTTGTAGTCTATTGTAGTCTTCTTTCTTTGTTAGCATGAATTTTTGTGAATGAGCTATTCTTTTGTATCTGCTTTCATAGCATGTTTCCTGCTTTATTTAGGTACTGGTTGTTGGCAATTCTTCAAAGTACAGATGTTGTTGCCTCCCAAGTCTGTAGCGATTCAAAAGTTATCATCTCTATCACGCGGACATATTCCACAGAATCAGAGAAAGAAAGCATCGAATTATGGGAGGGGGAAGAAGGGGAGGGGAATCTAGTCTATTTTGAAAATGGGAAAAACCATTCATCTCAAGAGGTTTACAATTCCTTTTGTGTTAGTCGATCTCTGTTGACATTGGTCCTAACATCGTAATGAAGAAGCTTTTTCCCGATTCGTAGATATGGAGATGGGTGGAGCGCAGGGTCGCGTGTTCTCATTAAAGGAGAGAGTGATATTGTCGTAGCCAATGTGACTCTGGATGCATTCTCTCACCGAGCGATCTATCTCGACTGTTTTTTTCTCTATCTGATTCTAACCCTCCTAGATTCTTGGCCGGTGCTGCCTTCCGCACAGTGGAGCTACTCCGACAAATACTTCGACCAGTGGAACCAAGTCAGCTTCGACAGTTCTTCCTGGGAACGCACTTCGCGCGATGGTTTCCCCGACCTCCCATCCTCCGTGACCACCCGCTACTACCGCTTGACCGCCGCGGTCCCGGCGTCGCTCTCCCATTTTTCGGGATATCGCTTCGGGATCAATCTGCGCTATGGCGTGATCGTCCACATCAACGGCGTGGAACAGTTCCGAATCAACATGCCCGAAGGTCCCGTGTCGAGCTACACGCCCTCCATTTACTTCGAAGAAACGCATCTCATCCACTCGTAGAAGATGAAAAAGAGAGAAAGGCTCATCCATAGCGGCTCGCTGCAGCTCTCGGAACAGCTGCGTTCAGCGACGTCGTTCGTTGTGGGAGTGGAAGTGCATTACCGAACCGGCCACGTGATCGAAAGCGACGACTTCTTCGCGTTTCTCTACATGCTTCCAGCTGGTTTGGCTGTCATTCCCAGCTCATCCCAAGAGAAAGACAGCGTGCATCGATTCGATAATCTCGTGGTTCGGCCTGCGTTTACCGCGCCAGAAGGAACCGAAATGAACCTGGTCGACGGCGATCGGAGAACCTCTGTCTCCGTTCTCTCCGGAAATTCGGCCGTTTTTTCGTTCCCAGACAACGGTCTCTCCCTGATAAACGCTTATTCGATCGAGCTGGGAGACGAATCGCAGAGCAAGCCAGTGTCGTGGAAGCTGGAAGCGTCTCGCGATGGCTCAACGTGGACGATCCTCGATGCTCGCGACAACTCATGCTATTTTTCGAATCGAAAGTTCGAACGGTTCGTTCTGAACGGCCAATTCTCCGTTTTTCAACTCTACAAACTCACGTTTCTCTCCCTCTCCGCCTCCACGCCGAGCCAAATCGCGGAAATCACGCTTGAACAGCTCTTCCAAGAAGCTCCGCCCCTGCCGTACATCGTCTATTCCTCGCGAGCCCTCTCCTTCTATCTCGGCGAAACCGGCATTTTGGTGTCTCCGCTCATGACTGGATTCAGTTCGTTTGCGATCGAAGGCGCCGCGCTGCCGCCAGGCCTGACGTTTTCAGCGCTCTCGGGGGAGTTTGGAGGCTCGATTTCGTCGAGCGGCTCTGTTTTTAGCGCGGTGTATCAGATCAGCGCGACGTATCAATCGGGAACGGTGATGCAGGGCACTGCTTCCATTCAGGTGACCAACTGCAACCTGGAAATGGCGATTCTGCAAGTGGATTGGACGTTTCAAGGAGAGAGTCGCGCGATTGAATGGGATCTCCGATGGAACAATGAGTTGGTTCGGAGAGGAATGGGGAACGATGAGAACCGAGCAGAGACCCAGAAGGTCTGTTTGATGAGCGATTTCTACGAGTTCTCTCTGTACAACCGCGGGGATCGCGAGTGGCCAGCGGGGTCGCATGTCTCGCTTTCGATTCTCCCTTCCAATTCTGCGCAGTCCATTCCGCTCGGAGGCGTTTTTCTTGCGTGGAAGCAACGCTCTCTGACCGTTCCTCTCTCCTTTTCTCTCTACTCCAGCGGGCCAATCGCGGAGTGGAACTACGCGCGCGAGAACGCAGTTCCTGAAAACTGGTTCTCCACGTACTCTTCCGTCCAGTGGTCGCTGAGTGGAGAGGGTTTGCAGCTCGCTCGCTCTGTTTGGCTGTTTCGACGAACGTTCAACGTTGGCTCGATAGCCGGCATCGCGCTTGTGGAGTTCCGAATCTTCTGCCGCGCAGGACTTGTCGTGTACGTGAACGAGCAGGCGATTTATCGCGTGAATGTCCCGGAGGGAGCGCTGAGCGAGAGCACAGTCGCTACAAAAGTCGCATCTCCGTATTGGCATGTGTTCACAGCGTCGCCGACTTCGATGAATCTTCACACGGGATCCAATCTCATGACGGTCGCTGCGGTGAACACAGATTCGGCACAGATCACTGTCGACTTCAGAGCGATCGTTTTGCCGCTGGCGCACACAGGAGTTCTTTCGCGTCTGCTTCCAGACGATGACTCGCTGCAAGTCAGTGCGAATTTCGCTTCGCCCGATCATCCGGTTTCCAATCTGATCGATTCGAGTTTGGCCACATTTTATCAGTCCGGAATTGCTGTGTCGTCCAGTCCGGAAGTCACGATTTCGCTCCAGAACGATCGGATTGAGACGTTTAATCAGTATTGCATTACTGCAGCCGAACTCCCGTTTTATCATCCAGTCGAGTGGGTGTTGGAAGGCCGACAAAGCAGCAGCAGCAGCAGTAGTACTGAATGGGAGCAGCTGAGTGATGTTTCCAGCGCGCTCTTTCATGGAATCGAAACGAAATGCATGTTCTTCACCCCAAACACGTTTTCTGATTATCGTCTAAAGATTCTCGAAGCAAAAGAATCAAGAACCCTCGTCGAAATCGCCGAATTCGGTTTGAATCACATCGAACTCTCGGAAGCGTCCATTCCAACTCTGCAAATGTCCGTCACAGAGGTCAACGCCTATTTAAACGCTGAATTCATCGCAGAATACACCGTCACTCCCGGCTATTCTTCCTTCACCGTCTCGCCTGCGCTTCCTTCCGGTCTTGCCGTGGATCCGTCGACCGGAAAAATCATCGGAATTCCCACCGAAACGCGAATGAGCTGGATCTACACACTGACAGCAAGGTTTGGCGAGCAGGAAGCGACGACTTCGTTTTCGCTTCGTGTGGTAGATTGTGAGAACAGCGGAATGTACCACACGTTCTTATCCATCAATCTGACTGACTACTCGGAGAGCACAATCCGATTAGTGTTGCAGAACAAAACGCACACATTCATTCACGATTCCGTCGCGGGTCCTTCCTATCGCCGTTCTCTCTGCATCCCGCAAGACCAATACCGACTGTTCTTCCTCTACCAGACATCGTCTGCTCCGCACTATGCTGTCACCGTTCAGAACGAGACTTTCTCAGGAATTCTGGAGGCATCTCAATCTTCGTTTGAAATGGTCATCGACACCCAAAAGCTGATTCACCCCTCGGACACCGTTTGGCATTACTGGATTCAGCAAGAAGCCCCTCCTACCAACTGGTATCAGTCGGCCATCTCTTCGGATTGGCCGAGTTCCCGTCCCGGCTATTTCCCTTCCACGACGGGCGTTACTTCGTACTTCTGCACCACATTTTCTGCATCGTATACTTCCTACGCGAGCGCGTTTTTAGTGGGAGTGTTCTCTCGCGGAGGCTACATTATGTATCTGAACGGAATCGAGATAAATCGCGTTCGATTGCCTGCAGGAGGAGAGGTTTCCCACTCGACTCCCGCGGTGAACTCCACTTCCAGCGCGAGCTACATTTTGTTTTCGGGAAGCATTCAGTTCCTTCCCTTCGTTGTGGATCCTTCCGTTCAGGTCGAAGGAGGGGCTGAAGGAGACAACAACAGGCTTTGTATTGAGGAGCATCATCCAACGGACATGATCGAGCCGAGCCAGTTCACTGTGTATATGGAGTATGTCCAGGAAGGCACGTCTCGGATCGTCGATGGATGGCACTGGGGCTCGGTGCAATCCGTGGGGACGCCGTGGTTCGAATACGTCGAGAACGCGTTCGATGACAATATCAATACGAAGTACTACGGTCCTTCGTCCTGCGTGGATGTGACGGTGCGCTGGACGTACTGGAACGACCGGAAAGAATTCGTCAATTATCTGAAGTTCTATGCCGGGAATTCCGCGGGACGTCGTCCGGAAGAGCTTCGATTGGAAGGATTCGCGGTGGATCATTGGGAATCGTTATTCGAAGCAAAGGAGTTGGTTTGGGAGAATACAGCTGAGTATGGTCAATTCAAAGAATGGCAATTCAACAACACGCAGTCCTATTCTGCGTATCAGCTCGTAGCGAATGGCTGCGCCAGAGAAGGAATCGAGTTCGCTGAAGTGTATCTACAGGCGTTGCGTGTGAACGTCGCTTGCGAGGCCGCCGATGGGTTTGCAGCAGCGAATGAAGGTGAAGAGAGCAAGGGGCCATGTCCAGATTACCATTCTGGTTACGCAACGCGCATTTGTTTGAACGGCCATTTCACCGAAATCGATTATTCTACATGCGTTCCTTACGCTCCCACCTCCTTCGAATATATCCCCAAGCAACTCTCCTGCTTCACACAAACTCCCATCCATTTAGAGCCCGTCGTTTCCTTCCATGTCGACGTGTTTGGAGTGAATCCAGGCCTCCCTGTCGGCGTTACCTTCAACGTCAATACGGGTGTGATTTCGGGGACTCCGCTCGTCGCATCTGTGTGCACTTACACCATCACAGCTCGCAATATCCGCGGGACATCCAAAACCACGGTTTTCCTGAACGTTCAGAGCGGATGTCCGGCGATTGGCGACTTCCCCGCAACGCCAGTCGGGAAAGAAGCAGTGTACAATTGTGGAAGCGATTTCTGGACGTTGGGATCAGTGCGAAGACGCTGCGAAGAGAAGAACGGGATGCCGGTGTGGGGTTCTCCGCAAGGATATTGCCAGAACGGCGTTCTTATCTTCGTAACGATCATCTTGGGCGCGTTGATTATCGTCACGGTGGTGTTAATTTGTTATTTGTCGACCTCCGTTTCGAAGAATATCGAAGTGTATGAGCTTCCAAACGGAGAGTATGAGCTGGAAGATGCGACGCAGAAGGAGGGAGAGAAAACGGTGGTTCGCACGCGCGCGCGGATGAAACTGATTGGTCGGCCTGTGTTTATTTACTTGCCTCGCTACTTCCATAAATCCAGGCGGGATTATGCGGCTGGGTACAGGCGAATAAGTGCTCCGGCAAATCGAAGAAGGTCACTCGAACGAGTGGGGAAGGTGTAAAGTGATGGAATGATGGATAGGACGTAGCTGTTTGTTTAATTACAACCAAATCTTAGTTCACATGATATTCCAAAAGAGTGTATTGTTCAGCAACAGCATTCCATCAAAGAGTTGGTTAATAAGAATCAAAAATCTTATTCGTTTGCTTCAATGTTATAGTACGTGGCATAGCTTCACATAGAGTTGTTTGTTTTACTTCCTTTCTATGGATTGATTCAATGGACTGTACTGTCCGCTTTCATCTTAGAATATATATGTCCTCCACCTACTATACACTATTCCAATTCAAAATCAAGTGGAAACGCCGTACTCACAGCAAACTCTCATCTTATTTTAATTGTTTACAATACTATCCGTTTGCTATGAGTTCAATCAATGGAGAGCATGTTGTGATGCGGGAAGTTAATGAATCTGTCATACTGTTCGACTTCCTCGCTGTAACGATATGGATTATAGCACTAGTTCATAACAAACAGTGGAGAGCACTGATCGTCGCTGGAGTTGGATTTGTTATTTATTATCTTGTTGATGCCATTCTCTGGATGACCATCATGGGCGTGCGTACGATTGAAACTACACATAACATCAATCCTTATCTTATTCAAATCTGGCTTCAACTAGGTCCGGGGGTCATTCATCCCTCCTGGGTGATTTTAATGTTAGAAGGCACTTTCGGTCCCAACAAGAAACATATGAAGCGTGAATTCTGGATAATCTTATTCCTTCTTGTCCAGTTTACCCCTGCCTTCGCACAACAGAGTGTGAAGTTTGATGGTCAGATTATGATTATGCGCAATATGCAATCGCAGAGATGGATCTTCATATTGATAGGCTGCATAGGGTATCTGTACTTGATCTATCGTCAGGTTTCAGCAAAGGCGCTGTTAAAGATATTTGTTATCTGCACAGCTGTGGAAACATGCTTTGAAATGTCTCTACTCTTGTCTGATGTTCGCAAGGCTACACTGCAAACCGTCTTCATTGATTGTATTATTGAATTCAATGTGGGAGCTGGCATTATTGTTGAATTGTGGAGATTCTTAATGCCCAAAAAAGAACGAGATTTCATTGTAATGAGCAATGAACACCTAAAAGATTAGCAAGTTTATGTCTAATTCGTATTTGTTGAGGAAACAGAATAAACACAAACTAATTGATTGAATAGGAAAAAGGTTCTCTCGATATCTTTTGTCTTCAAGTATTTCTTATTCCAAAAGAAATCATCTTCGCTCAGATCTGTTTTGGAACCCGAAGTCTCAAAACCCTGATGAATCGAAGTGAGTGCCGAAAGATCGATCAAGTCGTAGTGTAGTAAATGGACCATATCCATTACCACATTATCAATATACCATCTTCCAACGACAACTTGACCTAAAAACGAGAAATCAAACTCAGGAGGGAATATAAAAACATCCTAATCATTAGCAATTCATTCATGCACAATTCATACACAAGATCGATAATGACGCATAACTCCTCGTAATCGTCCTAAATATCTTTCATAGGAAGAAATCGGCATATCTGTCAATGTGGTAACATTCGCAGAAAGAACTCGTGAACCAAAGAAATACTAGAATCTTACAATTTCAAATCATTCAATTACTTTGCCTGGTGTTAACGATTTAGACATCGCTAGTGCCACTTTTATTGCTCGAGGATTTAAAAGAATATCGCTATTGATAAATGCAATCAAATGGCCAGGATAATCGTTTTGAACGGTTGTTAAAAGATCGCGAAAAATAGGCAAACCATAGTGATTTGAGGAAGTAATGGGGAGGCTTCGAACTCCCCATTTGGAACAAAATCGTGACACACTGTGGTTCTTTGTAAACACAACAGAAGTAACAGCTTGATCCTGCTGTAAGATGGACATTGAAACAATCGTATTCCGAGTCTTTTTTTGAAGCTTCTAAAAAATATCAAATCTATTTTGCATACATCTGTTGTAGTGACAATCACCAACTTTTCGGTCGAATTCTCTGGAAGATTGACTAATTATTAGTCATCCACAGTTATGATTACATCTAGCTTGAGTCATATTCGACCATTTCACATCTTCACATTCAGTATGAATATACTCTTTTCCTTTTGTGGAGTATACTTCATATCTCTTGGTATGTGAAGGACGATTACCGATATTAAAGAAAGTGGAGAATATCCGAAAATCAGAATGCAGAAAAAACTAAATCAAAAACATGGCAGATATCACTACTACTATCTGCATTATTGCAAACAGTACGATAAGAATTATATCCCGTACCATAAAAAACGAAAATAAGAGTAAATAAACTTCCATGAGTTTAATTTGAATTATTATTTCTTCGAGAAACGGTACTGTACTATACGGCTAAGCTAGTTTGCAACAGAAGGCGTTGTATCCACTCTTATATGACTCGGTTGCTTCATGGACTTCCCGACAATAGGAGGCAAAAAGAAGAATTGCTGACTTGCATAGAGTTGTAGGCATACAGAGTCAGAATAAATCAGTTTACCATCGATTCGACCCAAGCCACCGTTCGTGAATCAATTACCTATGATTTCAATTTGTTATCACACACTATCTTGTTATTATTATTATTTCGTTTCTCTACTATCACTGAATATCAAGGTTCTCCCTATGAATTCGTTTGAAGTATGTTAAGCGATTCCTGATGAGAAAAGACTTGACAACAATAAAGTAAAAGAAAAAAAATAACCAAACAAACAGAATAATAACATACTAATTTATTATATAGAAAAAAGGTCTTCTCAATGTTTTTAGAATGCAAATATCTTTTGTTCCAATTGAAGTCCTCTCCAGCTAATCTGGTCTTTGAGCCTGAAGTTTCGAATCCTTGATGAACTGAAATTGTGTGGGTTAGATCGATCAAGTCATAATGATTGAGATGAATGTGGTCCATTACCACATTATCAATATACCATCTTCCAACGACCACTTGACCTAAAAACGAGAAATCAAACTCAGGAGGGAATATAAAAACATCCTAATTATCAGCAATTCATTCATGCACAATTCATACACAAGATCGATAATGACGCATAACTCCGATGGCTTTATTTAAAAAATGTTGATAATTCAGAATTGACATAGCAGATAAACTGCCCATATTTGCAGAAAGAACTCGTGAACCAAAGAAATACTAGAATCTTACAATTTCAAATCATTCAATTACTTTGCCTGGTGTTAACGATTTTGACATCGCTAGTGCCACTTTTATTGCTCGGGGGCTAATAAGAATATCGCTATTGATATAAGTAATCAGATAGCCAGGGTAACTGCTTTGAGCTTTTCTTAGAAGATCGCGAAAAATAGGCAAACCGTATTTGTTGGAAGAAGGGGTAGATAGACTTCGAACTCCCCATTTGGAACAAAACCGTGACACATTTTGATTCACTGTAAACACAACAGAAACAACTCTCGGATCTTTCTGTAAGATGGACATTGAAATGATCGTGTTTTGAGTTTTCTTCAGTAGTGACTACAGATTATGCTAACAGCAGAATAATAAATACATCAGTCGTTGTTATAATCACCATCTTGGAAGTAATATTCTTTGGGATAGAAACTATGGTTCAAGCCAAGGTAGAGAGCGGTACAGACTGATGGAACTGCCTTTGGTGGTTTGTGAGAGTAACATTCTCCTCGGACATACGTCTTGTTCGTTGAGTAAATGGTTAGAGTTGATCTTCTCAAACTAGCTAAAGAAATATCATTCTCTGGGTTATACCGCTTTTCTTGTTTCGTGGTTTGCGGCAATTTAGCAGGCTTATTTTGTGTACCCTTTGATTGTACGGGACTCTTCGCACTCGGCTTCTTTTGACTTTTCTGAACATGAACTTTTGCCCTAGCGGATTTTGTCTCGATTTTCCCACTTTGCAAAGAGGCCTTCACTTGGGGATGTGCCTTTGAAACTGTTGTGGGACTTGTTACATGAATATTATGCCCAACAGTCTTATTTGAGTGCAAAGTAGTTGTCACTTTCGGTTCAATAATATTGCCATTGCCTGTTTTCTTAACGAACGAGCTATTTCTCTGTAGACTGTTTGTGGATAAGCTTAGTCTCACTTGACAATAGTTTTGGCGTTCAAAACTACTATCCTACATTCGATCACAAATGAACCAACTACCAGGTATATGAGCAATGTAGTCACAGTCATAAGCAATGGAAAATTAATGATCATTATAAAACAGGAAATATGATAATCTACACAGAAAACGAATATAAGATTGTTCAAATGTCACTGCCTGAAGATGATTTCGATCGTCTTCTTGAGGAAGAGCGTGAAATAAGGCAGGAAGAAAACAATATCGAAAGTTTTGATATGGTTTATGTGTAATCTTCTAGTGGACATTATTGATGAGATGGAAAGTAAAAAGTAGTGAGTGTTATCATGGTTTCAAAGCTCTAGTCTTCAAAAAAGTGATGAAAACGATATTCAGGAATTTCTCAATCTATCAGAACTCTCAGAAGACTCAGATGCTTCCAAGAGCGATGACTCTTCAATTGCTGACTTTGTTGACTTGGCTCCTGTAGATATGAATCAATATATATTTCGCACTCCTCCTGATGGATCGAGTCTGGTCTGTAAATTGCAAGATGCATTTTTTCTTGAATTTGGTAATGAGTAGGAATCCATGGTGTTTTTGAAGCGAAACAAGAACTGGATGTCAAAGTCTGTTATACCAGATAGCATGCAATCACTTGCAGGCCACAGAGATTCATCATCTACGCACCACATCGAGCAATTAATCGATCAAGTGCGTGAAGCTCGGGCACGGGTATTTCTCTTTTCTATTCTTCACATGCAGCGTGAACAGCTGAAGAAGGAAATCTCTTCCAAAGGAAAGGAGCGAAAGCGCCTCATCGATTGGGGAGATCACTTCCAGCCTCGATCTTTCATCGATCTTCTCTCAGATGGACTTGCAAACCGAGTCTTTATGAAGTGGCTGACGCAGTGGAAGCCTCTTCTCTTTCATGTAACCCCCTCTGCTCCTCTCTCTCTCTCTAGACTTCGCCCAATCCAAGCACGGCAGAAGTCGATTCGCTTCCTTTTGTCGCCTTCTCTCCGCTCATTCCATATAGTTCTGCCCCGAGTGTCACAAAGGAGGATTCCACGCCGCTTCCTGTCGCTCCCAGCCCCCTCTTCGTCCCGTCTATCGCCCAGATCTTCCCTCGCCGCTCCCTCAGCGCCCACTCAATCCGCTCTATGTGATTGCAGGACCCACAGGCAGGCGTTCGATGCGTCTGCGACTTGTAGGCTGCGGGAAATCGACGTTGGTGCACATCGCCGCGAATGCGCAGAAGCTTCGCGTCGTCGCATTGATGGGGGAAACCAATGGAACGCCGCTTCAACGAACGCTGGAGCAAATCGAAACGGTGATGCAGGTTCGAGGCGTTTCGTTCGGAAAAGAGAAACCGCCGCTGCTTTTATTGGTTGGTTTTGGCGCGGAGGGTTCGAAATAGGACAACTTTGATAGTTCGTTCAGCCAATCGGAGCGCAAAGCGATTGTTAAACTGCTGCTCAAGTTGTACAATGAAGCGCTTCACGATCCTTCAAAGCAACTCGTTCCTGTAGTGATCACGTGCGTGGATGCAGTAGCGTTTTGAACTCTGTTTCACGTAGTATGCGTGCAACCTCCAAGACTTAAAATCGTTCCAACAGCGAAGTTTTTTGCCTCAAATCACACAGAAACAGCAGATTTCGCTGCTTCAGCAGATCTGTTCCACGCAGAACATTCCCTTTTCCGATCGAGGACTGCGCTTGTTGAGCGGTTTGGGCGAGGGAGATCTCCGCTTCGTGCTGTCTTCTTTGCAAAGCATCGTGTGGAGCTATGGAAGCGTGGAAGAAGTCGCGTTGGAGAGAGGCGAATTGTCTTCGAAGGAGGTTCTGCAAGGCATCAATTACTACTTCCGACTTCTTTTTGTATCGCAACGAAGCAAACGAAGTAGCAATCCTCTCTTCCTCTTCTTATTCTCTCTAGAATCAAAATCATCCGTTTCGAATTGGGTTGCGATCGCCGATCAGTTTTTTAATGTCGAACCAAACCGAGTCCTTATGGGTGTTTACGAAGCGCTCCCACAAATTTCGATCCCTGATCCCCTTCTTTCTCATTATTCAGAAGCCTTAGACTGTCTAGTGGATTACGACATCGTTCTTCACCAGTCCCACGTTCTGTAAACCCAATCGCTTTCTATCGTTGATTCTAGAATGAAATTCGAGCTGCAGAACGTTTTGCCGGTCTATCTCGGCATTATTCACACGCTTTATCGAAGAGAACCACCCGTAAAGCTGCCCATAATGTCCTCAAAAGCCTTCTTTTCGGTACTCGATTTCGTTCTGTTATGATTGAAGATGCAACGCGATAAAGCGAACAATCTCGCAGCAATTCTTCCACTTCGGAACTCGACGGCTCTTCGTCAGACCGAAGCAACGCGAACTTCGCCGCTCATTTTCGATTATCTCTCCGTTCTGTTGCGTCTCATCACTCCAACGATTCGCCCTGTCGACACTCTCCTTTTAACCGTGTCCGAAAAGCGGCAAATCGAGCGGATCACAGAGATCATGGCGTTTGGATTGCACGCTTTTTCGATTATAGAAACTACGGGATTGGCTATGAATCCCTGCATATTTCGGGAGCTCCCAAAATGATTCTGAAGCCGAACTTGGTGTCGATCGCGTCGTATCCGGAACTGTCCACTCCGTTCGAGTCGGTAATCGCTGGGTTCGCTGTTGGTGAGTTGTAGGTGAGCATGACGGTTCGCTTCAAGATGCAAGCCGAGCTGCAGAAGGTTCTAATCCGAGGCCATTATAATTCCTTGATGGGAGAGGAGTCGGAGATGATTTCGCGCTCGGTTGTGATGAAGCGGCCTGCGCGGAGTACGCCTCACAAAAAGAACATTCCGCAGGAAAGCCCGCTGAAGAAGCTGCGTCCTGAAGTGACGGTGGAGGCGTCCAGTCTGGAGACGGAGAAGACCGCGATGAGGGTTCCGTTCTTCGCGATGCAGCAATCGACCCACGAGAGAAAGACCGTGAAGGGGATCGTGTATCGGTACCAAAAGGGATATACGTGTGCTGTGCGTCAGCCCGCGACCATTCGTGATTTATTCTAAGCTGTTGTTTGTGAACAAACACTCCATGAAGTGTACGGATTTATCATATCGGTATCGAAAGACGAGCCCTTGGTGGCGTTCTCCAAGAAGTTGATACACTCGTTCTTCGCGTCTTGCACCTTCTTCACAGAATCGGCCTCGATGTATAAATAGAGGGGACGAAGACCCAGCGGCGCTTTCTTCCCAGGAGCCACGTAGTTTCCTCGAATGCTCACCGAGGCTCCCGTCCAGTCCTGGATTCGATTCATCTCCGCCCGATTGTTCAGCGCCAATCGCGCCTTCTGGGGATAGTCGTTGATCACGAACTCCTCCGTGTAATAAATCACACCGTTCACGTTGATCTTCGTCACGCCCTGGTTGATGTGCTTCATATCCTACACGTCACACGCCATCGACGATCCTACAATGTTCTTCACCGCCATAATCGCATCCTGCAGCACCGCCGAGTTCATAACGCCGGCATTCGCTGCGGCCTGGAACAGCTTGTCCATTCCCTCGGGCACTTCCGACTGCAAGGCGTGCGTGATCTCCTGTCCCTTCCGCTTGACGTTCTTCACATTCAGCGTTCCATCCTCGTTCAGCATGTCTGCACCTCACAATCGAATTCCCATTCCTACCATCGCGCTCCTCACCAAAGATATCGTCATCCGAGTCCGACTCTTCTTTGCCCGCCATTTCGCCCAGCGCGCTTTCTTCGCCTTCCGCGTTCTCCGTCGTGGTTGCCAGTTTGATATTGAACTTGTCTCGCACGGATTGCTCATCCATTTCCTGCTGCTGCGCTTCCTCCGGAGTGATAATTCCATTATCGATCTCCACTTGTCGCTTCTGCATGCTCTTGATCACTTCCTTCTCTCCCGCCTCCGTTTCATCGAACTTGAATCCCTTCGTGTGATAACCAGACAGCCGGTGCTTTGCATTGCCAGCCTTCACTTTCGCTTCGAATGCATCGCTGAGCTTCTGCAGCTCCGCAGGAACGGGCGTATGGCTCTGCTTCAACGCTTTCACCATATCGCTCGCGTACATGTCTTCCTGCGGAGTGATAAACGTGATGGCCGTTCCTTTGTTCCCCGCACGGCCTGTTCGGCCTACGCGGTGGACATAGTCTTCTAGATGATTGGGGCAATCGTAGTTGATTACGAGGACGAGGTCGTTGACATGAATGCCTCGACCAGCCACACTAGTTGCTATGAGGATCGTGCGGACCTTGTTCTTGAAATCCACAATCGTCTGATCTCGGTCCTGCTGATCCATTCCTCCGTGCAGAATGTAGGAATAGTATCCCGACCGGAGGAGATCGCGGAACAACTACACGTCAATCCTTCTTCTGGAAGGCTACATAATCCGCCTTCTGCTGCTTATCGACAAATACTAAAATCAAGCCCCGGTCGTACCATTCTCCCAGGATCTGCAGCAGCCGCGGGAACTTCTGCTCCTTCGTGCGCACCTCGATCGTCTGCGACACCTCGGCCGCCACTTCGGTGCGTCCTCCCACCACGATCATCACCGGCTTCTTCAGCATTTTCCTCGCCAGGTTCTCCACATGCGTCGGGAATGTCGCAGAAAACATCACCAGCTGTCGGTCCGGACGGGCGTTCTGCAGGATCGTCGTGATCTGCGGCTCGAACCCCATGTCCAGCATTCGATCCGCCTCGTCCAGCACCACGTACGAAACGCGGCGAAGCCCCACAAGGCGGCCTTGGTTCAGACACAAGATATCGATCATGCGGCCAGGCGTGCACACGATGATTTCGCTTCCACGCTTGAGACTGTTGATCTGCTCCGTCATGCTCGTGCCTCCGTACACCGCCGTGATCCGGATCCCCAGAACCTTGCAGAACTTCGAGGCCTCGTTGTAGATCTGCGCCACCAGCTCGCGAGCGGGCGCCAGAATCAGCCCGATCGGACCGTCGCCCTCCACGACGGGCGGCTGATCCAGGATGTGCCGGAAGAGCGGAAGCAGGTAGGCGAGCGTCTTTCCAGAGCCCGTCTTGGCGACGGCGATCACTTCTCGACCCGACATCACCGTGGGAATCGCCTGGCTCTGGATCGGGAAGGGCTTCGCGTAGCCGAGCTTGTTGATGACGTGCAGAATCTTCTCGGTCAGACCGCACTGCGCCCAGGTAAACACAGGCCGCGGATAGTTTCGGCCGCGGATCTTCATTCTCCATTGGTCGCGAATATCGTCGATCTCTTTCTATATCTCACGCCTCTCTCCCGTCTTCTACGTCCGTCATCTTCGTGATCAGAGGAGATTCCACGTAGAAGTCCTTCCGGATCGGGATGTAATTCATCTTGCTGTGGTCCACAGGCTCCAGCACCTTCTTGTGGATCTTCTTCTGCAGCTGCTCCAGGGCTGTGAGCTCGGTGACCTCGTCCGCGTATTCCTCCACGTAGTCGTCCGGCTACGCCTCAACCTCTCCGCGACATTTATACCATTTCCGTGTATCCCAGTCCGTTCTGCAGTAATTTCTCCGTCTTTTCTTGATGCTGCTTCTTCTCCTCCTCCTCATTCTACGCCTCAATCGATTCTCGCGTCTCTACTGCGCGCTGTATCGCTTCCTTGAACGCCTGGTGATATTTCTCGTCTTCCTCTTCGTCCATTCCTTCCTCCTCCCCTTCCTCGTCCTTCTCTTTCTCGGATTTTCTAGTCAGCAAGCCCTTGGGAAAGCAGTACAATATATCGTCCAGCGTGATGGTAGGAACCGGAGCTTGGTTTTGGTTCTCCTTTTCCTCCTTCTCTCTGGCTTTCGCCTCTTCCTCGTCGAAATAGCGCTGCATGTTCTCACGGTCACGGCGGCTGGATTCTTCTAGATTGGCTTTTGTTTCGGCCTGGACATATTATCCATATATAGAGAGTGAGCCTACTTCGATCTTTTTCATATATGCATCTAAAGGATCTTCCTCTTCCATCTCCTGAGGAACGGGTTCCACTCTGGCTTTCTTGCTTTCCTGCGCTTCAAAAATTGAAGGAACTGGAGAAGTGCTCTTCTACAAGTAGAAAACGAAGAAGCAAGGCAGTACGGTTTGTGTAGCAAAAAGACCTACGATGGGCTTCACTTCGGGAGCTTTTTTGCCCTGAATCGATAGAGAGATCTAAAAATTAAAAAAAGAAATGGCTTCTTGCTTGAGGAAGGTTGGTTGTTGATTGAGAGGCTGCCTGGCTGGTCTCATAGTGAACAGAGGCTTTGCGGTCGCTGCTTCGCCGACTCCTGCTCCGTCGAGAACTGCGGTGGCTATCATGCCGAGATTGCTCACGATGACTACTTCGGTGGCTATCGTGACGCGAGCGGTCTCTCCGACTGGACCGACTGCGGCTGTGATCTTTTGAACGGTGCGAACTCCGACTTCGACTTCGATGCGAATGGTGGCTTCGTCGACTTTTACTAGAGTGATAACGGTCTTCGCTATGATCTCTTCCCATAAAATAATCCTGATGGATAGGAAAAAGAAAAAGTGAAAGTGAGCAGAGTTGTGGAAAATACGAACCGAACAGCAATTCCCTTTTGTGCAAATACACGCACATTACAGCTATTGATCTAGATTTCGCTCAAAGTCGCTGCAAAACATTTTTGCAAATCGAGATTTCACATTTTCGTGATAAGAGTGCGTGCGTCCTTTGAAATCAAGAGAACGACGAGGGGTACTACAATGCAAATATATTCCCAATTATTCAAAAACGGCAGTATTTGTTCCTATTTCATTGAGAGAGTATGGCTATTTCGATTCAATAGATAAAAACTCTCTCAAATTTGGATTGACTCATGCAATTTAATGCCGAATTTGTTGCTGCCGGGGGAAGCGAGATGTACCCGGGGGAGGAGGACAATTCCAGCAGTCGTTTGTCTGAAATGCGTGAAAGCTTCTATTCCTTTTTGAATAACTTCTGTGTTGATGGGATTTATATTTATAGGTCCACACCGTTGATTCCGCTTGATGTGTAGAGATCAAATCAATAGTCGTATTCCAAATGGAGTCAATTATATTAATATCAACTTAGATGACTACCAGGTATATGATCCGTACCATCAAGATATGTTCCAACAAACTCCTGGTGTTTATCTGCCCGTCGTAGGAAGTGGCGTGAGATATGCTGACTTCTAGTTCGAGGAAGCCGTTAAGCGGATCATCAGTGACTTCAAATTGGAAGTTGAAGATGACACAGTCCAGCTTCTCTTTTCAAGCACACAGACTCCTATTTCGATCCGAGAGATTAATGTAGACTCTCCAGACTCTATCAAACGCAGGCGAGCCATGTCAATCACCTTGTCCGTGTATCTGGCATCGTAGTAAGCGCTTCTCGTGCTCGAGCGTATGCCCGCAAGATAGTCTACCGCTGCTCTCGCTGCAGCACAATGGGCGATCCGATCCTGGTCTCTCCGATGCGCAAAGTGATGATTCCTCGGCAATGTCCTCGGTACGCTTCTCGTTTTCTCTTCATTCCAGCGTGGCTGCGCAGGGCTCGGAAGGAGACCGATGTCCTCTGGACAGCAACTACATCGTTGCGAATCTCTGCTCCTATGTGGACCAGCAGACCGTCAAGCTGCAAGAAATCCCCGAAGACGTGCCAACCGGCGAGATGCCTCGGCACATTTCGTGCGTTCTGGAGCGAAACCTGGTGGATCGCGCGATTCCGGGAACGCGCTGCACGATCGTCGGGTTCATCGACACGTTCGATCAGACCAAGCAGGTACAGCAAGCGAGGTGTGTCGACTGTAGCGAATGGTGGACACCGTCGCGTTGAAAGTGAACTACATCCGCGTGCTGGGGATTGAGAGCGAGTCTTCGGGCATCGGCCGCGCGCTCTCGACGTTCTCTCCGTCCGAAGAGGAGTTCTTCATCCAGCTAGCGCACTCCCCGAACGTCTACGAGCGAATCGTGGAGAACATCGCGCCCTCCATCCACGGCGAATACACAGTGGACATCAAGAAGGCCATCGCCTGCCAGCTCTTCTCGGGAAGCCGCAAGCAGCTCCCCGACCGCACCCACATCCGAGGCGATATCAACATTCTCCTGATGGGAGATCCTTCCACGGCCAAGTCGCAGTTCCTCAAATTCGTCGAGAAAGTGGCGCCTGTCGGCGTGTACACGTCGGGAAAAGGTTCGTCCGCTGCGGGTCTCACTGCCAGCGTGGTTCAGGACGCCAGGGTCGAGATGGGGACGGGTTGTGACATAGGGAGACTTCTACTTGGAAGGAGGAGCGATGGTGCTGGCGGACGGAGGCATTGTCTGCATTGATGAGTTCGATAAAATGCACGAAAACGATCGTGTGGCCATCCACGAGGTAGAATCGGTGGGATCCCATGACGTGCTAGGCGATGGAGCAGCAGACCATCTCGATCGCGAAGGCTGGAATCACGACGGTGCTGAATAGTCGTTGCTCGGTATTAGCAGCAGCCAATCCAGTGTATGGTCGATACGACGACACGCGTTCGACCATGGAGAACATGGACTTTTTGCCTTCCATTCTCTCTCGATTCGATCTGATTTTCATCGTTCGGGATATTCGGGACTTCAACCGCGATCTGGAGATGGCCAAGAACGTGATGAACGTGCACGTGCAGTCAGGCAAGGTGGACCAATCAGCCGGCGAGATTCCCTTGGATGTGATGAAGCGATTCATCGCGTATTGTCGCGCGAAATGCTCGCCTCGCCTCTCCGAAGACGCCTGCATGGTTCTGGAAAACAACTACATCGCCATGCGAGACGAGATTCGGAAGCAGAGTGCTATCGATGGCTCCAATCCCCCCGTTCCGATCTCTGTTCGACAGCTCGAAGCCGTCGTGCGAATCGCCGAAAGCCTTGCGAAGATGCGATTGGCTCCCGAAGCCACTGTCGATGATGCGAACGAAGCTCTGCGTCTGTTTAAGGTCTCAACGATGTCTGCTGCGCGCAGTGGCGTAGTGAGTAGGGGAGAATGGAAGGAGTAAAAGCCAGCGAGCGACGTGTTGCCCCCAGAAATTAAGAGACAAGTGGATCTGATCGAGACGATGATAAAGTCGAGAGTGGCGATCGGATCGCAGATTGCGCGGTCACGAGTGGTCAATTCGCTGAGAGAGAGCGTAGGAGAGAGGCGGAGCGATGATAGGCAGGGATACTCGCCGTTCTCGATTGAGAGAGCGCTGTCTGCGCTGACACGGAGAAAGGACTTTGATGAGAAGAACCAGGGTCGGATGTTAGTTCGGTTGCGATGAGATGTTTGTTTCACATTGATATTTGGGACTTTGATGGTTATGGGAAACACATATCTGTTGTGAAAAGAGGAAACATGCGTTCTTTTGTGTATGTGTGGGAATGTGGTCACTTTATCAGTAGGGAGAGAAGTCATACATTATTATTATTACTGAGTGTTAACAGATGTACATTTGTGGGGTACAAAATATATTAGGAAATATAAACTGATTATTGGTGAACATCATATTTTCAAAAGCAGTCTATAACACTTTTCCTGAGCTTAATACTTGCTATAATTGGATTTAAAGACTGTATATTGTTGCAAATGAATTACAACGTATCAATGTCTATTAGAAATAAGTCATTGTTGCTCTCAAGAATTAATGAAACTTGTTTCTGAATGATGATTTAACAGATAGTCATTATTATTGGTATATCGCATTAATTGTTTTGTGAGCCATCCTCAATTATACAATGTGATTCCTGAATAAGTGTGATTGCAATGACCATGTTGAACAATTATTCACGGGATATTTCAACATATTTGTTCTGACAATCAAATAGTCAAGATATAAAAATAGTAGAATTAGATTTGCGCCAAAAATATGATAAGCAGTCAAGATTTCGTTTACCTCTCCTCAGTGTTCTAGAACTCAAACGAATGTTACTGCATATGTGTTAGAATTCTTGTCAGAAACTAGAATGTGATCATTCATTATCAGTTCATAACACTTCATGATTGAATATGAACAGATTTCAATGTCGATTCTGTAATGAAACTAGATGAATAGAATTGTTTGTTTGTGATAATGAAAGTGTATGATACATCATTATTCATATTTCGAATTATCTATTCCGATATTGTTATAAAATTGGATTCAATTAGAAATCATTGATTAAACGAACATATCATTAATATGAATATACATAACTAATAGTGTTATTAAATCAATAACTAAATCATTTCGAATATAGAACACATAAGATGTGATAACGGACCGATTTGTTGATGATAAACACTTATTATAAAACTGAATAAGTATTATTATCATGTTTCCCAACAACAAACAAGAATAGCATAAGAATCAATTTTCGATTTCTTTTTGTGATAGTTGTTACTGTCTAATGAAAACAATTTATACATAGAATTAATCGGAGCAATAGGGGCAGCATTCCTGATATATACAACCTGTTAATCCGCATGCGTCCGCGACACACCATCCTAACACGATCAGACAGAAAAATATACCCCAAAATAAAAATAATATAACAAGATTAATATTGTTGTACACTAACACACAAATACCAATGAATGTCAATAGCAAACAGTAGCAATCAAAGGAATATATTGCCGTTTCTATCCGATCACAAAGACAATAACGACAATCACAATCTGTCCCTCCCTTGTTATATTCTATATATTAATCGATATTGATTTTCTAACCTGTAGCGAAATATTTAAAATCTGATATCTTTTTATATCTACCCGCATAGACTGTTCTTCCATTTTTGTATATTCTCATTGTTTTACCATCAAATTCGTACCATATACCCATTTCTATTCCGTCTTTCCATATACTGATTGATTGAATATCTCCATTCTTGAAAGTATAACAAGTTCCATAGTTCAATCCTTTATAGTTCTTTTTACATACACGTAAGATTTTACCAGTATCATCTATTTCGTCCCAATACTTGCGTTTCTTTTTGTTTCTTTGAATTTTGGGATTTCTTTTACCATTCTTATAGAAACCATCAAATATCACTTCACCATCTTCAGAATATTCAAGACCTCTTCCACTTCGATAACCTTTTTCTAAATATCCGTCAAAATATAATTTGCCAGATTCATAATATAGCTTACATTCTCCAGTTGCTACTCCTTTTTCATAATAGAATTCTGCACACAGTTGACCACTCGGATCATAAATATTGGCTTCTCCATCTAGAATAATATCATCATCATCATCTTCTTCATCAATCATTGCTTTCATAGTAAAACCGAGGTGAGGTTGACCAATCTCACAAGTAGCTATTTCATCTTCAATGTCCATTCTCATAATAGGAAATTCGCTAGAAATGCAGTGATTCCAAATATCTGTTTCAAAACTACTTCTTTCTACAGTTTCTTTATTTTCTTCAGATCCACTTATATTTACAACAATAACTCCCTTAAATTCATCCATTTCACTTTTATAGATAGTAGAATAGACTAAAATTGAATATGAACAATGAAAACGAATCCAAAGATATCCATTTTTGATACAATTAATAAACCTCTTAATAGAATAACATCATCAATATTAAGTATTGTATTTTTTGGTATAATATGTGATACGATTTCATAAGAAATCGTATCAAGTCGTCAACTGTTTGAAAACTAATGTTTTTTGTTTTGATTGCAATTGAATAGATGGCAGATTATTCTAAGTAGCAAGTATTTAGTATCCATTCTTTTCTATGACTTAGTTTATTGTAACGTATTCATTTTCATGCGTTAATACTAATTTGTTTAATAATTTATATATTACCGTGTCATAATTATATCAGATGATGTATTCTTATTCGAAATGGAAACAATATCGCCATTTACCGTTTCTTGATAATTTCACGTCAGCGATGTCATATATATGACTAGACATATATATATATAAATTAATATTGATGATGTTATTCTATTAAGAGGTTTATTAATTGTATCAAAAATGGATATCTTTGGATTCGTTTTCATTGTTCATATTCAATTTTAGTCTATTCTACTATCTATATAAGTGAAATGGATGAATTTAAGGGAGTTATTGTTGTAAATATAAGTGGATCTGAAGAAAATAAAGAAACTGTAGAAAGAAGTAGTTTTGAAACAGATATTTGGAATCACTGTATTTCTAGCGAATTTCCTATTATGAGAATGGATATTGAAGATGGAATAGCTACTTGTGAGATTGGTCAACCTCACTTCGGTTTTACTATGAAAGCAATGATTAATGATGAAGAAGATGATGATGATATTATTCTAGATGGAGAAGCCAAAATTTATGATCCGAGTGGTCAACTGTGTGCAGAATTCTATTATGAAAAAGGAGAAGCAACTGGAGAATGTAAGCTATATTATGAATCTGGTGAATTATATTTTGACGGATATTTAGAAAAAGGTTATCGAAGTGGAAGAGGTCTTGAATATTCTGAAGATGGTGAAGTGATATTTGATGGTTTCTATAAGAATGGTAAAAGAAATCCCAAAATCCAAAGAAACAAAAAGAAACGCAAATATTGGGACGAAATAGATGATTCTGGTAAAATCTTACGTGTATGTAAAAAGAACTATAAAGGATTGAACTATGGAACTTGTTATACTTTCAAGAATGGAGATATTCAATCAATCAGTATATGGAAAGACGGAATAGAAATGGGTATATGGTACGAATTTGATGGTAAAACAATGAGAATATATGAATATGGAAGAACAGTCTATGCGGGTGGATATAAAAAGATATCAGATTTTAAATATTTCGCTACAGGTTAGAAAATCGATATCGATTAATATATAGAATATAACAAGGGAGGGATAGATTGTGATTGTCGTTATTGTCTTTGTGATCGGATAGAAACGGCAATATATTCCTTTGATTGCTACTGTTTCCTATTGACATTCATTGGTATTTGTGTGTTAGTGTACAACAATATTAATCTTGTTATATTAATTGTATTTTGGGGTATGCTTTTCTGTTCGATCGTGATAGGATGGTGTGTCGCGGACTTCTGCTTATTTACAGCTTGTATATATCAGGTATGTGGACCCAAATGCTCCGATTAATTCTATGTATAAATTGTTTTCATTAGCCAGTAACAACTATCACAAAAAGAAATCGAAAATTGATTCTTATGCTATTCTTGTTTGTTGTTGGAAAACATGATAATAATACTTATTCAGTTTTATAATGAGTGTTTATCATCAACAAATCGGTCCGTTATCACATCTTATGTATTCTATATTCGAAATGATTTAGTTATTAATTTAATAGTACTATTAGTTATGTATATTCATATTAATGATATGTTCGTTTAATCAATGATTTCTAATTGAATCCAGTTTTATAACAATATCGGAATAGATAATTCGAAATATGAATAATGATGTATCATACACTTTCAATATATCACAAACAAACAATTCTATTCATCTAGTTTCATTACAGAATCGACATTGAAATCTGTTCATATTCAATCATGAAGTGTTACGAACTGATAATGAATGATCACATTCTAGTTTCTGACAAGAATTCTATTACATGTGAAATGTGTACGACTCTTATTGTTTGTCCCTTTCTCATATTTTATGGATAACCAGCTTACTTACAAAGCGATATAAACGATCTGTAAAATAGTCATTATTAGTATTGTAAATCCCGCATTATTTGCTGAGGTACTAGTCGTTCTTTCACCAACTGAACAATTAATACTATTATAATACTTTGTTTAGCTTTATTGCTGTAAGAGACATGATTGTAACCCATCAAGTGATACTATTATGGTAGATACATCAATTTCTTTAGCGTATTCCATTGCATTCCATTGATCTCACATCATCCTAACCTATTCATTTCAATCACGTTTTCCTATCGAATAACACATCGAAAATAACACTATTTCCATGGCATGGAATAAAAAACGCCTATTCACACCCTTTCCAATCGATCGACTCCAACAAACAGTCCACATAACACGACTTCTCAAATCCTCCATCTTCTTCACAATCGACGAAACCGACAGCACCAACGCATTGGCAATCTCCTCCTGCTTAATCTGCGGCAGCATCGAGAACGTCTCGCACAGATTCCCGTCGATGATTCCCTACCCTTCAGCTCGCTCCCCGTCCCTACCTTCATCGGCGTGTACGCGCTTCTCCACGACAAAATATCCCTTCCCACCAGCGACGGCTCCTGCTTGCGAATGTACATCTCGATGTGCATCAAGTGATGCAGGTCGTCGCGACTCGGCATCGGAAGCAACGCGCCGATCGTTCCGAAAATCGTTCCATACAGCACCACTTCATCGCCTCCAGGAATCAGCACCGTCTTCTGCACCGACGTCACGATCTCGCCCAGATAAATACTCGCTGCCTGCTCCGCCTGGAATCAAGAAAACCTCCATTTCTCTACTTTGTTGGGCGCTGCGCTGAGCAGTCCGGAGTTCCACAGGCTTCGACTGCCCGTCGGGTTCGCGATGTCGTCGTCCACCTTCGGATCGACGCGCTCCACGAAGAGGTTTCCGCCCTTGTCTCCGCAGACCACCGTGTTGTAGTCCAGCACGTCCAGCGCCGTGATGCTTCGCGGGATCCCGCCGTCTGCGAACTCCACCAGCTGATTGGTGCCCTTGCGGAACTTCACGAAGGACACGTTGTCCGTCAGATCGCCCGCGTAGAGCCGCTCGCCCATCGCGCGCAGCTTCGTCACGAAATGGGGCATCGCCTAGCTCGCAGCCGCCTCAAACGCCCACTTTGTTCTCGCACTTGCGGAGCAGTTTCTTCTTTCCGAGGTCGTAGACGCGCACGGAGCGCCCGATTCCCGCGGCCAGCTTCCCGTCGAACTCGCAGAGCGCGGCGGGGACCTCGTCGACCTCGGTGCGATGCAGCAGCTGGAGAGAGTGTCCCTCGACGAACCGGAAGACGCTGATGAAGCCCTGGCTGCAGGACCGCGGGTGGATTTTGAGGTTCTTCGCGGTTCCGATCACCACGAACGGCTCGTCGCCCTTCGACGCGAAGCGGCAGACGCACATGGAGAACGCGGCCTCGTTGTCCGCGAGCTCCAGGCGCTCGAGCGTCTGCAGGGAGATCGCGTCGACCACGCGGATGCAGCTGGCCCATTTGTCGGGCTCGGCGGGGATGGGCGCGCCGCAGTCGTATTCGTTGACGTAGGACACGTTGTGCTGCTGGTAGAAGGACTGCTTCTCCAGCTCCGAGTACGCGTTGTGGTCCGTCTCGAGGAGGAGCAGGCGCGGCTGTCCCGGGTAGACGACCAGCTCACGCGGCGTGTAGGAGAGCGGGATGGACGTGGCGGTGAACGGCTGCGTGAGGTCGTCGATCCGGATGATGTTGAGGTTCGTGCCCGCCACGCAGACGATGCCCTCGCTGCAGTCCTCGTTGCAGAACGGCGCGGCGAGGTCGAGCGGGTCGCTGACCAGCGAGGTGAGCGTCAGCGTGTTGTTGGCGCAGTAGCAGAGCCACGGCTTCACGGAGAGCGCCAGCACGCAGGGATTGCCGCCAGCGAGGATCTTGAAGAGCCGGACGGGGCGCGGTCCGAGGAACCGCGTGCTGCGCGCGTTGCTGAGCTTCCCGCTCACCGGATCGACCTCCACGCGCATGAGGATGCCGTTCTCCATGCCGACGGTGAGGAGAAGCGTCTCGCGCGCCAGCGACCCGGAGCCCATCCGCATGGTGTCCAGCGTCAGATTGGACGGCATCGCGTTCAGCGCCTGCATGGAGAGCTCCTCCAGAAGACTGTTCGGCGCGAGGCTGTACACGCGGCAGCTGCGATCGCCGTAGCCCACCGCGAGGAACGGGGCGCGCAGACTGTTCGGCGCGAGCGCGGGGAGGTCCAGGCAGATGACCTCCTCGCGGTGGTTCATGCTCTCGCGCTCCACCCACTCCAATCGCTCGTCCAGCTCGAAGTACAGCACCTCTCCGTTCGACAGCGCCACCACGATCTGCCGCAGATTCATCGCCGCCGCGGTGATCGACCGGCGGCTCGGCGGCTCCCAGACCTTCGTGTGCCCGTCCTCGAAGATCTGCCGGAACCCGCCCGGATAGACCTGCAGGAAGCTGTTTCCCTCGAGCACGCCGGTGGCCAGCGTGCTCTCGTCGAGCTTGAACCCCGTGTCCATCACCTGCTCCACCGACTTCCCCACCGCCAGCACGATCGTCGCGTTGTTGAAGCTGATCACCATGAAGCGGTGCTGCCCCGTCCGCGCGTCGCGCAGCGTCCACAGCCCGCTCGGCGCGTACGGCAGCGGGTTCTGCGACAGCAGCGAGATCGCCAGGCCCTGCTGCAGCACCTTCAGCTGCGACCGCGAGCTCCGCCCGCACAGCGCGAAGAGCTGCGGCGTGCCGTCGCCGCGCAGGTCCTCCGCGTGGATCTTGACCAGCGGAGAGAGCGAGGGCAGCGTGTCCACCGGGCGCAGGTTGGTCAGCGCGCGCGGAGAGAAGACGGGGACCTGGACGGAGCCGTCGGGCTGCAGCGAGCCCAGGAAGGAGGCCTGGGCGGAGTCGTCGTCGCCCAGCGCGATGAACTGGTAGAAGCAGCTGCCGGTGAGGAGAGCCAAAGGAAGCGCGTACTGGTCGCCCACCTCCGAAGTGGCCAGCAGAAAGCCCTTCTTGGTGATGTGGAGCGTCGTGGCCGCGGGAATCGTGTCGAAATACTTGACCACGAGGTCGTGCACGTGCGAGGAATCGAAGCTCAGCGTGATTTTGTACAGATCTCCGTATTCGCTCTGCACCAAGTAGAACAGGTTCCCCTACCCCTCACACCTTCCACGTTTCCACACTTCGCGCTGGAACAGTGCCGCGGTGATGATCATGGTTCCGCGGTTTTCGGGCAGGAACTCGCGGCGCGGAATGGGCGCGCGGATCTCGGGGTGGTTCTCGTTGCAGTACATCACCCAGTTCTCCGCGAAGACCAGCACGCCGCCCGGGCCGCTGTCGCCGGGGACGCGGGCCAGCAGATTGGCGGAGCGTTCCACGGTTTTGCTCCACTTGCGGATCACGTGGTTCAAACCGAGGTCCAGCTGGTAGTAGGTGAGCACCTTCTCGGTCTGCTGGGCGGCTTCTCCGGTGGAGTCCTCGTCGGCCTCGCCGTAGTTGAGCTCCAGGCAGGCGAACATGGGATTGTCGTAGCCGACATCTAATCCCTCCGTGGTCAGCACGATGGTTTGCGATTTGTGGGCTTCCAGGGGAGAGGAGATTGTGACGTTGCCTCGGGAGTCGCGGTTCAGGACGTAGACCAGATTTTGCTTCTCGATGGCACCTAGCGATGAAACATGGAAGAGAAATCCACTGATCATGAAGGCACGGCCATTCGGATCGACAGCCAGGTATTGGCCGGGAAGACCTCGAATGACGCCGACTTTTCCGAAGGTCTCTTGATGGATCTTTTCAAATGTGTTTTTTTCTGTGTCATACTTTAGAACAACGATTCGACCACTGTCCGAACCAATCAAAACAAAATCTGTGTTGTTTCCTACGCTCAAGTTATCCAACTTCAGATACCCGAAAGACGGAAAGGCTTCAGAGCACGAATCAACCCATACACCTCAAAGCTACAAATCACGTTGATGTTTCCATTATCGTCGGGTCTCCACAGCTCAATAATATTTCCGCGAGAAATCACGAACTCTTCAACCTTCGCGGAGCTGAAGTTACCTAGACGGTCATTCTCGCAAGCGAGGCTGTACCATAAATCACCCGTTGCACAGAAGATGCCTTGTGCAAAGTAAGGTTATACAGATGCATTTGATGGATACACCAAACTATTTGTGATTTTTTCAAACAAACAAGCAAACCACTAAAACCACTACGACTCGTCCGTTAATCGCTCTGTAAGGAATTTCACCGCATCCAAACTCAAAATCAAATACTTCCTCTTCAAGATGTCATAAACGTTCGCTCCCTACACATTATTACTCCCCTCCATTCGCCCCACTAATTGCGGCAAGTACAGAACTCGACGAATATTCCGCGACGCCAACTCAAAGTTTTCATTCCGCTCATTCCCGTCGATCACGAGTGCTAAATCGTCCTGGATTATTTTGCTCAGCGAGGTCTCCAACGCTTTCGTCTTCGCGCTCTCCAGCTCGCACGAGTCCACGATGATTAAGCTCTGCTCCTGCCACTTGAGCGACAGCGCCGTGCGCAAGCCCAGCGAGCGAACTGCGTTTTACAACCACAAAAATCGAGTTGCCTTTCATAGGGAGCGGATAGTCGTAATCACGCGGTCGCGGTCCCATCGGTTTGTAGCCTCCGCGCATTTGAGGAGCTCTAGATCGCAGCGATCGAACGGGAAATACCGCTTTTGGCCTTGGCGAGCGCGGCCGGTTCCTTTCTGAGGGAACGGCTTGCGATTCGACCCGCTCACTTCGGACAGCGTTTTCACGCAGTGCGTTCCTTGGCGACGCTTTGCGAGCTGCCATACAACGACTCGCTGCAGAATATCTTCGCGGAGAGGCATGCCGAAGACGCGATTGTTGAGAGTCACCAAATCGCTTGTTTGCTCGCCCGTTTTCATATTGAAGATCGGGAGCTGCTTTATGGGAGTCAGGAACGGGTCAAGTAAAGGAGTGTCTGAAAATGAAAAAGGTGCGAGTAAACTCTGCCTTTGGGAGCAGCAAACAGATCGAAATCATCAATACGCAGATTTGCAGGAACCCCGAGCTGGTCGATCAAGGGATTCTCAATATACTCCTTCTCCGAATTGATATAGCTAAATGAATCAAGCAAAGCAATCAATCAGTTACAAACTTCTGGTTGGTATATTTCGCATCGATATCAAAGAAACCAAACGCAAGTTCTACAATGTTAGGAAAACGGAGAAAACTGATTTACTTGGCATCTTCCTACAGATCTGAAAACACTGGATAAGTGACGCAGCATCTCGAATATCCGGTTTCTGAGTTTCCTCCAAATCGGAAATCGTGGAGATTTCTGGAATCAACACTTTTCAATCACTTTCTTCAATCAGTCAAAGCTACACACAGAATGGATATCGAAATGGATATTGACGATATATGGGATCCGTAGGGCGTGCGATTGCTTTGTTATCGATTAGTTATCAGAAGGAGAAGAAGCGAGGTGAGATTATGTATATATCGATTCTCTCATTCAAACTTTCAATTGACAGAGAAAATATCGCACTTAAAAACGAACTTCTGGAAAAGGTGAAAGAACGCAAAATGGCTCCCTATTATCGTGAAGTGTGCAACTACTTCGACTATAAGATGGACGTGGATTTGTATAATACGATGAAGGAAGAAAATGACCGCGTGATCAAAGAAAAGAGCGAAGCTCTTGAAGAAATTGAAAAGAGCGGAAGTGATGATGATATCATTGATGTGCTTCTCTATATCGTGCGAGTTAGGTTTTTTGTTTATTGCTAGGCAAACTATTATTTCGAGATCGGAGAGAAGGACAAAGCCGTTGAGGTCTATAAGAAGAGTATCAACTACAAGATGTCCCAGAACATGAAGATGGACATTTGGATGTACATCCTCGACGTCTATCTGTTCCATCAAAGCATCGCCGAGTACACCTCCACGCTCAAAACCGTTCAAAAAATGGTGGAAGAGTCGGGCGACTGGGAGCATCGCAACCGTCTGAACGTTCGACTTTTTCATTTTGGATTCAACATTAGGTCTATTTAGGCGTGAGTTACATGCTCTCCAAAGACTTCACGAAGGTGGCCGAGCTGTACTGCGCCACGATCCCCACGTTCACCTCGTTCTCCGTGTTTTCGTTCAACGATTTCGTGAAATACGCGGTGATTTCGTCGATCATGACGCAGTCGCGATCCAACATCAAACGCGATCTCGTCAATTCTTCCGACGTCGAAATGTCGCTTCTCGAAATGCCCACGCTTCAGCACCTTCTCTCCTCTTTCGATGAGTGTCGCTATCGCGACTTCTTCCTCGCTCTGCTGGATTTGGAGTCGATTTTGAAGCAGGATCCCTATCTTCTGCCCTCCGCTTCGCTCATCATCGGCGAGCTTCGTTTGAAGGCGTACCAGCAATTCCTGGATAGTTTTAAATGGTTCGGAAGTGCGGAGAGGCGTGAGGAATAGCTGCACGCTGCAGTCGATGGCGGATAGCTTCGGCGTGTCAACGCCGTTCATCAATAGCGAGCTGGCGCGATTCATCTCCGAAGGAAGGATCCAAGCGAAGATCGATCGGGTAGGCGGAGAGAGAGACGATGAGACGCAGATGAACGACACGGTAGAGACGCAGGCGGTCACGACGCTCTCGCGATTGTACGACGAGATTCTGACGAAGGGAACCATTCTGATGAATCGCGTGCAGACCGTTGCGAAGACGCTGGATGTTTGGATTGTTTGTGCCAATAAACACGAAACGCTTCGTCATCGGAATTCCAATCTTCTTGCCACACTTCCGCCTCCTCTTCGCCTCCTGCTTGCTGTTGCATCATTCCGCCATTCTGTGCATTCATCATCTCGAGAACTTGCTCCTGCAACGCGGCCACGTCGTCATCGTTGAGCTCGTTCGCGTTCATGTTCGGATTCAACGCTTCGAAGAACAGTCGGAACAGATTGTGATCCGCCGGCACGTTGTTCTCCACCATCATCGCATTGAGCTGCTCTTCCATCTGCCGCTGCGGCAGATCGTCGATGATATCGCGCAGCTCCACTTCGGGAATGTTATCTGTGTAGTCTACTTCGCAATCCTTCCGCTCGCTCACTCTGCGGATCCACCGTCAACAGCGAATCCTCGATCTCCGCCGTCGCGTTCAGCTCATCGAAGAACTCTTCCAGCTCCTCGTAGCTCTCGCGCAGCTGCGTCTGCTTCTCTTCGAACGCCTGCGCATCGAAATGCTCCACCAGCTCCTTCATGCAGTCCATCAGAAGCGTCCACGACTCGGATTGGCTCCAAATCTGCACTTCGCGCTGCACAAAAATAAACTCCATTAGCTCGATGTGTCCATTCGCGGGGCTGTGCGAATACAGCTCGTGTTCTTTCACGCGGGACGGAACATACAGCTGCGAACTCTACGAATCAGCGCGAATCGGAGCGGAGACGGAGTGCTCGACGAGCTGCCGCACGATTTCCGGCCATCGCAGCAAGCTCTCCTTCATGATTTCCATCGCGTTCTCCTTGCGATCCTGCTTGAAAAGCGCCAGCGCGTAGTCGAACGACCAATTCGGAAGGAGAATCAGCGAGAAGGAGCCGAGAACGAGTCCGCTCTCCGCCATGTGGGTGATCGAAGCGTAGCGTTTGCTGGAGAGAGCGAGGAAGGGAATGTGGAGCAGACAGCCCATCGGATCGGCTTGCGGGAAGAACGAGTAGAGCAGCAGGGCGACGTTGAGAGCCGTTTCGAAGCAGCCTTTGCGGGAACAGAGAAGCAGATAGAGGTGGAATACTTTGTAGATGATTCTAGGATCGGGAGGTAGCAAAAAACGAACCGGTTTTCGGCCTCGGAGTAGAGGAAGCGCGCCTGGCCGTTGGTCCAATTGAAGTTGTAGCCCACCGACTTCTCGATGATGAACAGACATCTACGAAGAGTCAGAGGAAGAAAAATGATGGAGGAGTACTGGTGAAGAACGGAGAAAACGTTGTCGACGTTCTTGTAGAAGAGCATGATTTGAGCGAGCTACTGTGGAATTCGAATCGAAAGCGAACATCGAAAGCGACGTGGAGCAGATAGGGGTATTTCTGGTAGAAGGAGATCGCCATTTCCCCGATGTCCCCATCGATGTACGACGCCTTGTACACTTTGTACTTCTCGATGAGGCTCTGATATTCCTCCGATGCTTTGAGCGAATAGAACGTCGCGTGGTTGTCCAAATGCACCAACGCGCCTTTGTCGAAATCGAACGGCGTTTCCACAGGCTCAAAGCTGAAGCCGCCGCCCATCACGGAGGGAGGACGTACGTTTCCTGGAGTTGGATTGATGAAGATTGAGGTTGTAATGCCCGATCTGTGTCTCAATTCCTGCATGATTCTACTGAGCGAGCACGCGTTGCATGTGGCGCTGGCGGATGCGTTGGCCACGGCCCACCGCATCGTCTTCGTCTCCTTGGCCGAATTTCTGGTCGGCTTCTTTTTCATCGTTGAATTTCCTGGTGATTAGGAGCAACTTTGGAGATTACTTTTTGTTGATGCACAGAATTGTACCGATATCTAGATATGCGTCGTCCTCTTCCTCTTGTCTATTCCACGAAAAGGAAGATGATGATTCCTTTTCTGTTTCTTTTAATAGCGAATCGAGGTACTCCATGTCCTCTGCTTCTTTTTCTTCAGCGGTTTTGGTTACTTGCGCCACCGCAGGCTTCTTAGGCGCGGCCTTGGGTTTTTCTTTAGGTTTCTCTTCTTCTGGCTCACCTTCTTCCTCTTCTTCGTCCTCATCTGAATCATCTGAATCATCCGAAAAGGCAAATGCCTAAACATCACGTTCTTTTCGATAACAATACGGAAAATGAAACATGGTGATTGTCTTCTTCCTCTTCCTCCTCTTCCTCCTCCTCTTCTTCTTCTTGTGTGATCTGTTTAGCTTCTTCTTCCTTTCTCTTCTTCTCTTCGATAAGAGCTCTCAATCTAGCTAACTGCCTTGCAGACATTGGGAGAACGGTTTTGTTAGTATTCGAGGAGATAATACAGAATCCCGAAATAGGCCCGATTCTCGTTGTTTGTTATTTTCTTCAGCTACACCCAAAGAATGGCGTCGTAAATGAGTAATCCTGATTGACTCATCGTTGTAGGTCGGATTTAGTGATGTTGGCAGTCGCCGTTATCGGTTTAGGAATCATGGCATTCTTTTTCTTGCAATTTGTCAATTCGCAACCTACAGTCGTACAGTTATTCAGATTCGTATTACGTTAAGAAGGATGTTCCTAATGAACACCAAGAACGGATCGCTGGAATTGGTACTAGTTTATTTTTATTTTTTAGAAATAGAGCAGGAGATTCATGATCTCGTCCAGTACTTTGAGTGCTATTCCTTGAATATAGGTTACAGGAAGACGGAAGAGGTGGAAAAGACTCCAAGAAAGCACTGGCAAAAGCAATGAAAAAGAAAGAAAAGGCCGAAAAGAGAGCGCGCGATGAGTACGAAAGAGAGATGCGAAAGGCTCGCGAAGAAAAAAGACAGCAAGAAGAGCAAAGAAAGGAAGAGGAGCGCGCGAAACAGAGAGAAGAAGAGGAATTGCGAGCTCGTCTTGCGGAAGAAGAGCGTTTACGACGCGAGGAAGAAGAATACGCGAAGTGGGAGCAGTTTATCACACTGGAGGGCGAAGGTACCGATGCCAAGGAAGATCTTTTCTCCAATCAGGAGCGACTGGACTCGTTTATCGACACACTGCGAAGCAGAAAAGTCGCAGACATTGATGAAATCGCATCGGAATTCAACATGACGCAAGAAGTTTGTGATGTAGGTTGGAGTGAGAGATAGGAAGTGGAGGAAGCGATCAAGCGACTAGAAGATGAAGGAAAACTCACTGTGTTGGTGGATGATCGAGGAAAGCTTGTCTATGTGACGGAAGAAGAGATGCAGAAGATCGTCGAGGTAATCAAGGAGAATGGGCGCATTTCTTTAAAGAAGTTAACTGCGCTTTGCAGTGGGATTGTGGATATGCCTAGTTCTGGTTTCTAGTTGGTTTTGTTTGTTGGAATTCCCGCGGAACCCTAGATTACATTTCATTTTTGTGGATTGCGTGCATTATGGAGGACGAAGAGTATCAATTTGAGTCCAATCTGGAGGAGGAAGAGGATTATGGATTTGGGGAGAGTAGTGATGAATCGACCGAGGAAATTGTCGATTATGAGGGAATGAAAAATGCGCTGGAGCTGTTTCAACAGGTTTGTAGTGGATTTGGGAGTGGCTGTGGCTCATTTGTGTGTAGTCCGATATTGCGAAGGAAGCACTGGAAAACGGAGTGGATCTAGTCGAGTACGAGCAGAAAATCGTGAGCGACCTCACTGCGGCTTCTCAGGCATCGGTTGCGGATTATATTGCTGAGAGTGTGCACTTTGCAAAGCTTCATAAGTGGATTTTGCTATGGATTCTGAGGGGTAGAGAGATTAACGATTGTGACGCGCTTCTCGAACAAATTCAGTCACTTTTGCACACTTATCAGAGTAGTCTCACAGGAGTCGCAAACGAAATCCGAAATCTACAAGTGCTCTCCAAGAATTGGATTCATCGCTAGAACGACAGCGTAGCCATTTCGCAAAAGCTCGAAAATCGCCGAACAATGGATAGCATGATACGCGGCTTCATCAATCAGGTGGCCATCAATCCGAACATGGTGAAAGTGCTCGTCGAAGTACGCGCATTGTTTCTTCTTATTTTAACCTTACCAGGGCGAAATAAACGATGAATACATAGCGACGCTTCACAAATTCGACGCCCAGCTGGACTTCGTGTCCCAAGACGTTGAAAACGTGGGTATTTTTGCCATTCGATCGAATTCCAGGAAGAACTCCACGTAACCACCTCCGAAGTCAAGGCGGTCAAAGAGGTGCGGAGCGACCTGAACATCCTGAAATCGCAATGCGGCGCGCGTGTCCGCGATTATCTGCTCGGAATCGTCCACAAAATCACGGCAGAATCCAACCTGGAGGAGCTCCAGAACTCCGAACTCCTCGGAACCGCGGAAATCACGCTCTTCCTGAAGAAGCACATCCCCAAGACCTTCGAGGAAGTGGGGAAACGGGGAAACTGGGACGTAGATCAAGCGGCAGTACGTCGGATTGGTCAAGGAAATCATGATGAACCGCGTCAAATCCTACCGCGAACTGTACCAGAACCGCGGGAATTCCTCACCAATAGCCTGCAGCCGCACGAAACCACCGTCGGGAACCCCGAAGATCCGCTCGTGGTTTCCCCTTTTCCCCTTTTTGTGAGTCGTAGCACACGCAGAGCGTCGTTCGCTCGTTCCTCAAAAAGAAGGTATTTTTTGGGTTCCACGTTTCCACGATAGGCGCAGAAGACCCTCAAGGAATACGGTGTGGAGGGATTCGGCCTCGAGAACCGCGGGGACGTCCTCAATCACCTGGAAGACCCTCCGATTTTGGTGGAACCGCTGCAGGAAGGCGACGATCCGGACCTCGATTTCCCCGTTTGCTACCGCAGTTTGATCGTATCCCGCGGGGAAGACGGCTGAGTCGCAGAAGGTGATGACGGACTCGGCGTTGGCGGAGTTTTCGTTCGTGAAGGCCTTCTTCCACGCCGAGGATTCCGCGGTTTTCAACGAGATTTTCCGGGATGTCTGCAAATACGTACCTCCGTTTCCACGTTTCCACGTAGCTGCAAACGCAGACCCTGGAGTGGTGCGCGAATTCGGTGGACTTCGTGGGCGTTTTGCTGGTGGCGATGCTCATCCAATCAATTGTGACGGTTTCGTTCGATCGAATTCGATGAAGTGCAGCGCCTCCAATCGCGGGAATTCCCCGTTCTCATCGACTTCTGGCTGCCGCTCCGCGACAAGGTCCTGGCGCGATTTGCCGCGATTCTGGAGAAGCACGCGGGCGTAACTCCCCATCTGATTGGCTGATTGAATTAGGCGGCAAAAACCGCGCAGACGCAGGTGAAGTCGATGAACATCACCGAGCAGCTGCACTACGCGATGAAGCGCTACGCCTGCATGGCGGGAGCGATTTTAGTGGGGATTTTTGGAGTGTTTGAAGTAGGCGCTGGGCGAAAAATACCCCGAATTTTTGCCAGATCGGAGCAAATGGGAGCAGCCGCTCGATGGATTAACCGCGGAAGTGATGACGCTGATGCAGAAAATGAGCGAGTGCGTGGTGGAAGACGTGGAAACGTGGAAACGGAGTGAGGGATAGAGGCAGATGGAATACTGTTTCAACACGCTGTGTTACATTCTGCAACAGTGGAAGGATTTGGGCGTTACGGTGACGGTAGAAACGTGGAAACGTGGTAACGCGTAGAAAGGGGAAGTGTACGAGTTGTTCGAGAAATACGTGGTGGAATTCTTGGATTCGGTGATGGCGGAGCACATGAGTAGGGTCGAAAAGGGGAAATGAGGGAAAGGCTTCTTGTATGAGTTCGTGAAGAAGAACGAGAATAAAAAGGGATCGCATTTGAAGCTGTCGAGCAATGAAATGAAGGGATTGAAGCGATATAAGGAAGGATTCAAGGACGACATCAAGGAAATGAACGATGCGATCCACGCGAAGGTGGAGAATTACGCGTTGGAGGTCTACAAAGCGGTGCGATGGGAGGAAAGAGGATTGATGGGTAGTTTGTGAAGCAGGTCAGCGATTATCACACGAAGTACATTCAGATTCTCGGAGGAACGTCCTTCGTGAAGGAGCTGGTGCCGGTGAAGCATGTGGTGAACGAGGCCATGCAGTACAGTGCGCAGTATGAGTCATAGAATGCGTTATGCTTCTTGAGAATGGTTATGATGGCATGACGATGATGATGATGATGATGATGATGTTGTTGTTGTTGCTGCTGTTGTTTGTTTGCACAAAGAGGACACAAACCAATCACAATCGCCGATATGTTATCTCTGGAATCTCTGCGCAAAGCTTCGTCGACGATTTGATGGGCGCATTCCTGAACCAAGTTCTGATGAATGCACTTCTTCACGATTACACACACTTCCTCGTCGGAGAGCACGTCGAAGACGCCATCACACCCCATCACCACAAATTTACATTCTGTGGTGACTTGCACTGAGGATATGAAAGGTTCGGCGATTACGAACTCTTTGATCGAGTTGTCGCCAAAACTTCGCGTCACTCCGAGTAGGCCCATTACACGCTTGTTCATAACCATTCCGCCGGATAGTAGAATACGAGCGATCTCACATTTCTCCTCTGCTTTATGATCCTACGTAGTACGGAGTCCACAGACTTACAAACGACAAGCGAACGGCATTATCGTTGGAATACAGGACAATCCGACTGTCCCCAATGTTTGCAGAATACAAAGTTCGTTGCTGTGATTTTTCGTCATAAACGATTATTAGTGCAGCACAAGTGCACCCACTCGCCATCAGGTTCTGCATCCGACATTCCATGTCGGTAAAATAAAAGGCGTAGCGAATAGCATCTTCAAAAGTAGTGATATCCGGCTGTTGAATTGCATCGTACAAATTTTCTCCAAGGCGGGTCGAAACAAAAGAGGCTGTGGCACACCCTACTAGTTCATCCCAAATTAAACTATGTACCTCCATGACCATCGAGTAGAGCAATGAGCGAAATATTCCGGTTCTCCTTGAGCGTATAGTTCACAATACTAACATCTTCCATCGAAGAGCGATAATTCGGGTTCATGTAGTCCCATTGACTCAAAAATTTGATATTCGGTGATTTATTCATTGGCGCTAAGCAAAACAAACATTTCTTGAACAAACACTCCATAAAAGAACAAAACCCACTAGGCGTCCACCACTCCACAATTCTTAATCACCACAGGATCCAGTGGTACTCCCTTATAGCAGTAGACCTTTGACAGCGATTCGATTGCGTCCAACCCCTCTACGACATGTCCAACCACCACGTTTCTTCCATCTGAATCGTAAGAAAGAAAGAGAAAGAGGAAACCGAGATGGGGCAGAGGCTTCAGCGAAATGGCAAACAAACTATTGTTTCGATGGACGCCTGCATTCAGCATGGTTACGACTCCCGGAATATCGTGAGTGGCCGTGAAGGAAGCGAGCGGGTGTATCGAAAGGATATTGAGCAATATAGTTTTCATCATCAAAGTACTGCGTGCCGAACGACGAATATCCTCCCAGTCTCTTTTCAAAACATGAAATAGCACACGAAAGCGTACCTCCTTTCACGGCTCCGCTGCACACAAACTCTCCTTTACGCACATCGAAAAAGGTGCAGTTTTTGTATCCCAGCCCGTTGGTACCTCGTACTAAATTCAGAAAATTCTGCGTTGTGCGGGGAACAATGTCGTCCTAAGAAAAATGCAGCCAAGGAGCTGCCTACAAGCAACTCGATTACGACACGCTTGCTGTCCATGTTGTCGCCTCCGATTTCGAAAAACACCTTGGTTCTCCTGTTGTGTTCTAGAGATCGTTAATGCGAGAGAGATTGGAAACCCTTATTCGCCCACAAAGTGCTGGGCTTCGGCTTTACCTTCTGGAGCTCCTTCGCGCGATAATACCAATCCCAGCCACGACCTCCTCGCAAAGGGATCGTATTGCCCAGCACACGTCTCTACGGGTCACTAGAGCACTCTCACACCCCACTCCGATCGATAGAAAAGGCTGCATAAAAGAGAATGAGTTTCAACAAACATGGCAAAAACGTAAATGACCATTTCCATTTACATCGACGACGACGGAGGCACCACTTCCTGAGAGGCTGTTAACCCTCCCTCATGGTTCTGCTGTTTAGCAGAATCGGGCTTGTTCTCCCCATCGGCGGTCAGCATCTCCTCCTCCTTCTTCAACTGCACCATCTCGATGCTCTGCGCCTCGAGCAGCTTGTGCTGCTCGTTGGCGTACTCTCGGAGCGTGGGCTTTCTGCGGTTCACGGAGTCAGGCAGCAGGGCGGTGAGCGTCGTGTTGATGGCCTGCACCACGGCGATAAGCTACGCATTACCGGTCTTTCCGCTCCGGCCCACATAGAACGCACACCCGAAGTCGAACGGGAAGCCCAGGCCGTTCTTGTACGACCACGCGAAGACGTTGGAGCACACGGAGGGGCCCTGACGTTGAGACAAAGGGAGAGAGAAAAGAAAATACCACAAAGCGGCCGAAGGCGGACATGACCTGGCCGAGCCCGTTCACTTTGGCACGGAAATCCTGGTAGGTGCTGTTGGTGATGAACACCATGCCGTTCGTGGAATGAAGGAACGCCACGCGAGAGGAGTGGACCTCTGCGATCAAGGATATGTGACGAAGAAGAATCGGAAGCACTGCGACAGGCCGTAGGTGAAGAGGATGACGATCCATTGCCACACCACAGGCGCGCGATTCGCCAGCGCCGCCAGCGGACTCAGCAGCAGCAGGAACGCGTAGATGTACCCGGTCAAGTAGGAAACTTGCTTGTTGGTCATCAGCCGGGTGAGCTGCGGGAACAGCAGCGGGGTGGAGAAGATCTGCATGGGGCTCACGCCCGTGTAGAGCCAGCCCAGATCCGAGGAAGTGAGGGAGAAGCCGTGGTTCTCGGGCGAGTTGATCAGCCAGATCGGGTAGATCGCGTCCTGGCCGCCTTGGATGCTGCCGTAAATGCCTGGAGGTGAGGACAAAGGAGGGGAGGCATACCGTAGATAATGCAGCTCACCAGCACGTCGCGGTTGCAGATGAGAGAGATATAATCGCCCTGGTTCAGCTGGAGAATGTACCGATCGTCCACGCTGGGCACGTAGTCCGGGTTCTTTCGCATCGTCTGGCGAATCTCATGGTATCGCTTCTGGGTCTTCTTTTGCTCCTCGGCGTTGGCGATGCGCATGGCTTTCGTCAAACTCTCTGGAAGGAAGGCGAGCACCATGATCAGAATAAAGACAGATAGGATAGATCCAATGACGCAGGGAAGGAACAGAGGGCGATCTCGGATCCAGGGGAACTTCTGGATAAGTGAGGGAAAGTAAGACTCGGCATCGCCAAGGAAACCGCCCAAACTGGGACCGACAACACTAGTGATTAAGAGAGTGGAGCAGACACACTTTGCAATACCACCCATTGTGACGATGACACTAAAACCCAAAGACTGCATGTCTTCTGAACAGGTTTCACTGACATAGGTCTTGAGTACTCCGAGATTACCATTCGTAAAGCCCCAGAGCGTTCGAATAACTAACGCAACGTAGTAATTTGTAGATAGACCAAAGAATAAAGACAAAAACATTTGGCCTAGGTCATAGGGAGCAACGAAACAAACATGACAAACAGGAAATAATCGAAGTTTTTCGACCAAAACAATCTGCAAACCATCCCCAGAAAAGAGCTCCGAACACACCCCCTAAGGAGTAAGAAGAGACAATGTAGCCATAGTAGTATCCTACTTCTGTTTCGTTAATCTTGTCCTTATTCAAAATAATAGTGTAGTACGTTTGGAAACCACTTTTGCACCGCAAAAGGTAAGTTTGGGACAATAATCTGAAAACAGAATGAGTCCATAAAAGATGCACAAGCGACTGCCATCATCGCTTTCTTAGGGAAAATACCCTTCTTTTCTGGCATAAATTGGTTTAAACTATAAATGAAAATATGAGAATAGTGGAACTGGGAGTTACGTCATATGGAAAACACTATTGTTTGAACACCAAAAGCGCAGATTCAGACCCACCAATGTAAGCATTATCAAAGGACTGAGTCGCGCTTGCCCAGTTTAGATTTTGTGAACAAAACACACTTTAATGTGGTAGAACATGGAGTAGGCAGGACAATGAACCTTTTCACCAAACCATTTCGCTCCATCCGCTAAAAAGCCAAGAATGCATTTACCGCGGGAAATCTAACATAAACCTTTACTTGTTATTATTCTACCTGTAACGTTCGTTAGGTTTGCAGAAACTATAAAAGATAAACTATGAACCCTTTCTACGACGATAAACCGAAAAAGAAGCAACAGGACGAAGAAGAGTCTGAGGAGGACATTTTGAGTGTAAGTTCGGACGACGAACCAGTGAAGAAAACGTTTTGGTAGAGTGCGTTGGTAATCTGTAGGGAGAAGAAGAAGAAGAAGGGAAGCAAGGAGAAGGTGTGCTTGAATAGGATACCTCATGGCGTAGGGATCGAAAAAGGACAAGTCAAAGAAAAAGGAGAAGAAGAATAAAGTATGTGTACTTCTTTCATTATTATCTCGTAGAACAAGTCGGATAGTGATTCTGAGGAAGAAAGAGCAGGTACGGTTTTATTCGGATTCCATTCCGTAGCGGATTTGACTGCAGAGCCCACTATTGAAAGCGATTCTGACGAATCAGAAAAGTCCATGTTAGATCCGAAAGAATTCATTTTGGATTATGTGGATGGAGACGAGAAAGTCGCCAAAAAGGCTATGAAATTCCTGGACTCCTTCATGTAAACCTGCATTGCGTCCGTGAATTGTAGAACGGGAGAGATCAATTCCAAGAAACTCATTTCGCGGTTCATAAAGCTTTGTGGCATCGAGACTGCCAAGTCGTAATCCTCGCCTTCAATGAAGTGTAGGAACATTTTAAGCTCTCCTTCCTCTCTGCTTTCCGATTCCAAGCTTCAGGACGATTTGCGAAAGGCGGTGGACAGCTTCAACTGGCCGAGGTTCCCCACTGGTATTTGTAGTTGAATTGTAGCGTGATCACTTCGATCGAAGACCAGTTCCACGAGGAGAAATTCGTATGGATGTGAACGGGTTTTGATGTGTAGGAAGAAGACGACGAAGCGACGGTACGCAAAGAAACACAGCCATGATGGATAGTCGAAGCTGATAAAGGATTATATGGACATTCGCAAGAATGGATCGAAGCTGCGAAAGAAGGTGTCGTCCGTTTTAAAGAAGCTGGATAAGAGTACCTGTGATAGCGGGTGTGTTTACGGTGTAGAATCCCCTAATTATCAGAAGCTGCGTTCGTTGAAGAAGAAAATGCAAAGTTTGCAGGATGAGTGCGATGTAGGGTGTGTGAAAGAGGGTCAAATGAAAGCGTTGTGTGGATGAGCAGGACGTGGATGTGAACGAGCTTGGTGAACTGATTCTGCAGTTCAGCGAGACTGTGAACGACGTGATTTCCGTGCTGAACGAGCCGATGGACATCGAGGAGTCGAGCGTAGCCGCACGCTTGGAAGGTGAGGAATAGGACAGCGACAGCGACGACGACGGAAAGAAGAAGAAGAAGAAGTACACGAAGTCTTGAATCGACCTCACTCGCAGGATCCGAATGCCGAAGTTTGACGATGAAGACGACGACGATTCCGAGCGAAAGAAGCTGCAAATCAAGATCCGCAAGGCGGTTTATAAGGAGGTCATCAAGGAGCCCAACGGCAAGCTGAGCGTGTCCCACCTGGTTCTGGAGCCGCGCGGCCAAGCCGGCCTTCCCATCCAAGTCAAGAAGGACGAAGTGATCGGCTTCTGCTGGAAGGAACTCTACAATGTTCGATTTCGATCGGGTTTTGATCGTAGAGCCGCATGCTGTTCCGCAGCATTCTCTCGCTGAGCTCGATGGACGTGGAGGGCATTGAAGTGTAGGACTGATCAGGGTTGGGTGTGACGCGCAGGGTTCCGCTGCAAGTGCGAATCTCCGAGTATCACATGATTTACCGCGTTCCGGAGGACGGTGTGCTGCGATTGGGCTGGGACAACTCGCTTTCTCTGCGCAAGTCGAAGGAGCTGGACGTGTTCGTGAAGCGATTCGATGTATCCTCTGCCGTCATTCGATTCCGAATCTAGCCCGCAGCGGTTCCGAAGGTCATGGAGGAGGAGATGAAGCGTCGTGAGGCGTGGCGTTTGATGGAGAAGGAGGACCTCATCGAGGGCAACATCGAAGGCGGTCGCCTCACCTTGAAGCTGACCGAGCGAGTGATCAAAGAGGGCGGTCCGAAGTACACTTGTCACTGCGACTGGGAGAGCAGTAGGCGACGCAGAGGGGAGTTTGAGTGCCAGGCTCGCTGCAGATGAAGGCGCAGTGGGACGTGCAGTACCCCTATCTGGTGTGGCTGGAGTGGTACAACCTGCTCAAGTCGAAGTATCCGACGCGCATCAGCAAGATGGCGCCCTTCCCGGGAACCGCGTTGATGACGACAGCGCGTGTGGTGGAGATGCGCCTCACGAAGATCAACGCGTAGACGCGGAGGAGGTGTGGGACGTAGATTCTTCCAGGACCTGGTGCAGGATAGCTACATGATGGAAGTGCCGGAAGTGGTGAGCTGGTTCCGCTGCCAAGAGTACATTCGCCGAACGAAGCATATCCTTTTCGAAGCCAGAGGCAGGAAAAGAAAAGGGCGGCCTTAACGCTACGGGAGTATTATGAGAAGTTCAAGGCGGAGCGAGAGCGAAAGCAGAAGGAGCTGGAGGAAGAGGAGGAGAAGCGTAAGAAGGCGGAGGCGAAGGTTCCCGAGGTGAAGGAGGAAGAGCTGGACGACCCGCTCTCGTATTTGTGCGCTTAAGGAGAAGAGAGTGTTTGTGGAAAACAGGTGATGCTAACATCCAACGTGTGGCGGACAGCGCTTTCCCCAGCTTGCCGCAGTTGCCGTGTCCTGTGAGAATGGGTGTGTCTTCGGGATAGGACTAGGGTTGGACGGATCTCGACAGAACTCACTCGCAAACTTCGAACAGACGCCGAAAGGACCTTCGCAGAAGAGGTGCCGCGAAGAATGGGGATGTCGGACCAGCTAGGCGTTAGAGGTGCAGATCCTTTCTCACTCCGTGCGACCAATCGAATTCTCAAAGAGCACATCCCCGGTGATCATCAGGTTCTCGGATCCTCGTGTTACATAATAAACCATGCTTCCCTCGCTGTGTCCTGGGCAATGGATGCACTTCACTGTGGTGTCCCCGAAGGTGAATTCCTCTCCTCCTTTTAGCAACACTTCAGGATCAGCGATCGGTTCGATAGAATATGGAATATGGAAATCGTGAATTTGTTGGTTGACTCCTCTCCTATCCGTCAAGCAACTGGCTCGAACAATACCACAGCTTTAGATCTTCCTCGCCGAGATACGCCTTCCAATCTCCCGGAAGCTTCTGTCGGAGTTCGTTCATTGCCAGAATGTGATCTGCGTGTCCATGGGTGAGGAACACTGCCTCCACTTTTTCGATATGGATACCATTGAGGTAAGTAACGACATCATCTACTCGTCCAGGAGCATCTAGTCTAAGAAAAAATAGGTTATCGCACCAAAAATGATCGCCGTTTTTCTTTGAAGATCGCTTAGAATGAATGTGTTCGTGGAGAAGACACTATTCAATTAGGCCATTTTGGAGCCAGTACTTCGCAATTAAGCCATGAAGCAAATACCTGGATTCCATGTTCTTACTATACTGCTTCGCTTGGGATATAGCCAAGATCTCACAAAACAATAATAGTTTTGCTAGAAAAGAGATCATTATCAGTTTCGAATCCTTATTCCGCAGTGGATTTGGCAGAAAACACGACTATTTTGGAGTTTCATGGTGATTTTATCCAATCAAAAGAGAGTTACTCCACATCGGAATCGCACTTCATTTCGCGTCTTGTTTTGTCATAATAAAATAAAAAGTAGGGTTAGGGGGTGGATGTTGATATGTAGCATGTTTCTCTTATTGTCTAATCTCTTTGTTGTTCTTGACCAAACAACTTAAAATGTTGTTTATGGACGAATAAAGAATAACTAAACACAAGAGTCTAATAATAAACGATTCGTGTTAGTGAGGAATTGCATGGACCTTCGTGTCCTTTGCTTTCCATTTATGTGACACTCGGGGAGACAGCGTTGATACTTTGTTCTTCGATTAGAAATCGAGATATTATCAAAGTGCCTTCGCAACGTTTTTTTATTGTGTGACGGAACGGGTTTTTGAAGATCTTCGGGTTTTTTCTTCAAGTAGTGCATTCTCTGATAACAGCAAGGATCTCAACCAGGCGCGGACTTCGGTACAGCTCTAGGTTCTTCGGGAAAACTATCGGACGGATTACTTTACTATTACGGACTGGACACGGATGAACGGATAATCGGATGAACGGATGAACGGATAATCGGATATACTGATAAACGGACATGACAGGTCGACGGATGAGTGCTAGTGATTGTGTGTGCTATGTGAATGGTGAAAGTGCGGATGAGCATCTTCTCGTTCAAGCGAGCCATTGCGAGCCATTTAAGGCAATCTTGAGTGATGCGAAGCGGATAGGAACTATTCCGCATTATAATATAACATTCATGAACTACGGAGGGTTCATACGAGAGTGAGCGAAAGGAGTTTATCGCGACCGACATAATGCCATCAGGCTTTTTACGACACAATGAACTTTTCTACGACAAGACAGACGGACAGACGGACAGAGTAGCAAACAGACAGACTGACAGACAAGCGAATTACGGAATAACAGTTCAGAGATACGTAATAGAGGGCGTTCTCGTCTTCAAAGACGCTTCCAAGCGACCTCGCTTAATGATTTTTGGACCATGCTAGTACGGAATACTTCTTTGACTCAGCGCATTCTCTGTGCATTGTAGTTGCTCAAATGGATGTTGACTCGGAACTAAAAGAAGCAAGAAAGCAAGACAAGGATTCAAGCCAAGAATAAAACGAAACGAAACGAAATGAAGCAAAGCGGGAGAACACGTTTACACGGTTCGTTCTGCGTAGACCAATCTTCCCTTGGATAGCAATGAGCACTGGATTTGGACCATCTATGTACCCTTACTCTTTGACTTACGCGCTCTGCGCGGTTCTAGAGGATGACCATGCTATGAAATCTATGCTATGCTATGCTATGCTATGCTATGAAATGGAAAGCGATTTTAAGAATCGAAATTGAACGCCAAAGCGAACGCGAAAGCGAAATCGCAAAACGAAATGAAACGAAACGAAACGCAAACGCACTCAACGTGTGTCCCAGGGAATAGTTATAATGATTGGACCACTTTAAGTACCTGATACTTGTTGATTGATGCGCACATGCGCTTTGTAGAGTGTTGAAGAGCACAGGTCGGCCTAGCTAGCCCTAGACTTCAACTGTTCACACTTTAGTGACAATGACTTTCATCTTTTGACACTCACTCACTCACAAACTTTTGGACCGATTAAGTACGATGAAGCGATCATATCTAGTTCGATATGGGTTTCCATAGACTTTTGCTGCATGCGCGCGAGAGTTTTTTGGGATATAGATGATGAAGCGGGTGCACCCTTTGTGGTGTATGGTTGCTTGCTTCCTGATGTATCCTTTTTTCTCTTTCTAAGAAAGCTCGGTTCCTCCCGGCCATGGCTCATGATTCGTGGAAAGAGGCTTGCGGTTGAGAGAAAAGTTCCTGGAAATACTCATTGCTTTGTGATTGTTTTCATTGCCTTTGAGCTTCCATAGAATCTTTGTGTCTTAGTGAGATAGGAGAATTGATGAAATCATTCTTTGTCATTTCGTTCGTACACTAGGCAGGCAATCGAATCGAGACGCCACCTCAGAAACAACCATGATAATTGCCAACCAAAAACCAATTAACGAACCTATGGAAACAAGGTAGATTCTGGGTGTACCAAACCACTCTGTAGCGAGAGACCGAAGGATACGACTCGATACATAAAAATAGGTAATTTCGTTATTACCTCCATTGTTTGATAAACTACGCGATTTGGAGGGGAGTTGAGGAGAGAAAACTGTATAAAAATTATAACCTTTTGAAATAGACGCTTGAATGCTTTTGGGTAGATAATGCTTTGCAGTCTTTCGATTCAATAGAAACTTGCTTAGGAGCGACAGACAAATACAATGAATGAGATCGGTAAAGCGCACTTTGACCCATCTTTCAAAATTATTACCTCCCGACTTGAAATTAAATTTATATTGCCAACAGGAGTATAGGATATCCTCAATTTCAAAGCTCACAACATAATCATAATTAGTTCGTCAACCTAGCAATGAGTCGTTCCTCTGGATTGTCGAGTGATGCATACCGTCGAGAAATGGAGCAAAACATGACGGAGGAAGAGCGCATCGTTTTCGCGATCTACTCGCTTTATCCTTGTAGCTTGCTGCTCGAATGGCCAAGATTGCGGAGATGGCAGAGAAAAAGAACAGTCAGCCGAAAGTGAACAGCGTCCTGAAGGAAGTAACTTCCATGGTGCAGAAGAAAACGCCAACATTAGATACATCTATTTCCAAAACTGTAGCCACTTTCGTTGCGATGAACGCTGTAGACACCCGAAGTCCGAAAAGTCACATTCCTAACCAAAGCACAGCGTGAAAAGCTTCGAAAGGAAGAGGAAGAGAACCGAAAGAAAGAATTGGAAGTATTTGTCGTGTTTCTGCTTTTCTATCTTCCAGATCAAGCAGCGTCAGCACACCCGTCGTCACCACGAATTCAGTCGCGAAGAAGCTCTCGAAGCCGAGCAGCGCCGCAAAGAGGAGCGTGAAGCTTTAGAGCGCCGTCGTCAGCAAGAAGCGGAAGCTCCCAAAGAAGAGTCGATCCCCATGCACGTCCTTTTATCTAGAGAAGACGACTATCACAAAGCCATCGAGAAAGGCATCAAAGAGCAGTTCATCGGGAACGAGAAACGCCATCGCCGTCCGCGCTTCAAACGCAGCGGCGACCTGCAAATGGAGTGGAGCAACGAAGACGACACGAGCGAGAAGGACAATCCGCTCTACGCGAAGCGAGCCAAAGTGCATTTGGCCTTCGGGAAGGGATATGTCGTACGGGGAAACGGGGAAACTCGAGCATAGGCAGGGATGGATATGCGTCAGCAGCGGAAAGACAACGAATATATGGAGTCGCTGCTATCGATTCGCCGCCAGGCCGTACGAAGAAAAAGCGCGGGAACTCACGGAATAGGAGCGGGAACGCACGATTCCCGCCTCGCAGAACGCCGAGGAACTCAACCGGCAGCTCGTCGAAACCATCCACAAGCGCCAAATGGAGAAGGATGAAACGGTCGGAATGAAACTCCCTTGTGAGAGGTAGGCTTCGGTGCGCAGCGGAGCAGGCCACGGAAGTCACTGGAGCGAGAAGGAGCTGAAGGACATGACGCAGCGCGACTGGCGGATCATGAAAGAAGACTTCGAGATCCGCGTGCAGGGCGCGAAGCAGATCAACCCGCTTCGTTTCTGGTCGGAAGCCGCGGTTCATCCTGCGATTCTGCGAGCGATCGAGACGTTGGGGTAGGCGCAGCGCTGCGTGTGAAGAGCAGATTCAAAGAACCGACGCCGATCCAGCGGCAGGCGATTCCGATCGAGCTGAAGGGCATGGATATGATCGGCATCGCGAAGACGGGCAGCGGCAAGACGTGCGCGTTCGTGGTCCCGATGCTGCAGTACGTGATCCAAGCGCCCATCGAAACGCGTCTGCAGAGCAAGGAGCAGGGTCCGCTGGCGGTGGTGATGGCGCCAACGCGCGAGCTGGCGAAGCAGATCCGCGACGACGCGGAGAAACTGGCGCAGTTCTGCGTGGACGAGCGATTGGCGCAGTCGCGAAGCCCGCGGATTCGAATCGCGTGCATGGTGGGAGGCGAGTCGATCGTGGAGCAGTCGTCGTTCCTGTCGAACGGTTGTGATATTCTGATTGGAACGCCCGGACGTCTGCTGGACTGTCTGGAGCGTCATTTCGTTGTGTTGAATCAAACAAACTATATCGTGCTCGACGAAGCCGATCGAATGATCGACGAGGGCTTCGAGGAAAGCGTGAACGCCGTGATGGACGCCATGGGCAGCACGCTGAAGTCGGAGGAAGAAGAGGACATTGAGAAGGCAGCCGAAGGCGTGGCGAGCCTCACGAATATGTACAGAACCACGATTATGTTCTCTGCCACCATGCCGCCGAAAGTGGAGGCGATTGCAAAGCGATACATGCGATGCCCGGTCCAAGTCACGATCGGAACGCCCAGCGGAACCACCAAAGTCGATATCAAACAGATCATTAACATGGTGCGAGAGAGCGACAAGCCTTCCATGCTCTTGAAGGTTCGCTTCTCGGTGCGTGGCGTTACGAGCGTAGATCATTCGGAACAACGAAACGCCTGCGATCGTGTTCTGCAATCGCAAAGAGACTGTGGACACGGTCACGCGCAGTCTTCACGATAGTGGCCATCGCACCGTCGCTCTGCGCGGCGGAATCCAGCAGAGTCGTCGTGAAGAGGCCCTGGAAGACTTCAGAAGAGGCGTTTACGATATCATGGTCGCGACCAACGTGGCGGCACGCGGTTTGGACATCAAGGGCGTGAAATTGGTCGTGAACTACGATATGCCCGATTCGTTGGAGCTGTACATCCACCGAATTGGACGTGGAGTCTTCGTGTTGGAGTGAGGCGTAGGAACGGGCCGTGCGGGAGCGACGGGCCTCGCGGTTTCGCTGGTGACGGAGAAGGACAGCGCGCTGTTCCCCGATTTGGTGGAGTATCTCAAGAAGGAGAAGCAGCAGATCCCGATCGATCTGGAAAGACACAAGGTGGTGAGGGAGGCGAGCCAGCTGTCGAAGATGGCGGATACTCAGGACGAAGGAGGGACGATGGAGTTTAAGATGATTTGATGAAGGTTTGTTGGAAGAGAGATTTCGTATTTTTGATACAGTGATATGGATATTTTTACTGTAATAATAATAATTATTATTATATGACTTGAGATCACTTAGAGGAACGAATAATAGTAAAATAATAATAATAATAGAAAGTGAAAGTGAAAGTGAAAATCAACCCGTTTGTTCGCAAAACATAAAAAACACTAAAAAAAATGGCTACCATAACAAATCTTCATCAAACTCCTGTTCCCAATTGTCCTTCTTCTCAGGAACAATAAATCGCTGTTTCCTCTTCTTTTCCTCCTCTCGGATTTTCTTTCGAGCATCGTTTAATCGTTCTCTTCCACGCTCCTTCAAATCGGTAAGCTTAATCTTGTTTGCCTCCTGCTGGAAGGCTTTGGAGGCGCACGCCTCTTCAATCGTCTTCCCTACCACCTTCGTGATGGCCTAGACAATTAAAACATGATTCGACCCAGTACTTGCTTCAACTCCATCTGCTTACGAACCTTTTCCTGCTTGGGAGCAAAATATCGTTCTACGATGTCATTCCACCATAGAAAAAATACTTCCGGGTCGCAACTTCGTAACTTTCTTCTTCTGATTTGACTTCTTCTTCTTTTCTAATTTCTCGGCTGACCCTTCTTTACTACTTCCCTAAAACTAAAAAAACAGAAATAAATCCGACTTGAGCCATTTTCTAATATTATTTTTTGTTGACAATTCGTCTTGAGGTAGAACGAGACCAGCAGCATCCAGCTTCTTTTCCCATGCAGCAGCGGTCAGTGAAGCCAACAAAACGTGTTCTTGCATCCCTCCAAATTGCAGGTGGGTATGATTATTCTGCCGCTGAAAATAGAAGTGAAATACAAAATAGCAGAGAGTGTACGTTTTTGTATCTGCTTCTCAGTAGCCCTTTGGTCCGCTTTTGTGTCGAATCTTACAAGCGATAACGTCGAAATGGTGTCTACAACACTGCGAAGTATAAAAACGAAATTGATACGTTGCTTTGATGTCCGTGATTGAAGTCCAGGGTATTGCGCAAAACATGACTTGTCTTTGGAAACCTCATCATTGGTGCTTGCTTCGCTCACAAGTTGTTTTACTAAACACTATGCCTCACCCGTAATTGCGGAAGAAATCTTGAGGATCGCTTCATTCATCTATTCAGAGTGTTCTTCTTGTGATATTATTTCGTTTTTGTCCAACATTCTGAGGTATCCTTTATCCACCTCAAGTCTCGACATCATCTGCTCTCTCCTGCACTCCTGTTTGTTTTCTCTTTCATTCCCCATCATCAACCTCTCCTCCCTCCTCTATTACCTCATGAGTCAATCTCTCAGTGAGTCCAATCGAGAGTCCTTATCGCTTCTCTTCACCATTCCGATTTCATTTCGTTTTTATTTTCTTTTTTTCTCTCACTCTCCAGAGCCTCTTTGGATCTCTCTCTTAGACAGCGGGTTCTACACATTCCTCTTCGAATCTGAATCCCATCTACCCGACAGCAGTCGATCGCAACTCTGGGATTTGCTCTGCGATTGCGGCGACTTCGCGTTTCAAAACCGCGTTGCCATCAAGCGAATCGATCGAATCGGACTGAGCGAAGCGGCAGAGTGGCAGGAAGCGCACAGACGATTCAATCTCGCGTTGATTCCGATGTGCAATGAGCGATTACACACCGAAGAAGAGTCCAATCTCTGGAAAATCGTCTTTCTGGCAATGAATCGATCCGCAGACATGACGTTTTTCGAACCGATTCTCCTGTTTCTGATCGAATTCGCGCACTCCAGCGAACTCATCGATTCGTTTCTCAGCGAAATCCAGTCGAATCGCCTCGTTCTCCCCCCTTCGGTTCTGTCGAAGCTCCAATCGCAGTCGCTGTCGCTGCATTCGCGCACCGTCGTGCTTCAATTCATCTACGACGGCAAGCAGAGCGATCGTCCGACGTCGCCCACTCTCCGATCCAGCCGCTTCTGGAAGGAGGAAGCGCTCGATTTGTATATTGGGGGCATTCCCCGCGATCCGAAATCGATTTCGATCGAACTTCGGAACAAAATCGACCCATTGGCGCAGCTGGTGATGACCAATCAGCGCGCGTCGCATTGTTTCCATCAGATCGTCGCGGTGTTGCGAGTCTGCGACAAGGCGACGCAGCGAAGCATCGTCGACTACATCTTGCAGGTCCACGAATCCTTTCCGATTCGCGTAGTGCAGCTCATGAACGGCAGGAGCATTCGAATCGAAGACGCCGTCGAGATGATGCGTCTTCTCATGACATTCCACACGTACAAAACGTGCTCCGTCCTCAAGCAGCACGATTGTCTCCTCACACGCGACTGCTTCCGCAGCCTCCAAAGCCAGACGTGTATTTCTTTCCCGGGCGGTCGATTGTAGCGCGATGGCGAGGCCCCATCGAAGTCCGCAGAGCGTGGAGCCACGTCTGCCACGATATTCTCCGATCGCGCTCGACGCACTCTTCGATGATGCGGCAGTTATCGCAGTGGATCGCGTCTCTGCAGGATCGGCTTCGCTATCCGCTCGATGCGGACGTGATCGGCGATTTTCAGAGCGTTACCGATTATCTCTGCGATTTGCTGAAAGAAGAAATCGGGCTTTTGAAGGACTGCGAAGCGGCGTTAAAGCTGATCGGTCCGCTTTTGCAGTGCGTTGCGTCGTTGGCGTGCGTGGACGAGCTCTATCCGATCGTCCTGCGGAGCCACGTTTTTGTTCATTGCATGCTGCTCTGCCGACGATCGCTGGACGCGGAGCTGCGAGCCACGCTGCTGAGCTTTCTCTTGGCTTGCAGCAGCCATCCGGAATGGTTCGAAGCGTCGGTGCAGCAGGGACTTTTAGCGATGATTGTGGCGATGCGAGAGCGAATCAAGGAGCGACGCGAAGTGTGCTTGTTTCTGTTCGTGTGCTCGGTTCTGGTGCGATACAGTGAGGATTGCTGTGGATAAGGGCTGATAGATAGACAGCCAGCTGGTTTTCGATTTGTTTTCGCTGCAAGAGTTGCGCCAAATGGTGGTGGCGATGCACTACAAAGATCCCATTCTGTTGCGGTTTACGATTTGCTTTGTTTGTTTTCCAACCAAACAACCAAAAAATCAACCAACCAACCAACCAAAATAACACATCATTGCGATACAACAGAATCGTCCGAATCTACAGAATCACGCACTTCTTGTCCTTCTCTTCTCGCTCTGCGGCCTGCTTCAGCTGTGTTTTCGTCACGATGTTCTGATACACCTTCGACGACGACGACAATCTCCGGATAATCGAAATCTTCTCGTCGCTTTCGCCCCGCTCCTCCATAAACCGATGCACTTCGTTGTAAATCAGATTCCGACACATCCGCATCATCGACTCCTCGTCCATCTCCCCAAAATCGAACGGCATCACCAGCGACCCCGCGAACGGTTTCTACTTCTCACCCCGTTTCCACGATTACCTCCGCCTCGGGCAGATGCATCCCCTCGAAATACGGAGAAATCATCGCTTCCTGCGCGGTGATTCGTTTCTTCGGGTCTACGCCTCATTGCCGCGCTTTTTTCCCACCAAATCGAAGCATCTGCGTCAGCAGTTCGATCGCCGCGTCGTCCGCATGCGGCAGCAATTCCCGGAACCCCTTTCCCTTGATAGGCTCCAGTTCCTCCAGAAATCGGCGCATTTCCGGATCGCTCAGCTCGCGAATCTCCTCCCTAGTTTCCACGGTTCCACCTTTCCCTACACCGTCGGACTCCCGATAATCTCGAAGATCTTCAGCAGCTGGTGCGACTTGCTCTCGAATTCCCCGCGCAATTTCTTCGCGTCCGCGCGGGTCACGTGCTCGCTTAGCGGGTAACAGCTTTTCCCGGGAAATAGCGGCTTCGGCTTCCCGATCGCCGGCTCCAGCGTCTGCAGAAGCTCCGCCTAGATGAAAACCCGCGGGAATTGCTACGAAAATGCAGCCGATCGACCAGATGTCCACTGCGTAGTCGTAGTGATGCTAGGAATCAGGAATAACCGCGGGAACCGACTTGCAAGGTGATGACTTCGGGAGGTCGGTACCAACGCGTGGCGACGTGGCGAGTGAGCTGGCGTTGCGGAAGACTCAGTGTGGGGAGGGTTGTGTCGGAGTCCAAGCGAGGTAGCGCATCGGATTGGATGATCATGGGATTGGTCTCGGCGACGGTGATGGGCTGGAAGAACTGCTCGGAGTGGTAGTCTTTGTTGGGAGCGACTCGGCGCGCAAGGCCGAAGTCGATGATGTGAATTCCGCATTGCTTGTCCATGAGGATGTTTGAGGGTTTGATGTCGCGGTGCATGATGCTGGCACTCTAGAATGCTTAGGAGAATAAAAGAGGAGATACGCTGAGATAACGAAGGGCGCAGATCATTTGGTACATGAGAAACTTCACATGTTGAGCGCTCCAACCTTCAATCGAATTATGCGTTTCTATAATCTTTTGAAGGTCCCAACCACCATATTCCTATTTCATCACATAGAAAGATGGTGTGTACCATGACGATCCAAACGCTGTTAAACGTGTCCTTGTCCTTTGGAATATAGGCATCTATAATCTTGCAAATGTTGGGATGATGGCATTGGCGCATAATAGAGATTTCTCGAAGAGATCGAAGGGCATCTTCCTGGTTATAGAAAACATGGTGCATGTATTTGATGGCCACACTATGTAGTATGAAATAATCTGTAAATACTTCTCATTGGTGGCCTTTTTGACACCCAAAAACACAGTTCCATAGGAACCAGCCCCTAGTTGTCTTTGAATATTATATCGCTTTTCCATGTAGCTAGGGATTTCTTTCATATACGATGTTGGTGAGTATTGCTATAGTTCAGGAATATGGGATGCACAAACCATTTTACTATTCAATTATATTATTGTTTACAGCACAGATAGCACAGACAATTGAGGAATAATGATGATTCACTGATATCGGAAAAGGCCTGTATTTTTGGCAAATATATCATTTGCCTAAGAAAGGAAGATTTCGAAGAGTTGCTTGCAAATATGTGCTGCAACACGTCTCTGCAATGAATCCACACAGTTTGCCTTTCGTAATTTTAATCTATAAAAGGAATATGCTTCTTGGTTTCCAATATGTGTAGCCCTCTATTCTTGTGTTTATATAGCAAAGCATTAGTAATGGTCTGTACGACCAGGCTTTTGACGATATGTGTATTGGAAGTTCTCTTCCTCTCTTTTTTATTTGTTTTGAAGCAAAATCAGTTCTGTACACTTTATAGTGTTTTGCCTAACTGTATTTTAGCATCGTAATAATGGTCACTTTGTGACTTCAAAGAGTTTACAATCGATTGACAAACACAATACACCATAAAGTTTGTCATTTGAAACTTTGCTACCATCCTATTCGTGTTTGCGTATTTTCATAAGTCGTTTTATGATCTACAATGTCTTCAATGTAATCCACAACAATAAAGTTGAATTTGTGTGGTACGGATCATCATCATCATCATCATCATCATCACTATTTCTTCCATTCGTCTCTCACAAACAATTCAAGAATCCACAATTCTGTAAGTAACATATTTTCCTGCAGTCTCGCTCTTGCGGACAATTCTAAACACTTCTCCCTTTTGAGCTCCAAAGTAACGAGCCACAGGATCCAGCTTCTGAATACGCGGCAGCTGCCTTTCTTCCAGTCCGTATTGCTTCAACAAATCCGCCTTTTCCTGGGGCTTGAGCAACTGGTGCTCAGGAACAAGCTCGTGCTCTGTGATATCCACAACCAATTCGTCTTCTTGGAAACTTTCAACGATTAAATTCTTCTTTGAAGCGGAATTGGCTTTCTACAATGAACACCCTTTACAATCCCGACCTTTTTGGCTTCTGAAGTCAGTTCACCACCAAACACCAAAATAATTCTCTTTACATTCTCTTCCGATGAGACCTTTTCAATTTTCGATTCAAAATCTTTCCCGTTAATCTACAAATCATCCAATATCCAGATTCTCACTTTTTTATCCACAGAACGAATAAAGAACACCACAACACGATCATCTTCGTCTTCCGTTTTACGAGACTAGAAATCAAACCCACTCTTCAATATATCACGATAATCGTCAGTTTGAGGAGATCCGGATTCGTCTCTGCGTCACAATACTACCTTGTTACTATTCGACAAAACGTACGTCTTTTACGAAGGTGTCTAATGTCATGCTTTGATCCTTATCACTGATAGCATAGCCACGCTTCGAGAGCATCTTAAACACCGTCTTTCTCACACGAAACAGTTTTGTAGTGCTAGGGTTCACAGCTCCGTTCATATTTTATGAGAAAGAATTCTTTGCGTAGTTCTGGAAGTCAAATATGACGAAACTCATTTTACAATGGCAGTTAAAACTTGATTTTACTAGGATAGTTTATGACACGATGCTTCATTACGGAATACAACATTGTACATGGATTTCGCACAATCAGACTAGGAATGACGATCATTCACTGTTCATTCATTATTTTGCATTAAAACAATTGTACAATCATTTGCAACATACAATTCGTACGATACATTGTTCCTCATAGTTTTTGAGTCGTTTGAACAAACTATCACATTTCTATTTTAACCATGAGCTCTATTTTTAATCACGAGCCTACCGTGTCCGGGTCTTTGATTTTGGATGATTTTGTGGAAGTTGCCTAGTTTCCGGTGTATTAATCGTAGTGTCGAACGAAAGACGTAGCAATTCATTATCCTCCGAAGGATTACCCACGAGTGCCGAGATACCTCCGGAGACGTGCTACTGCAAATGTAAGAAATCCAACCTATTACTCTAAAAACAATGTAGTCATTGATAATGTCTATTATGCAAAGCCCTCCCTCAATCACAAACGGGACCCTAGCTTACGTTATTTGGAATTACACAATTGGAATGCAAAAAGAATGCGAATGGAGCCATTATGGGGATGGATGCTTCCCTATTCTCATCTGCAACGTGATGTCGGCTACTTTTTAAAAGTTCTTTCTATTTCCTTCTTGTTATTTTCATAGAATGTTCGAAAACGACCCCTAGTTCACGATCTATCGTACATCGAAATGTTCTCTCTCCAAGGCGAATCTTCTTCTCTGCTTTCTCTTCTTTCCTCTCTGGTTCCCCATTTCCCCATTTCTAACACACAGAGCCGCACATCCGTGCGTTTCCAACCTCACCAAACGCTCCCGCTCTTTTCTTCGCTCGATGAAACTCCCTTTCATGTCGGTTCGATCGAAGTTCTGATGGATTCTCCCTCCTTCTGCCTTGTCCTCGCCCATCCCGCGGTTTCCGACGCTCTTTCCGCGTTACTTGCTCATTTCGCTGATTCCTCGTTTTCCCCGTTTCCACGATTTCGAATAGAATTCGATGGTCTTCCTGCTCGGACTTCGCGCTTTTCGCTTTGCGCGGCAATCAATCTTCGTCTTTTTTGACCACTTTGACCGACCAATCCGCTTCCTTTGACGGAAATTCCCGCGTTTTTTTCATCCCCGAACCCCGATCACGTGCACCGTATTACGCTCCCGAGTATTACTCGCGGGAAACCGGCCATTCCTTACCGCCCCGCGTTTATTTCCCGCCAAATCAGCCGGCTTTTGGCCACCGACAGCCCGAAAAAGGCGGGAAAAAGGGAGCATCGAATGAAACGCCCATCCAATCGAATGAAACGCCCATCGATTCGTGGAAACTCCCATCTGAAAAGGCCCTTTCCTGGATCGCCAGTTTCTCGGTTTCCCCGCGGATTCCCGGTCTTGCAATCCCGCGGGAATTTGCGTTTGGCGGGGGATTCGATCTCCTGGTTCCCCGATTGGCGATTCCCGCGGTTTGGACGGCGATAACGCGGACCCCTGCGATGATCGTAGCATTCCCGCGGTTCTGTGAGGCCTAGTGTTCATTGGAGGAATGGCACGTGCTCCACACTTCCTTCGGAGAACCTCTGTAGCATCCCCGCGGTTATCGTCATCGCTAGATTCCCCTTCGACTCTCCGGACACTCCCGCGGGGATGGAGCGTTTGTCGCGGTTCTACGCCCCCGCGGATTCTGCGGGCGTTTCATCGGCGCGGTCGACGCGCGGCGCGCTGCTTCGCACGTTGGAATATGTCAAGACCGGCCCTAATGGAGAAACTGGGGAAACTGGAGAAACTGGGGAAACCGGGATGCTGGTAGAAGTGTGTCGCGGGACGAAACTCCGGGCGTTTCGTTGTCTGCGTGCTGTGAATCTGCGAATCATTGGACGCGGATCGGTGAAACTCCCGTGTGCAGTAGGAATAGTGTTCCGATGCGTGACGAGCAGATCCGACGGCCCTCTGCGGAGGATTTGAAGCAGAACCGCGGGAATCATTTCATTCCTCCGGAAAATGTGGGTTTGGCGGGAAAAGATGAGCGATAGAACGAGATTATTGGATTTGTGTCGTCGTCGGTTTATTCGCCGAAGGCTTCGTCGTATGTAGCGATTGGCTTCTGCGCAGCGATGGAGCTGCAGCGATGTTTTGATGATCAAGGGTCGTATCCGACGTGTGTTGTTCTTTTATCGAGCGAGTCGCTGGATTCGTCTCATTTTGCTCGTCTTACTTTGGTAGTGTTCTGTGTTTGTTTCAGCAAACAATTATCTTTTACTGGTTTTTCTTTACGTCGTATCTGGCGTTTCTGTATCGTGAATCATCTGAAAAGCTTATAAAATGCCAGGTATCTTTGTTGTGGAGAGAAATCGTGTACAAACACTTACTTTGTGTAGAAGAGAACAAGGAACATACAGAGCAAGTCGTTGCTCAGGAGGGTGAAACTGTAACAAAGGAAACTGTTGATATCTATGAAGCTCAAGGATATGTTGCTGAGGAATTCATAGAGCAGCGCGAATACAATGAGGAAGAGCGAGGATACTTTGATAGCGGGTATATGACTCTTCCTGATGAAGATCCTGATGAAGACAAGACGAAGTTTGTATATCCTGAGAACTACCAGGAAATAGCCGACATGCAACTTCGGATTCTGGAAGAACAGTACAAAGCGGTCATTAGCGGAACAACGCTTCCTACAGATACTCCGCTCGGTCTTTGTTGATTTTTCGACTGATCCTTAGAGGAGCTAAAGAAAAAGAACGCGTCTCTATTGCCAAAGCCTCTAGATGTGGTGGGGGATGACGATGTCGAAGCGTCCCAAAAGAAGAAAACGACGAAGGCAAAAGCAAAAGCGAAGGCGAAGGCGAAGGCGAAGAACGCTTCCGCCAAAAAGGACGAGAAGAAGACGTGGACGCGCGAGGAGATTCTGAGCACGTTCCTCCCTCCGTCCAAGCAGCGGACGAGTCGACGCGCAGCCCCGAAGAAATCGGAAGCCAAAGAAGCCAACGAAGCCAACGAAACAGTGGAAACAGTGGAAACAGTGCAGAAAAAACCCAAAGAGAAGAAGCCAATGCCGAAGGCGATCGTGCGCGACGCGCCCGCCAAGCCGACCATGGAAGAAGCAGGTAGATCGAAAGGAGAGCGGCTCGATGTGAACGTAGATCGCAAGGAACTCATCCAATCCACCATGAAATCCATCCAGATCGCGCACAAACCCAAGTGGGCGTCCAGTACTCTCCCCATCCTCTCTTTCTATCCTTTTAGACATGACCGACGACCAGCTGGACGCGCTCGTGCAGCAAGCCGCCAAGGACATCGTTTCCAAATGTCTTGTTTGTTCAACAAACCCGCCAACACAACTCCTCGGTGCGAACCCGCTTCGTTTCTCCCGCTCCCTTCGCTTCCTTCGCTTCTCCCGCTTCCTTCGGCGCGGCCTCCGTCCGCTTGCTTCGCTTTGCACTCTTCCGACTGCTGTACCCCGTCGACTCGTCGCTATCCGACTCCGCCTCGCTCAGAATCTCCTCCTCTTCCTCGTCGTTATCCGTCGACGCCGCGCTCTCCTCCTCCTCCATCGTCTTCCACCGCTTGCTCGCCATCTGCGCCGCGCGTCGCTTCGTCGGCCTCTCGCCCGGCTCGTTCCCCGCGGGAGCCTCGGCCACGGGCACGGCTCGGCCTCGCACAGCGCGCACTCGGCCTTTCCGCGAGGTCTCCATGCGGAGGCAGCGCGGGATGTACTTCTTGCACTGCTCCGCGCCCTCCAAACCCTCGATGCACGCCGCGATCTCCGGCATCGCGTACCCGAAAAACTCGGGACCGCTCACCGCCGTGCCGGTTTTGCCGAGACCCATCGCCTTGCGCTCCTTGCTCACGCGCTGGAGAATGGTGGTCCAGCAGGCCGTGGCGGTCTGCGCGCGGATGGGATGGTCGGGATCGTCGGAAGCGGTCACGGAGAAAATGGGACCCTACTGTCAAAAATCGGGGCAATGGCGTACCTGATGACCCCCTTCGAGAATCTCGTTTATATATTCGACGTGCTGCGCGGGGTGGATGAACGAGAGATACACCTTCACCGACCTACGCCTCATTTCGCGGCCTTTTCGCTACCGGAAGCCGACCGGCCAGATGTATTTATCGCTGTGGTACGACGGCCATCGCGTCACCACGCTCCCCAGGTTCCAGAACTCCACGCTCCGCACGCGCATCGGGAACCGCACGTGGCTCACGATGCTCTTGGCGCGCTCGTAGATCTGCACGCGCACTTCGTACGAGATTCGCGACGGACTCATCCCCAACTCGCGCACCTCCTTCTCCATCTCCAGCCATTTCTGGTAGTACGACAGCGCGTCCGACGACAGCTGCGCGCGGGAAACGCTGTCCCGCGGGAGCTTGGGGATCGACGCGGGGGAGTCGGAGGGAGCCAGGAAGCGGGAGTTCCAATAGAGCGATTTGCGGACCTGGACGCGGGACGGGAGAAGCGCGCGCTCGCCCTGGAAGGTGACAAACACGCGGCAGGGCAGCGAGGACACCTCCACTTGGTCGTTGGACGAGCCAGACGAAGATTTGGCGGGCTTGGACTCCGGTTCGGACGGGTCGGACGGCGGGGCCGCGGGCTCCTCGTCCATCTTGGCGGGATCCGAGAACTCGTAGCGCGTTTCGTACTCGTCGTAGACTTTGAAGACCTCCACGAGCGACTGCAGGCGTCGAATCGCGTGCGCAGCGATCAGTCCAGGAACCTACACGTCAGCGCGGCGCCTCTCCGCCCACGATCAGACTGCGATCCACGGTCTTCATGCTCAGCAGCGCCGTCTCGTTCGCCGTCGCCTCGGCATTGCCCGCCGTCTCGGCACTGCCGGCCTTCTTCTCGCTGACGGGCTTGGTGAAGGGCATTTCCGGATCGGACCAGAGCAAATCCCACTCGATGCCCCACTTGCGCAGGCCTTTGAGGAGCGCCATATCGTGGATCTGCACGTTCCAGCCCTCCGATAAGTGGTCCTGTCTGCGCGAGCCATCCATCTCCCAGCGAGTGAGAATGGCGCGCATCGTGGGCTCGTCCTTGTCCCACACGTACTGCTGGATCTCGTAGTACAGCTGCAGTCGGCGGTACAGTCGCTGCCCCACTGTGTTGCTCGGAATGATGTCGTTCTTGTCCTCCTTCTCCTTCTCCTTCTTCCCTTCCTCGCCCTCCGGATGCGCCTCGCGACTCGCCTGGAACCGCTCGATCGACCGCTTCTCCATCTGCCGCACCATGCTCCGCACCTGGTCCGTGGTCTTCGACTTCAGCTTCGCCTGCACGCGGAGGAACTCGAACGGGCCCAGCCGGTTCCCGAAGAGTCCCAGCGTGCGCTGCGAATCGCTCCAGCTCGCCGGGTACATTCCCAGCCAGGCTCGGTTCTGCGCGGCGTCCAGCAGCAGCGCCTCGCTCTCCTCCACGTCCTTCTTCGCAGCCTCCGCCTGGGAGCCCGTCGGTTCCGAGGCGTCCGCCGCGTCCGCCGGCTTCGCCTTCACCGCATCGCCCACCTTCATGTAGACTTTCTGCACCGCGCCGCTCAGCACGCTCGCCGCCACCGCCAGCCGCGTCTCCAGATCCTCCTGCTCCGCGGTGAGCGGGACGTTCTCCAGCGAGAAGATGACTCGGTCCTTCCGGCTCTTCGGCGCAACGCCCTTCCCGCGGTGCGGCTCGCGCTCGGGGAGGACGGGCGGGACCGGAATGCCCCAGCGCTTGATGGCGTTGCGGAGGCTGCGGAGCTCGGCTTCGTCCCATTCGCTGGTGATTCCCGCGCCGTTGGACCCGCTCTTGAGCGAGGCGAGCGAGAACTCGCCGGCGCCCTTCTTGACGAGCCGCTGCATCGCGCTGACGAGGCGGTGCATTCGCTTGATGACCAGGTGCGACGCAGGGAACACCTTCGCGTCGCTCTCGGAATTGCCCGACCCGGGCATTGCCGGAGAAGGTGTGGTCGGAGAGGCAGGAGACGAAGCAGGATTGGCGGGGGACGAAGCAGGATTGGCGGGTGTGGGCGTATTGGCGGGCGTAGGCGTGGGAGAGGCTTCTCCCTCGTCGACAATAGGCTCGGTAACCGCGGGTCCGTTCCACTGGACGCCCTGCTTGGCGAAGCAGAGGTCCGGGTCGATGCAGATCTCGCGCCAGTTGTTCCATCCGTGGCGCTCAACGCCGATCAAGCAGTCGTGGTCCTCCTGCATGGTCCACCACACCGCGGGAAGCGCCGCGCGCTGGGGACTGGGGAGACGGAGCTCGCCGTTGAGCTCGACGTGGAAGGCCTTGCACGAGGCGTGGAGCTGATGGAGGAAAGACATCTGCTTCAAGTGCTTCTCGTAGACTTTGATTTCGCGCTGCCACCAATTCATGTTGCGCACCAACGCAGGGAAGGAGTGTGGGAACGCGATGGACTCCGTGTCGCCGGCTTCGGCCTGGCGCACACTCTCCAGCACCGCCGCGCAGATGTCGTAGCTGTCCCGCAGATACTCCAGCGCCTCGCGCGCCTGCTGGCTCACGCGCGTGCCGCTGCCGCCGAACCCGTTCTTTCGCATGGAGTCGTTCTCCATGAAGATTTTGGCGCGCGCGGTCTGGCCGATGAGGCAGAGCGCCACGATCTGCACCGACACGAGAGGGTGCTTCTGCATGCGCTCGTCGGCGTAGATCTGCTTCCACTGGCCCCATCCGTACGTCAGCAACTACCCCTCATCGCCGCCTCCAGTCCCTACCAAGCGCATCAGCGTATCGCGATCCACCTTCGTCCAGTCCGTTTCGTCGGTCAGCACGACGAGATCCGGCTCATCGCCCTGCGCGACCGCGTATTTCTTCCCCGGAGTGCGCGGACCCAGAACGTCCGGCTCGCTCTTCAGCCCCACGATCTTCGTCCAGAAGTTGGGATCGTTGATATCGACCTCGGCCGAGCTGTCCGTGACGAACGACGCCTTGCTGTACGACGACCCGCCCTGCGAATCGATCGTGATCACCTTCGTGTTTTCCTCCAAGATCTGGTCGATATCCGCCTCGCAGAACGCATTGCTCAGCTCTTCCGAGCGGCCTTCGCGCTCCTCCTTAAAGAAGTCGTACGCTCCGTACTTCAGGAGCGTCTCGGCCTCCTTCCGCGAGATTTTCTATCGCTCACTCGCCTCGATGGCGCGTACCTTCACCTCCACCTGCCTGTCGTCGTTCACGTTCTGGTTCAGCGGGTTCAGCACGGCTTTGTCCAGACCCAACTTCAGATTGGCGCGCTGGAACATCTCCATTTCGTACGTCCGGTTCGTGATCAGGCGGTACACCTTCACTGCCTTGTCCTGCCCGATGCGATGGCACCGCGCCTGCGCCTGGATGTCGTTCTGCGGATTCCAGTCCGAGTCGTAGATGATCACCGTGTCCGCCGCGGTTAAATTGATGCCCACGCCGCCGGCGCGCGTGCAGATCAGAAAGATGAAGCGGTCGCTTCCCGGCGCGGAGAAGCGCTCGATGGCTGCCTGGCGATCGTTGCTCTTCACGCCGCCGTCGATGCGTTCGAAGAGATAGCCTTTGAGAGTGAGGTAGTCCTGGATGATGTCCAGCATGTGCGTCATCTGGCTGAACAGCAGCACGCGGTGGCCCTGCGATTGCAGCTTGGGGAGCAGCTTGTCCAGCAGCACCATCTTCCCGCTGGACGTGAGAAGCGCCTGCAGAACGAGCTCCTCGCCCTTCCACTCCGGATGGTTCTCCTCTACAGCTCAGACGTCGGAGGCGGGAGTACGGATCTCGAGCATGATCGAACTCTCCGCGCCGCGGATGAGATAGGGGTGGTTGCAGCACTTCCGAATCTCCATCATGATGTTGATCAGCGACGGCAAGTTCTTGCTTTCGTTCCCAATGCTGCGCTCTCATCCTCGCCTCGCTACCTACAACACGCTCGTGTTCCGATCGTACACCGCGCGGTAGAACTTCTTCTGCATCGCCGTCATCTCCACGTTGATCACCGTTTCCTCCTTCGGCTTCAGCGACTTCTCCACGTCCTCCTTCATTCGCCGCAGCATCAGCGGCTTCAGCAGCGTGTGCAGCTTCTCCAGCTGCGCCACGCCCCGCATATCGCCGAACTCCGCCTGGAACTGGTCCACGTCGCCGAACCGCTCCGGCTGGAGGAAGTTCAGCAGCGTCCAGAGCTCCTCCGTGTTGTTCTGCGCTCGACTCCGCCCTCCTCGCCTACCTGCAGCGGCGTGCCGGTGAGCAGCACCTTGCAGCCGAAGTTCATGGTGCGCAGCATCTCGCCGAGCTTGTTGTTCTTGCCTTTGAGCCGGTGCGCCTCGTCCACGATCACGCCGGACCACGGAATGGACTGCAGCAGCGCGCTCTCCACCAAGCAGATCTCGTAGTTGGTGATCAGCACGTCGAACTCGCCGATCTTCGAGCGCCATTCGTACCGCAGGATGTTCTCGCGCGATTTGACCGTGCCGTGGAAGATCACCACGTGCATGTCCGTCCACCGGCGAATCTCCGCCTCCCAGTGGGGAAGCGTGGAAACCGGAGCCACCACGATGAACGGGTATTTCAGCTTGTACTTCTTGAGAACCGTGTACATGAACAGCGTGCTTTGCGCCGTCTTCCCGAGCCCCATTTCGTCCGCAAGAATACTGTTCCGATTGTTGATCCAGTTCCAGAGAAGCCAGTTCACGCCCTCGATTTGATAGGATCGCAGCTGGTTGCCGTCCTTGAACTCCGCGTTCTTGTCGATCTTTTCGTACTTCTGCAGCGGCGGCCGATAGTTCGGGTCGTGGATCTGATCCGAGATATCGCGATTTCTACGCTCAAACTCGCCTTGCGGCCCTACAAATGCTCGTAGTACGCATCGATCTTCTCTTTGTTCTGGAAGTCCTGGAAGATCTCCCAGCTCAGATCCTTGTACTGCAGCCCGTTCCATTTAATCCGGAACTCCTTCACGAAGTTTCCGTGGTCTCCGTACTCCGTAGGCAACGACAACGCATCGATGTCCTCGTTGCCCTGCACTTGGATGTCGTCCATCCGCACTTTCGGAACGATCCGCACGTCCAGCACGCGATCCACCTCCAGAAAGTCGGGATTGAAGTACACGTCCGATCTGTACGCGCTCAGATTGAACAGCAGATCCTGCTCCTTCTTCTGAAACAACTAGGCATTGCCCATCCGATCCAGTTCTACCTTGATTTTCGATTTCATGCGAGGACCTTCCAGATCCATTAAACGCGCCTCCGACTCCCACGAGCAGTGCAGATACGAGAGATTTGTCCACTTCACTAAATACAACTCAACCTTCTCTTGCTGCTCTGCATGTTATTTTTTTCTTTTAAAACAAATTGAATACCCGCTTCGGAGAGGTTTGTCCAACGGTCGGTTTCGAGGCGGCTTCCGTTCACGATATAGCGCGTGTTCGATGTACGCAGAATGGGAAGCCAGCAGTAGATGGGAAGCGTTTGGCGGTAGATGAGGGCCTCGACATGCAGAGAGAGGTCGACGTCATCTCCTAAAGAGACTCTAAGTATAAACTTAAATACGAGCAGCGGACACGATCGTTGAGGCGTCTGTTTCTTCTCCCAGGTCGTCAGCCTGGGCATTGCGAGAACGCCTCTTCCGACTCGACACTGAGACTATAATAGACGCGCGAAACAATCCGTACCAGTGCGTTTTGGCTTTGATGGTTCATCATCGTCCTCAAGTTCGATGCTATCTTCCTCCTCTTCCTCCTCATCCTCTTCGGTCATCTCTTCATCGTTTGCGGTTTCCGATTCGGGTTCGGTGGTCTCTTCTTCTGTTTCCTCTGTCTCCTCGTTATCCTTGTCGAATATGTCGCTCGCGGTATCTTCCTCCCAATAGCCGTCCGTAGGATGATCCTTTTTTCGTGCAGACCCCTTCTTTTGCCCCTTCCTAGATTCAAGCATTAGGACCGTCCCCGTCATCTCAACGCAAAAAAACGATTTCAACAACCATTTTCTCATGCTATCCTACCTGCTTTGCTCTTCCGAAGTCATTTCAATAAAATCAAACAATGATATCTCTATTCAATCTAATAAAAAAATAACCCCAGAAAAAGGTGTGTTGTTCCGAAATAGCCACAAAAGACGAAACAAACTCTACGAAGAGCCGCGAGCAAGAAGCCTCCCTTCCCCGCGTAACCTCCGAATTTCAACAAACAACGCACAGTCCAGAAAACAACTTAAAATACACACTGCTTCCCTTTTACACCACCGTCGAGAACTGTTCCAACTCATCGCTCAGACTGCTCAGATACAGATAGACGTCCGTTCCGTACCCCTCCATCGAGAACAACTACGCATCACATCACGCCATGTCCCTTCTCTCACCTTCATATCCCCTCCAAAATACCTGGAATAAATCCTCGACACGGGGAGTCCATATCCCAGCCCCGCGTAGTGATCCCTCATCACAGGCGAGTATGACAACAAGTTATCAATATGTCCGGATTCCGAGTCGATTTTGTTGTTTTTGATCGCCTGCGTGGCCGAATGCGTGTAGTATTTATCCTCTTTCCCATCTCCCATGAACGCATAATCCTTCTTTATGTGGCTATTCAAGTATAAGTCGTGTTCCGTCTTCTCGTAGTAATGGAAATAGCGGTTCACCCACGACGGCGCAGACGCTGTCGTGTACGTGTAATTCCACACCTTCGACATTTCCGACCGCGGAATTCCGCCTCCCATGTCCGATATCTAAAAATAAAATAGTGCCGAATTCTGGAATTCCTACTTTGATGGAGATATCGTTATCGCCGTGGGAAATGATCACGTTGATGGGCTCCGGTTCGGATTCGCCGAGACGCTTCATGTTCTCCATGGTGGCACGCATTGAGTTCTTCATGAGTTCGAAGATCATGTGATGCATGTGGGAAGGAATGTAGTCGAAAGGACTACGCTCGATGGGAGATCGTGCACAAACCGTAGTTTATTTGCGAAGAACACGTTCACAGAGGGCGCCTTTCCGTAGAATTTGTCGGTCAGTTTGGTGCTGCGGTCGATGGCGTTTTTGATGGTGCTGTAATCCAACGGCTCGATGCGGCCGCCTGCGACTGAGATGAAGAGAAGCACGGAAATACCTGGGCGAGCAAGACTCTTGGCGTACTGGCCGAGAAGCATGATGATGGAGATGTGGAACCCAACAAAGTCGTCCAGAGACACGTTGATCATCTCGTTCTCGAAATCCGTGATCGGATTTTGCGTCTAGGAGAGACGAAATGGGAGATTTGTACCTTCTCGCGCATTTGCTTGAATTGGCACACGCCACAGGCCATCAGAGGATAGACATGCTGCAAATCTCGCTGAACACGGGCGAGACGCGCAGTAAACTCGGTATCTTCCATGATTGTTTTTGGAATCTCCATGTTCTGGATTTCCGCCTGGCAGCGATTGTAAAGCGATATCAAGTCATTCGTTGCTGGCATCTCGCTCAACTGACAGGGCAGAGAACTCAGTACAGACGTAGTAGCCTTTGCTCATCGAAACTAAGCAAGCTTACAGCAAAACGAAGAGGAAGTTCGGAGGAAATAAAGCGCGCAAGAGAGAGACGGACTGGCATATTATTCTGCGATTCGGCATATTGCTTCAACGTCTGAATTGATAGAGGAGTCGGACGATTCGGGTTGCGGGGAATGTGACTCATCAACCCTCTTTTCCCAATATAATTCGAAATTACTCCAGCTCGATTGCTAAAACCTCGAGATCCACCACAGATGCGCGATAACATTGTACAAAGTAGTTTTTCTCTCAAGATCAAATTCTCCATTTTCCGCGGAATTCCGAAAGAATCAACGTGGTTCAACAAACAAATGTAACAAAACACCATTGATTACCGCTCGCAGCAGAAAAACAACTAGAACGCCACTCGCAGCCACTTCTAAACATAAACACATTTGCTCACTTTCCACTTTATCCTCGCGAATCCATTTTGTTACACGGTGCGATTTGTCCATGTACAAACCGCTACTCCCTCCATATGTTCCAGGCATGGCGGTCATCACAGAATTGTTCTGGCTCTACGATAAACCACAACACACGCAGACTACTTCAGAAACGAGCTTACTCCATTGAAGAGTCGGGATTCCACAGTAGAGCACAATTCCACTTTCGTTTAAATCGTGATTTAATCGAAGGCAGTGGCAGAAGCCATCCTTATCTTCGTACCAACCTTCTGTATCCGAGAGTTTCTCAATCAGCTGTAACTCATCCAGCGTCACGATTCGAGGGTTCGCTATCCGCTCCAAGTAACTAACACAGATCGAGGGACTGCCTTTTCCTAGTGGAACACCTTCTTTGGAAACCACCGATTCTTCGTTTTCGACTTCCAAGTATTGTCTCCCAAAAAATCGGGGATTGGGTGTCCGTGGGTAGAGGATCTCATAGATGGATTTGATCCAGGGAATTTGGGTCGCTGTCGCGATCTGCTCCGCCGATTCGCGTTCGAACACGACTTTCCAGATAGCAGGGCTTCGGAGCACTGAAGAGAACGAGGAATGCACATGGGAGAAGGAAATGAGGTCCGAAGATGAGAGGAGGGAAAAGATCTGAATTCCCTCCAACAGAAAAATCATCTTCAATTGCATTAATCTAAAATCTGCGGAGCATCGGTTTCTCTCCTGATGCAAATCGTAGAGTTCTTTTTGCTTCCCGAGAATCGACTCCTCCAAATTCGACAGGTCTTTCTATGTTTAGGTTTTTGCAGAGTAGATACGCTCAGTAAATCGTACTGATGCTCTAGAGAAGAGAGTTTCTCATTAAGCTCTTCACGTTCTTGCGTCCGTTTCGTAGTTTCGTTTATTTTGTTATTTAACGCATCTCGCTGCTGATTTAGGTCGGAAACAATCATTCTACGGTAAAAACACACCCTGCGACTACCTGTTCAGTTGGACTTTTTCAGACGCCGTAGGATCCGGTAAGATCTCTTCTACAACGTACGACACTTTCTTTTCACGAATCCAGCTCGCCGTGTTATCCCATTCAATCCCATACACACCTTTCTTTTCTACTTTCACAGAAAGAACATATCTTCCATTCCCAATGTACTCTTCTGAGTCTACTTTCATTCTTGTCAACTTGCCATTTTCAAGCAGTCCAAAATGGGAGACAATATCATAGGTATCTGTATAAAATTTCCATTTCAGAAGCGTTCCCTCCTTTTCGATGCGAATAGGCAGGATAAACGTAGACCCTGGCTGAATGACGACATTATTTCCTTTCAACAGTAGGGAGTTGCTGGGATCTCTACATAGAGTCATTCTTTCGTAGGATATCATACAAAAACATTGGCGACTCATTAAGGTACTGATGTAAACGGTCACTCATATCTCTGACTATAGAATCACCAGAAAAGAACGAAAGAAACGAAAAAAAGAATACGGACGAGTACTGTTGAACAAACATGCCATTTCTCTTTAACAAAATTCCTTTTTCTTGAGACCCTTCTCCAATTCCATTCGCAACTGCACCGTCGTTTCTACACGATCACCCCTCTCCTCTGCCCCCACTGTTCAGCGAGAGCTCCCTCAAGCGATACATGCTGTTCATTCCCAGTTTGATATTCTTCATATTCATCATCTCTACGCGTCACTCCTCTCCGCCTCGCTCACCCCTCCCCGTAAACTTCTCGCAGCAGTACAGCGCGAAGTACAGCGTCCGCATCGTTTCGAAATGCCCCAGCCCCGCGCACTCCACTTCGCGGCACGAGAACAGCGAGTACACGCCCAGCTGCAGCGACTGCAGATACGGCAGCTCTGCGCCTCACGCCCCTCCCTCGCTCCTACCCTCCAGCACCATCTTCTGCGCGTAATAGAACGCGTAGTTCCCGATTTCGACGGTCTCCAGCGCGACCAGGTCCTTCAATTCCAGCGCTTCGCTCGCCACGAACGCGTACGAGCGATTCTCAAAGCCGTCCTCCGGCCGCGCCGAGCCGATCGTGAGCTCGTGGAGCCTCGGGAGATCGCGCAGCGTGCACTGCGTGAAGTCTGCGAACGACCCATTGCCGATCACGATCTCTTCCAGCGCGGGGCAATCGACCACCTCGAAGACTTTCGGCGTTCTGCGGATCGCGTCCTGCAGCACAATCGCGTTCTTCGCGTCGCACCGACTGCTCGCCGTGAAGGAGTCCTCGCCCACGTAGATCGACCGCAGCTCCGGCATCCCTCTCACCTGGAACGCCGCGCAGTTCGGCGCCATTCCGTTCCCGATCACGATCCGCAGCAACCGCGGGAACGAACTCACGCTGAATTTCTTCATCTGGGGGAGAGGATTGCCGCGCATCAGCAGTCCCTGGTACATGTGCGCCTTCATCACGTCCTCCGCCTTCTCCACCACGAAGCACTCCCTTCCCGGCTGCGCCAGACTCGGCGGAATCTCTCTCTGCGCCGGCGTGACGACGGCTTCGGGGATGAACTGCGCGGCGTCGTCGAGAAACACCGTCGCGTAGGGGACTTTCCGGAACGCGGGCGCCTCGTCCGCGTCGGACACGAAGTCGAAGACGCGCGCGAAGCTCGCATCCGCGGGGAGCGAGGCGGGAATGGCGACGCCCTGCGTGTAGAGGTAGACGAAGTGGTTCACCAGCGCGAAGTCGCGGAGATAGAAGCTCTCGTCCTTGCTCTTGTCCTTCCCGATCAGCCTGCAGATGTCGCTCAGCGTCTACGCGTGAGAGCAGAACCGCGGGGATACCAGACGGGCCTTGTCGATGTGCTGGTAGAACCGGTAGAGGTCGGCGAAGTGCACGTAGTCGCTGTGCGTCCGGATGTCCTTGAAGAAGAGAAACGCCCGTTCCACTTCTTCCACCGTCAGCATCGACAGAATGCACCCCAGCGACGCCGGCTCCGCGCACGATAAAACCGCGGGAGGGACCGGCGAGCGCGACCCGCGGCGCTGCGAGGCCGATCTGGCGGGAAGCGAAGGCGCCACGCGGGTCGGTTTGGCGGGAAGCGAAGAGTCGCCGGAGACCGAGGCGAATTCCCGCGGGAGCGGGCGTGTCCGCGGGGGACGCGCGAGAGAAGCGGAATCGCCGGAAACGGAGGCGAAGATTTTGCCGCCATGACTGGCGGGACGCGAAGATCGCGGGGGAGAGGCGAGAAGATCCGCGGGAGCGCGGGGAGCCGAAGCGGGTAGCGGCGGGAGCGCCTTTTTCCCGCGGGAAGTGGTGTCGATGGCGGGAATGGAGGAGGAAAGGCGGGAAGAATCGGTGTCGAAGGAATTCGGAGAATAGGAATCGGAATAGGATTCCGAGTAGGAATAGGATTCCGAATAGGAGTCCGAGTCAAACGAAGACGAAGATGACGACGAAGATGACGAGGAATGGCGCGTCGAGCGGGGCGGGCCCCGCGGGGGGGCGGGGAGAACCGCGGGTCTGGGTTTGGGCTTGGAGGTGGAGGGAGGAGGGGGCGGAATTCCCGATTTCGCCTCGAATTTGGCCTCGAATTTGGGCTCGTATTTTGCCTCCAATTTTGCCTCCAGTTTTGCCTCCAATTTTGGCTTCGCCGAAGAAGGCGGAGGGGGCGGAATTCCCGATTTCGCCTCGAATTTTGTGTCGAATTTTGTGTCGAATTTGGGCTTGGAAGAAGAAGGAGGCGGAGGAGGAATCCGCGGTTTTGCCTCCAATTTTGCCTCCAATTTTGGCTTCGCGACAGAAGAAGATTCGGTCGGTTCGGTCGGAGCGAAGCCAAGGAAGGAATCGAAATCAAAGGCATCCAAAGCGGCGTTCTGGCCGGCAGAACCGACTCCCGAAGGATTCGGTGCGGTTTCATCGAACAAATCGATCAGCGTCGCTTCTTGTTCTGGCTCTTTCGTTTGTTTTTGTTTTTGTTTTTGTTTTTGTTTTTGTTTTTGTTTTTGTTTTTGTTTCGATGGCTGGGGCTGCGAATCCCAGAAATCTGACTCGGAATTGCTGAACTCTGACTCGGAATTGCTGAAATCCGAAGAAACGATGTCCGAAAACGAAGCCAATTCCCGCGACTTCGCAGCGGAAGTCGCCTCCGGTTTCCCCTTTTTCTTCAAGGGCTGCTTCTCCTTGATCTTGCCCTTCCCTTTCGGAACCACCTTCTCTTTGGGCTTTTCTTTAGGCTTCTCTTTAGGCTTCTCGGTAGCTTTGGGCTTCGACTTTTCGGCGATTTTCTCCTTCTCTTTGGGCTTCTCTTCAGGCTTGGATTCTTCTGCAGTTTTCCCTACAGCCTTTTCCTTGGGCTTTTCCACGATCTTCTCTTTGGGCTTCTCTTCAGGCTTGGATTCTTCTGCAGTTTTCCCTACAGCCTTTTCCTTGGGCTTTTCCACGATCTTCTCTTTGGGCTTTTCGGCGATTTTCTCTTTGGGCTTTTCCGCAGCCTTTTCCTTGGGCTTCTCCACAGCCTTTTCTTTGGGCTTCGCTTTGGGTTTCGTTTTCTTTTCGGCGCGCAAATCTTCGCTCGGTTCTTCCTTGGCTCTGCCCTTTTCCTTTTCCTTTTCCTTTTCCTTTTCCTTTTCCTTGGCCTTGTTTTCTTTGTTCCTCGCTCCATTCTCGGTCTTTTCGCTTCCCTTCTCTTTCCTGACCGTTTCATCCATCGAGCCCACCGACGCTTTCCGCGGTTTCCCATCGCTTCCGCCCTTCTTCTTCCTCTCGACCGTCCCCGCCGTCTGCGAATTAGACGATCGCAGCTTGGGCGATGCGACTTCCGCTGCGGGTTCCGCGCTGGCCTTGCCTTCGATTCGCTTCTTCGCCTTGTTTTCCGGAGACGAAATCGCGCTCTCCGCTTCCTTCGGCATCGCCGCGGGCAATTCCGAGCTGCGCTGCGAAGCAAGCCCGTCCTTGCCCATCGGAGGCACCGCATTCGAGTACCCCATCGATGGAATCATTCCCGCGGGAGGGAAGATCGGAGAACCCAACGCCGGGCCCGGTAGCGCGAAACCCCCACTCGGAACCTGCCCATACGGCGCCATCATCGCATTGGGCGGCAGATTTGGCGGCAGATTTGGCGGCAGATTTGGCGGCAAATCGGAGCCCGGGGGAGGGAGGTAAGGGAGAGAAGCGGGCTGGTAGACGGGAGCGGGAAAAGGGAGGCTCGAGGGAGGCGAAACGGAGGATTGGAGAGAAGACGCGGGTCCGTAGCCCAAAGGCGGACTGGATTGCGCGGGAGGAGGGAGGGAGGAGGGAGTTTTGGAAGGGGAGACGGAGTGGGCGGCAGAGGGCGGCGAAGAAATCGCGCTGGAGGGCTGGCTGGGAGAGTCGTCGCCTTGAAGCTTGTGCCGCACCACGGTCGCGTACATATTGAGATACGCTGGAACAGAATAAGCAGCAGAAGCAGCAGCAGAAGCAGAAGAAGAAGAAGAAGAAGAAGAAGAAGAGGCCTCCGCAGTGGGATAGGAAGGAACAGAAGGATTCGTTTCTTCCATCTTGGGATAGGAAGGAACAGAAGTGTTTTGATCCTCCATTTTGGGATAGGAAGGAACAGAAGGATTCGTTTCTTCCAGATTTGAAGCAGGCTGTGGCTTCGTATCGGCGAACTCTGGATAGGAAGGCACAGCAGGTACCTTTGACTTCGATTCTTCGACAACAGGATAGGAAGGTACCGGCAAACCATTCTCGCCTATCTTCGGATAGGACGGGATTCTTGATTTCTTTTCATCAACAACAACAGAAGCAGAAGCAGAAGCAGAAGCAGAAGCAGAAGCAGAAGCAGAAACAGTGAAAGAAGCAGGGTTTGAGGGAACGGACGATTTCTGCTCCTCAAAACTGGGGTAGGAAGGAATCGAAGATTCGGGAGAATCAAACGTCGGATACAAAGGAACCACAGGCTCATTCACTTCATCCAATTTGGGATAAGAAGGGATCGATGATTCATTCTTTTCATTCAAATCCGGGTAAGAAGGGATTTGTGAATCACTCTTTTCACTCAATTTGGGGTAAGAAGGGATCGATGATTCATTCTTTTCGTTCAAATCCGGATAAGAAGGGATTTGTGAATCACTCTTTTCGTTCAAATCTGGGTAAGAAGGGATTTGTGATTCATTCTTTTCATTCAAATCTGGGTAAGAAGGGATTTGTGATTCATTCTTTTCATTCAAATCTGGGTAAGAAGGGATCGAAGAGTCCCCCTCTTCATTCAAATCCGGGTAAGAAGGAATGGAAATATTGCCTTCATCAAAAGAAGGATACGAGGGAATCGCAGCAGCAGCAGCAGCACTCTTCGTTTCTTCCAATTTCGGGTAGGATGGAATGGACGCAGTCTCTGTCGACAAGTCTGGATAGGGCGGGATCGTCTCCTTTCGCATTTCATCCAACTTCGGATAGGAAGGCACCGCGCTGTTCTCCATTTCCACATCCATCGAAGGAACAGCAGCATTCACTTCATCCAACTTCGGATACGAAGGAATCGATTCCGGATACAGCGGAACCTCCGGTTTCTCCGTTTCCTCCTGAACGGGTTCCTCCACTTTCTCCCCCTCCTTCCACATCCCCACAAACTCCAAGGTTCCATCCTTTCGAAACAACCTTCCCTTTCCATCGCGCAAACCATTTCGAAACTTTCCCTCATACACACACATCCCTCCTTCAAACTCTCGGCCATTCCCATTTCGTTCGCCCTTCTCGAAATCCCCATGATAGACTATCTTGCCCAGCACGTACTCCGTTCCAATCCCTTCACGGCAGAATCCATCGTCACTTTCTCCATATCCCCCTTTATAAATCAAATTCCCGCTTTTATCGAATTCCGACATCTCAGATCCTTTAAAACGCTGGAGAATGCGGAATAAGCGCCCATTTTCGAACTGGCAAATGTCAGAAACCGTTCCATCCGAATGGTAGCGGTACACAATATCGCAATATTTCCCAGTGGATTCGTCGATCACGCCATTCGATTCCAACTGGTCTTTGTCATTGTACAGATACATCACATATTTTCCTGACTCGACCACCACAGAAGCATTTAACTTTTTTCCATCCACGTAGACTACATCAGCAACCACATTTCCTTCCTCGTCATATTCTCGACCGATTCCATTGCGCTTACCATCTTTATAATAGCCTTCATATACGATTTCGCCATGACTCTTGTCGTAACCATAGCCATTTTTCTCGTTTTGCGCAAACTGACCAAAGAAGATAGGAATACCACCATCATAAATTTCAACATCGCCTTCGATATTTCCATTCACAAAAGTGGCGTTTAGCAGACAAATCCCATTATCATCAAACAGCAAAGCTTTGCCGTCTAAAATATTCCTTTTATATTTACATTCCATATGCTCATCACTGTGAGGTGACTCAAAATAAACAGAAGCGTCTCCTTCGAGAAAACCATTTACAAGACTCGCTGTAATATGATCTATTACATATCCTTTCAGAAAGCCGGCGAGAGCATTCCTTGAATCCCGAGGATCCGCCTTATTTGATAATACTAAAACATCAGGCATAAAGCAATCTAAATTACTCTCCTCGCCGCCTGGATCCGGGAGAAAGCGAAGCATATAATATTAGTCCTTATGCAACTGTTTTTTTTGACCCACATCGAACGCTGAGCAAAGGATAACTTACGCATTCTTGCATCCAATGATAATTAAGATTAACAACCGGACATTCGAACACTTGGGGGAAAACTAGTGCTATGAGCAATCCTTTTCTTAGGTTGTTAGGAAGTGTAACAAACAATGAAGGGTTTTTCGCGATTGTTTGAGCTCATTCTTGTAGACGATTAAAAGATACCCTATTTCGGATACAAGAGGGAAGTACATGCGAAGTGCTAAATAATCTGGTATTCGTTATGGTGGATCAATCCGTCCTTTCCGCTTTTGACTGGTTCTTTGGAAAACCAACAACTTTCTTTATGGTTGTAAAGGTAGACAGGAGTGAACTCCAGCTAAATGGGTAGATGAATCTGGTGGACGACATTATGAAGGTAAAAGGGAAGGATACGATGTCACACGATGTTTGTATGATTCGGGGAATGTGAATATAGGAAATGTGCTCTCTGTTGCAAGACTTGCTGTTTCGAAAGATTAGCCATATTAACACCACAAATCAGCCATTTGCTGTAATAGTCTACCATTCACGATACGAGCTGTAGAATATCTACACGGATGAGAAGCAAACAGTTCTGAACACCTCGTTTTTCTCGCCTCTAAGCTACGAGTACGCTTGGAACCATCCCCGTTGATTTCCTGTAGAGAGTCGTTCGATGTGCAAATGACTCGCTGCTACATCCGTCTTCTTCCAGACATTCCCTTCGTACTTTTTTACGAAGACAACGGCGTGGAATACTGGATGGCTCAGGAATTCAACGAATCTGGCTCTGTAACCACCACACTCATCGACAATCACCACGAAATCGCCACTGACGCACTCGCTTCCGCCATCCAGCCACCATCCTCCAGCGAGCTCTGCACTTGCTCTCTCGCCACGATGATTCTTTCCTCCTCTTCGAGGTCTCTTCACCAGCAGCTCTTTAGCGATTTCAACGACTCGTTCGTGGCTGTGCTGCATCGTTTTCCGTTGGATTCCACTGCGATTTCGCTCTCTCCGCCTCTGACTGCGTCGTGCGAGCTGCTTTTGCGCTATTCCTATCAGCCCTATTCCACGTTTTCTTTGGATGCGGACCGATTTCACGAGGAATTGCAAGTGCTCCAGAGCATCAAATCGGGAACGTGGTCGATTCTCTCCGAGGAAATTCTGTCCACGTTGCCGGTTCAGCCATCGACTTCCCTGCAAACGACGTCGATTGATTACACGGACTTCATTTATCAAAAAGGACTGCATTGCGGATCGAAAGAGCAGCTCGCTGCGGACATTCGGCAGCATCTCAAGGCACTGATGACGCTGCCTTCGCCTCCCTTCGTCGCTCCTTCGAACCGCACACAACTCGCAGAACTCATTCGAAAGGGATTAAAGCAAGCAGTCTCCACGAACCGCGAAGAATCGATGCGCCAATGGAGCGAAGAAGTCGATTCGATCTCCGATTTGATTCCATTCTGGCTTGAAGTGGGTCTTTGGTCGCTCATGAATCGAGTCAGCGAAGCGTTCAATGCGCGCCATTTGCTCATCGCCGAGCTGACAATTCTTCCGGAAGAACAGCGAGATTGGAAGCATAGTTCGCTTTGGATTCTCTCCATTCAGCAGATGATCCGATTGCTCGGGTTTGCGTGTCTCATCGAGTTCATGGTATCATTCCTCCCGCCAGCTGAACCAAAGGTTCCTTCCCAGCCATCCGTTCTTTCATTCTGTGTGGACATTCTGCAGCGAGCCGTCGCTTCGTCTTCGGCTTCCACCATGCTGCTGTTGCTCCCTCCCGACCTGGCATCCAAGCTCCTCTCTTCGTTCCCTGCACCGGAGATCGTGCTGGTCGACAGAAAGCTGAAGAGTGGATGCGAACATCATTTGGAATTGAACGAAACTGAAACGCGAACCATGCAGTTTTTCGCGGCGAAACCGATGTTGAAGCAGCATTACCTCACGAAAGAGGAAGAGGACGACTTGGAGAGAATCGTCAAGGCGCACTGTGGAGAGGAAATTACAAGGGAAGCGATGAAGAACTTGGAGATGCGCAATGTGTAGGAGGGAGTGTGTTACGTGTGACGAATAGGTCTTTGCCGGTCCAGAATCACTTCTCCGAAATTGGTGTTTCGGTAAAAACAGGTATTACCTCTTTTTTGCCTGTTTGTTTGAAAACGAAGCCCAGCTTTTTTTAAGAGTCGGCCCTCTCCTTCGATGCGTATTCTCAACATTGCAGAAAAGCCATCTGTAGCGAGAGAGGTGTCAAATATCTTATCTCAGGGGCAATTACGTGCTGTTTGCTTTTTTCGACGAATTTATTTTGCAGAGAAAAGGAGAATCTCAGTATAATCCAATCTACGAGTTTCGTTGCCATGTTTTGTCACAAAGCGATGAGATGGTGTTTTCTTCGATGACAGGACATATGATGGAGTTGGATTTTCCTGACACATACCAGTTTGATTGTTTCTGTAGCGATCAAATGAAGATCGTGGAGGGCGGTAGATCCCGCGTCACTTTTCCAAGCTCCTGTCTTCAAGTCCGTGAACCCCAAAATGAAGGCTATATACAGTTTTTGCATTTAGTTGCGTGTCATCTAGAACAAATTCAAAACGAAGGCAGGAAGTGTCAAGCGCTCTGTCTTTGGCTGGATTGTGATCGTGAAGGCGAGAACATTGCATTCGAAGTGATCGATTGTGTGAAAAAGGTAAACGCCTCCGTGATGATCTACCATATCCTCTACACCCTTGCAATGATTTTCATTCCTTCACTGCACGAGCCCACTTCTCCGCCCTCATCCCTTCCGACATTTGGAACGCTGTCCGCACGCTCACCCCTCCCGATGAGAATCAATCCAAAGCCGCGGACGCGCGCCAGGAAATCGATCTCCGAATCGGCTGCGTCTTCACTCGCTTCCAAACCCTGCTGCTCCACAACGCCGCTCCTGAGGTGTCCAACACAATCTCCTACGGTCCTTGCCAGTTTCCGACGCTGGGCTTCGTCGTGGAACGCTATTTGCAGCGACAAGTCGGATTGGCGGGAGTCCGTTTCGATTAGAACTTCGTCCCCGAGCCGTTCTGGCTGATCGTGGCCTCGGTGAAAGCGATCGACCATGCGAGTCAAGGAACGAATCAAATCGTGAAGCTGAAATGGGCGCGAAACCATTTGTTCGATAAATTAGTGGTCGCTACCTTGTTTTCGCTCATCGCAAACGAAAAGAAAGGCGTGGTGTTGCAGTAGAAGTGATCGGGGTTTGGACACTAGAATGAACGAGCGAAAGAAAAGCAAGTTCAAGCCGCTTCCTCTCAATACCGTCGAACTGCAAAAGCGAGTCGCACGCCACTTGAAAATCAGCTCCGAAGAAACGATGAAGATCTGCGAAGCTCTCTATCAGAAGGGTTTCATCAGGTACGAACCGAATCCACCGCTGATTGGCAGCTATCCTCGAACGGAAACCGCGGTTTTCGCCGCGGGAACCGACTTCCAGAGTTTGATTCAAGTGCAGAGCGGCGCGAGCGACTGGGGAACCTACGCGCAGAAGCTTTTAGGCGGGGACTTCGCGCCGCCTCGCGCGGGGAAAGGCGACGACCACGCGCACCCTCCGATCCACCCAACGAAACTCCTGGAGCGCGTGAACGCGGGGAGCATCGGTGGCGGATTTGATGCATCGCGCGTGTTTGCGATTTACGAGTACATAACGCGGCACTTTCTGGCGAGCTGCAGTCGCGACAGCGTTCTGTCGGAGACGGGTAGAATTGGCGGGGAACTGCGAAGCAGAGCTGCAAGTGGGGATCGGGACGGAGCTGTTTTCGGCGAAAGGGACGATCATTCGCGAGCGAAACTATTTGGACGTGTTCAAATACGAGCGGTTGAACGAGAACACGCTGCCGTCGTTCGTGGTCGGCGAGGCCGTGGAAGTGGCGAGTTTGGGCGTCGAGGAAAGCACCACCGTTGTAGGGAGATGGCGTGGGTTGCGTCGCGTAGGCTCCCGAGCTGCTCTCCGAGCCCGAGCTCATCGCGTTGATGGATAAAGAGGGAATTGGGACCGACGCGACCATCTCGGAGCACATCGCGACCATCCAGAACCGCGACTACGCGAAGAAAACGCCCGCCAATCGGTTCACTCCGACGAACATCGGGCTGGCGTTGGTGGAAACGTACATGTACCTCCAGTACCCGCTGTACAAGCCGTATCTACGCGCGCACATGGAGCGCGAGTGCACGGCGATCAGCGAGGGGAAGGTGCACTTCCAAGAAGTCGTGGACAGCTGCATCGGCGAGATGTCGCTCGTCTACCAGGACGTGAACGCGAAGAAGGACGTCTTCCGCGACACCTTCGTCCAGTTCTTAAACAAGCGGATCCCCGAGCTGGCGCTGCCCGTCGCCTCCGTCGCCGCGCTGGTCACCGAGCATCTGATTCCCTGCGTCCAATGCGGCGGCGACCTCAACCTCATGGCGCAGAAGAAAGGAGAAACCGTGGTTCGGTTTCTGCAATGCCCCACGTGCGGCAACTCGCTGTCTCTCCCTCCCAAAGGCGCCATCGTCCCGCAGTCCTCGCGCTGCCCCATCTGCGCGTACTCGCTTCTGCAGATCCGCAGCGACAAGCCGGGAACCGACGGCTTCTTCGTCTGTCCGTTCTGCTACTCCAACCCTTCTTCGCGCAACCAACTCGACATCGAGAGCCTCCCTCTCGGCTTCACGCTGCCCTGCTTCAAATGCAGACACGCCTGCCCCTTCGCCAGTTTCATTCCGTTCCACGTTTCCACCTAGAGCCCGAGGAAACGCCCCTCTGTCCCTGCTACGCCTGCCGAAACGGCCGCCTTTTTCTTCGCCGTTCCCGCGCTGGCGGGAGTTTCAGCGTCCGCTGCTCCAATCCTGCGTGTCGCTGCGCGGTTCACTGCAATCCCGCGGTTATCGAGGACCTCCAAAAAAGTCCCGATTTGTGTCAACGCTGTTCAGGTCTCGGCTTTGCCCAGCTTTTATGCAGATTTGCTCGGCGTGGCCGTGCCGCTGCTTCGCGTTTTCCCGCGGGACGGGACCGCGTCTTCCCCGCGGGGATGGCAGGACTTCTGCGTGTGCGGGCATGACGCCATGGCGAAGCACAGCGGGCTCGGCTTTTCCCGCCCGATCGACCTCGCCGCCCCGCCCTTTTCCCCCGCGGAAATCGAGGCCTGCAGCAAGGAAACTCCCTCCGATGGCGCCGGGACGGGCGTTTCGTCGACCGGGGAAACCAGCGTCGTGGGAAGTGGGGAAACGGGGAACCGGTGAAACGTAGAACTGGCCTGGCTGGAGCCGATTGCGGCTGCCGCCAAGGCGAAGAAGGCGGGCGCGGCGGGCGCGGCGGGCGCGGCGGGCGTTTCCAATCGGGCGAAGCAAGAAGCCGCCAAATCTGGCACCGCGGTGCAGAAATACCCTCGAAAACAGGAATTCCAGAAATCGGGGGTCGTTCCGATCAGTGTTCCAAACCCTGTTCGACGCCTTCCCTCCCTCCCGAATGGTGTTCCGAATGGTGTTCCGAATGGTGTTCCGAATGGTGTTCCGGGTAGTGTTCCGGGTAGTGTTCCACCCCCTGTGCTGAACCAAAACACACAATACACTCCGCCTCCCTCCTCCTTTTCTTTTTCAAACCCCGTTCAAAACACATTTTATAATCAAAACCCCGTTCAAAACACACCCTATAATTCAAAACCCGTTCAATCGCAATATACTCAAAACCCCGTTCAATCCTCCTCTTCCTTTTCTTTCCACCCCAACACAAACACCACTCCTTCCCTCCCTCCCTACCCCGGTCAAACCCCCGGTCAAACTCCGGGTCAAATCCCCGGTCAAATCCCCGGTCAAACTCCGGGTCAAACCCCGGTCAATTCGCCCATGGTCATTTCCTGCCGCTGCGGGCTCCCCGCGGTTTTGCGGGAGGTCCGGCAGGGCAAGAACGTGGGTCGTCGGTTCTACTGTTGCTCCAAACCGCGGGAACAGCAGTGCAACTTCTTCGTGTGGGCCGACGATCCGCAAGCATCAAATCCGCAGCCCAATCCCACGCTTTTTGCTTCGCCGCCCGCCACTTCGATGAACCGCGGGAATAGTTCTGGTTTTGGGGGATACTCGAATTCGCCGCGGGAAATGGCGGAAGTCACGTGCTTCAAATGCGGGAAATTGGGTCATTTAGCGACGAATTGTCCCAATTCAACGAAGCGAAAGCGGCGAGAAACCGCGGCAAAAACACCGGCGAGGAAACGAACCCGCGAACGAAAGAAAACGGAGAAATCGGGGAAGCAGACGGGACGAGCGGGGAAAGTGGGGATTTTGGGGAGGGATAAAGAGCAGGGAAAGAGTAATGACTTCGTCATGGACTACACGGTGGATTATGGAGATGAGGAGCCTGATGATATGAACTATGTGTACTGGGAATCGTAGTGGCTTTAGCTGAATGTGTGTTTGTTCAAACTCAATTCTTTGATACGATGGATTCTTCCGAAATTGATCTGAATTCATTATCAGTGGGAGTATTACACAATGGATAATGAAATAGATGGCACAGCTCATTGCTGAGTGCAAGAAGAGGAATCTCCCTTCGGGTGGCAGCAAGAGTGAGGTGGTATGTTATTGTATGCTTACGAAATTATATCGTAGGTAAAACGATTGACAGTAGCGATTGAAACATCCAAGAACCTTAAAAGCGTATTCTAGTGAAATAAAGATTGGTAATGGAATAGAGTGAAAAGGAAGAAGAGAAAAAGCAGGAAAGCGCAAAACCTGAAGAGAGTGAGAGCGATGATGATATTGGTCCCATGCCTGTACCGAAAACGAGTCAAAACGACCAAAAGTCAAATGAAACCTCGGAGATGAAGGATGGTAATGAAGAGGACAGTGACAGCGATATCGGTCCCATGCCTACCAGTGTAAAGCGCGATAGTCCCACTAAATCACCTCAAAATGAGAAGAATGATGATGATGATGATGACATTGGTCCAGTTCCCACTTCTTCTGAATCCAAATCCTCTCCAAAAGAAGCCTCCTCCTCAACCCCTGCAGCTAAAAAGCGTATGATTCCTCTCTCTCTCTAATGAAGCTGTCTCGGCCGATGCGTACTACCTTTCGGACCTTCCCTCCGCGGCGATGTACGAGAAATCCTACACGCACCCGTCCATCGTGCTGCTCTCCTGCGTCACGCCCCACACCAACTTCCTCTACACCGCCAGCCTCAACGGCAGCGTCAAAATCTGGAAGAAGTTCCCCATCGTTTCCACGTTTCCACGTTTCTCCCTAGGGCATCGAGTTCGTCAAGCAGTTCTTCGCGCACCAGGCGCGCGTCGTGTCGCTGGTGGCCTCGGCGGACGGCCGCTTCGTGGCTTCCGCGGGGGAAGACAAGCGCGTTGTGATCTACGACACCGTCGCCTTCGACGTCATCCAGATCTTCTCGCTCGCCTTCGTCCCCGGCCCGCTCTGCTGGGCGCACGGGAGCTCGCTGAACGCGTACCCGCGGGGAGAGGCGTGGACCGTAGCCCGCTGCTGGCGATCAGCGACGCGGAGTCGCACGCGATCGGCGTGTATTCAATCGAAAAGCCGGAGCCGCTCTTCACGTTCCGCTACCACAAACAGCCCATCGTCGGACTTCTCTTCCATCCCACGCTCCATTTCCTCGTCTCTCTCGACCGGAGCGGCGTGTTCGCGTATTGGGAGCCGCAGGACGGAGCGCTTCCGAAGAATTCGATCGAATTCCGGTTCATGATCGCCACGGATCTTTATGTGTTCCGGAAGAACAAAGTTACCCCCATGACGCTCTCCGCGTCGCTCTCGGGCAATCGCATGGCCGTGTTTGCGCTCGATTGGAAGGTACGCGTCGCTTGGCTTCCCTCGGCGTGACCATCAGATGTACATCTTCGGCGTGACGACAGGCAAGCTCTTGCAGACCATCGACGAATCGGACGCGGCGTACGAATCCCTTTTCGCGCAGAACGGGCTTCTCGTCGACGCTTTCCACTTCGCAAAACGTCTAAAACTCGAAGCCACCATCCGCGAAAAAGTCCCGATTTTTGGAATTCCTGAAATCCAGGCGATTTCGGAAGGCCTGCAGTCGCCAATCAACTGCGTCTTCGACCGAAGCGAGCGTTTCGCGGTCTACGGGAGTCCGTTCGGCGTGAAAACGGTTAACGTACGATTTTGGCGGCACTGCGAAGCAGATCGCCACGGGCGAAACCGCGGGAATCCTGGGCGAAGTGGAGAAAACGGAGCGATTTCTGCACGTGTCTCTGTTCCAGGGCGTTTCGCGCGTGTCGTCGCAGCTGCAAATCGGGCTTCGCCGCGAGAAGAAAGAGGCGGGAGCGCTGCTTGCCGGGGCGAGCGATGTCCCCGCGGGGAAGCGATTCGCGGGGAGCGTGGAGGAAGCGAGCGACCCGTGCGTGTTCGCGACGTCCTTCGAAAAAAGGCGGTTTTTCGTGTTCTCGCGGCGCGAGCCGGATACGAGCGAAGAACCGCGGGACGTGATCAACGAGAAGGAAGTGGCGGAGGCGGATTTGCTGGAGGAGGAGGGCGCGGAGCCGGTGAATTTCCTGGCGAAGCGGGTCATTCTGCGGACGACGATGGGCGATATCGAGCTGGAGCTGTGGAAGGACGTGGCGCCGAAGGCGTAGGAGAGACGGAGAGGAATGAGCGGCAGCGTGGAGAACTTCTCGAATCTGTGCCGAAGCGGGTACTACGATAACGTGGTGTTCCATCGCGTGATCAAAAACTTCATGATCCAGACCGGAGACCCCACTGGCACCGGAAGAGGAGGAGAGAGCATGTGGGGAACGCCGTTTGAGGATGAGTACGCGAAGGGAGTCGAGTTCGATAAGCCGTTCTTGCTGGCTATGGCCAACAGCGGACCCAATTCGAATGGATCGCAGTTCTTTATCACGACGGCGCCAGCGGCGTGGCTGAATCGAAAGCACACGATTTTTGGGAAGGTGCTGAAGGGGCAGAGCGTGGTGAAGGACATCGAGAGAGCACGTGTGAAGAACGACACGACGTACCGTCCGTTCGATGACATGAAGATCGTCAGCACCGAGACGTACAAATAAAAAACGTGACGTGTTTGTAACAAAAAGGAGCGGAAAATTAGACTGTTACGCTAATACCATGCTAATTACACTAGAAAATTCAAGGATATCGCTCCTTGATAGCGCTTTGCAAATCAGTTTTACACATAGTGGATGAGCAACCGTTGACAGATGCTCAAAACTGAAATTAGATATTAGAGATTAGAAATTAGAGAGAGCAACCAGAAAATTGTCAGAAACATCAGAAGTTACTGAGGCACACGAATTTGAATCGTTTTCCACAATAGGGCACAGGATAGTATCACACGCGGGCGTATACACAAAATCAATTCCAATTTGCTTTCCCCGGCGATGATGCGGCTACAATGAAACATGGTCTCCAAAGCCTACCCTAGAAATTTTCTCTGCCGCAGGATAGCAACTAACGGGGAATTGGTCCATAATCTAATGTGTCAGTAATTAACGGAACAAGCTACATCGCTTTGAGAAATCATGTTATTAATACTGCTAAAAAGTCAAAGAGTACGAATATGAGAAACTGGTTAGAAAAATTTGTGGTATAAAGAGGGAGAAGGAACAATATTCCTTGTTATGTATCATTCTGAAAGAAGCAAGTTTGGCGGCAAATGGCATTCAATCCAGTCCTTTGCACTGAATTGTTTTTTCTTTTTTTCTCTCTCTCCCTGTCACAAATCGTTGTGAGTCAAACAAACTTTTGCACACATAGTTACTTAAAAAAACTGATTCACCAGCAAAGAAACCTTTTCCCGATTCTCCTCGTTCAGACAATTCTTTGTCAGAAGTTCTGCAAATCGGCTTTTAATCTCCCCTTTGCAGTAGTCGCGAATGGCCTCCGTTCCTACAATGTGTTATAGTCCTTCTCCACACCACACCGTTTTTCCACAGAAGCATCGAAACATCGTACAGATCCATGAGAATTTCGTTACAAACAACGGTCGACAACACAGCTTCCATGAATTGGAAGAACTCTCCAAACACGGGATAATGCTCCGGCAAAATCGACTCCAATCCTGAAAATGAGGGAAAACAGAGCAGACAAACGGTTCGCGATGATGTTGATCAGATGGACACAATGCTTGCAATACTGCAAAATCAGATCCAAAGGATCCGTCGACGTCTTCGAAAACTCGAATTTCGACTGCAAATTGGCCTGGTTGTCATTCAATCGCCGATGAATCGCTCGCAGCACTTCCACGAACTTTGCGTTCTGCACCAAACCCTGCAGGTCCCAATCTACAACACAGCCACGCTCTACGACGCACATCGCGCGATTTGGAACAGCAGGCAGAACGAAAATTCCAAAAATCGGGGGTTTTTATGCGAATAAATCAAAAGCGTGCAAATCCGCGTTACATACTCGGAATCGTTGCGAAGCAGGTTTACATTATCGCCTTTACATAAGTTTCGGATCTAGCGACGCACTGTGAGAGAGCGATGCGAGAAGCAGAGCAGTGGAGATCGTGATGATCTGCGGTGCGAGAGGCTCCGTGGAGTAAATAAACGCCTCGATTAGATTGAGCAGAGAGAAGAAGAGCTGCGTGTCGACGAGTTTGAGGCACTTCTTGTCGCGAAAGAAGGCGTGCAGAAGGTGCAGCGTGAGCAATCGGACGCGCGCCGCGATGTCCCGCGAATCTTTCACTCCCTCCTTCCCCAGCGACATCACCGACGACGCGTCGTCCGAGCTGGCGAGCAGCCCGATCAGCAGAGAGGGCAGCTGGAGGGAGATGAGGCTGTCGATCACCGCGGGGGAGTTCTGGATGAGGAGGAAGGTGACGCGGAGCAGCGGCTCGGACGGGTATTGCCGAAGATGGTCCAGGAAAAGCCGAAGATTGTTGGGCTCCACGATGATGTTGAGGAGGGAGTCTGCGGGTGAGGGACCGTGGAAACGGAGGTACGGTCGCAGAGCGTGCAGTAATAGAGGAATTGATGGAGGAAGAGAATCACGTTCATATTGTGCAGCGAGTTGAGTCGCTGGCAGATCTGATTCACGGTGGCCGCTTGGATGATCGACGGATGCTCCGCTAGACGTCAGAATCGAAGCTGTTTGGAGTACTGTTATAGCATAACAAGGCGAAGAGCGTCATCACGTAGTCCATGAGCACGTTGCTCTGCGTTTGGATCTGCGTGAAGCCGCCGGTGGTGAGCGTCTCGTCGTTCTCGTCGACGGGGAGGAAGCAGGGCTTGTACAGACACTCGTAGAGGAAGTGCAGCAGCGGCACGACCTCGGTGGCGTGCTGGCGAATCGTGTCGGCGGGGTGATTGCCGAAGAGACGGAGCAGGTAGATGAAGCAGAGCTCCACGATGTGGCTGTGCATCGGGTCCATGCTGAGACGCTGCACGAAGAGGAGAATGATGTTCTGGATCAACGTGAAGCCGATCTCGTTGATGAGCTTCGCGTGCAGTTGCTCTACAGTCGAGAAAAAGGGAAACGGGGAACCGTCCATGGCGAGCTGGTTCAGAATGACGATGAAAAACTCGCACATGAGCGGAGTGGATTCGCTGTTCTCGAACAATCGACGCAGGATCGCGATTAGATCGTTCTTAACGAACAGCTCCGTGCATTCCGCTAGCGATGAGAGAGAGGGAGCCGAAAGGCGTACAGAGTTGGGCTAACGAGGAAACCAGTTTGAGAGTGTAGGTTAACACGAAAATATTGTACTCGGAGTAGCTTTGGAGGATGAGAGGCGCGATCGAGCACAGTTTCTCGATAATTCCCTTGGGCAATCGGTGCACTAGGATATACATAGTGGTTGACAAAAGGAATACATTCCTGGAATGAGGATTCTAGAAAGAGTAGAATCAACTCGCAAACAGAACAGTTCGGCCACTGACAAACGAACAAATCGACAATCGCATCAAGAAACTTCTTGTCCTGTTGGATGATTTCGAACAACGCTACATTTAAAATAGATATCGGAACGTACGTTCCCTCAGATATATAACAGTATGCATGTAGACTCCCAGGCTTTCTCCCAAAAAATAGCTGTCATACGATTTACTCTTTGAAGCATTCACAAAATACTGGCAAGTATCCATTAGCAAACTTAGGAGTTCATTATCAACTTCCTTGATTGACTTCTTCACCAAGGAACTGTGAAGCAATTTATATGTAGGAATCATGTACTGCAGATTGTTTGGGTCCTCTGATTCCATGATATAGCGAATTTGTTGCATGGTTTGAGTTTGATCAATGGCCATCCGTTTCTCACTTGATATAGGCAGACAGACAGGATACAACCGAAATAATATACAATTTGATTATAAACTCTCACAGAAGAGTAATTTTTGAAAAGTCACACTGCGGTCCTGTGTCCATAATTCGATTCTCTGAGAAAGGTTTCAATAACTTAAAAAACACATTCGAGCATGTTTTGTCTCACTTTTAAACCGTGTGTTTTGCATTTAAAAGAACGGTGGAGCACACTGCCTCTTCCCAAATCGGCTCACGCGTAAACAAACAATCGACTTTCTCTCGATGAAACTCCAGAGCTTTGAAACTCCTTAGACCTCCACCAACACATAAATCGCATCTTGTTCATTTTTGCATAGTAACAAAAGATGGCATTCAGTAAGTATTTGTTTCCTTCACAGGATCGACATTGCTTTGCTGAAATACTAATTTGTGATGTAGATGAAGGTGGTCGTGGAAGAGGAGGGTTTGCTGGAGGTCGTGGAGGTCGTGGTGGAGCCCGTGGTGGAGCCCGTGGAGGTCCTCGTGGTGGAGGCCGTGGAGGTCCTCGCGGAGGCGCTGCAGGCGGTCGCGGAGGTCGTGGAGGCGGTCGCGGAGGTCGCGGAGGTGCCCGTGGAGGACGTGGAGCTCCTCAGCGCACACCTAAGGTAACCGTGGAACCTCATAAGTATTTGAAGCGAACGTGCTCGTGATGGGTAGATTCGAAGGAGTGTACATCGCTCGGTCAGCCAAGGAAGATGTTCTGTGTACTCGCAACTTTGCCCCTGGCTGCACTGTCTACGGAGAGAAGAAGATCTCTGTCGACCTTCCTGTAGCGATGTGGCGTGTTTCTGACCAGCAGGGCTCGACGGGAGAGAAGATCGAATACAGACAGTGGAACCCGTTCCGTTCGAAGCTGGGCGCTGCCATTCTGGTAGGGGATCGCCTTCCTCCTCGATTGTAGGGTGGTATCCGCAACATCTTCATGCAGCCCGGCAGCAAGGTGCTTTATTTGGGAGCTGCTTCCGGCACGACGGTCTCGCACGTCTCGGATATCGTCGGACCGGTAGTTGCGTGGAGAGAGGTTCATGGCAGGAGGGCGCCGTCTACGCGGTGGAATTCTCGCACCGCCCTGGCCGCGATCTGCTGAACGTCGCGAAGACGCGCACGAACATCGTTCCGATCATCGAGGATGCGCGCCATCCGCTGAAGTACCGCATTCTGGTGCCCATGGTGGACACGATCTTCGCGGATGTGGCGCAGCCGGACCAGGCGCGTATCGTGGGTCTGAACGCGAAGTACTTCCTGAAGGACGGCGGGCACTGCGTGATCTCCATCAAGGCCAGCTGCATCGACTCTACCGCCTCCGCGGAGGCCGTGTTTGCCGCTGAGGTGCAGAAGCTGCGCGAAGAGAAGTTCAAGCCGCTGGAGCAGCTGACGCTGGAGCCGTACGAGCGTGATCACGCGATGGTGACGGGCGAGTACCGACCGAACGCGTAGAGAGGATAGAAGAAGAGAATGAATGAATGAATGATTTGATTTAATTGAATGAATAAAAGAATGAATGAATGGATGAATGAAGAGATTGTTTATGTGCTTTATCCGCTTGTTTGATAGACACAAACACAGCCATATCGATACACCAAGCCTCTTCTTTAAGCAGTCAGAATGCAGGCACCTCCAGCAGCCTTGATCTTCTTCTCAGCAATGCTGCTGACGAACTTGGCCTTCACCACAATCGGTCTCTCAATGCGACCTCTGCCGAGGAGCTTGAACACTCCGTGAGCCTTGAGGTCGATCACAGGAGCCTTGGTGGTGTCCTTCATGGCCTGCTGCTGAGCCTCTTCAGGGAGCAGATGCCACAACTCGTCCACGTTGATGGTGGGGCAGTACTCGGTGTTACGCTTCAGGTGGAAGTGTCTCATACCGACCTTTCCGAAATATCCAGGGTGGCTAGATTCGAACAATCGGGAAAACCCCTTACAACTTATCGAAAAGGATACGCAGGTGGTGAAGACCTCCGGCCTTACCACGTCCTGAGGGATGGCAACGATGCTTACCTACAAATCACCGAACATGCCGAAACGAGCCTACCAATACGACCGTGACCAGCACTCACGTGACCTCTGGCTTTTCTGTTCTTGCTAAATCTAGAAGGCTACAAACTGGTGAGTAATCTCAACTTTGGCAACGAGCGCACTAAACGAGCGTATACGCGCTCAGTAATTCAAACCCTCATTTTTCACGCAACTTACCATATTAACAGTTGGTGATACCGATAACTACTGAAGAACCAGAAAGGGACAGGCGAAATCAATGGTCAGAATAAAACCGGGGAAATAGCCGCGATTTCTGGAAATCTTATTTCGACCATCGCCCTCGATCGATTTAAATCGATTTTGTGCAACAAACAGCGCAGAACATCGTATTCTTCTTCATCGTAAGAAAAGCTTTAACTATGAGGCTTCTCCTTCTTCTGGCGGAACAGAGCGAGCAAGGAGGTCTTCGACACGCACACCACCTTGAAACGCACTCCGGGAATATCTCCCACGGCGTGTCCAGAACGACCGAATCCAGCAATCAGCACCTCGTCGTTCTCATCCACGTAGTTCAAGCAACCATCGCGAGGAACGAAAGCGGTGATCTTCTTGCCGTTCTTGATCAGCTGCACACGCACGCACTTACGAATGGCAGAGTTGGGCTGCTTAGCCTCCACTCCCCTAACCATCACTCCACACCACGAAACACGTACACCTTCTCGAGGACAATTCCCTTGGCCATGGTAGCTCCTCCGAGCACGTTGGCCTTAATGGAAGAGATGTTGTGTCCCTTCTTGTACTTCTACACCGTCAGACACTTCACTTCCGCAAATTACCTTATCGGCCCAACGCTCCTGGCGACGGACAACACGCAGCTTACGAGCAGCACGAATACCACAAGGTTTTCTATTTTAGGATATTAGAACGGTTCATTCGACAGAAACAACACAGTTCACAACGGCACAACTCGATTCGCCACCTACCCTTTACCCATTCTGATTAATCGTAGAAATAACGAAGAAGAATAGTTATTGTAAGACGAGCTCTCACATATACCAGACTAGAATAATGCACCCCTGGGTGAGACAGCTCTGTATTTGTTTCTATATCAATTTGAAGAATAGGGATTCCCCTAATTCGTATTGATTTTCATTATTTCATTGCTCCGATTCAATAGAAATAGCTTTTTGCAGCCACTTAGAAAAGTACGAACGTACTCAATTAGGAACACGCGCACACACGTTTTCATTTTGGAGAAGCACTCACCTTGTCGTTAGAATCAATAGCAAATTCAATTTTCAGTAATTTACATACAAGTCCACGAGTTTTCTCGTTTCGAAACTTCATGAATAGTCATTTTCCGCTTCCCTTCTTTCCTGTTTGCCTTATTTGTTCATAAATGGGAATTCCTACATACACCCGTTGGTTATGCAGAAAGTACCCATTGATTCTCAAGTCACTGTCTGATCCCGATTCTCCTGCTCAGCGAGATGGAAATACGTCTTCGCAGCAGCAGCAACAACAACAGCAACAACAACCTCCCGTGTTTGATAATTTCTACATCGACATGAACGGAATCATTCATGACTGTGCCCATGGACAAATTCTCGGGTCAACTCCAAGGAACACGGATGATGTATTGGAGAACTTGCAAAAGTGAGTGTTGCTGATCTTGTGTTCCTTGTAGTTACTTGGATCGCCTCATAACGGCTGTGAATCCCCGGAAGTTGCTCTTCATGTCTGTCGATGGAGTTGCTCCCAAGGCCAAAGTGAAAGAACAAAGAGGGCGTCGTTTTCGTTCTGGCTATGTATGCTGTTGATATTATGTTCGGTAAATGGTAGGAGAGTGTGGAAATCAAGCAACTGGAAGAGCAGTTGAAGAAGGAGATGATCGCTGAGGGCTTCCAGTTTCCTCCGGACGTGGAAGAAGAGGAGGAAGAGTCGTTCAACTCTCTGAACATTTTCCCGGGCACCGACTTCATGTCGGAGCTCCAAGTGTTTTTGGATTACTACGTGACCAAGACGCTCCAGTCCAACGAAAAGCTGCAGAACCTGAACGTCCTCATCAGCGACAGCGACGTTCCCGGCGAGGGCGAGCACAAGATCATGGAGTTCATTCGCTCGCAACGCACGCAGCCGGACTATCTCCCGAACCAAACGCACATCATCCACGGCCTCGACGCGGACCTGTCCATGCTGGCGCTTTCTTCGCACGAGCCGCTCTTCTACATCCTCGTCGAGCAGCTCTTCATCACGCGCTGCGCGATCTGCGGCGCTCCCGACCACTCGTTGCAGCGAAAATTCGCCTCCACCGTAGAACGCGCGAATGCGTGAAGCTGCCTCGAAAGAAGCTCGGCGCGAGCACCAAGGACGACAAGTTCTACCACCGTCCGCTGCAGGTGATCTCCATCAAGACGCTCCGCGATTATTTAGACCTCGAAATGCGCCCCGTCGCCTCCCAGATGAAAATCCCGTACAATCTCGAGCGCATCATCGACGACTACGTCTTCCTCTGCATCTTCGTCGGAAACGACTTCCTCCCCTCGCTCCCCCTCTTCGACATCCGCGAGGGCGCCGTCACCATGCTCCTCAATCTCTACCGACGCCTCCTCCCCACCTGGACCGACTACATCATCCGTCCCGGCGGCGAGATCAACTACCTCCAGGTCCAGTCGCTCATGCGCGAGGTCTACGCCAACGAGGGCAATATTCTCCGGAGGAAGCGGCTGTTTGGACGGTACACGGTGGGACGGCTGAAACGCCCCGCGGTGCAGGCGAGCTCGACGAAACCGCCAGAATTGGGGGACGAAGAAAGCGTGAAGCTGGTGAATCTGTTTATTAAGCACATGGTGGAGAATGTGGCCAACGTGGCCAATCGGGACAGTAAGGACAATAAGGCCCATGCGGTCAATGCGGTCAATGGGGTCAATGGGGTCAATGCGGTCAATGGGGTCAATGGAGGGTCTGAAGGGAGTCTGGAGAAGAAAGAGAAGAAGATGGTGGACTACGTGAAGGCGATTCAGATGTACGTGTCATCGATGGAACACTAATCGGTCAGATTCGATCTTCGTCTTCGCCAGCTGGTCAAAGACTACTACAACAACGTCCCCAAAAACGACGTACCCCCTTCGATCCCGCCCTCATCGCCTAGGTGGACTACGGCAAGCCGGGCTGGAGCGATGCCTACTACCGCCAGAAATTCGGTCTGGATCCGAGTGATCGGGTTTCGATCGAGCGCGTCTGCCAGGAATACATGCTGGGACTGGCGTGGATTATGCGCTATTACTGCACGGGCTGCGCGTCCTGGGACTGGTTCTACCCCGAGCACTACGCGCCGCTTCTTCGCGACCTCTCCGCGATGAACAACGTGACCGTTTCCTTCTCGCTGGGGCAGCCAATCAGCAAGCTGGAGGCGGTCATCGCGGTAGGCTTCGCTTGCTCTGAGCCACGTAGACGCGCACGCCGTTCGACTCCATCCTCCCGCCCGAGCTGGAGCAGCTGGTCTCCACGCCGGACACCAAGCTCTACAAGTACTACCCGAAGCAGGTGCGCGGCGGAGGCTCGGCTGAACGCGTAGTTCGTGATCGACGGGAACGGAAAGCGCGTGCGGTGGATGGGCGTCGCGCGCATTCCCTTCCTCGACTTCGACGTGCTCCACAGCGAGGTGCAGCGCGTGCTGCCGTCGCTGCCGCCGGTGCTGCAGCAGAGAAATCGGGTCGGCGCGACGCGGCTTTATGTGGGAAATGGAGAGAGAGCGCGATGAAGTAGATGCATCGGCAGCATCCGATGGCGTCGAGGATGGAGCTGGGAGCGGGGGAAGTCGAGATGAAGGCGGGCGCGGAGTCGATCGCGGGAGTGTGGAGGCCCACGCAGATGCGTAGGGATCGGCGGGTTGCTGGGAGGTAGACGATATTTCGAAGGTGAACTCGCGGTTCCCCGCTGTGCAGAATTCGGAGGTGCTGTGCGGAACGTTCGAAGCGGCCAAGATCGACCCGTCGAAGCTCTCCAAGTTGCTCCCAGGGATTCAGCTGAAGGAAAATCCGCTGCTGCATCAAAACATTCAGATCAAAGAGCCGCGCAATTGGATGGGTGTGAGCATCTCGGATCTGGGGCGCGGCTATGCATGGTCGGACTATATTCAGTTGGTAGGAGTGGGGGAGAGCGTCGATTGTAGCGTTTTTATCATTCCCATGGAAGGGGTCGGCTTCCGAAGCGGGACGCGCTGTGTCAGTTGATGCGAGCCTCGAGAGTTCTTTTTAGAAAGCTTCATTAGAGATGAAGTTGAGAGAGTGGTTTGAATAGAAGGAATGATGTTTGTTATGCATTAAAGGATCGTTGATCGTTGATCGCTGATCACTGATCACTGATCACTGATCAGCGATCACCCGGTTGATTGATTCAAAGCAAACAAGGGTAGAACAATCTCCATAGTATGACAAATACAACAACCATAAAAACAACTAAAACACACAGACCCGAACCTTGACCTAGAGACATCGCCTCCGAAATGCGTTTCATCGTGGTAGCAAATGAACCCTGAAGACCGTTCATGCTATGATCCTATGTTACAGACAAAAAATACGCGCTACCATTTCATCGAGGAACTTGTTCTGACTCCGGACTTCTGCACCTATATCGACCGCGAGCTAGAGAATCAAATAAACGGAAAGACACTACGTTCCGTAGAGAACTCACCTTCTCTTTCAACAGCGAGATTCTTTCGTCGTTTTCTTTTTCGAGAAAGGACTGTGAGGATCGGCTGTTCTGTTCGGATCTCCCACTCTTTTCATCAACGTGTTAAGGCAAACAAACTACCTCAAGGAGATCGTATTTGTCCTGTTGGATTCCTCTTCGCATCATGGAATCGAGCGTTCTGTTCTGAATGGAATGAAAAGTAGGAAATCGGGCTTATTTTTGCAGTGAAACGCCCTTTCAGAAAGTGCAAAACTACAAGTATTCACAGCCTGAAAACAGTATAATTGCATAATGGAAGTAGAAGAATCAAAACCTGTGAATGTACGAATTTCTGAAACGAATTTTAGGTTCTTAGATGTTTCCCGAAGAAAATCAGTTGTCCGAAGACATCGAGATTGTAGTGGAAGTCAAAAACAGTGATTGATTAGGATATGGACGAGATTATGAAGGAAGTAACTGACGACTTGCAACACAACATCCCAATTCAAGCAGTCGATCTGCTGTTGGAGGTCGGCTCCATCGAGAGGTTGATCGATATGAAAGAAGTCGATGGTTCAAATGTGTGGAAGATATGCCAGTATCTGCTTCGTATCGTTCATTTCCACTACGAACCGGAGGAACGCAGAAAAATATTTGAGGTATTGCGTATGAGTTTGTTTTGTTCCGCAGACCGTGTACCGTCTGTTCGCTCGCTTCAATCTGTGGGTGGACCGCATGGTATGTGCGATCGCCATGAACAACACACAATACATCATCGACACGTTCCTTCTGCCCTCCTCCCTTCTTACTCTCTAGATATAACGCCTGCCACGAAGACTTGGCCAAAAAGCAGCTCAGCGAGCTGCTCGCACGTCAACGCCTCTCCCACCTTATCAAAGACCCTGCTCCCGACATCGTACCTCCTTTCTCCCTTTTTTTCCACCTCAGTACACATCGATCCTCTACTCCACGTTCTTCTCGGACTGGTTCACAGCCGCCGCCAAGGAGATGGACATCGCCACGCCGCGTCTCCCCAGCACCATTCTCTCCCTCCCCGACCCCAAGAAGCTCTCCACCGAGCGCGTCCAGGCCGCCCAGTCCATCGTCAACGGGCTCCTCAACGCTGGGTTTCCCCGTTTCCCCGGTCTCACGCCTAGCCATTGTTCGGAGTGTTTCTTCCACGACGCGGCTGGCCGCTGGACGGACGGCTTCCAGAAGAACCAGGGCGCGGGACTGCTCCTCGCCAGCGCTGCGCAGGCGCTGGTCTATCTTGGGTCGCCGTTCCAGGGGCTGAACATGCTGATCGATCTGCTGCAGCACTCCAAAACGGAGGTGCGGCAGGGCGCCGCGCTGGGCGTCGGGCTGCTGGCCGCGCCCGGACTCGACCCGCGCGACGATCTCCCGCTGAACGTGCTGCTGCCGGCGCTGGAGGGCGCGGAAGAGAAGGGCGTGACGATGGCGGCGGAGCTGGCGCTGGCGCTGAGCTACGCGGGAATGGGCGAAGCCAGACCCGATCTGCTGCCCATCTTCGAAAAGGGAATTCGAGAAGGCGGATTGGAGGTGATGGGCGTGTCCGCGTTGGCCGCGGGACTGGTCTTCCTGGGGAGTGGAAACGTGGAACTGCTGGAGGCGATGAAGAAACGCGTGAGCGACGTGAAAGAAGCCGACGAGAACCAGCTGCCCAACCTTCTCCTCGGCTTCGGCCTCTCCCTGCTCTTCACGGTTTCCCCGTTTCCCCAGTCTAACGCATAGCACAAGAAAGTGATGCTGGAGGAGATCTCCGCGCTGTCGGACGTCCTCAGCTCGCTGCCCCCGCGGTACCGCTTATATCTGCAGGCCTGCGTGCTGGCGTGCAGCTTCCTCGCCTCGCAGGACCTCCTCGTCATCCACCAGCTCCTCTCCATGCTCCAGGAAGAGGAGGACCGCATCCAGCAGCAGCCCAAGGAGAAGACCGACGCCGCTTCCCCGCAGGAGGCCAAGACGCCCGAGGAGTCCTCCCCGCGGGACATGTTCAACCTCATGGGGCTCTTCGGGGGCAATTTCATGTTCCCCACGCCGTCGCCGAAGCCGCTGGACGACGCGGCGACGACGCACGAGGACGACGAGTTCGCGGTGAAGATGCTGGTGCTCGCGATCGCGCTGGTTGCCGCGGGGGAGCCGGTGAACGTGGCGATGGTGAGTCGCTCGCTGGAGCTGCTGCTGGTGCACGGGTCGCACAGCGCGATGGAGATGGTGCTGCTGGCGTTCTCGCTGCTGCATCCGTCGGAAGGCAGCATCGCGATCGTCGACCAGATGATGCGTAAAACCGCGGGAGGCGGTCTGACGAACGTAGGAGAGGGGAGGAGGCGTGAGGCGTAGCAGTCGAACACGTGGTCGTATCGCGTAGAGCGTCGCGGAGCGGACTGACGCGTAGAGCTGCGTGAACGCGGTGCTGGCGCTGGGTCTGACGGCGTCGGGGACGTGCAACAGCAAGATCAACACGCACTTGAAGCAGGTCGTGGAGGCCGAGCAGCTCTACTCCTCCTACCTCTCCAGCGAGTACGCGTTGGACAAGGCCTTCTACATCCACTTCGCGCAGGGGCTCGTGAATCTCGGCAAGGTGGCGCGTGATCGGGTTTTTGTCATGCCTAGGGATTGCTCACGCTGAGTCCCAGCGCCATGGACGGACAGCTTTTCAACCCCGTGTCGCTTCTGTTCCTCGCTACCTCCATGCTCCCGCGGTTATGCAACGAGTCGCGGCCCACGCAGCCCATCGTGGCCATGCTGATGCTGATGGCGCTCGGTGCCGCGCGGCCGCGCATGCTGATGCTCCTGGACAACCGCCACGAGATGGTGCCGTTGAAGGCGAACGCGCGCGTCGGGCAGGCCGTGGATACGACGGGCCAAGCGGGCAATGTGCGCAACATCAGCGGGTTCCAGACCCTGGAGGTGCCGGTGCTGCTGGCGCCCGGCGAACGCGCCGTGCTGGTGGACGAAGAGAAGTACGCGCTGGGAACGCACCTGCTGGACGGCTTTGTGTTCGCCGAAGAGAAGTGGATTGTTTGTTAACAAACACGGCACAGCTCGAGAGTTTGCATCGGAATCGCGTCCAGTTCTTCGTCGGTCACTGCATTCAACACCCAGAACAACATCTACGCTCGATCTCCTTCTTCGGCGGCGCTTCGGGCTTGCTGAAGAGACGGCGGCCCAAGTACTCCGCGTTCACCTCGAAACCGTCCTTCGCTTCGTGCATCTACATCTCACAGCAACACATCGCATCGACGTCTGAGAAGTAGGAGGCCTCCGATGCCAGCGGCGGGACCGTGAACTCTTTTCTAGAGGGAGGAAGAGAAGCCAAAAGCTCACTGATAGCGATAAACACAATAGGGACATGCCTTTTGAGACATATCCACACAATTCTACCCTCATGAAATCGCTCCCAAACCCACTTTGTGATACGAGTGCCCACACAAAAAGTGCACGGACGGCAAATCCAGCTGCTGCTTGCATCCCTGGCACTTTCGTTGCTGCATGATTTTGCCATTCCTAAAAAAGTCAAGAATTCCGCCATTCCAAAAAAAGATATGTTTTTATGTCCTCCATCTCGGCTTCCATGTCCTCCACCTCTTTGCGCAACTCGGCGACCTTGCTGCGATCCTCCTCGATCATCTGTCTCTTTCCCTCGATGCAATGAATCAAAAAGTTGCGCATGCCCCCAAGCGTGATTTTCGGGTTTTTGGAAACGAGCTGGAGCGCCAGGAGCGGCGAGATGATCCTGTTTTCATACACGTAGTTGAGAACTTCGATGAGCTTCTCCATATCCAAGGAATCCATTTCCGAGTAAAAAATCAGCAGCTGCGTCCACAGCGAAGAATCCTCCGTTTTGTGCTCCTTGCAGAGCTGAATCGCGTGCTCCACATCGCCAGCGTTGATATACAGCTTCAACATCATCTCATGCATCTGCAATCGCTCATACAAAAACAGCTGTCCCTCCTCGAAATTGTGCATCTGCACCAGCACCAGCGCCTGATCCACGTCATACTGCGCCTTCGGCATGCGCAGCAGCCCCATAATGTTCTCTCGATAGATCGCCTCCAACTCGCTTTCGTCGCTTCCCTTCTCGCGCAGCTCTTCGCGCAGCAAATCCTTCCGCAGCAGCAGCTCCAGCGTCGTGTTCCACACGATCGTGTCGCACTGCGCGCGGTACTTCAGCATCGCCTCCAAGAACTGCTTCAATCGCCGCGGGGAATCCGCGAAACACTGAATGAAATTGTCCGGCACGCAGCACCCGTTCAGCAGCGATTCCTCGTCGTCCTGCCCCGTAAAATGCACAACCTCCCCGCGGGAACCGTCCTCGAGGGGCAGCGGGACGAAGCCGGAATTGGCGGGAAGGCAGAGCTGGATGATGATGTTGGTGGTTTCGATGCTGAGATGGGAAAGAAGCTCTTTTCCGTAGAGTTGGAGCGCGGTGGAAGCGAGCTCGCTGGGGAGCGATCTACGCGGGAATGGAGCGAGAACCGCGGGTACTTGATATACGCGAGGGCGCCGTGAAAGGACTGCATGTCTTCGATGAGAATTCGGAGGTGGTTCATGAAGAGCTGGTGCTTTTTGGAGAGATGAAGCGCTTCTTCGTAGCAGCCGGCGTTGCGAAGCACTTCGACGGCCATCTCGACATCGAAGTGGATTCCGGCGTGGTCGGAGTAGATGAACTGGTGGAGCTTCTCCTTCTCCTTCAGTTTGGTGTAGCAGTTAATCAGGAGAGTGGTGTGCTCGCTGTTGGCGAGGCTTCGTTGGTGCAGCGCTTCGAGATACGTGGCTAATTGCGGCATCCGCTGCGCGTCCAAAAACTTTTTGATCACGTAGGAGGGCTCGATAAACCCGATCGTTTGTTTGTACTCCTCGATCGCCTTCTCGTTCTCGTCCTCATCGTACAAATAATCGCCGTATCTATTTGATTACTCCCGAGAAAAAAAACAAACATTCGGTGAATGTTGAGAACGCCGTTCACGTCCATTCCGCTCCGAATCGCCACGTCCAGCGCGATCGGATACTGGTGTTTCTCGTACAGCGACCGCAGCTTCGTCGGCAGATCCTTCTCTTGGAAGCAAAACACGGTTTTGGTGCGCGTCATCACAAAGATCGAATCCCACTGGCTCACGATCGCGTTCACGAACTCCGTTTTCCCGTTCCGGAACAGCGAAGACGCGAACTCGATGAACCGATTCGCCAGGTTGTAGATCGTGATCACTTGCTGCCCGTTCTCGTCGAAGCTCGCCACCACCGCGCACTCCTTCGTGCTCATTATGTACTTCTTCTTCCCGGGGAACAGGTAGCTCGCAGACATTCCCCGCGGGGAGAACACGCGAAGACCCTCGTCCACCGCCAAAATCTGCTTCGCACAGGAGGAAGAGTGCTACCAGCTCGTTGTGCGCGTTCACGCAGCTGCAGTTCAGTTCGCAGCCGTGGATGTCGTCGAGGAGCAGAAACTCCACGTTCTGCAGGGCGTTTCGATTGAACAAAAAACAGCCGATTTTTGTCATCGAGGACGCGTAGATCGCGATGGTGTCTGGATCCTAAAACGGGGAAGGGGAGTCGATAGAGCGGTACGTCGAGTGTGTAGCATTGGTGAAGGCCGGTGATGGATTCGGTGAATTTCTGCGGAAGCATGCTCGGCATCGTGTAATGAAGACGGGTAATGTCGCCCTATCGCTTACGGCGCCCATTCATCCCGTACTTGGACGTAGAATATGCGGCCATTGCTGCAGCCAAACAGAAGCAGCTGCTCCTCCTCGCCCACAGAGAACACCGTGATGTCCTGCTCTTCCATTCGCTCGAAGAGCTGGATCGTGCGAATGCACTGCGGGACGCCATTGATCTCCATCTTGGCCATGTTCCACACTTTCAAGACGTAACTGTAGACCACGTCGGCTGGCTCGGTCTTCACCGTCTCTCCAATGAATAAATCCTCCAGAATGAAGGAATAGTGATCGTTATTGCTGAGGTAGGCGCGATAATCATTTACAACTTTATGCGACTCGGAAATGGCATAATCCGGACGCAAATCCTTTCCGTTTCCGATTGTGTACAGCAGATTTGAGTTTTTGCACTAAAACACTGACTTTCGTCCACAGAACACTACCTGATATACAAAATTAACACCGTGTTCATATGCGATAAATCTATTCAAACCATAAAGTTGGTTGCAAATCGTGATGCCTCCTTCCGAATCACCGAAAATGAGTTTATCCATGCCATCGGATATGCACGTCACATCGAGAAGCTATCCGTCAGTACCAATCATCCAAAGCGTACCTGTAGCGCATACAGACTACTTGTAGGGTCGTGCGATTGTACGATGTGAGTAGAATAAAAATTGAATCGATTCCACATCTTGCTAAAATTGGAGATGGGGGAAGAAAGCTGAAAAATCCAAAAGAAAACAACCCCAAGAAAGTCTTGAGCCGAATGAAACTCACCTTGACAAGAAAAAAGGGCCCAGCGGGGAATCGAACTCCGGACCTCTCGCACCCAAAGCGAGAATCATACCACTAGACCACAAGGCCGCTTTAGGATTTTCTTGAAACACGAAACTTAAGGAAATTCGGATTCCCCAAAGGTTCGAAACGATTCCTATTTTGCACATCCACTTTTCCGATCGAAAAAGTATCATTTTTAGTTTCCTTTAATCTATGCCCATTTGACGGAATTGCATTATTAAATAGTAATGTGGAGTATTATCTTTGTGCTGTTTACGACAGTTCTGCTGTTGTACGCGCAATTTGACATGCTTTTGTTTTATAATGCGATCATGAGCGAGGAAGAGGAAGTGAAACGCGAAAACTACGGAAAGATTCAAAAGTACCCTGAAGTGTCCGACTTTTTTTGCCCCACCTGTGGAAGACATTTCTCGAGCTACCAGCATTGTTACCGTCATTCTGAAGTGCGTGGTCATAACAAATCCTATGTCTTTTGCGAGTACTCTTACAAGGGGCTTCCTCGTTGCCATCGTCCATCTTCGTAGAGAGAGCAGCGAGCGTACTATGTAGAAAACTAAAGGAAGACCATCTTTTTGGGAGTTGTTGTTTCGCGGGTAGGAAGCGGAAAATGGAGGTACAGCGAACGATTTCGGCTTAAGTGAAGGATATTCACTGGGTTTCGCCGTACAATATCCGTACAGACGACATTACCAAACTTCCTGTGCTGTATGGCCTGTGCGACGGCCACCGTGGCACCAACGCAGCGGCCTTTTTAGCAACCCAGATCGAGCAGGTAGCGGCAGCTCCGAATTGCAACCTAGTTTCTTCTCATGCGTCGAAACGACGGCATGCCGACTGCGATCGAAGTTCGCGACGCCTTCAAGACCGCACGCGACTCGTTTATCCAGGGCTACTGCAATCTGGGGGACATGAGCGGCAGCACGAGCACCATCGTGATCAAGTGAGCGCGCCGACGGCTTCTAACGCGCAGGAACGAAGGAGAGCTGATCATAGCGAACATCGGAGACAGCGGCGGGTTCATATGCTGCGATGTACCTCGCTGCTGGGTGTGCGTGAGCGATAGAAGGAGGGAAAGCCGTTTTCGGTGACGTTTGATCATCGCGTGTCCAACGACCAGGAGAAAAAACGAATCCTCGCCAGTGGCGGGAAGATCAAGGACAGTCGGCTGTTCGGGCAGCTGGCGCTGTCGCGGTCGTTCGGGGACTGTCCGTACAGCTCGTTCTTGTCGGTAGAGCCGCATATCTACACGCTCCAGATCGATGAGGTGGGGATCCGACGAAGATGATCATTAGACGTTTCACCAGTATATTGTGCTTGCATCGGACGGAGTGTGGGATTTTGTAAGGGATTGGGGCGGAAGTGATGCATAGATCTCGATGGAGGAGGTGAATGCGATCGTGAGTTCATTTGTGAGCCGAGAGATATCCTTTCGTTTTAATTCGATTTGCTTGAATGGGTGGATGGATGGATCGCTAGTTAGTTGATTCCTTCACGTCGCAGAACGTTCTGGGGAAAACAAGGAGGCAGATTCGCATTTTACTGGACAAGGCGGCCCGGATGATTTCGTATGAAGCGTATGTGAGAGGAAGCAATGACAATATTTGTACCATGGTAATTTCTTTAGCTGACGTGGATTGTGTTGTTTGGTTCGAATACGCAATAACGGGAATTCCCAATTTCTGGCGGAGTTCCACGATCCTTCTGGAGGTTTTTATTAGCTTATTTCCAAAGAGAATGTTTAGCAGAACACTATCCCAAGCCTCTCGACTCTCCTCCAGACTCGTCCGAAGCAGTACCGCTAAGAGTGCTCTGAAGAGATTTTCGCACGACCACGCCGGTACTCCCCAGCCTCCCTTTGTCCAGAGACGCGCTCCCAACAAATCTGTATGGTTTGGTTTCCAGGAAATCCTATGTGTAGCTTTCTGAGCATGCTGAACTGATTTGGGAGGATGGAGTGGCTCCCGAGACTGCGATCGATTTCGATGTCATGGGCATGAAGACCGGACGTGCTTTCCTGTGGATGCTTAGTGGCTTTAGTTTGTTCTTCTTCCTGTACGAGGGAGTGAAGCACTACGACCCCGAGCACTTGAAACGTTATGTAGCGTCAGTAGGCGTGCGTGATTTGTAGACCGCTCGCGAGAACCCCTATAAGAAGGCCTAACTACAACAATGCTATGCTATATTTCACTTATCCCGAGTTTGTTAAAATAAACACCACGAAAACAAGAGAATCCCATTCAGTACAGAATGCCAGATGATCTCATTTTCTTGATTCAACGCAGGGCGTTTGGTAAGCAAGTACAAATTAGATGTAGAACATTTTGGTCTTCATGCTACCATCATAGCTGAAGTTTCTACATTGCTGGTACTGCTGGTCTCTGAGAGTATCGGAGTCCACGCTCCCCACGCTACGCCCATCGCTTCCATCACTCACACGCAGAATATCTCGTGTTCGGAAACACAAGAGATGGGCGTAGCGCGCAGGGGCGCAGATCCCGATAGACCGGCTGCACCGATTGAACAGGAAGCACGTATTGAACGTGATCTTCTCCAGGGTCTCCAGCGGGATGTCGGAGTCGTCCACCAGAACGGTGTAGCGGCACGGTCTGCCCGTTCCCTTCAGCGTCACGCCGGACTGCAGGTAGAACTCCGTGATGGTCGGGGAGATGATGCCCTCGTCGACCAGCAAGCCCGGGTTCGCGTTGCCCTGCCGGTCGCTATGCGACGGGACCTGCGGGTAGAACTTCATGTTGTGCCGCTTCTGGCAGATGAGGAACGTCAGACGCAGCGGCGAGGGGTAGGAGGGGAAGCAGTCCTGGAAGGCCTGGTAGATCTTGGTGACCTCCTCGTGCATCACCTTCTCGAACATCGCGTCGCCCACGCCGTCGCGGTAGAACACCACCGCCGCGGGCGGGGTCCCGCGATTGGCCGTCGCGAACGCGGAGAACAGGCCCTGCATCATGCTCCGCATGTTCTCGATGACCTCCTGGCGGCCCTTCTGCACCGTGGACTCGCTCGCGTAGCGCGTGTGGGTCGGGTCGATCGAACCCACGATGGACGCCACGGAGATGCTCTTCTCGCCGCCCATCGGGTGCGTCACGTCCGCTCCGCAGATCATCAGCGGCGCGGCGTTGGCGGGCGAAACGCGCAGCGGCGCGGAGAGCTTCGCGTTCACGCCGCCCAGCTTCATGTTGATCTTCAGCGAGAGGTTGCTCATCACGGCGTCGTTCAGTCCGCGCGATTGCTTCGCGCAGTTGATGCACTGCGACGGGATCTTCAGCACCACGTCGCTCACGCGCTTCACCTCCTTGTACTCCGCCGTCTGCCCGCGCGTGAACACAAAAATGATTTGCGGCTTCTGCGCCATCCGCGCCACCGTCTGCGTCAGCAGGCCTTCCAGGCGGTTCACGTCGGCGCGAATCGGCTCGGGCTGCCGTCCGCCCAGGCTGAAGAACTTCGGCAGTCTTCGCTGGAAGTCGGCGCAGAGCTCCAGTCCTTTCACTCGGTCCAGCACCACGAGCAGGTACGAGTTCTACGAGTCACGCGCGCCCCGCTCCGCCTACGATCGCCATGCGGCGCACGAAGTTGCCGTTTCGCCAGCTGCAGTCGGTCACCGTGCGGCCACCGATGTCCAGCACGGGCGGCGCGAGCTGGTACGCGTTCACGTCGACGATGCGGTGGTCGATGTCGATCTCCAGCTCCTTCAGCAGACGGAACTGCGTGTTGGTGCGGATGAAGTCGAGCGTGCCCCGCTGGCGATCGCGCGGCGTGCTCGCCGTCGTGCGGATCATCTGGCTCAGCTGCTGCGGACTGAGCTGCGAGTTGTAGCGCTGGTTGGGGCAGATGAAGAGAAGCTCGATCGGAATGAAGCACTTCTTCGTCATCTCCGCGACGGGCGCGTTCGGGTAGTGCAGCCGGATCTTGTAGACAGTTTGGTAATATTGGAGCATCGTTACGGTCTTGCCTTCATGCTCGAAACTAATAGAAGCGACGGTCTTGTTTACGAGACGTTTCAGCGTGTACTTGTGCTCATAGCCCTGGTACTTCGTGTACACCTTCACGTTCCGCAGCTGCTGGTTGATGTCGTACAGGGAGCGCTCCCCGATCACCATGTCCGGAGACATGTTGTTTCCAGCGATATTACGCAGAATGGTTATTAAAGGACCCGGCGTGACGAAGGTCGTCGCGCATTGGTCGATCTCCAGCATCACTCCCTGCTGCGTCTGGCGGACGGAGTAGCTCACGCCCAGGCGGCCCTCGAGGTAACGATCGATCGGGAAGGTCTTGCCGGAGAAGATCTTGCCGTTCAGACAGAAGAGCTTTCTAAAATGAAGAAATCCATCCACGATTACTTATCCACCGAGGTTTCGTACATGATCGAAGTCATGAGCGCCTGGGTCGCCCGCTCATCGAGGCTCTGTGCGTCGGTGATCGTCATGAACTCGGTTGGGGTAATATCCAGCTCGTACACCTTATCCGACAGTGTTACAGAGAAGGTTGTCTTCTCGAAAGAGTATTTCGAGTAGAACAACGCCTTGAAATCGTACCAAAAAGCACCTTTCATAAGTTGTTGCGCAGTAGGGTTGCTGCGCAGCAGGATCATCGCTTGGATCGCCTCTTCCTTGCTCAGAACTACAGAAACCCGCTTATTATCGCGAACTCTGTAGATCTTGACATCATACTTATAAATCGTCCTTGGGCGGGTGGTGGTCAATTGCATCCTGATAGAGCTGGTATCCACCTTAAATGATGCCATGGTGTGACGGACATTCTTCTTCTTGGCGAATCTTAATAGGGGATTCGCTCCAGCACCCTTGGCAGGCTCATTCACCTCTTCGGACACGGAGGGAGCTTGGGATACCTGGGGAGCGGGTGCTTTTTGTCCCGACCCAGGCACCGCAGCAACGGTATTTTCGGCTTTAGCTGTTGTCTCCACTGGCTTGGGCACCTCCTTGGGTGGATTCGTAGCCGGAATCTGTGGATTGACAGGTAATGTGCTGGTTTCTCCAGCAGGCTTCGCTTCGTTATTCTTAGCGTTGATTCGTTCTAATGCACGTGCACGTCTTTTACCTTTCGGCATTTTAACTGATCTTCTTTTTTTATAAAGAAACCACACACATGACAAAAATCGGCAGCAATAACCGAATTCCGGAAATTTCCTGGAAATTTCCTGGGCTTTTTTTAACACGATCATGGTGGATACAGATGTTCGTGTTACTATCTTTTCCTTGAGGACATTTTCCATGAGTATTGAACTGAAGATCAGCATACTAGATGGTGGTACCATTCATCTAACAATGCAAGAAAACTCCAAACTATCCGATTTGAGGTTTGCTATTAAGAATCACACGGGAATCGAGGAAGACGAACAAAGGCTGATTTATCTGGGTCGAGTGTTGAGAGAGGATAAGCTGCTCACGGAGTATAACATCCATTCTGGAGTGTGTATCCAGCTAGTAAAAGCCCCAGTAAGAAAGTGAACTTCAATTTGTTATAGGCTCCAACTCTCCCCCCTCCTGTCAGTGAAGAACCTCGGAGTACACGTACCGTACACGCGTCCTATATTATCTACCTTCCTTTCCGGGTAACAGAATCTTCAACAGTGGCTGCGAGTGAGTCAAACGATGCTGGCTCTGATGAGGCAATCGAGTCGATTGTGCAAAGACCCATTCAGGGAGCTCCGCCCGTACAGCGATACTCCCGCTCTTCGCTTTCTCGCAGTTCCATCGAGGACATTGAGCAAAATCCTCTGGGTTCAGCCAGCCAGGCCTCTTCTTTTGATCGTCTTTGTACAGCTACAGCCAAGCTGAAAAAAGACGCTGAGAAGTTCATTCAAGTTTCTTTCGTAATCCCCTCTCTTTACGATTTAGTCTACACGGCCATTGGACATATCAGACTCGTTGTTCCATGCTGTGATTCACTCATACGAGCGATTGACACTCTCGCTGACAGACTATTATCATAGCGGAACTCACGCCGAGCAGCAGGATAGGGAAGTAATCCGCGAGGCTTTACAAACTTTACAGAGCGTTAGTTCGGATCTCTCTCAACGCCTCTGTTCCTAACAAACAATTCAGATCTGTTTCAACGCCTCTGCTCTTAACAAACAATTCAGATCTGTATCAACACCTCTGCTCCTAACAAACAATCATCACATTAGCACGATTAACAATTCTTCACATTGCGTTTGTTCACAAAACACAACCGCTCATAATACGAAAACCGATGGATTCGCAGATCTTTCAGCACCACATGGCGGTTACAGAAGTCCACCGGCATTTCTATCCTCATTTCTCCCATCCATCCCTACTGAAGTCGGCATCCTCACTATCCTCCGTACTCACCTCCGTCTCCCAAGCATCCAGCAGAACATTCGCGTCTTCCACCGATGGCAGAACCACCAGCATCATCGAATCACTCAGCCAGTTCAGATACACGTTTCGTTTGATGTTGTAATGCTTCGCAAAGAAGGAAAAGAAGTGCTTGGACGTGAGCCACTACAACTGATCTCCTCTCTCTCTCCGTCTACCGGCGCGATATTCTCGATAACCAGCACGTTCTCTCGGTTTTGCAGCTCGTCATGGAACTGGTTAACGACATTGTTGTACTCATCCATTCGAATCGGCAGCGAATGGAGCATATGATACAAGTTCAATCGGTCCAAACACTCCACAAACTCTCGTTTCAGTCCATCCAATCCTCCGTCTCGCTTCATCTCTTTCAGTTTCGCGATATCTACCTCGCAATCCCTCCCCGCTCCCCACCTTCCCATCGAAATCCGCATCGGTAAAGCAGCTTCACGAACAAACACCCCGTTATCAACGCGTCGCACGCTACATTGCGATTCATTCTCTCCCTCCTACCCGCATCATGGGCCGTAAACTCGCTATTCTCCACCGCTCTTCGCACCTCCGGTTCTCCATTCTTCCACGCTTCCGCCTACAACTCACTTCTTTTTTTCCCTGTTCTACCTGCTGGTAAGCGTGCGTTAGATTACAATGACGAATGTCTTCCTCTTTCAGCCCCTCCATCTCCACCACTTCCTTCAAATCCACCAGCAGCTCCACCTCCTTCATCATCTCCAAAAACTCCGGCAGCGTTCGCGGCAGTTCCTTGTAGATTCCGCCCAGCATGTACATCACATCGCCCATCGTTTGGAACCCAACCAGCGGCTTCTTACTCTCCAGAATCGCCTCCACAACGCGTCGAACGCCAGCGTGTTGGCAGACTTCCGGGACGGCAGGCTCGATCCTTTCGCTGGGCTGCTTGGTCACAAAGATCCGCGTGCGTTTGATCTTCCCGGTCGATGGATTGTCTTCGGGGAGCTCTTTGAGAGAAAGCGTGGGATAGCGATTGGAGACTTCCTGGTATAAGAGCTTTCGCTTGTGGGAGTTGAGAGGGGGCAGAAGAAGCGATTCCGTCGCGAGAGAATGGTCGGTGTTGGGAGACAATTGGGCGTCTCGATTCATTGCTTGGATCCATGAGTTGATCTGCAATGAAGGGACGAATCAAATGAGACTTGCTCGAAGATAGGCTCCATGGATTCGCGTTCTTTGTCGTCCTTATAGTCGTATCGATCCTGGCTCATGCGCAGGTGCTCGAGGATTTTTTCCTCGTCGGATTTGCGAAGCGTCGGAATGCCTTCAGAGAAAAGACGGCCAAATTTGAAGTGGTTGTTTCGAAGGAAGTCAAGGGTTGAGGCCTAGCTGGAAGCGATCCAGGTGTCGCCTACGCGAATTGAGAGGGTTAGGTTACATAGCTTGTGCGCATAGGGGCAGACGAAAAAGTTGAAAGGGCGACATATGATACTATTCTCAATGCGAATACCGAGGAATACCAGTGCTTTTCGTCATCCCAGTAAAAGCAGCAAATTCCGAGCTAGTACGTTGAAAAGGTTTCTTAGTCCTACTTCTATCGGGTAGTAATTTTCAGCACTATGAGTGAATTGACTTGATATCCACTTACTCAACACGGTATTTGGCGTAGCGTGTTTCAAACTAGAATTGACTGCTCTATTTAAGATATACGGTATCGGCGTAGACGCAACGAAAGTAGGGCTTGTAGTCTGTGCCGCTAAATTCAAGATCGAAGGCAATGAACTCAGATTTTCGAATGGTCTCCAACACGTAGGGGAGGCACTCTTCGAAGTTGTTCACCGTGATATCGATGACTTCCTCAATCTTCGGGGTCTGCATAACAATTGTGTAACAAACATTTCAACCCGATCATTTAAGCATCCACTTCAACACAATAATCACAACAACCACTAACAGACCAAACATAGAAATCATCTTTGACGTTTCAATCTCCATTCCTCCCACAATGAGCTTCCGCTTCACATCATCGATTTCTTTCTCCGCCTGGCTCTCCGCAGCCTTCTCCGCGGCCTTCTTCGCCTCTCTAAGCAGAGCACAGTACGAGCACTCGTTCTACGCGTCAACCCTCCCTCTCTCTCTCCCTACCGAATCGCTGAGCGCCTTGGTAATCGGCGTCTTGCACTTGGGACACGCGCGATTGTCCATCTTCAGACCCTTCTTCTCCTTGCCCTTCAGGATATCCTCGCCCTGCAGCAGCGAGGACACCAAACGCATGTAGGTCGTGAGCGACGTGTCGTCGTTCGCCTTCTTCTCCAGCTTGCTGAGCTCTTCCTTGTGAGCCGACTCCGACTCGCTCAGCTGCGCTTCCAGCTCCGAAACCTTCTTCTCGAACTTCGATTTCTGGTCGGTCGCCGTTTGCTGAGCCTTCTTGCTGCTCTCCAGCTCCTTCTTCTTGGTGTCCAGCTCCTTCTTGCTGCTCTCCAGCTCCTTCTTCTTCGACTCCAGTTCCTTCTTGCTCGAATCCAATTCCTTCTTGTTCGATTCCAGTTCCTTCTTCTTTGAATCCAATTCCTTCTTGTTCGACTCCAGCTCCTTCTTGCTGCTCTCCGCGGCCGATTTCTGCTCCTTCAAGTCCTTCTCCAGCGCAGCCAGCTTCTCCTGCAGCGACGCGATCTCCTTCTTGTCCGCCTCGCCGGCCGACTTCAACGCCTCCAGCTGCTTGGTGGCCATCGTGGAGGCTTCCGCGGCCTCCTTGATCACCTTCAGCTCTTTCTTGGTCTCTTCCAGCTCCTTCTCCACAGCGAACTTCGAGCTGTTCAACGCGTTCGAAGCCTCCTCCGCCGCGCTGCGAGCCGCGTCGAGATCCTTCTTCAGCTCTTCGATCTCCTTCTTGTGCGCGGCTTCGTTCGCCTCCTTTTCTTTGCTGGTGCTGGAGGAAAGAGCCGAGGAAGCCTGCTTGGCGGCCTCCAGCTCCTTCTTCAACGTCTCGATTTCGCTCTTGGAAGCTTCCAGCTCCTTCTTCGCTTCTTCCGTGGCGTTCTTCGAAGTCTCCAGTCGCTTCTTTAACTCCTCCGTGACGTTCTGCGACACGGTTAATTTCTTCTCCGCGGTTTCTGTGGCGCTCTTTGCAGCCTCCAGCTCCTTCTTCACTTCTTCCGTGGCAGTCTTCGAAGCTTCCAGCTCCTTCTTTGTCTCTTCGGTTTCCTTCTTTGCGGCTTCCAACGCCTTCTTGGCCTCTTCAGCAGTCTTTAATGTCTCTTCAATGGTTTTCTTTGTAGCCTCCAGATCCTTCGTTGAATCCTCAGAAGCCTTCTTTGACGATTCCACCTCCTTCTTGGCCTCTTCAGCAGCCTTCTGCGCAGCCTCCAGCTCCTTCTTCACTTCTTCAACAGCCTTCTTCGCAGCCTCCAGTTCCTTCTTGGCCTCTTCAGCAGCCTCCAGCTCCTTCTGCGCTTCTTCAGCAGCCTTCTTCGCAGCTTCCAGTTCCTTCTTGGCCTCCTCCGTCGTTCTCTTTGAGGCATCCAGCTGCTTCTTCACTTCCTCCGTCTCCTGATTCGCCATCTCCAATCGCTTCTTCATCTCGTCGATCACATTCTTCGAGATCTCCGATTTCTTCTCAGCCATCGTAGCAGCCTTCTTCGCGGCCTCCAGCTCCTTCTTCACCTCTTCCGTAGCACTCTTGGCAGCCTCCTCCTCCTTCTTGGCAGCCTCCTCCTCCTTCTTCGAAGCTTCCACTTCCTTCTTGGCAGCCTCCACTTCCTTCTTTACAGCCTCTACTTCCTTCTTCGAAGCTTCCACCTCCTTCTTCGCAGCTTCAGCAGCCTTCTTCGCAGCCTCCAATTCCTTCTTCAGATTCTCGTTATCATGAGCAATGCCCTCCGCATCCACCTGGTTGACACGCAGCTCAGACAACTCCTGCTCCTTCTGCTTCAGATTCTCCAACGAGTGGCGGAGCGACTCCTCCTTCTCAGCGCTGAGCTTCTTCGCAGATTCCAGCATCATCTTCAGTTCGTTAATCTCTTTCAGATTCTCCTGAAGCTTTTGAATCTCCTCCGTCATGCTCGCGTTCTTTTCCTTCTCCTGGGCGAGCTCCGCCTCCTTCTCCTTCATGTCTTTCTCCAACTTCTCGGCCTGCGCAGAGAGCTCGTCGTAGTGGCTCTGACTGGCAACCAGAGCAGCAATCTCCTCCTGAAGCTTTCTCACACGCTCGCTCTCGACCTTGATTGCGGCCTCCTTCTCCTCAATAGACTTCTTCATGGACTGGTCGCCACTCTTAAGCTGTTTGGCTTCCTCCTGCACGCTGCGCAAACGGTCCATGAGTTTCTTGTTGAACTCCTGAAGCTCTGTGTACTTCTTCTGCCAGTCCACCTCACCCTTCTTGGGGTCCAGTTCTCGCAACTGGAACTTGCTCGAAATGATGCCCAGGACCTTTTGAACACTCTCCTTTTCCTCCTGGTTGCTGATCTTGTTCAAGACAGCCTCGCACAGACTATCGATGGAAGACTTGTCCTCGGATTCCTTCTATATCCTTAGGGGAGACACGCATAACTTACAGCATTCAGTGCCTGAGTTTGGCGAGTCATAGCACCCTTGGAATCTTCCAGGGAAGTCGACAAGGCATCGCCAATACTGCTGGGCTTAGATGGTCCCTTTCCACTCATGATTCTATGTTATTCAAGAAAAATACTGCTTTTCATTCACAAACGGTCAATGAAACTCCCACTCACTGTTCTTACCTAGTAATATGCTGTCCCGTGGTATACTGGGATTGCGGAGGGTGCCATTATCTACTTGTCTCGCCCGTACTCATGCTTCAGCTACTCAGTTCGATGCGTTTTCTTCCACAAAAGCCATTTCGAATCTCCGCTTTAAGTACATGATGGAGCAATGCGGAATGAACCCAGTACTCACCATTTACCTTTTCTAAGATAGTATGCAAAGAGTAAGCTCATAGTCGCTCTCTCTGGAGGTCCGGATAGCATGGCACTATTATCTCTCCTGAAAGATTGGACCGACATTTCGCGATTAGTTGCCGTGACTATTGACCATGGTTTTCGAGAAGGTAGAGTTGTAGTAGTGCAATTATCAGCAGAGAGTGCAAGGGAAGCGGCTCAAGTCCATGAGTGGGTCAATAGAATGGGTATAGCGCATGTTACTAAGAAGATTGATTGGGTTTGTGCTCATTAGTGATTTTTATTCTAGTCGGCACTGCCTCAACAACAACATTTGGAAAAGGAGGGGAGAGAGCAACGGTACCGTCTCCTGAGGGAGGCATGCTCCGAGCAGCATACTTCAGATGTGTTAGTAGCTCATCATGGCGATGACCAGATTGAAACGTTCTTTATGCGTCTCTTTCGAGGCAGTGGCATTGCGGGTCTTGCTTGCATGAAACAGATCCAAACAATGGACGATGGGACGCGCCGTATTCGACCTCTTCTCTACCAGTCCAAAGCAAGTCTAGAAGCGACTTGCAAAGAGCGAAACGTCCCGTTTGTTTTGGACCCATCCAATCTCGATCTCACCTACGATCGAAACCGAATCCGCTCTGGAGTGCAGCAATTGAAATCGAACGGTTCGTTGCAAGGTCCCATGCTATTGGAGGCAATCGCTTACTTCCAATCTGTACGCTTTTATTGTCGATGCTGTGACCGAATCAGATTCGCGAAGGGATGGAATTGGAGACAAAGCGATACTTCCTCGACTGCTGTCAATACAATGCAGACTTCGGAATCTGCCGATTCAATGCCACCAAACTCGCAGAAGCTCCGCTCCCCTACATCACTTCCGGTTTGTTCTTTCGTGTTTCATTCATTGCAGTGTTGCGGTGGATCTGCGTTGGAATCGGCGGCTCGTCGTCACCTTCGGAGCGAGCGATCCGCAGTGTTGCAGAGACTCTCGTGCGAGACAAGACGCTAAAGAAGCCAATGCAGCTTGCTGGGTGTGTTGTATGTGTGAACGGGTTTTGCGATGTGTAGTTATCCGAAGTGAAGCTGGGAGCATCGGCGTATGCGAAGCGACAGAAAGACTTGCATTGGATTTGCGCGTGTTTGGATCGAAATCAGCTGCCGCAGCGATGCATTGACACGTTTAATGAGGGAATGAGGAGTGAATAGTAGTCGTGCAGTCCCGCTTTCGATGGATCAAAAGGTCTGCTACATCGATCAGTACTGGATTTCGGTTTCGTCAAAGCCTACCCAAGAAAAGGATTGGATGACGATCAAACCGTATCCCTTTATCGACAATCTGAGTCCCAACACGTCCTTTGTAGCTTCCTTCTTATCCGATCCTGTTTGGTTGGTGAATAAAAGTGATGAATAGATGCTGCAAGGGATTCTTTGTCAGAACCGAGGCTTGCTGACGCGAAGAAATCTCTCTGTGCTGATCGCTCGAAGCATTCCGGCAGTGTTTGCAGACATGTGAGAGCGAGGGGATGAATGGATGATGGATAGAAATGGAAAGCGGGAACTGGTGTATTCGAGCGTGCTGAATGTGAATCGCGTCAAGAATCTGTCATTTAGTTTGAAGGCTGTGGCGAAGCCATTGCTTTTGGAGTGTTCTCCGTGGGTTGTGTTTTGAGGTAATATCGTTGTGTTTGTTGCAAGCGACTCTATGCTCATAGGAATTCCATCCATCACAACACTATCTTTGTTTGTTTGTTTGCTTTCTATTTGCTATTTCTCTCAAACACACGAGCACATTCATTTATCACTACTAGCTTTTGTGTTGTAAGAACTCCAATCGTTTCTGTCTCATTTCCTCTGCACTCATCCCTCCTCTGCTTTCTCTATCCCTCACTCCCTTCCTTCATTCCCACATATCTTCCTTCGCATTCCCCACTATCTGTGATCCCGATCCCGATCCCGATCCCGGTCCCGATCCGGCATTTGTCCCAATCGCTGAACTCTCCTTCGGAGGGAAAATAGAGTCGAAGAGGAACATGACCACGCTCACACACACGCTCCACACAATCATAGCCAAACTCTTAAGTCCTTGACCTACCATACTCAGCATGCCGGTGAAGGAGATGGCTGAACCTATCATTTCATGAAGTTCAGGAATATAAATCTACTCATTACAGACTGCTCTGGGATATATACAAAGGCATTCGATTTCTTGAGCACCGAGCCTATGAAACCTTTCTCCATAGCCACCAGGCAGTGCATGGGAATGGCCCAGTTCAGATATCCAAAGACAAATAGATAGCCTGAGAGAATGCCACAGAGATGTCCGATGAAACTGACGCCTGGGATAAGCACGGACATCAGAATGAGGTAGATGATTGCGTACCACTTCCGAGGAACAGAAAACAGACCAAAGATTCTGGGGAAAATACAGGAAAGAAACATACGATAAAGTATCCACATCAATCACATAGGTCATGACAAGAAGAAGAGAAAAAATCACTCCAGAGAATCCCGCAGCAGCTACGTAGAGGAACGAGGAGTTGATCCTACAACACATCTCACGAAGAAACCATACAAGGACAAGAGCTTATAAATAAGGACATAGAGCAACCCGTTGATGATTGTGAATAGAAAAATCACATAAAACATGAAGACGGAGCCATACTTTCTCTCAAGTACAGGATCTTACAATAATAGCACTCTTCATGACATACTGATGTTATAGAACGAGATGAGATTAAACAAGATGTGCAGAAAACCAAGGTGAGCGAATGTTGACAGAAATATCCTCTAGAATCAACTTCCTTTCACAATTCGACATGAATATGGTAGCGCTCCAGAATAAAATATGCACTTAGTACAAATGGTTCATGACCAATAAACAGCTCGATAATAAAGATTATGATACACAGAGCAATAAAGAAGAGTGTACAGGGAGGTACACGCCCCAACGTCTCATTCAGTCGAGAAGCCATAAAAATATAAAACAAACAAGACAAAAAGAGCGTGACCCACAAAACAGACATCTATCTTATTCAGAGGCCTTCTCCGTCTTCTTCTCAGAGTTCTTCTTCTCGAAATACTCCTTCGACTTCGCGAGTCTCTTAGCCTCCAGACGCTGGATGAGATGTCCGTATCTCCATCCGAACTGGCTGGCGAGGTGTCCAGCAGTGATGTAGGCACGATCGGGTCTATTTCCTCACTCCAATGTCCTCTCCACCTACCTCAGGTGAGAAACGCGGTAGGCAGCGGGCACAACCACGCGCTTCTTCTTGTCGTAGGGAGCAGGCACTCCGTCGAAGCACTTCAGATTGCTCATCGCGTTGCCTCCACGAGGGGTCTTGTGGGGAATCATTCCGCGCACAGCACGCTTGAAGATCTCAGAAGGAGCGCTCTGATGGTAGCCACCACGAGCAGGGTTGGTGTTCATCTTCTTACGAAGATAGGCCTCACGGCGCACACGGTTACGCATCACTATTCAATTATCACGGCTCGCTACACTTTACTTCCTCCGGTGATGTTAATGTCCTCGCAGCGGACGCACACAACCTTCTGTCCGGAGAGAAGCTCCTTGGCAACAACAGAAGCAAGACGGCCCATGATATGTCCCTTACAGTCGATAACAACCTCCTTTTCGAACATTTCTCTATACAGCGTAAGTTCACTCATTCAAATCATCTTAGTCCATCCTCAAGCCCATCAGCATAGAAAATCTACATACGTACTAGTGATGTCACACAAATTTCTTGCTGAGTAGGGAATGGACCAGGTTTCATAAAGAATTCATAATTATCAAGCAGTCTGGGAGTTTCACTCACACTGGTCAAACAGCATGCATAGTGTGGATAACTATTCTTGATAATTATATCAACCACGAGTTCCTAAATTGAATGAACACATACACTCCTTCCTAGTTTCTTTGAATTTTAGTTTTTAGAACACCATTGAAATACCGTCTGTACTGAGTGGAGTATGGAAATGAGGCGTCTCTGTACAGAGTATTCTCATTCTCGAATTTGGTTATTCTCAAATAATAGAATAAATAGACCTCAAAAAGCAAACTTTCGATTTCACTCTTCCCTTCTGTCACTCGGCACTCTTTAAATTCGTATTTTACATATTCATAATTGTTTTTATTTAATATGCATCTTCTAGATCCCTCAAAATAGAGATGATTCGCATCTGATTGGACGCACAAGTTTGCCAAATTGGTGCGTATACAGCTGATTGTATGGTTCATTTTTTTTATCAAGTCGGAAACGATGGACAATACTACCCTTATAGGTTTTGTGTTAGTGAATTGTTTTATCCATAGTTCCTGGATTACAGAACACTACAGCCCCTGCCATGCTTGATTCCTTTACTGATGTGATCTACGTGGGCAGTGCTGTTATGTTTATCTTTTCTATTTTGGGGCTTGGACAGCAGGAAACTGCTAGAGCTGGTAATTGGTATGTTTGAATGAGGGTTCTAATGACTAGGTTTGGTATTATCGGTATGCTGGCTTGTGCCGTTATGCAGTACATTCGTACCGGAATTATTAGCGAGCTTGCCGATTGGGGTGATTTGGTGAATAATGGCCAGGCTTGGTGGGCTCCTCCAATTTTTACGGTGATCGGTCTCGCAATCGGTATCGTAGGACCTGCTACTTGCTCGTTATTATTGGTAGTTCATCGCTTGCCGTGTTGCCATGACTGGAATGCCTCAGATGGTCGGTCTCCTTAATGCTTTTGGAGGTCTGGCTGCTGCTTTGGAAGGCCTTGCTCTGCTCTTCTCTCCCAAGTAAGCCTCCTTCTCGGATTGGTTATGAATAGCGCTCTCACATTCCTGAGCCCTGCTTACCGCAGTTCGGAGGCTGTGATTCAGATCGTTTTCATGGAGCTCGGTATCTTTATCGGTATCGTCACTTTCGTCGGTTCAGTTGCCGCTTGCTACAAGCTGGACGGAAAGCTGAAGACTCCTCATTTCAACGGCTTCGCCGTTGTGAACGCCATCCTGATGATCATTTCGATCGTCCTCATGGTTCTGGGAGGTCTCACTGCCTTTTTTGATAAGGAGGTTCGTGACTTCTTCCCTCCCGTGATGGACCTTTCCTGGGGATGGGTGTTCAACATTATTTTGGTTGTTGTTGCTGGAATCTATGGTTATTGCTTTGTCCTTCCTATTGGAGGTGCTGATATGCCTGTGGTTATTTCTGTGCTGAACGCTTTCTCCGGAATCAGTGGATGCACTGCCGGATTCATGCTGCAGGATAACCTGCTGATTATTACTGGAGCCATCGTCGCTTCCAGCGGAGCCATTCTGTCCTACATCATGTGTCTGTCCATGAACCGTTCTCTGATGAGCGTGCTCGCCGGAGGATTCGGAGAGGGTTCCTCCAAGGCCCCCGCCAAGAAGGAGGGCAAGTCGGAGCCCGAGAAGCCCCACTTCCCCATCAAGCCCGAGGCGGTTGCCGAGAAGCTGATGGACGCCAAGAGAGTTTTGATCGTCCCTGGATACGGAATGGCCGTGGGCCACGCGCAGCACGCCGTGGCCGAAATGACCAACATTCTGATCAGCGTCGGAAAGAGAGTGGAGTTCGGAATCCACCCCGTGGCGGGTCGTCTGCCCGGCCACATGAACGTGCTGCTCGCCGAGGCCAACGTCCCTTACAACATCGTGCACTCGATGGAGGAGGTGAACCCGACGATGAAAGAGAACGACATCACGCTGGTCATTGGTGCCAACGATACGGTGAACCCTGCTGCCGAAAACGATCCCACCTCCGCCATTGCCGGAATGCCCGTGATCCGCGTGTGGGAGTCGCGCCAGGTGGTCGTGTTCAAGCGATCCATGGGAAAGGGTTATTCGGACGTCGAGAATCCGCTGTTCTTCTTCGAGAACACCAACATGTGCTTCGGTGATGCCAAGCAGACCGTGGAGGCCATCGTGACCGAGCTGAAGGAGAAGACCAAGAACGCGGAGAAGATTTCGGCCGATGCGGTCGCTGCTGCCATGCAGCAGGAGGAGGAGTTCGACTTCAAGGCGTACGAAACGAAGATGACCGTGGGTATTCCGAAGGAGGTCGGCGAGGAAGAGACCCGTGTGGCTATGACTCCCAACGCTGCCATCAACCTGCGGAAGATGGGCTTCAAGGTGGTGATCGAGGAGGGCGCCGGTGAGGGCTCGATGTTCACTCGCGAGGAGTACGAGAAGGTCGGTGTGGAGATTGTGTCTGCCGAGGAAGTGTTCTCCATGTCGGATGTGATCGTGAAGCTGAACGAGCCTCTCCCCAATGAGATTAAGATGCTGCGAGAAGGCCAGGTTCTGGTCTCCTACGCTTCGCCCGCTCAGAATCCTGATATGCTGAAGGCTGTCGCCGATAAGAACGTGCAGTGGCTCGCTATGGATAGCGTTCCTCGTACCACGACCGCTCAGAAGCTCGACTCGCTGTCCTCGATGGGAAAGATCGCTGGTTACCGTGCCGTGATCGAGGCCTGCTCCGCCTACCAGGGCTTCTTCGCCCCTCAGATCACTGCTGCCGGAAAGTTCGATCCCTGCAAGATGCTGATTATTGGTGCTGGTGTCGCTGGACTGGAGGCGATCGGCGCTGCCAAGGCGCTGGGAGCCGATGTGCGCTGCTTCGATACCCGTTCGGTGTGCCGAGAGCAGGTGGAGTCGATGGGTGGAACCTTCCTGGACCTGAAGGTGGCCTCGACCGAGTCTGGAGAAGGCAAGGGAGGATACGCCAAGGTGATGAGTAAGGAGTACATCGATGCCGAGATGGCTCTGTTCCTGGCCCAGGCCAAGGAGTGCAATGTGATCATTTCCACCGCTGCCATTCCGGGTAAGCGCGCGCCCATTCTGCTGAAGCGGGAGCACGTGGAGGCCATGAAGACGGGCTCTGTGATCGTGGATCTGGCTGCCCGCACTGGCGGAAACTGCGAGCTGACGCAGCCCGGCGAAGTGGTCGTGCACAAGGGCGTGACCATCATCGGATACAAGCAGCTGCCCTGCCGCATGTCGCGTATCGCCTCGGAGATGTACGCGAACAACATCTTCCGTCTGCTGGAGCACATGGGCAAGGCGCAGGACTTCAAGATCGACGTTTCCGATGACATCATTCGCTCGATGCTGGTCTGCAACGGCGGCGCGGTCACCTATCCGCCCAAGGACGTCAGCGCCCCGCCTCCAAGCAAGCCCATCGTCAAGAAGACCACCAAGTCGGTGGCGGTGCTGCCTCAGCAGTCGCTCTCGGACAACGCGCGCCGCGCCATTGCGGTCATCGCCATGTTCGTTGTGCTGGTGGTGGTGGGATTCTTCCTGCCTCCGACCTTCACTTCCCAGTTGATGGTGTTCGCTCTGGCCTGCGTAGTTGGTTACAACTCCATCTGGAACGTCACGTCCTCGCTGCACACTCCTCTGATGTCCGTGACGAACGCTATTTCTGGAGTGGTCATTTTGGGAGCTCTGTTCCAGGCCATCGATCCTTTTGACTCGATTTCCTTCTGGATTTCTCTGGTTGCTATTTTATTCTCCGCCATTAACATTGGTGGTGGATTCTATATCACTCGTCGCATGCTCGACATGTTCAAGAAGATGTAGTTCGTTTGTTTCGTTGCGTTGCTTGTTCCAAACACAAATGAAATGGTCGTGAGAGACGAGAGGTGGGAGGATGGATTGCTGCTCTCGTGAAGGATGAAATAACAACAAACAGGGAACGGAAGAGAGATAAAACTAGGGAGAAACTTGGAGATCACTTCATCGTCTGTCTGGATTTGCGGACGCGAAGAAGGAACGTCTATCGAAAATGACCAAAAACACAAACAGAGCGCTACGCGAATAGATGTGCTTATAAGGGCAAGAAATGCCACTTTTGCAATACCCTGCACTGAAATTACGACAAATGGGAGTGGTGGCAGGGACCTGCGTTTACATGGCTTTTCATGATGCTACCTTCTCATGACGATAGTTGCACTTTTCATTTGAACATCGTCCATTTTGATAAAATGTACACAACGGAACCAAGTCCGGAATCATTGTGTGGTTTAAGGTACAAGCCTCATTCGTACAGCACCCCTATCATTGCAAACACACACTTTCCTATTACTTTTAGAAAGGATGGGCAAATTCGGACCAAATTGCGATCGTGTCTATTTGGACAGTGCTCGTTCGAGCACGTTCCGTACTTACAATACTGGAGACAAACCGAGTCAGACTTCGGTTTCACACTTTTCACTACCACATCCATTTTGAATCCATTCACTCTATATTGTTCCCCGTTGATTCTTACGATTTCGGACTTTGTGTTCTCGGCGTTTTTCACGCCCATCGAACGTTTCTGGTGTTTTATCAACTCTAACTCCTTTTGGAGTTTTTCCATCTCAGGATTTACAAAGGTAGTTCGCGATAATGCCAGTTTTCTTTTGTAAACTATAAATCGTTAAAAGCTGGCCAAACGCGTACCTGACGGGTTAAATCGAACATTTTGACTAACTCCGGATATTTTCTGCCCGTATTTAGTACCTTCCTTCTACGAGTTATTCAATCGGACGATCTCCTCACAAATCGTTTTTGGGGATAAAACGAGTACGGTTTCTAGTTAGCAGACCCATTCGATCCGTACCCGCATCGTTATAAAAACAAACAGAAAACTCCTGGAACGAACTAATGAGTAACGTGCAAAAGAGTGTCACAAAAGGCAGCATCCTATCGAACAGCTCCAAGTCCTCCACCGAAAACAAATTCGGAGCGACTAACGTAGCACAGTTATTCGCATTCATGAGATTGGTGCTCGAGTTGGAGCTAACCAACGCCATGAGTTGCAAAATCCACAGCACTAAATCTTTGGACTGCCGAGGCAGCGAATTCACGATCTGCATGCAGTCCTTGGCGCAGGCACACTTCTCGAACGCCTTCATTTCGACGGAATTCAGCAGCGGAACGGGAAGGGACCGATAGAAAAACTATTTGTAAGCAAACAAAAACAGCGATTCCAAATCGAACCTTGATCAAAAACGTCACCAAGTTCACGTCCGTGATGTTCAAATCGTCGGGAGTCGAGAGACGATCGCTGTTGCTGTCGATGAACTCGATCATTTTCTCGCCTTCGTTCACATTGCAGGAAATCCGGAAGATTCCTTTCTACCCATCAACGCAGCAGCGAAACGATTCAACCGTTTTTAACCCATTCATTTGGATCAGCTTGGCCTTCAGCAGCGCCAAAATCCTGGGAACAGTCAATCCGTTCTCGGTCGTGGAGGGAAGGAAGTACGGATCCACGCCGAAAACTTTCGGGATCGACGAAGCCGAAATATTGATTACGTCGCGTGTGGTGGCAGATTGGAAGAGAATAAGCTTCGACAGATGAACAGAGCGCTAGAAAGAAGGGGGAGCGTCCAAAACGAACCTGGGTGAATGTGATCGAAATTGTAACGGTCGAAGATTTCCCGCGCTTTAAACACACTTCTGGAATTCACTTATAATTATTAAATTCGACCGTCTTGAGAGAGCTCAAGTGTAAAGGCGGTGTCTTCGCGCGAAGGAACGGGTGTGACCAGAATTACCTTTTGGGAAGAGGAGAGGTTCGTCAACGTCACGGTGAGCTCGATTGGCTCATTTAGGTTGATTCGGGATTGCGAGAAAACAAAACTGTGAGGCGAACAAGTAAAATCAGGAGTCTAGGAAGAAAGGAAGGAAGGAAAGAAAACCTTACTTCGGTGTGTCGAAGACGAATCGACTGCATGTACGCGTTGCAAATAGCTATAGGACGCATGTATAAAAAACGTTCGAGCAACTGGGTAATGCCGCTATTCACCAGGCTGTCAAGGGGGTGAGATCCGTATAGGATCCTATGTTCAAAGGGGTGGACGAAACTACATTTCGTAGAGCGATAAAGTGTAAGAATCACAGAGAAGATCGGGAGGAACGCTCGAAACATTCGCATACGATCCAGACGCAACCGTATGAATAGGAGGTTGAGGAATTGAGGAAAATAAACTCGTAACCGAAGAATTGAACTGTTCTTCGGTCATACTTCCAATGTCTGAATCTGTTCGCCATCAAACATACAATATCTTACTAGCTAGCTTCATTGTCTCACTGAGTGTTTGCGACAAATCGTCATATCTATCCGCAAATGATGCTAGCGATCAGTACAGACATAATAAGAAACTACAAGTTCGAACAGCCCGAGAAGTGCAAATAAAGTCAGCTTCATTCAAATTCTCGACAGACAACTCTTCATATCTTCGATAGTAGGGAGCCAGCTGTTTTAAGAAATCCATTTTTTGAATTCGACAAAGAAACATAACGATCTATTCAAAGATGAAACTCCCTATTCCAAGTAGTAGTTGTAGTATTCTTCTTCTTCTTCTTCTTCTTCTTCTTCTGTTTTGCCAATTTTACGAGAAAAATGGAGTGGGAATCAGTGGGGGGAAGCGAAATTGAAGCTTCACTAGGTACAGGACAAAAGTGGTACATGTTCTCTTAGATTCCATCTCAAAATCACTAAATCAAGATGCAAAACAGGAAGGGGATAATCAGGACGAAGATCCCTTCTCTTTTACTTTACCTTCAGGGGAAGTACTTAAAATGGTTCTCCATCCGATCCCTGCGAGTGTGCTCTATCATTCTTTCCATAAAGAGTAGACGGCAGTCGAGGGAATGCACATCCCCTCAGAAAACGACATTATTATTCCTGATCCAAGCTTCGATATACGTGATGTAATGGATTTTAAGCTTCTCTCTTCCCCATCTCCCACGGCTACTGTACAGCCGTCACAACCCGTCTCAGATCGTCAATTTGACTCCATCCAAAAGTTTTTTAGTCCCTCTCTTTCTTGTCTTGACGTTTTTTACACTGTTTTGTATAACTTACTCATAGAAACTTTCCCTAGACCAGTGGAGGGTTCTTTTACGCGAAGGCATTGCCACAGAGGACGCGATTACTTCGATACTTCCGACTCTGCACACTCCCTCGTTTTGCATGGCAGTGGTGGAACGTTTCTATCCGAAATGGAAGAAAGAAAACCGTTCCGATCTCATCAACGAGCTTCATATTCGTGAGACGATCCAACAAACCAATCAAGAACGCGGCCAATGGGCAGCTTCGCTCTTCCACCTCTGGAGAGATTCGTCTCTCGTTTCTCGTTTCCTCCAAGAGTTTTGAACTATTTGTTTCAGTAAACACGCAAGAACAATTTCAACATCGAACTTCCAAACAACTTCACCTGAAGATAGCCACTGCCCGTTTCCTTCAGTCCGTACGACACTAAATACACTCCTTTCTTCAGATTACAACTCAAACTCGTAACGCTCGTCCATTCTTTCAGAGAGGATATCTCCACTGCATTCTGCGCAATCAACTTGCTCTTCGGATTCCCTCTATCATCCAACGAGAACACGGCAATAATCGGCACAGTGCCGATCGACGTTGTGACTTTCGCCGAGAAGAGCATGTCGTTCGTCACAGTCAGACGCGAGCTACAATTCACCGCGTTTTCTTGAGATCTACTAGCACGCCTTTTCGAATCCAGTGCTGCCCAGCACGCTGAGTCCAGTGCACTCCGCATACACATACATAGAAACGGAGTAACTGTACGCGACGTTCTTCGTTAGCTCAGGCAGCGGAGAGTAAATCGTGTTTCGCTCAACCGCAGAGAGCGGAATCGATGCTCGCGCGCTGACTGTGTAGGCTCCATATTCCTTATCGCTGAATCTGCAGTGAAGGACTCCCTGGAGTGATTGAAAGGATATGAAGAAGCCACGAGAGCGTACTCGCCGGGCGGCAATTCGGCTCGGAAAGAACACGAATAGTTTCGGTAGTCGCCGGAGTCTTCGATGATTTGGTCGAAGCGTCCGGCCTCCCAATCGCTTTTCCGAAACAGACACAAATGAATGGAGATTGTTTTGTTTCGCACTGATTCCAAATAGAAAATCACACTGATCGGGTTTGGTAGGGAGAACAAATAAGTAGGATTCCGGTCGTATTTTTGCAAGGAGCGTCTCCCTCCGTTATTGGCTTGGTCCCACGCACCGCCGACTCGCCAGGTGAAGTGATACTGCGGATAGTCGTTCACATGCTTGATTTGTCCCTGAAGCGTGTTTGGATAGCGGAACTGAATGGTGAAGTTGAATCGCTGGTTGTTCTCCGGACCCTCCTTGACGGTCAGCACGATCGCACAGTAAATATGGCGGCCGGGCGGGACGTAAACCTTCGCGAAGTCGTAGGGCGTGTTGGTGAAAATGATCTCTGGTTCGATTCGACGAATCACGTCTGCATTCTTCACAACAAGCCGTGGCTTATCGATTTCGAAGAGCTGCACACTGAGCAGCACGCGGTAGTTTTCATTGCCTAGAAGCTGGAAGTATTGTGTGTAGTGCCGAGAAAGCATCACGTAAACCGGCTGATTGAATTGAGTGGGGTTTGTGAACTCCATTATGTATTGCGGACTTTGGCTCATGTCCTGCGTGTCCGATTCAACTCCCTGATACGTGTTCGTGTATGCTTCGTGGAACGTGCACGACTTCGGCAAGAGATTCGGAGCCCAATTGACGTTACTGGACATCAATCCACCGATCGGCACTCACAAGCCTTTGAAGTATTTCAAGAAGTCACTTAGCTCCATCCAGAACAAACCGTCGTCAAAACTCGGATCAGTCGCACGTCGCATATAATCAGGACACAATTTCTACATCGAATTCTCTTCTCTTCGTGTACTTGCATTGCCGGCGTCCAGCTCTGCCGATCCTGATAGCAGAACCTTCCCTTCCACGATATGGATCCCCACGGATTCCGCAATTGAATCAATCGATGCCCTTCGACTTCCTCCAACTACGTCGCATCGCTTTCAGTTTCGCCTACTCGACACACACAATAGCAATGAGAATTCGCCAATCCCAGCCTTTTCTCATCGGCGTCCGTGAGACCTGGCGAGGTTCCCGCGGTAATGATGCAATCTCCAGCTCTACACTCGATGGAATGATGAAAAAAGCACCTAAAAGCTCGGTAGAGACGCGTCCAGATCTGATTAATACTGCTCTCCTTCTCCTCCTTCAAGTGGATATTCTCTGGAATCCAGCCCGTCAGAATGTACGTGTCCTGGCAGCCATTTCCCCCGCGGTATCCAAAGCCTCCGTGCGCTTTGAGGAAGGCTTTTTCGATGAGGGATGGCCACAATTCGCCATTCTCTCTCGAGAAAGTGCCCACAAGTTTGTGACTGGGCTTGACGAGAATGCGATGATCGACTTCCACACGGCGCGGAATGCCGTTGAAGAAGAGGCGGATGTAGTATTTGCCAAAACGATTGACAGTGGGTCGACTGTTGGCTTGTGGGTAAATAATACCAGAAATCAAGGGTTTTTTAAAGCGAGACTCGTAGAGAGCGCAGGAAATCATAGAAGAAATGATTGTGCAATCATTGACACTGTTCTGCGAATGAATCAAGGAGAAAAAACACACCTGAACCACACAAAAGGGATCCAACGCTCCGTTGATGATACAGACAGAGTCAAAAACGCGATAAGGATCTTCAAAATAACAACCCTTCTGTACAAGATCGGGAGGGAGTTGGTAATTGTAATTATCTTTATACATTGTAGAATCAAAACTCGAAGCGTCCGAATCATTCCAAGGACAGAACGTGATATTATTGATGACCGAGGACCAGCCGATAATCTCGCGCTCACACATCGTCAATTCACGATCAATATAGAATTCTTTTTTGTTGGTAGAGAGGGAAGATGGAGTGCCAACAGAGGTGGAGGACGATGAAGTACTAACAGAGCTTATTGAACCTGGAACTGCAGGTAAAGATGACACAAGCTTCGCAGAATCGATTATCGGTGTAACAGGAGCATTGCTATGCATTCCCTGGGAAGCGGCATCTTCACATCAACGATGGTACAATAACCGACTTGAAGCAGAAGGAAAAATAGGAGATGTGCCCATACGAAGTACCGGTTGGACTACGGGCGAAACTGTATTACCTGACTGAATCATGGTAATCAACTCGTTTCGCTTGTTAACAACATTAACTCTCGATGCCATATACTGCTGAGCTCTACAAATCATGCCTTACTGTTAATTCGCACTTTGTTCTGTCGGATAACCGTATTATCTCGTCCAAAAGGGAAATTTCGTAACCCAAATAGTGAATCTGACTATTGATATCGCCTTTACTCTTTGCAGTTTGGTACTACAACTTATGAATCGATTCGAACTGTACATAATCCATATATAAATTAGCTTGTTTCTCCAATGCCTGTAGTCGTTGTTGCATTTTCCTTGAAGATTAAATTAACAAAAGTGAACAAACTCAACGAATTCGATCACCTATAAGAGTATTTCAATATTGCGAATGTGGAAAGAAAGCTTTATTTATACAAAAGAAGGATCAGAGGAGTTCGGAATATCGGAATTCCAAATTTTGATTGATTGATCATTTTTTGCGATGGAACCTGGGGAAGTGGCTGTAGCCGAAAAAGAGCATCCATTTTATAGATACTATGGTCAGCTCTCTCACCAGCAGAATATGTTACAGGATAGCGTGCGAACTGGAACATACTACAATGCAGTGTGTTACAACGTAAAGGATTTTGAGGGAAAGGTTGTGCTGGATGTGGGCACAGGATCTGGAATACTCTCGCTCTTTGCTGCACAGGCTGGAGCGAAAAAGGTCTACGCTGTTGAGTGCAGTGGTATGGTTCGGTATGCACGTCGGCTGGTGAAGGAGAACGGATATGATGAAATTATCAAAGTGATTTTGGGTAAGGTGGAGGAAGTCGAGCTCCCTGAGAAGGTGGATGTGATTATTTCCGAGCCGATGGGATTCTTCCTCGTTCACGAGCGCATGCTGGAGAGCTACATCACTGCCCGGAACCGTTTCTTGAAACCGGAAGGACAGATGTTCCCGGCAATCGGTGTGATGCACGTTTCGGTCTTTTCTGACGACGGTCTGTACAAAGAAATTAAGGGAAAGTCTAAGTTCTGGAACAATGAAGATTTCTATGGTTTTGACATAACCACCTTGAAGGAAGATGCGCAGCGCGAGGCCTTTAATCAGCCGGTCGTTGGCTACATCCCCGTAGAGACTTTGGTCACGGCGACCACTTGCACGCATCAGATCGACTTCGAGAAGGACAGTCTCGAGTCTCTCTACCACATTCAGATTCCTCTCGAGTTCTGCATTACTGTCACTTGTTTGCCGCTTCCGTTCTGACTCATTCGTAGCTCTTTTGCACGGACTTGCTTGCTGGTTCGACGTGACCTTCAAGGGATCATCCGCCGAAATCGTGCTCTCCACGGCTCCCTATTCCTCGGGAACGCATTGGTATCAGTGCCGATTCTGCTTCGAGCAGCCGATTGCTGTGAACGTGGGGCAGATGGTGAAGGGAATGCTCGATTTGAAAGTGAACGACGACAAGAGCTATGATGTAACCGCGGAGTGTAAGCGAAGGGGGAGAGAGTGAGGCGTAGTGGCGCTGGAAGGAACGACGGTGAAGTCTTCTGGGTTCTATCATCTCCAGGATCAGACGTATTATGTAGGAGAGTAGTAGGAAAGGAGGTTATGGGTAGTACGGAAATCAAGAGTATTGAGGAATTCTTAAATGGTTTGTTGCTTGATAACAGAGTGTTTGTTGGAAAAAAGGAGATTGAAGGCAGGGAATGATTACAAATAGACGGGAGATACGAGACATAGATAAAGATCAGTCGAATGGGTGCATTCATGGCAGCGTTCTTGAATGGAGTGGATATCGATGAATCGCGCTACCAAGTGTTTCCCACAGGAGCAACAGTTATGACTGGAACAATGCCCATTCGTACTCTTTTCCTTGCTAAATTGATTCCAACACGAGGAATGAAAGCAAACTAGGTCCGTAAAGCGTTCGAATTCCTATCCTTCAGCACATTTCACAAAGCTCAACATAATCCACCAGCTTGCTTTCTTGTAGCACAAAGTTGTATCGGTATTCACCACCAATAATGCAACAACAATTGAACTGACACAAAATATACTTCATATACTACTGTTTCACATTGCATCGATCCTTACTTGACAAAAGCTCTCCGTCAAAACTTCATCAAATAGAATATCTCCAGCAACAATCAAATCTATTGGATCTTGAGGAACAGAAAACACTGAATAGGCTGATTCACTCATCAAATCCAATACTCGGAACTCTATATTGTTGCGAGGAGTTTGCTGACACTGCGCATTTTCCTAGAATGTCAACCCCCAACAGTCATGCACGCGTTCAAGTATTAATAGTTCTTCCGTATAATCCGTCGCTATAACCTTTTTGACAAAGAAGCTGAGAAGGATTGACAGAACTCCTGTTCCACTCCCCACTTCCATTATCGTCAGTTCTGATGGATTCTGAATAGTTCGGTTTAGAATCTGATCTAGCAGATACTCTCCTACGAGAATCGATCCGGCCCAGACTTGTTCTCCTGTGTGTTGTACATCTGTCTCGCTTTTTGCTTTTACAATGATTTCTATCAGACTTTCATCATGTTTACTACTAGTTTTTGTATCAAAAGTGAGTTTTATCATCCCCTCTTTCACTTCTTCGCAAAGAGGAGAGCACACGGATTCCTCCTTCTCCATCCTTTCCAACAAACAAATCAAATTACAAAAAATAATCAATTAATCCTTTCCATTCTTCCAGCACATTTCTCGGCACACTCACCTTTTCTCCTTTCCTTCCTGCTTGCTTCCCTTCCAGTTCCTTCAGTTCTTTAAACAGCCCTTCCATTCGACTCAAAATCCCACTCATCGCATCATTCTGCTTCATCATCTCTCTCAATCTTCTTTTCCTCTCCTCTCTCCCCTCCCTTCCACTCCTTCGTTCAATCCTCCGCACCCCCGTCTGCCTCGCTCTCTCCATCCAGCTCATCAGCCCCTCTCTCTGCGCTCCTGTCCCCATCAATCTCTCCGCGTTCCCTGCGAACGATCTATTCGACACTTCTCTTCTCTCCCTACTTCAAACACTCCGCCACCCAGCGCATCGACAGCGCGATCGTCGCCTCGTCCGCACTCAGCACATCGCTCAGCAGCGTTCCGCACGCGTTTTCTATGCTCGCTACATCGCGCTGCGGCAGCATGCAATGCGACACGCCCGCCAAAATCCGGCTGCTCACAACGCAGAACTCGGAACGCAGCTCCGAGGCGAAGAACGGTCGCTGGGAGAGGACCGTCGACAGATAGCCCGACACGGCATACGGCGAAACCCCGCGGGGAAGCAGCTCCGCGGTCAGCTTCAATAGCACCAGTCGAGACATCGTAGAAATCGTAGAAACCGTGGAAACCGTGGAAGAGGGCGTTGAGAGGAGAGAAAGAGCGGCGGAGGAAAGGGACTCGGCGTCTTTGTCGGTGAAGTGGGATTGCATGGCTGCGATGATGCGCTCCGCGCACCACAAAGAAGAAGGGCGAGGCGAAGCGAGCTGCGATTTGAGCGTGACGGCGATGCCTGCTGCTTTATGGTTCAGCATCTCCGTGCTATACGAATCAAGGAGGAATGGCGGAGCTACTTGAGAGAGGGCCAGCGAATCCCCGCGAGAACGAACCCAAAACAATCGGAGAGAAGGGGCGCGGAAGTGGCCCAGCCTTGAAGGAGAAAGTGGATCCATTTGCTTTGCGAGTCGATGGAGAGATGCTGCAAGCAGTCGCCGAATAGAGAGGACAGCGAGACGATCTCGCACACATCCACGTTGGCTTTCAACTGCGCGGCGATCAACAAGAACGAGTACTCCACTAGAAATGCCAAAAATCCCCTCGAATTCTCATCCACGGAAAGCGGCATTTCGCAATGCGCTTTGTATTCGAGCTTCTCGCTCATCATCCACGTCTGCAGCACGCTCGACACCACGCCTCGCATCGCCTCATCGCCCTCGATGGCTGCAACGCAGAGCTGGTGCAGCGCATCGCCTCGCTGGGACGCATTCATCGCTTGAATCGAGCGATGAATGGCTTCGATGAGCGGCTGCGGCGTCGTGAAGCGCATCCAAAACGCCGCGTCGTGTGCTGCGTCCAGCAATGCCGAGAACGAAACATTGCTGGCTGCTTGTTGCAGGGAGAGGATCATCGACAGACGAGTAAATGGAGAGGAAGAAGAAGAAGCGGCAAGGAGAAGGGAACGCAGCCGATCGGCTTGCTGCTGCTGAACGGCGAGGCGGACCATCGACTGCAGGCAGTTCTCGACGATCTTCTGGGAGGTTTCGCGGAGCGAGTCGATCTGGGAGGACGAGAGACCGATCCAATGCTCGGGGAGAGAGCAGTCGCCTAAGTGGAAGAGCGAGTCGAGGAAGGCCGGAAAGGAAGGGAGAGAGAGAAGAAGGGATTGCTGGGAGCGCGCGAGGACGAGGTAGAGGCTTAGAAAGAACTTGGGAAAGCCGGGGAGAGGCGAGGAGGATTGCAAGGAGGAGGAAAGAAGGGAGGACGTCCTGCGGATTCGGTCGGTGAGATGGGCGAGAATGGATTCGGTGAGCGATTGAGGGAGGTCGGAGGAGGACTGCATCACGGCTTGGCGGATGGTGGTCTTCCAGATGGTTGTCAGGAAGGGAATTTCGTCGCGAACAGAGGAATCCAGAGCCAACAGACCCGAAATGGAGGAAGAACGGAGGGATGAGATCGAATAACAGTCTTGAACGGCTGCTGAGAGATCGCTGAGCTCGGGTTGGAGTTGCTCAGAAGATCCAAAAAAGAGTTGAACGGACTGGACAAACTCTGCTAGAAGAATTGGACACGTCTATTTTCTATTTGCAACAAGAACAAGAGTACTGCAGAAATGGAGCTTGAATCGGAGTTCTGGTGTAGCCAAGATACGATTTTGTTGAAAAACGCTAAAAATTGGTCAACGAGAATGGACGAGATCCAGAATACGCGGCAATACTCCTTTATCAGATCAAACATCTTTTGGACGTAATTGGAGACTTCCCGTGCAGAACTGAGTTGATTATAATATGTGATCAGGCTCTCTTCCATCTTGCATGATGCGGACTCATAAAACAGTCTCTCATTATCAGAGTGCTTTTTTAACAATAGAATTATCATATCAATCACCGAAAAATAGGAAATAGATCGGTTTTCAAGGTTCTGATAGAAAACATCGTAGAAGCGCCAAAGGTCGTCTTTTCCGATAGAACCATCATAGGAGGCAAGCTGGGCCTGAATTTCAAATAACACGTCCGTCTCCTCCATGTTGCAAATCGATTTTGACTTCCCGCCAAAATGAGCACACTTCTCCAGTTATTGTTCCAAACAAACAATAAGAGTGACTACTTTGTATACCGAATGACAAGGTTGGGTGTTTCCTACGATATCAACAAAAGCCATTTCTTACAGGAATATGCAGCGTAATTTTCAACATATCAACAAACAGGTGCTTTTTGGACTCTAACTGCTTGCAAATCTCCTGCTTCGCCTTCGCATCAAGTCCATCAGCAAACTTCAAGTAGAGGAAAATATCGTGGAGTTTGGTTCCGTTACTGACATACGAGATCGAAACAGGCGCATTGGATTTCCACATTGAATCAAACATAATACCAAACACTTCCGCCATTCGCTTTTGAACGTGTGTCATTTGGATTGGAGCTGCAGGCTCTGCGGGCTCTGCGGGCTCTGCATTGCTACTCTTCTTTGGAGGTGGCACATTCCTTGCTCCCACTTTTGGGTCGGGAGGTGAACTTGAAGGAGAGGATGCATGCGATGGCGAGTCAATCTTAATGAAATCGCTTTTTTGTAAATGGAATAAAGGCTTGTGCTCCGCATCCACAACAGAAAGAATCGAAGACGGGCAGGCAGCCAGTTTTCGGAACTCCACTTCAGACATGCTCTTGATGTTCTTTTGCGCAATGATATCAAGTCGCTTACTCCACGCGTCAAAGTCTCTCAGAAGCTCAGGGTGGGAATCGATAAGAGTATCAATGTAATCGTACATGATTTGAAGGTTGCTGGGAATTCCGCTGTCAAAGCTGTTCTTATCCTGAAAGAACGTTTTGTACCCCGGAACGTCACTGATATTAATCTTGAGTAGTTTGGAAAGCTCTTGTAAATGCTTTGTTTGTTCTTCTTCAGAACTGCTTGTGTCCTTGTGCATATAATTCCGCGCTGTAGTGTAGTACGCCTCCAAATCCTTTCCATCCATTATGTCTTCCGGACGAGTATTCTCAGTCCACTCGATCACCTCCATGTCTTCGTCATCACTCTCGTCATCTTCGATTGCCTCTCGACGCCGATCAAACTCTTTCTTCTTGTAACTCTCTGCAACGGGTGTCTCTTCCAACTCTTTCCATAAGGATGCATTTTCAACTTCTACAAATCAGTCTTGCCGAAATGAGGCAACGAGTCCTCCGATGTCCAAACGGACGGCATAGCAAAGGCAAGCTTGTCGGTCGAACCCTATTCGCAATCGCAGGGAGAACCGTCACCAATCGAAACATTCTTGTAACAAACAGAGTACTGAGAAAACAATTTGGATAAAAGAGTACACCCTATGCTTTCTGATTTAACTACAGTGGGCACTATTTTCAAATGCTTGATAGCAGGGAAGGATTGCACAGAAGTCGGGACAAAGTAAGCTTTCTCCATATTAAAATCCCCCTTCTGCTTCTTTCCTGTCTCCTCCACCTCCTTTTTCACCTCTCCCGTCTGTTTCAATTCTAAAGGACATGATGATGGGATAGTGATCTTTCTCTTGCGACTCTTCTCTTCCTTCGCCTCTTCATCCAATTCTACATCAAACCTCCGCCCCATCCCGACCTCGCGTCTCCTTCTGGAGCGCCAACACGCACCTCGAATACTGCTGCGTGGTCTGGTAAAGTTCCTGCTGATCGATGAGAGACAAAAGCTTCAAGAAGAACGCGCGACTCAGGACCACTTCGTTCGGCTTCGCGTGCAGAACGCTCTCGCTCTCGTTCTCGCGGGTGTCGAAGGGAAGATCGGACTGCGGGTCGGTTGGGTTGAATCCTTCCTATCAATGAAGGAAGGAAGCGAAAGAAACGGAAGTGAAAGTACCGATTACTTTATAGGGACGAGAAGAAGAAGAAGAAGAAGATAAAGAAGAAGATAAAGAAGAGGAAGGAGGAACAGGAGGAGCAGAAGGAGCAGAAGAAGAATAGTAGCGAGATTCTGGCTTCGTACTTTGCGAAGCAAGTAAGGATTGGCGAGCTGACATAGAACACAAAGAAAGAAGCAATGTACTAGAAGAAGGAACTCGTTTTCGAGTGGACCTTCGAAGTGATAACCCCGGCCTTGGAACCACTTCAACAGATAGAGGAGCGTCTTGGGACTCGATGGCCGTGATAGATGAGGGTGAGTTAGGAAAACGACTACCATTAGTACGTCCCATTGGGCGTTGGTAATCTGCTTGAGCAAAAGATTGATTAGATGATTCGCGAATCGTCTCCTTCTACATGATCAAGAGCTCTCAACAGATAGACTCGAGGCATTCTTAAGGAGAGAATTAAATTCGTCGTTTCATCAGAATAAGGGTCCAGATCATTTGAATGTTCCCTTCTTGCAGAAGGTACTTCGTTCGTCATTGGTGAATTACTATTATTTGACTTTACGTTCCGACTTAGAGAATCAATACTGGCCATGAGCAATTGGGCATCGGAACAATCAGAGGCTACAGGACTTTCCGATTGCATTCCTACCATATACAAAACCACTGTCCAAAGAGTGCCTGTATATGAACAAAACGATCTCAGTTAGTATAAAAAACAATGCAATAAAAGGAGAGTTAAGCTAGGTTGTGAAACACATTCTGCACGTCCGGGTGATCGTCCAGCTGCTGCAATATCCACGTGATGTTTTCCTGTTTGACAGGATCATCCACCATCACTGTCTCCTACAAATAAGCTCCAAACGCTCTAAATCGCACTGTCGGCAGATAGGCAAGTCCCATTTTCCCCTCTAGCTTCTCCTTCGCAAATGCCTCCTTCATCGCGTGCAGCTGCGTCGGAGCGCACTGTACAACCACTGTGTTCTCATCCTCATTTTCAACAACGTCGTCTGCTCCTGCTTCCAGAGCGAGATCGAAGATATGGTCTTGATTGTCGTCTTTCGGGAACTAGCTGTGAGAACCATGAGAAGAACAAACAGTGAGCGTTCCCATGTATTTGAAAAGGAAGGAAGCGCTGCCGATCGTGCCCAATCTGCCCATTCCCTTCGTGAAAATGTGTCGGATTTCGGAAACTGTTCTCTTTTTGTTGTCGGTTAGGCACTCCACGATGATGGCGCAGCTGCCCGGGCCGAATCCCTCGTATGTGATGAACTGCAGCTTGCTTGCATCTCAACATCACAGAAAACACCATTCCTTACCAACGCTCTTACCGTTGATGGCACGCTCAATGTTTTCTTTAGGCATGCTAGCAGCTTTAGCAGCAGAAATCGCTGCTTCCAACTTGAGGTTCTTCGCTACAAGTTATCGCCACTTCAATGATATACTCGGATCAGGACCTCCCTGTTGAACAGCACAGGATATGCTCTTGGACAACTTGGCATAAAGATTGGACCTTTTGATGTCCTTATCGGCCTTATCGTGCTTAATAGTAGCCCAGTGAGAGTGACCTGAGAAATAGCAAGCAGGAACTCGCTGTTCGTTAGAAAAACACACAGGGCAAGTTTTACCATGAATTGATTTGAAATTCCGATAGAACGAGCGAAGAGACGACTTCTTATCAACCCAAACATGCAACACACAACCAAAAGAATTGATTATGGTTGAAAGAGGTTCGAATCAACTGCTTCTGAATATAGCACACACATGAAGATTTATTCAAACTATCATAGAATGAACGACTCTTTGTATCGAGGAGTCATATACGAGTGTTCTAGCAGGATAATAGAGCTTGGTATTTGATGCGTTGTATTGGAATAAGGATTTAGAACCTTTGGGAGCGAATGTGACAGTTTCTATCCCCTGCCAAGAATATCGGTCTCTACTCTACAGATATTTAGGTAATAATGCGATCTAGTGAGATTATGGCAAGAGAATGAGACTAACGTTATTTCGGAATGCACAGATAATGTGCTCGTCTGGAATACGCTACTTTTCTGTTTACGCAGTCTTTCCAGACCCTTGATTCCATTTGAACTCATTGAGCGTTCGTTGAGTGTTTTGACTTACATTTGAAGATAAACGAGTATCGTTAGATCTCATTTGCGTTTTATTCAAAACCCTTCCGGAAGAGCAGGATTCTCACTTGTCTTTTACGTGCTAGGGATCAGTCTCTGTTGGAAGTCGTTATTTTAGCAATCAATATTGTTTTATTCCCTGATTTGCGTTTTGATGCAACTGAGCGAGGGTCTCGCTGCACAATGCAATTCAGAGAAGATACAGAGGAAGGAGGAGAAGAGATAGGAGAAGAAGAGATAGGAGGAGGAGAAGAAGGAGCCTATTTCCCAGACATCATCTCCACCATCGGTTTTACAATCTGTCGTCCTTTGAAAGGCACCTATCTTTCGATTCGCCACAAACGAGGATTCGACGAAGTAGATTGATTCATCCTAGCCTGGACCGCAGATCGGTGTGCTCCTCACGCTCATTCTCGACAACAAACGCTGGCTATTCCAAGTTTTTCCCCTTTTTCCCCTTTTATCCAGCTTCGAAACTCCCCGATTCTTCCTCTCCCGCCTTCTGCCTCCTCCCCCGCGCTCTCCGCTCCCTCCATAACTCGCTCCCAGCTTCAGACGCTGCTTCGCAGCACGCTCTTCCCCGCGGTTCACGACGTGGAAACGCTTCGAAACTTCGCCGTAGTGATGGGAAGGGCGTTTCATCCAGAGTTTCAAAACGGTGCGATCCCACATCAGCAAATTGGAGAAACAGCGGCAACGGTACGAGCAGTACTCCGAGTTCTCCACGTTACCGCTGATTCCCGCGGGAGAGGGAGTGGGAGGCGTGATGGAAACGTGGAAACTTCGTGGAATTCTAAAAGAATCGACGAAGAGGAATGAGGATGAAAGCGAGTTGAAAGCGTGCTCGAGCGTGGAGTTGGAGCAGGAAAGCGTGTATAATCGTGATGGAGAGGAAGTGGTGAAGCGAATGAAGGAAGTCGAGAGAGAGTTACAAACATGCATCTTGCAAGGAATGATTCGTCGGTGGAATGCGATGTACGTGTTCCGATCGAGCGTTGAGGGGGTAATTACGAAGGTTCAGAAGAGGAAATCGCGCTGTTGCTGCTTACCGAAGCGGACTCCATTGCCCGCCATGGATTACTCGGTGTATTTTGTGGAGTCGGATTGGCTGTTCGCGTTGTCTGACATCGAAAAGATGAGTAGAGAGGAGCAATTGATTCTCCTCCAAAGCTTACAGATTCAATTAAGGAAAGTGGAAGACCGCTTGGTATGTAGCGATAAAGTGGGTTTTGTCGATGTCAGATGATGGAATAGGCGAGAATCATAAGCGATACTCCGTGTTTACTTGAAAAGTATTGTTACTATGAGCAAGTCAAGAATTTGGTCCAATTGTAGTATGTGCTTTCATGTTTGTTTGATACTGTTCTTTGTACATCTATTTCGTGACAGTTCGAACAGTATGTATTTCACTTTAAAAACACAACTGACCCGATACCGCGGTTATCTGAGAATGCATTGTATTTATTTGTGTTCATGATTGTATCATTGACCCCATTTTTTACGTCTCATTGTTTGTGTGTTTATTTATATTTTGAAGACGGGTGCTCATGAATGATTCATCTTCTGTTACATTCTATTGTAAGGGATGTAATATGATGCTAAATGAGAAATGTTTTAAGGATGTCAAAACTGGGGAGCTCAGATCTATATGTTCAATGTGTGCGATGATGAGAAAGAGTATCCAAGGGTTAAATGCCTAAACTTTAGCTGAAGAACAATCATTAGACGATAAGCTTCCAAAAGCTACGAAGGGGAATAAGAGTGCCATTGTTCGATCTTCTAGTCATTTTGAGAAGAAGTGCTCATGTACCACCATCCCTGCTTTGCAAAGTGTTGCATCCTGTGTCACTCCATCCAAGCACGAGAAATATTATCTGGCGAAGCTTATTTACCATCCTTACCTTTCTGAGACACGAACTGTTAGTGTTACACAGGATGGAAGCTATCCTATTTTTAACCTCACAAGTCAGAAGTGTGCTTCTACTAGGTCCCCCAGCAGCTCTACTCTAGAAGCGTCTGAGGCCCTTTCTTTCCCGTATAGTTTGACGAATAATCCGTATCAAGCAATTAGAGTTTAGCAGCATGTTTATACTTCTGTTTGTTTTATACTTCAAAATGGCTTGTCGTCGTGGATCCTTGCACGGGTGCTATGATTACAAGCATCTGCTTCGAAATTCATAAGATTTGGTAGAAATCGGATCCCCGCGGTTTTTCCGCTCTTGATGAACGTCTGCTTTTCTCTCCAATCTTGTATAGTGTCGTGATTCTAATGTTCGCTCTGAGAAAATTATGCACCTCCGTGCCTAAGGCAACATATGCTTGTTTGTTTTCTGTAGTTATCTGTAATTCGATAGGCATCGGTCGTTCAATTAGTTGGACTAGCGCTGTTGCTGAGAACACGTTTGTGACTTGTGTGCGCATTTAGTTTAGGATTGATCTGACTTTCATTACCCCGAAAGGTGAATCGAAGACTGTGAAGGCTAGAATTGGCGATACCGTCCTCGATACGGCTGAGGCTTACGGACTGCCCATTTGTGGTAAGCCACTCCTCTTCTGTGTCTGATTTTGTGTAGGTGACTGCCATGGAGCTGGCTTGCCCAGAGCTGTAAAGAGAACAGAGAATTGGACGGAGGAAACGTTCGGAGAGGGTTCGTGTCTGCCTTGTTTGGTTAATTCGCTTAGGTCCCTCTTGTGCCTTCTGCCATGTTGTTCCTTCTCTCGAGCTTTCAAAGGTACTGGAGAAACCCACCGCTCAGGAACTTGAGTTCATTGAGAAGATTCCTATCGGCAAGACCCCTCGGTTTGTTATTTTGTTTGGCTTCTACTTTCTAGTTCTCGTCTCGCTTGCCAGGTACCGGTGACGAAAGAGATGAATGGAGGTGTGTTCTTTGTAGGTGTTTTTTGCGTTTCTCATGTGTAGATTCCTCACCATGTCCCGAACGAGCTCCTTTAAGGGATTGTAGACAGCAATTTATTTTGAAATTTATAAACGTTGAGTGTGTTTGTTGGGTATTCACGTACAAACAGGGTAGGAAAGCATACCAAATACAGAGTCGCGCTCGCTCGCCGCAGTAAACCACACACTGGTTATTTCCCTACAATCAAGCCAGATCATCATCCGTACTGCTGCGATTTGTCCATGATAAGAATTCCGTACTGCAGCGTGTTCGTCGTCGCCATGACGCGGTCAAGGCGCGTATTCACACAGGAGATGCGTGCCATATTCTTCTAGAAGTAAGCACGAGATTGGGAGAAAGAACAATGAACTGATAGCTAGAGCTAGCTTCATTGTAGTAATAGAAACATATCTGGTCTGGGTAGATGCACATAACCGAGTTCGAATAGCCGTTGAACGGCAATGTAGAATCACCTGCAAACACCAATTTCATGTCTTCTTTCGACAACTCCACTACAAAAACACCGTTCGCCGTGTAGAGAGGACTTCCAGGGCTCGCCGTGGCTGTTTCCTCGGTGGTTTGTGTGTTCGGATTGTTCTGCGCGCTTCGCATTCTCTCCTGCTCTTGGATCTCCTGCATTTCTTTGTCTTCAAACGTGATTACTGGGCTCGAGGGATAAGCTTCGCTCTGCGGCGGGATCGCGGGAGCAGCCGAATGGATTGGAGCTGGGTTCTCGGGTGGGGGAATCGTCGTTTGCACCGTCTGCTGCACTGTCTGCGTTTGCTGCTGGAAGTATTCTCCCTTTCCCTCGTCCGTGAATCGCACTTCGGTGCGTTGTGCCATGATTTCCTGCAGTGATTTCTGCCCAGGAATCGGGGCAGGGATGGCTAACGGCTTCGGCTCTGTGCGTTTTTCCTGTTTCTCGTACCGCATGACTGCAGTCGATTGATTGGATGCAGGCACAGGTGCCGGAGCGGGAGCTGGAGCAGGCGTTGGGGCTGAATTCACAGCTGGAGGCGGTGCTCCATTCATCTGCCGCTTCTGAAGCATTTCAGCGAGCGAGAGCTGACCTGGCGCTGTTTCGGGCATTTTGAGCTTGTTGGGATGCGCAGTGCCTTCCGATTTCTTCTCGAAGTGCTCCACTCCGCTCGACGAAGCCGCTGCTGCCGCTGTCACTGCTGCGGCAGTGGAAACAGAGGCGGGTAATGCAGGTTTTGCTGGCTTCGCAGGCGCGGCAGAAGGATTGCCAAAGGCTCTTTCAAGGAATGCAGTGCGTTCCTTCATAGAAGGCTGAGGAGTTGGAGTGGAAGTCGAAGCCGAGGCGTAGGAAGGCTGCGAGGCAAACGAAGCGGATGAGGGTTGACTTGGCGCGGATGCTCTTTGTGGAGCAGGTTGCGATTGGGGCTGAGACTGGGGCTGAGGCCTGGGAGTAGGCTGAGGTCTCGGCCTTGATTGAGTTGGGGGCTGAGGCTGAGGTCGAGGCATGGGTTGAGATTGTGGCTGAGGCTGAGGCTGAGGCTGAGGCTGAGGCTGAGGCTGGGATCTTGGCATGGATTGAGGTCTTGGAGCAGGTTGCGGTCTTTGCATGGGTTGATTTTGGGGTCTAGGAGCAGGCTGCGATTGGGGGTGAGGTCTTGGCATGGGCTGCGGTTTGGCTTGGGATGGAGGTGGTGAGGGCTGCTTGGTTGCTTTGGATTCAAACATTTTGATGCGATCAGAGAGAGAACCCGGAGTGATGGTTTCCACTCCTCCGACTGAATGGGTTGGAGACTGAGATTGCTGTGTCTGCGAATACTGAGATGGTGGCTGGGCACTTCTTTGCGGTTGCTGATTCATCGGTCTCTGATTAACAGGTGGTTGCTGATTCATTGGTCTCTGATTAACAGGTGGTTGCTGATTCATTGGTCTCTGATTAACAGGTGGCTGCTGATTCATTGGTCTCTGATTCATTGGTGGCTGTTGATTCATTGGTTGCTGATTTGTGTTCTGTTGCATTGGTCTCGGATTCATCGGCCTCTGATTCATTGGTTGCTGCTGATTCATTGGTTGCTGCTGATTCATTGGTTGCTGCTGATTTGGATATCGCTGTTGAGCCGGCTGTTGATTCATCGGTCTCGGCTGAGTGGAAACCTGCCCTGGAATCTGCGTGTTTCGCTGAATTACTTGCTGTGCACTGCTCTGAATCACTTGTGGCCGCTGCATTGGAACGGCCTGTGTCGGCTGCATCCTCTGGGCTCCTTGCTCTTGCATCGTCTGCATCGGAGCGCTTTGCTGTTGGTTCCTTGCATTATTCGCAGCTTGCGGAGACACGGCTGCGCCTCTTTGCATTCCCACTCCCCGATTGCCTTGTGATTGCTGTGGAACAGGCGGAAGAGGCTTCTGATAATGCGATGATTGAGATGAAACCGACTGAGTGCTTCCATCTTCAATCGCCCATTCAGGAATGCCTTGATTCCATGGAGCCGAAATGCGGCGAGTCTCCTGGACATACACGGGAGGATTCGGTGCAATTGGAATCGGCTGGATATCTCGCTCGTTGACCGTCTTCCTTTCAACGCGGACAACGCGGCGATATTGAACCGATTGAGTCGATCCGAATGGTGTGCTCGTGGCAGTGGGAGGAGCGGCAGCGAGTGCATTCGGACATTGAGCTAGATGGGCAGCCATGGAGGCAGAAGGAATCGTAGAGTGACAGAACACACATGGAACATAGGTGGGAGGTCCATACGGTTGACTCTGATAGCAAAAGGTCGAAGATGGATATGGATACATAGAAATACAAAAAGTGTTATGCATCACAGTTCGACAGAGGATATTTCTATATCCCTCTTACTCTATCCCTTTGACTGCTCCGCCCTTCTTGTTTCCACAGAATCGTTCGCCTTCAAATGCCACAACTTCCCTAGATTATTGCGTTCCATGGAAACCAACTTAGTAGAGGAGAACAAGCAACTAAGGAAACGTGTTATCGAATTAGAAAGCCAAGTTGCGTCCTTACAAGAAACTCTCGACAAATACAAAGAGTCGTGCCGATTTCAGGTATGGATAGACCTGTATCATATGATGGTAGCTTCAACAATTGAAAGAGTACAACGATTCACTGAAGGAACAACTCCGCGCTGCCCATGATGGGTTTATGACTGAGCAAGATGAACCCAATGAAATTACAACAGAAGAAGCAGAGACTTTCAAGAACTTGGTGTTTTCTCCTGAAGTGGAGAAGAAGCAGTATTCTTGCACACAAACTGTTTCCACTGTCCATTCTAGCAATATTCTGTGCGTGGTCCCATGGGAACGAAACTCAAATTACATTTTTTCGACAGATGTGACCAAACGACTTGTCTGTATCTCTCTCGACGACAATTCCATCGTTTCAGAGGTGCCTACATCGGCTCCCTGCTGCTCTCTCGTCCTGGTACGTGGCTCGAAGTATTTACTGGCTGGCTGTATGGATGGAATGGTTCACATTTTCCAAATCGACTCCGAGAATTACATCATCAAAAAGCTCACAGTAGGTGATTCGGGATCGATCGATCGACTCTAGAAAATAGCGGAGAAGAAACTCCACGAGAAGGCCATTCTCCGCTTCAAAAAGAGCGAGAATCTGAATATCGTGTTGAGCACGAGCTATGATAACACGGTGGCTGTTTGGGATATAAAAGAAGACGGAGCTCTGCATGAGGTTTCTCGTTATTACTTCAAATACACCGTGGATGGGATTGCGATCGCTCCTTCCCACCACACGATCATTTTAGCAGAGCGAAACCAGCCGTTCTTGACGTATATTGATTGGAGGACGCAGGCGAAGAAGGAAGTGAGCATCAACCAGCACGAGTGGGACATGCACGTGTCGTTCTGCATCACGGATTGCGTTCTGATGGGCGATGAGCGCTATGTGGTGGCCTTGACCGACAAAAGCAACGTGATTGTGTTTCCGTACGAGCGAAACGAACATGTGCAGAGCTTGTACGTGAGCTCGATGCTCTCCGATTCGTACTACATGGGCTCCATCGCGCTGGATGCACGCGAGCAAAACGCGATTTTGACGTGTTCCGACAACACGATCCGCGTGTTTTCTCTCTACTCCGGGAAGGAAGTGCAAGTTCTCAAAGGTCACAGCAAGCTGGTTCGCAACATGTTCTACCTCAACGACCTCCGTCCGCAGCTCTTCAGCTGCGCGTACGACCACACGATCCGCGTTTGGACGCAAAGCTCTCTTGTTTGTGAACAAACACGCCACAGTGAAATCAAATTCTTCTCCTCCGGAATCATCATTTCCCCCACATTGACCGGGAGAATCGCCGCCTGCGCCAGCGCCTCGGGCAGCGCGTTCTTCTCCATCCTCCCCGTGCTCTTCTTATAATACGCGATCTGCGTGAGAATGGAGTGCGGGAACGACGGGACATTCATCGACGGACACGTTCGCAAAGCCTGCTTCACCGAGTGCAGACCCTCGTCCACCATCTCCCACGCCACGCCTCGCACCGTCGCCACCAGCCAGCCATGCAGACAAGGGAACCGCAGCGCCTGCCACAGCCCGCAGGAGCAGGTTTTGCCCTCCAGATCGACCAGGAACTTGCGCTGCACGCCTTCCAGCAGCATCGAAACCGCGCAGGGCGACCCGTTTTCGATCGAATATTCGCCTTTAAACCGCGCGTACTCCGCGAGGACTTGCTGGAAGTGCGGCGTGAGCTCGTCGGGATCGAAGTGGAGGTAGATGTGTCGCCGCTCTTCGCAATCGAGACATTGAAAGTAGTACAATCCCGTCGCGAGATCGTCGATCATCAAATACTGCAGCGAGTTCTGCTCGAGCAAATCGCGCTCGATGTGCGTCAAGCAGAGCGAATGCAGCTCGCGAAGCTGCACCGCGAAGAGGCTTCGGTTCCACTTCCCCAAGTGCTGCAGCTCGTCGAACAGATCGCTCTTTTCGCTCATCAGGCGGTTCAAAAACAGCGAGGCTTCCGCGCCGTACGCAAACACGCAGCGAAGCAGCAGCGCGCGAAGCGTGAACGACTCCGATCGAATGCTCCGCTTCCGACGCACCGCGCCGTTCACGTACCACGGCGAAGATTCTGCCGCCAAATCCGAAAACGCGTACTCCAGCTGGGGAAGATTCGACTCCAGCAGCATGCACAGCGATAGAAGCACGTGGGCCACGTCGTCTTCGGGAGTCAGCAGATGGCTCGACTCCAGGAATTCCAAAAATCGGCGCCAATTCGAAACGCTCTCTTGCTCGGCGATCATAAAAGCTACCAAAACAGGACGGTAATCGGGATCGATTTCCGAAGCGTGGAACAAAACGCCCGAGTTTTCTCCGTGCAAATAGCAGCAGTCCAAATATAGGGGCTTTTTTTGGAGTTGATGGGCTTGCTGCAAACCGAACGGACAGATAAACAGGGCAGAGAGGAGTTCCTTTCCTGCAGCGACAGACGTTACGATTTCGACGCGATCGTTGGGATTTGCCTCCAAAATGATCGATTCTTGATAATCAATAACCACTATACACTTACTTAAATGATTCAATTTCTCGACTATATCCTTCATGGAAGTGATGTAAAGGCTTCGTTCATCCGCTCTGGCTTTGGAAACAGAGATGGTTTTGTATTCCACATGCTTCTTCTCGAGGACATCGATGATGCTCTGCAGACTGATATACGGATTGTTCTTCACCAAATGCTTCACCAGGTAGTGCATGTACGCGTTACGGCAGTACATTGGACGCTTCGAGCGGAGCCGTTCCTTGGCGCGAGGATTCTTCGGTTGGGGAGAAGGCAAAATGGTAGGAGCAGCCGGTGCCGTTACCGTTGCAGTTGCCGTTGCATTAGCATTAGCATTAGCATTAGCATTAGCATTAGCATTTGGATTTATAGCGACAGTAGTAGTAGTAGTAGTAGTAGTAGTAGTAGATGTAGTAGTAGTAGGAGTAGATGTAGTAGTAGTAGGAGTAGATGTAGTTGCTGTTGCCATTACTGCTCCCCCTTCTTCTTCTCCTCCAGCTACTTTGACTGTAGAAGAGGAAGAAGGGATCGAAAAGAGAGGACTCAGCTCCATCGAGGGAAGACTCGAACTCGATCCATTGGAGCTGGTAGCGCTTTCTAATTTATGTGATTGAATAAAAGAAGCTAGAGATTATAGGAAAGACGCTAGGTATACGTCGATTTTGATAAGACGGGCGATAGTTGGTATTCCGCTTGTCTCGAGGAATCTACAAATCATTTCTTTGAAAAATAGCCAACGTTCTCCCACCCGCACGAATGTTCCAGACTCACCCTGTTTAAAGATAAAACGCCTACACTCCTATGCTGCCAAAATAGAAACCTTTCTTTCCCGGGGACTTAGAACGGCAAATTCCACCTTTGATGCAGAAACTACAAGTATCACTAAATGGACACCGGTATAGGATGCAGGACCCAGAAGATTCACGAGAATATGGTATATTATGCTTGCTGAGATAAATATCGACAAGACTCTTAAATTCCTGTACATTGTCAATCTTTGCGTTGGTCTGGACGAAAAATGCTAAATGAGCAAACACCAAAGGTTCCTACCGAACTGCTCATCAATGGCAGCATCTTCCTTCTCAAGATCCATTTCTACCTTGAGTAAGTCTTCCTTGCTAAGTGGGAATATTATAGGAGACAACAGAGTATTATGTAAAAATAACTCCCCTTTCTGACATTTTATTAACGATATTATTATTTGTGTTTGCCCTCGAATAAGCTCTTTGAGAAGCTTGTGTCGTTTTATTGATAGTTCTGTACCAAAAGTAATTCAATAGTGGATGTATAAACAAGCATCTATTCCACGAAATGAATTACTGGCGTGGATCAACGATATTTTGTGTACGAATTATATTAAATTAGAGGATGCATCAAACGGTACTTTTGGTGAACCCGCGTTAATTTACATGTAGGTGCTGTTGCCTGCCAAATTATTGATTTAATCCATCCCGGTTTGTCGCTCCTTGTCATCTTGATACTTTAGGAACGGTACCTATGAAGAATCTCAATTTTTCCGCGTCTACTCCCTATGAGTGCCAAAAGAACTACCGCATCTTACGTAAAGCATTTGAAAAACTCAGTATTCCTATTGTACCCATTTCTGTGGGATTATCCCCCTCTAGGATTTTGACATCAATATTCTTTCCAAACAAGGATCAAAGGAGGGCTATGAATTTCTCGCTACCTTAAAATCCTATTACGATGCCAACTACAAATCAGGTTCCTACGACCCCGTCGCTCGCCGCAGTGAATCAAAGGGAGCCATCAGTGCCTTCTCTCCTTCCTTCTCATCCACAGAAGTCACTCGGGCTGACACCTACACGCCTCACACGCCTCGCGGCACCCACGCAGCCCCTCTCTTCGACTCTCCCACCCGCATTATCTCTGCGAGAACGACCGCTTCCCCGCGGAAACCCTACCCTCCCATCACGCCTCAGCACCGAGCCACGGTCCCGCGGGACCACATGTCTCCGTGGCGCGACGGCGGCGGCGGCGGCGGCGGCGGCAGCGTGCCGAGTTTGCCTTCTCCGGAGTTGGTGAAGCAAAACGGTTCGTTTGAGGGGATAAAATGAGAGGCAGAGTCGCTACGACAGCAGTGTAGCTGGCTGCAGAGTCAGTGTCACGATCTGCAGGAGCAGCTGCAGGAGCTGCACAAGCTGCACGATTATCGAGTGCGTTGTGGAGGCGAAGTGGGATGTAGGAGATGCTTTTGGCGGAGGAACGCGTGTTTTACTACAACAAACTGCGGAATATCGAGGATTTGCTGCAGGTAGGGCGCGGCGAGGCGTGAGCACGAAGGGAATCCAGGTGAATCGACATTTGACGGACGTTGAGAACTCGATTCTGCAGATTTTGTGGGAGAATGGACCGGAAATGAGGGGTAGATATTCCCGCGAAGGCATGGAGTTTTTGCTGAAGGCGATCGAGGAGAATCGAGAGGAAAGCGAAGGAGAGCAGCGTGTGGAATCCATGAACAGTGATGATAGAGTTAGTGACGAGATTATGTAATCTTCCCAAGATATATATACATTTGAGTAGTTTATGGTGTGTTTGTTGGAGGAAATGGATTTGTGGAGAGGCGATCGAGAGATCGATGGAAAAAGGTGGGGAACGGAGTGAATGCGTTTTTAATTGTGGTAGTAATTGTGAGTGTGACTGTGGTTGTGGCTGATTCGCAAAAATAGAGAAAAAGGAATTGACTGAAATCATTCTTCGAGGCAAAAACACATCAAAACACAAGTGGAATGATTGCTAGACAAGGCTAAGCATGCACAGACTGGTGTGGACCGCTTTTTCATTCACACAGTCTTCAATCTTTGATTCGCAACCTTGTTCAAACAAACAACCAAATAAATCAATAAGTCAATAAATCAATAAATCAATAAATAAATGTTTTCGTATGAAGTATTTGGATTTGGAATCGAGAGTGGATTGATCCGTGAACAACAGAAACAGATCATTCTTTTTCATGAAACTCGGCATCAAAACCGTTGACTTTAATGATCTTATCACGATACTCGTCAATATTCTCAAAAGTTAGCTTTACAAGGGAGCGTCGTGTCAGTTTCTACCCTCAATCCTCCTCTCCAATCCCACCTTCTTCGTGAACGGACACGTATTCTTCGGGTTTCGATTCAGCACCTTCACCCACGAATCGTATCCCATCACATGTCCATACGGCGAAATCGCAGGCGTCTGCACCGGCATCATCGTCATCGGATCAATGTAGTCCTTTCTCTCACTCCAGCCACTCTCTCCTACCGGCAGCACCTCGCCCTTCTCCTCCTCTTCCGCCTCCTCGTCGCTCGAGCTTTCCTGCCTCGCTCGCTTGCGCGTTTTGCTCGTCGACGTGCCCGCCCTTTTTCTCTTCTCCATGTTCTTCCCCGCCGAGTTCCGAAGCCGAAACACAAGCTTCCCGTCGCTGTTCACCTCGTAGTTCTCGTCTTTGATCTCGCCGTCGCGCACCAATTGCCGATAGAAATTACTGCACTGATAGCCGACGCGGCCCGGGATTTTCATCGAGAAAATGCCCCACTATGCGTTGCGAAGGGTTCGAACGCTTACTCGATAGTCCACTCCATTTTGCGCGATGAGCTTCAGAAACAGCGCCTTGTCCTTCTGGCTCCATTTTCCAGTCGCCTGCGGCTCGCCCGGGTCGTTAAAACGGTAGTAATATTGATTGGGGTTCGTTTCGCGGTTCCGGAAGGCTTTGATGCGAGCTTCGCTCCAGCCGAGTTGGCGAAGCATATTCTCGGGAACTTGGCTTGATTTGACGCCAGAGAGCGATTTGAAGAGCTTTTTCTCGCCTATCTATGAAACGAAAAGAGATGATGCGACGGGCGATGAGCGACTTCTTGCTCGATTCGCTGGTTTCCGAGTCGTTTCCTGTTCCTGATTCGTCGGTATGCGGTTCCGTCATCGGAGACTCGCTCTCTTTCGAGTGATGGTCTTCTTCTTTGGGCGGCGATTTGAGGTTGGCAAGCTTTGAGTGAAAACGCGAAAATTGTTCAATACGAGGATCAACGCTTCATCTAACGCAAGACGAGGGCCTTTGCGCTCTCGATCGTGATGTCTTGCATCATCGCTCGAAAACTCGTCACTATCCGAGTGGGAACGACGGTGACGCTTTTCACGAGACGAACGAGTGTGAATCACATATTCATCACCGTCATCCTCTTCTGTTTCGTTCTCCGAATCCGATTCCAGGGCCCTCCGAACATCCTGCTTCCAGTTGTGGTACTAAGTTCAAGAAAAAGAGTGTCTGTACCATGATCTCCTCCAAGTCCACCTCTCTCTTTCCGGACGACATTTCCTTTATTTTTCGTTTATAGCTGGAATTGTCCATCAAACGTTTAATTGCCAGTAACTACCCAGAACACAAACCTCTCACTGATACCTCATTCCCATAGCACGATTTGATCGCCAACTCCGCTGCCTTTTCATCGATACCATCGATACGAGTCATAACATCATTGATCTAGAAAATGGAGGCTGGCAGTCTATTGTACCTTTTGGTCATGCTGGTTTTCGTTGAATGTTTTAAACTGCTTTTGAGCTGCGCTTAATCGTTCTTGAACGAGCTTCTACAATCAGGGGGTAAGAAAAACCCACAACGTTTCCCACACATTGTTGATCACTACGATACATACTCTTTGTTCTTCTCCCAATCCCTTGAGATAATCCTCTGTTTCCGACTCGGAGTATTCCTCCGACTCTGTCGCAGACGAATCAACATAATTGCTCGGTGATTTCATAAAACTCCAACCCAATAAACTTATTAAAAAAATGGCGGCAATCCGATTTTGGTGGTAAAAAAAAAGAAGGTGAAATCCAACAAACACTCCCAAAAAGATACAAAATGAAGGAAAGAAAAGAAATAAGAAACGAAATAACCATCGCAATGTTCGTTAAGAACTGCCATCCAATCTCTCTTGAACCACGTCTTCTTTCACGAGAATCGGCTTTGGCTCTTCTGACTTCGCCGCAAAAACACGAATGAGAGGCACTTCTTCCTCTCCAGTCACCTTCGTAGGCACGATCGGATGAATCGCTTCTTGCTCCTTCGCTCCTTCCGACTCCTTTCCAGCGCTTTCCTCCGTCGTTTCCACACCATCTTTGCTCTTCTCAACGCCCTCCGCGCGCGTTTCCTTCGGGAGTTCCTTCTCTCCCTCCGTTCTACGGTTTCCACTGTTTCCACTGTTTCCACTGTTTCCACTGTTTCCACTGTTTCCACTGATTGGGTTGGTCACATTGGGGCCATTGGAGCCATTCGGTACAATAGGGACATTAGGTACAATAGGGACATTGGGTACAATAGGGACATTGCTTCCATTGTTTCCATTGCTTCCATTGTTTCCACTGTTTCCACTGTTTCCACTGGGGCCATTCGATACAATAGGGACATTCGGGACATTCGGTACAATAGGGACATTGGGTCCATTGGGTCCATTGGGTCCATTTGGGACATTGGGCCCATTCGCCGCGGGCTGTGCAGCCTTAGCCCCGTTCCCCGCGGGAGCGGGTGTCTGGAGGGGGTGGGGCATGGTGGCGGCCTGCTTGATCCCCGCGACGCCGTGCGTGTAGAGCGCGGGATCGAGGGAGGGGATGATATCCGCGGGGACCTCGCGGCGCTCTTCGCGGTCGGTGGGGACGATCCACATGTGTCCGCTCTGCTGGTGGTAGATGACCTTGGGCGGCGTGGGGATCGGCGGGCACGTCGCGGAGCGCACGCCCGAGCCGGGCAGCGGCGTGGAGCTCTCCGCGGGGATCGGGAAGGGCGCCGAGGTCAGCGAGGCCAGCGACAGAGGAGGGATCGGCGGGTGCGGCGCCGCGGAGGACTGGCTGGAGGCCTGCGGCTGCGAGGGGTGCGGCTGGGAGGGCGAAGCGAGAGGGGGCTGGGAGTGGGGATGGGACGGAGATGGCGGAGGAACGTGCGCCTGGGAGGCGTACGGGGAAGGGTACGGCAGTTGCGAAGCGGGCTGGGAGGACGGCTGCAGAGACGCACGAGCCGGCACGGATGGCTGCATTGAAGCTTGCACAGGAACCGAAGCCTGGCTCTGACTCGGACCCTGGCTCTGACTCTGAGCCTGAGCTTGCGCCTGTGCCTGAGCCTGAGCCTGCGCTTGCGCTTGCGCTTGCGCCTGGGCTTGTGCTTGAGCCTGAGCTTGTGCCTGAGCTTGCGCTTGTGCTTGTGCTTGTGCTTGTGCCTGAGCCTGAGCTTGTGCCTGAGCTTGAGCCTGTGCCTGAGCTTGAGCCTGAGCCTGAGCTTGAGCCTGAGCCTGAGCCTGAGCCTGCGCTTGTGCTTGAGCTTGCGCTTGTGCCTGAGCCTGTGCTTGTGTAAATTGGAGGGGTTGTGTGTACTGAGGAAGATGAGCCATCGAGGACGGAACGATAAAAGAAGGATAGGAGGAGGAGGAATTGGGCGTGTTCCGCTTCGCTTGACGCATGTTGCAGAGAATCCATGCAGCGTCCTGCTCAAGGTTCGAACTATCGGAGACTACCATCAGAAGAGAAAACAGACTCCCTACCTGTTTCTGCCTTCCCAGGGATGTAGGAAGGGTACGGCCGCGTGCCTGGCGGATAAACTGCAGACAGATTCTGATAGAGAGGAGCTCCATAGGGGAAGGAGTTGATCTGAGGCAGGAAGACAACCGGAGAAGGTTGTTGAACATGCTGCTTCTTTGACTGATTATCAACGACCTGATATTGGCCATTGTTCGCCGCATCACGCTTGGGTTGATGCATGTTGGTATATTGAAAGGCAGGTTGCTGATTTGAGAAACAATAGGAATTATAGGGATTTGGAATACAGTTCGGATCGTAGGGCATTTCAGAATTAGGATAGACTTTGGGATCAAATACTTGATTGTTCATAACGCCGACCCGCTTAACGTTTGGTTGAGTATCCTGGATAATTCCGTTCGGATATCGAGTACCTATCTGAGCAGGTATTCTTGGTGCAGCATAGGCTGAACTATACACATAGGGCATAACTGATATGTTGGTTTGATACAAATTATCAATACCCTCTATTCCCTGTTTGTAGGCCATCTGCTGTGGTACTTGACTTTGCAAAGCGTGAAGATCTACAAATTATTCGTCCTCCGCTTCCGGTACCTGAGCTACCAGGTACTACACCTTGAGCGACTTGATAATACTCCCGCTGTTGACCGTTCGCATTTACCTGATATTGCTGGTTTATCATATTTCCTAGACAGGTAGTCTAAGACAATAAAGAAATGGAACGAAATTGACTCATCCAATGAAATCAATACACCCTATTTAAAAACCTCCCTAATGTCCCTAATTCAGAATGGCTGCGAATATGTGTTTTCTGAACCGAAAATAATGGTATAAAGATAGGTACTAAAGGACGAATGAATCTGACATGGGTTCATGACAAACCGAACCAGCAATGATTCGCTTTTTTCCACAACTAATTCCATTCCGTGGGATTGGTTTTTATGAATCCTACCAAGTTTGCTAGTTCCTAAACAAGCACATTCGATTTGTTCATCCGAAAAAGATTTTTGGCTCATCATTGAATATCTTTATTTGTTGGAGGCTTAGAATGCTGTTTAAGAAATCTAACATAAAATTCTCGTTTTTAGGTCATCGGGTGGAATTCTTTTTTTCTCTTGATTGCTGAAAAATACTCCACAGGGTAATCGATCTGTAGACTCATATAAACTTATTTGGGCTGTTCGATATCATTGGATGAACCAAAAATGGTGCAAGGAGGGAAATGTCAGCATGCTCGATCCACGATAAATTAGTGTCTTAGTAGTAACCATAACCTATGCAAACCTTAATTGAACAAACAAGAACGATCATAGACATCATTCGCAGTGAACCCCAAATACCTGACGAGCTGCAAGAGAGTAAGACCAAAACACCACTGTCACTTCTAGGCTTCGAAACAAATTGCAGAGAGGCATTGAAGCGAGAAGAACAGCCCTTCAGCGAGCAACAAGAACTGCTCAAACTCGCTTCTGTGCTATACAATGAGTGTAGAATGTGGCTAAAGAAGAAAAGGGACGCAGAACCGATCGTTCGCATTCGATTTTGCGCCTGCATCCTTCTCCATATTAGTTGTTTCCAAGCTGCTTCCTCTGCAGATTTGCCCATGATCCTTCTTTCCAGCGCGCCCGATATCATTCGCGCCTACCAGCATACTGCTCGCTCCATGCAAGATTACTCCTTGGGAGATCTTCCCTTCCAGTGCTACCAGAATGCCATTGCCCTGATCGATAAGATTGCTCCCATCATTCAGAATGCAGACACTGGGAGAAGTAGTGCCATTGCTTCTTTCCCACCTAGAATTCTACGATTTCAAAGAAGCCGAATACGATTTACTCATGGAATGGGTCGACATCCTGCTCTCGCAGCGGAAAGCAGAGGAGCAAGTCTGTTTCGAGATCCTCGTTCGTGTAAAGGACGATTGTCTGCGCTATCTACCCGATCTCAAGGTTTCTTTTGCAAGCCAGACGTAGGGCGTATTGCAACCCTTCAAAGACAGATACAATTACATCGGAGAACTGCACAAGGCCAAGAAATGGCAGGCCGTCCGCGAATGGGCGTCCATGCTGATGAGCTTTTTGGAGAAGGAGACGAGCGATCACTTCACTCCTATTCGAGAGAAGATCATTTATCTCCTCGCAAACGCATACATCCAATTGCATGAATCCGAAAACTGCCTCATCTACCTGCAGCTCTGCGTCCATCGCGATTCGGTCCCCATTCAATATCTCTATTTGCTCTACTACGTCGATCAAAAAAACATATCCCATCTTATCTTCATCACATCACATCATATCATATCATATCATATAATATCACAAATCTGAGTCTTAACTCCACATCGAAAAAGCAATCGAATGCTACAGCCAAATCAATTCTCTGGCCGATTCCTCGCAGATGAGCATCGTTCTGGACGCTCTCACTGCCCTCTGCGATTCCACCTCTCTCAGTCCCGCTTGCAAGCAATGGTATCCTTCTCCCCTCTCTCCCCTCAGCCCTCAGCGCGTTGGACACGATCGAGCATCACCCCGAGTGGACGGCGAGCATTCGCTGTCTGCTCGTCTGCTCGCTCCTCGCCTTCCCCACCAAGATCGATCAGGCGATGGAGTACTTCACTCCCTGCGTCGAGGAACACATGAATGGAGCCAACCCCATCCCTTACGACTGGCTCCACAAGCTGCAGTCCGCCCTCACGCAGCTCTGTTCGGACTACTACAGCGAGGACAACTTTAGTTTCTGCGCAGTGGTTGCTTCTGTCTCCATCCTTCAGCGTAGTGGTGCAAGCGATCGCTGCAGCTCGAATTCCCCGACTCCACGCGATGCGAGCTGCTCACTCTCTGGGCGTACTGCCAGCTCAAACTCCACGACTTCGTCCATCCCAGCGAGCGAATTCACGCCTAGCAATCCGCGCTGCACCATGTTCAAGAAGCCATCGCGATCCAACCCACCGAAAAAGTGCTCTTCCGTCCATTCTCTCTTCTTCTTCTAGGCGCTCTTTCTGCACTACCGAATCCTTCTCAACACGCCTTCCGTCTCCGATGAAGTACCTCTGCGTTCGTCTTTCTGTTCTATCTAGACCATCTGCAGCAAAAGCGAGCTCTTCTCTACCAGCTATCCCCACACGCTTCGGCTGCTCGCTGCCGATGAGGCGATGCAATGCAATCGTCCTTCGGTGGGTAGGAATCGCCCGCCCTCCCATTCTTTCATAGCCTGCTCCATGTTGGACGCCGTGATTCATCAGTTCGACTGGCTGCACGACTCATCGGAGCTTCACCTCGCCACCGTGCTGCGCACTCGCATCCAGCTCACGATGGACCTCGCCAATCTGCCTTCCTATCTGGACGACGACCACGCAGAGCGCGTGCAGGACTGCTTTCTCTGCTTGCTGCAGGCGATGAAAGCGCGCTTTGACGGCTCGGCTCACGCGTAGGCCGCGCAGTCGAGCCAAGAGAACGCGGACTCGCTGATTCGCTCGCGTCTGTTCGCGTCCAGCGAGGAGATCGCGTGGTTCGCGAGCCTCAGCTGGAATCTGGGGATCTTTCTCTCCAGCGTGCAGCAGAACCCGCAGGTGAGCGTTGTCCGTCCCCTGCATCCCAGGCCTGCTTCTACTGGCGCTGCGTCTACGAGTTCGCATCCCATCTGGACCCCACACCCTCCACGCTGCGCCAGCTCTGCCAAGCCCTGATGCTGATGGTCTCCACCTTCCTCCAGACCCTCACCGATGATCCGCCAGTCCCGCCAGCTCAGCCAGCGCTCCAATCCGTCCAGACAACGCAGACAACGCAGCCAGGTCAGCCAGGTCAGCCAGGTCAGTCAGGTCAGCCAGGTCAGTCAGTCCAGTCAGTCCAGCCAGGTCAGTCAGTCCAACCAACGCCAGGGATGGAGGTGGAGGCCTCCTCCACGCCGTCCGTTCCGTGCGTTCCTCGCCGTGGCGCCAGCGCGTCCCCCGCGACCGACCGCGCCTCGGCGTCGCGCGTGGACCTCTCTCTCTGCCTGCAAATGCTCCAGCGCTGCAAGCAGCTGCGCGCCCAGCTGCGCGCCCTCGCCGACCCCGCCGACCCCGCCGACCCCGCCGACCCCAGCGAGGCCACGCTGCTGAAGCTGGAGCTGGCCTGCCTGGCGCACGGCGACGCGGCGGCGCTGCAGAGCTTCGTGCAGGCGATCCTGCAGCGCAACGAGCCCTTCTCGCTCTACCTCGAGCTCTTCTATCTCCTCCAGCAGCAGCGTTGCGCGCTCCCCGAGCCCAAGAAGGAGTGTCTGCGCAGAGCTCTGCAGATGCTCATGCAGCAGCCGACGTACACGCTCGACAGCGTGCTCGAAATCATCCACGCTCTCATCGAGGTCAGCGAGTCCAGACGCGAAGAGTTCCACTGGGCCGAGCAGCTGCTGCAGATCGCGAAGATGCACGCAGAGCCCGCTCTCACGGACATGTAGCACAGATGATCTTGCATCACAGGGAGGCTGCAAGAGGAGTTCAGCTACGTCGCAGCACGCATCTGGAACTGCGGAGTGTACTACCAGCGGCTGAATCAGCTGCAAGAGGCGGAGCGGTTCATGTCGCTGTCGATGCAATTGAACGGGTTTTGCGGAGATTTTTTGAGCGTAGCAGCGAAGGGAGAAGGTGAGCGGTAGACATACACACAGGAGATGAACGAGAACTATGCGACGTTGTTGTCAAAGATTTAGTTTTTGAATGGAGAAGTGCTTTGTTGGAAAAACACACATCAGAAAATCATTCTACAGGTTATCGGAGTCGAGATGCATTCGATTTCTAGTTACTCTTCTTACTCGTATTCCGACGTCGACTCGGAGTAAGCAAGAACCTCTTTTGTTCATGCACAGAGAGTTGTCGTGGATTAGTCATTTCTGTAATAAAGATGAGAATTGCTACATGTGCGAAGTCGACGAAGAGTGGATTCGCGACTCTTTCAACCTTTACGGGTTGGACAACGAGTGCCCCCACTACAAGCAGGCTCTCAATCGCATTTTGGACTCTGATATGAGCAGCTCCGACTCGAGCAGCGGTATGTGCTTTTGTCCCGATTTCATCAAAGAGGAGGAGGTGAACGCCAATGAGATTGAGGAAGCCGCTATCTTCCTCTACGGACTCATCCATGCTCGTTATATCTTGACTCTTGATGGTCTGGAAGAGATGGTCCGTTTAACACCCATTTTTGATTTTTAGATGGAGAAGTACGTCAACTGCCATTTCGGATGCTGCTCCCGCGTTTACTGTAACAACCAAAATCTCCTCCCTGTGGGGCTGAGCGACAAGCCAAACGTGGACAGTGTGAAGTTGTTCTGCCCGTGCTGCAAGGAAGTATACAATCCGCCTTCTCTGTTTGCCGGTACCTTGCCATCAAATCGCCGTGACGTCCTAGATATCGATGGAGCGTTCTTTGGAACCACGTTCCCGCATATGTTCTTGCTGCAGTATCCAAACTTCCTCTCGTCGCCCTCGCAGAAGTACCAGCCTACCATCTTCGGTTTCCAAATCCACGAGTCGAGTCCGTACTACGTGAGACCCGAGAAGAAGAAGAAGAAGGACTCTAAAAAGGACCGTGATCCGACGATTCGATCTGTATAACTTGATTTTTGGCTTGTTTTTTGAATCATCCAATTTGCCGTTTTGCTTTTCTTACGGCTTCAAAGAATCCTGCCGTTTCTTCCGTTTGCTAACGTTTGATATGACGAGAAGTTATTATGAAACGTTAGGAGTGTCTGTTAATGCAACTGCAGAGGAATTAAAAAGAGCGTGCTCATTTGGAAAGTTCGTGTTAGATTTAGATATCGTAGACTTGCTTTAAAGTGGCATCCAGATAAAAATGTAAATAATAAGACGGAAGCCGAGTTTATGTTTAAAGAGATTAATGTAGCCTATGATGTATATGCTATGTGCATATATAATGCATAGGTTTTGAGCGATCCAAGAAGACGCGACATTTATGATAAATATGGAGAGGAGGGCTTATATGGCGATGTGCCTCCTCAAGATGACGATTATTTTGATGGCTATTACGATTACTCTTCTGAAAACGAACCCCCCTACGCATCATCATCATCATCTCCTCCTCCTCCTCCAAGCTCAGCTCCCAAGCCTCCTCCAAACTCAGCTCCTAAGCCTCCTCCACGTCCAACTTCCACTCCTTCTCCTTCGAATTCTCCTCCTCCTCCTCCTCCTCCTCCTCCTCCTCCTCCCCGCGAAACTTCCTCCCCTCCTCGCCGAAACTCCCAATCCTACCAATCCGATTTTTGGAGCCGTTCCGCCGAACCTTCTTTCGAAACTCCACCACCCCCTCCCTATTCCCGAAATACTCCCTATTTTTCGTGTGATCGAACCACCGGCGCTCCCTTCTATTTTTCAACCAATCACCACAGCGGGAGTTTCACCCAAAAGGACGACTACGATTCCCGCCAAAATTCCCCGCCCGAGCCGCCGAAACGCCCGAATTCGGTTCCTTTCGGCGCTTCGCTGGACGAAACTCCCTCCATGTTCTATTCGAATTCCTCCAGTTCCGCGGGGTTCCGCGGTTCTCCGAATCCGGGGAAACCGGGGAAACCGTCGAACCCGTCGAACCCGTCCCCTGTTCCACCGAATTCTTCGAACATTCCATCGAATTCTTCGAACATTCCATCGAATTCTTCGAACATTCCATCGAATTCTTCGAACATTCCACCGAATTCTTCGAACATTCCACCGAATTCTTCGATGTTCTCTTCGCCTTCCACGCCGCCCCGCGCTCCCCGACCTCCAGTTTCCACTCAATTTTCCCCGCGGAACCGCCGCCATCACATGTTCACGCAGCCCGATCCCTTCGACATTTTCAGGCGTTTTTTTGGCACCTGCGACTTCCGCCAGGCCGCCTCCATGAGGTATCCCCGCGGTTCTTCCTCCATTCTAGCGACGCCGAGGGTTTCTCCTTTTTGGACGACCCGCCCCCCGCGAGGACGATCCCCGCGGTTCCTGCGGTTCCCGCGGTTCCTGGGAGTGTGGAAAAAGGGGAAGAGCCAATCATCGACGCGCCGATCACGCGTGCGTTTTATTGTTCCCTGGAGGAATTGTGTTCCTTCGATTAGAATTCGATGTAGATACTTCGGCACGCGGAAGAAGATGAAGATTCGGCGCAAGACCGTTTCATCCAATGGCGATGTAACGCCCGTCGAGAAAATCGTCGAATTCGATGTGAAGCCGGGGTGGAAACGGGGAAACCGCGTCACGTTTCGACAGTCGGAGTGGAGGGAGCGGATGATTGGTAGATTGGGGGATGAAACGCCCGGCCATATTCCCGCGGATATCGTGTTTGTTTTGGAGGAGAAGCCGCACGCGGTGTATGTGAGAGAAGAGAACGATCTGGTGTGCACACGCGAAATTTCGCTGCGTGAGGCGCTGTGCGGATTTCGATTTGAATACGAGCATCTCGATGGACGAAGGATTAATGTGATGATCCCGGCGGTCATCACTCCGGAGTCGGAGCAGCGCTACCCGGGTCTAGGAATGCCAATTTCAAAGAATGCGGGGGAGTTTGGCGACTTGGTGTTTCGATTTCGAATCCGGTTTCCAAAGATGATGTCGAATGAACACAAAGCAATCATTCGCAATCTGACGTTTCTTGATGATTAATCCGGAGTTTTCAATTTCTTGGATCGATACGAAATGTTTGATGCGAAACAGACGATTTCTGGAATTCCAATTATACTGTTTAATTCATTTTTCTTTTGTAGGATGTCGCTACTTCGTTCCATACAGTTCTCACGAAGTAGCTTTGCCTTGTTGGCGCAGAGGCCGGTTATAACTGGTCTTTGCACACCGATGGTACAAAGGCGTAGCTACTGGTGGAGAAGAGGCTCAAGAGATGACGACAAGCCGAAAAAGGAAGAGAAAAAGAAGGAAGAAAAGGAAGAGCCTGATAAAGTGAGCAAGGTGGAAAAACCAACGTTCCAAACTAGCGCTAGAAGACCTTATAGGAGGAACATTGTAGAAAAGTCTCTCGTTTTCAATTCGGATATTGAAAATAATGAATTTGGAAAGATGGGCTTCGCGGAAGCTCCGGTTATTGTAGGAGGTGGAGGCGGAAACGATATGGGTTATGATTTTAACATAAAGGACTTTTTCCATCTTCATTACGAGGTGAACGATTCCTTGGTCCTACCAGCACTCCCCCTGCCTTCAGTTCCTCTTCTTCCTGGCGTGATCCAGAAGTTTACGGTGACGGATCGCCTAACTATTCAAAAGTTGAAGGAAATCCAGCCTAAAGACAACATTATCGGTCTGTTTCTCCAGAAGAATCCCCCAAAGTACACAACCAGCGTCGTGAATGATCTCAGCGAAATCTACCCGATCGGAACGTACGACTCTAGTTTCCTATCATTTTACTTTTAGCTGCGCCGAATTCCGCGACCTCCGCATGACCGGCAACAGTGCCAGTCTCATTGTGAGCGGTCTGGCGCGTATTCGAATTGACAGCATGGTGGAGAAGGGTCCTCCAATGATCGTAAAAGCCTCCAAGCTGCCCTATCTCAGCGAGAACCTCGATGAGATCACGATGAAGGCGTATTCGAACGAGCTTCTCAGCTACGTGGATCTGCTCATGGCGCAGAATCCGCTCTACAAGCAGCTCTTCGCGTCCTTCGAGAAGGAATACAGCGGCTCGCGTGATCCGCTCTATCTCGCGAATTTGGCGGGGTACATGCCCTTCGCGAAGCGCGAAGACCTCCAAAAGGTGAGACCGGGCGCGGTGTCTGAGGGATAGCTGCTGGAAGCGAGCTCGATGAGCGAGCGTTTGGATCTGAGCGTGAAAGTGTTCAACGCGGAGCTGCAGTTGATGCAGCTGCAGAAGGACTTGAAGGCGCGGATCGAGAAGGCGACGAAGGAGAACGAGCGGAAATACTTCCTCCACGAGCAGCTGAAGGCGATCCAGAAGGAGATGGGCGGCGACAAGGACCCCAAGCAGAACTATCTCAACATGGTCAACGCGAAGCTCGAGCAGATGCGCAAAGACCACGTCTCCCCCGCGGCAATCGCAGTAGAGATGGAGAAACGGGTCGAGAATAGGCGGTGGAGGAGGAAGTGCAGCGCCTGTCGTTCATCGACATCCAGCACGCGGAGTTCGACACGACGCAGAACTACATCAACTGGGTGATCAATCTGCCGTGGACGCAGCACAGCGAGGACCAGATGAACATCCAGTACGCGCAGCAGGTGCTCAACGACGACCACTACGGGCTCAAGGACGTGAAGGACCGCATTCTCGAGTTCATCGCCGTGGGGAAGCTGCAGGGACACATCGCGGGGAAGGTGCTCTGCTTCGTGGGGCCGCCGGGAACCGGGAAGACGTCCATCGCGAAGAGCATCGCGCGCGCGCTGGGCCGCGAGTACTGCCAGTTCTCGGTGGGCGGAGCGAACGACGTGGCGCAGATCAAGGGACATCGGCGGACGTACATCGGGTCGCTGCCCGGCAAAATCATCTGGTGCATGAAGAAAGCGAAGGTGAACAACCCGCTGATTCTCATCGACGAGGTCGACAAGATCTCCGCGTCGCGGAACGTGGGGTTCACGGATGGGCGTAAGGAGCAGGGCGATCCGGCGAGCGCGCTGCTGGAAGTGCTGGACCCGAACCAGAACAAGGAGTTCTTGGACACCTATCTGGACATTCCCTTCGATCTGAGCAACGTGCTGTTCATCTGCACCGCCAACGACCTCAGCACCGTTCCCCAGCCTCTTCTGGACCGCATGGAAGTGATCCGCGTCAGCGGCTACGACTATCAGGAGAAGCTCGAGATCTCCAAGCGCTTTCTCGATAAGAAGGTCCGCATCGCCACCGGATTGGAGCCGTTTCTCGCTCGATTTGGATTGCCTGACGCCTAGCGAGCGCCCAACGACGCCGAAGTCGCTCGCGATCGCCGACGACGCGCTGCAGAGCTTGATCCGATGGTACTGCCGCGAGGCGGGCGTTCGCAACCTGGAAGTGGAAACGTGGAAACGCGGTAACGGGTAGAAGAGCATCGAGAAGATCTATCGGAAGGTGGCGATGCGGCTGGCGACGATGAGCCAGTCGGAGATCGAATCGACGGACTTCACGATCCACGCGAAGGACTTGGAGCAGTACATCGGCCAGCGGATCTTCCTCTCCGATCGGCTGTACGAGGTCACGCCGCCGGGAGTGGTGATGGGGCTGGCCTGGACGTCGATGGGCGGCGCCACGCTGTACATCGAGAGCCAGACCATCAGGCCGCATCCGCTGGACACCACGCTGCCGCCGCTGCGCGAAACGCTTCCAGCGAGTCTGCGGAGCGCCGGTGCGACGAGTTCGAATGGGACGAGCCCCTCATCGAGTCAAAATACTGGTCAAAATGGTCAAAATGGTCAAAATAACGCATCCATCAATCCACCCAATGGTTCTCTGAATTCGGAATTCCCGCTCATTCAGCCGCAGAATGCGTCTCTGATCGCGCCTTCGGAGCCCGCCAAGCCGTCGACCGGGCATCTCACGATGACCGGCCAGCTGGGCGACGTGATGAAGGAGAGCATCCAGATCGCCTACCTCAACGCGCGGCGTTGGATGCAGCGCTTGGCGCGCAGCGACGCTCTGTACGACCGCTTGGTCCAGAACTTCGCCGCCCATCGCACCGACCCGGGGCCGCTGCCCTCCCGATCGCTCCTCTTCGACGTGCTCGAGACGCAGGACTTGCACATGCATCTCCCGGAAGGCGCTACGCCGAAGGACGGGCCCAGCGCGGGCTGCGCGATCACGACGAGTCTGCTGTCGCTGGCGCTGCAGCGACCCGTGCGGCAGGGGCTGGCGATGACCGGAGAGATCAGCCTCAATGGGAAGGTGCTCCCGGTGGGAGGCATCAAGGAGAAGGTGATGGCGGCACGAAGAGCCGGCGTGAACGAAATCATTCTGCCGAAGGAGAACAGACGCGATGTGAATGTAGGGGTGATGGGAGCGGTCGAGCGTAGGAGCTGCCAGAATACATTAAGGAGAATCTGACGATCCATTACGCGTCGATGTATGAAGATGTGCTGAAGTTTACAGATTTATGTCCCGAGGTTTTCGAGAATTCAGTTAAGGGGTAATTGCTTATTTCATGTTTCTTTTTGTTTTAAATCTGCTTGCTGTGTATGTTTATGTCGTTTTGAATATGGTACATGACGAATAGTTGGTGGTGTATGTGGATTTGAGTTTATATGCCGACAAGCCCTTTCTACAGCACTCGTATGCCATGCCATTCTCAAGAGTGTATTTGTACATCGTTGTTCTGTAACGCTCAGGGTATTTCGCAAAGCACCAAAAAGAAACATTGTAATAAAAACAGCAGAAATTGTACTGTGCTTTTAAGGTGAATACTGGGTAGGAACCCAAGCAATATCGACGCCTCCGGGAAAAGTGCAAAAGCATGACCAGCTATTATGATAGCCTCAACAAAAATCAATCTGAACCTATTCTGACCGATATGATTGCCTACGCAAGACGAAACAGAGTTGATTTGTACGTGATTCTAAGCCTTGCCCATATTCCGTGGAAAGATAGACAGCCCGAACTTCATTACAATTATTCTATATTTTTTTATGGAATGGACTATTCTTCCAAATTCTGCCCAAATGTAACAAAGCCTTTCCAGATCGTCCTTCGATACAATATTCCGCTGGTTTACACTACCTACAGAAAAACTGCCCCTTTTATTGACGCTTTTACCATTTCACTTCGCAATAACATTCAAAATCGTTTAATTGAAAACATAACAGTTTGTGTACGTCCCACACCTCCCTCCTATGTGACTTCCACCGTGTGTACAGTGATTATGGACCCTATTTCACCCTACCAATTAAGACATTGGCTTTCCTATTATTTCTTAATTGGAATCGACAGAGCTGTAGTTTATAGTGTTGCTCCTCTGGTTCCATACCAGAAATTACTCAAAACCATGAATAACCCCGGCCGGGTGGATCTTGTTGATTGGAACTTTAATTCCAGACAAGGAAAGAACGGAACAACCGTTCGATATGGCCACAAAGAGGCTCAGGTCATGTCCTGTTTCTATCGAAATAAATACTCTTCTCGGTTTGTGCTAGTGGCCGATATTGACCAATATTATTACGCCACCAAGAAGAGGCAAGTGAAGACGATCATTCCGCTCATTCGCCAATGGGTGAAGGACTATCCAAAGGCCGATGTGTACAACGTTCCCTGGAACTATTTCACGACGAGACGGCCGATAAGGAGCCCCAAACAAAAATTATTGTTATATCAGAATGCGACCCTTTTCAATACTTTCAGAGAGGTGGAAAACGTGTCTGTGTCGACAGTGATTCACCCAATCATCAATTGGAACTTTAATGGCATCCTGGATCCCTCAAGCTGTTCTCTCTGCGAAGTCGTTTCTCCCGTCAACAGTACGATTCGAATCGCATTCTACCGAAACAAACAAGCGGAGCAGCCCATTGAGCGGAATCAAATCCTCCTTCACTACTCGCAGGGCGTTCGTGAGCTTCAATCAGAACTTTTCGGCGCCACGAACATATCTAGCACGCCTAGTACCTCGATGGCCCCTCTAAGTCCCTCTACCCCAGTCCCCTCGAGCTGTTCTCCGCTGGGTCCACTCAACATTTCTCTCTTTCATTCGCTTGTTTGTTCACACAAACACATCACCGAGAAAACTGTGCGGCATGCGACAGCCCCTTCTGCAGCTGGTCGATGATCATTCCGCATAGATGCATGAACGAGCACACATTCCCGTCCAGCTTCTGAAAGTCCAGCAAATACGCGTGTTCCTGCACCTTGTACAACTGGAGACGCATCTCTGTCACGAACTCGCTCGCTCCCAGCCGCGCTGCGAATCGGCAGCGAACGCGATATCTACCGGTTAGCAAAAAAAAACCGCTATTTCTGGAATACTCGTTTTCTAAAAACCACTGGAACTGCAACAGCGCCAGCGTCTTGCACACCTCAATAATAATCACGGCCGCGTCCTTTCGCGACTGCACACCGAGGAACCACCGTTTATTGCGGAGCTCTACTCATCGCATCATCCGCATCACACGGCTACTCGGGTCCACCGCTTCCTTCCCCCTCACTACTCGTTAAACCTCGTTCTCCACCCGCACCACGCGTCGCGACGGCGGTCTCGGTGGGCGTCTCGAGGGCGGTCTGGCGGATCTGCGCCTGTCGCTCGCGCTTCATCGCGGCGTCCAGCATCAATTCGTACATCACTTTGATCTACGTCACATCGGAGAAACGGGGAAACCGAGTTGGCGGACTTGCTGGCGATCGCGGAGAGCACGGCGGCGCGATTCATGTGCTTGAACGGCCCGTTCATGAGCGACTCCATGAATTCCGGGGCGTTAATCGTGGAAACTCTGGGGTGACTCCCGCGGGGAACGCGTACAGATGGTTCTTCTCGTAGTCCTCCCAGGGAATGGCGAGGTAGGGCGGGCAGGAGGTCTGGAACCAGGCGAGCTTGCGCAGCTCGGGGATGGTGATGCGCTTCACGGGGTCGTTCATGAGGAGCTCGGGGATGAGATCGCGCGCACCTTTCGAGAGAAACGAGGGCAAGCGGTAGAGGCCGTCTAGGGAAACAGAGAGAGAAAGAACGAGGCACTCTTGATCTTGCGGAAGAGCGCGGAGATGTTTTCGTCGTCGAAAGGCAGCCGGCCGCAGAGCAACGCGTACAAGATCACGCCGCAGGACCAGATGTCCACTTCTGGACCTGCGTAGAGACGACCCGAGATGACTTCGGGGGCTGCGTAGTTCGGGGAGCCGCAGGAAGTGCTGAGGAAGCAGCCGTCTTCTAGGAAATTCGCTAGACCGAAGTCGGCGATCTTGATGTTCCGATTTTCGTCGAGGAGGAGATTTTCGGGCTTTAGATCGCGGTGAACGACGCCGTGCATGTGGCAGTATTCGATGCCGCTAGAGTAAAGAGCGGAAGGAAAGAAAACCTAATGATTTGCTGGAAGAATCTTCGCGCTTCTTGTTCAGAAAGCTGAAAATGACGAAGCATGAAGAGGCCGTACCTTTCCGTTGTGTACAATATACTCGAATAATTCACCTCCTTCCACATACTCCGTTACTAAGAATAGGTCCGTTGGTGTGTCAATAACTTCATATCTAAGTGAAATAAAGTCTACAAAGTCTACAAACGCACAATATGGGGATGTTTAAAAAGACGAAGGATATTAATCTCCCTCTTCACTTTGGAGCTCATATCTAACTTGTTGATCTTTTCTTTGCTCAAAATCTTGATTGCCACTTTTGTCTGCGTATAGCGATGTACTGCCACTACCGCTGAATTGAGAATCGATAAAATACATTTGACTTTTCCGAATGAGCCACTTCCCAGAGTTTTCTCAAATCGGTAAGGACCCAGATCAACGTAGTCAGTAGGCATTTTGTTGAAGGTAAGCCCTTAAAATTGAATCCAAGATCGTAAATTCAAGAATAGCGTTTCAAAACCCTTTTTCCATAAATCTGGAATTCCTATTCTTGGCAGATTGGTATTGATTTCTATCAACAAATAATGTCAGACTGGCCTTCTGCACTAGAACCCAAGCAGAGTTACTCTCTGGATCGTTCACCCGTTGGGACTCAGTCTCCTAGCGATGTTGTGTCCACTGACGAGCAAAATAGAGATTTCGTTCGGGATGCTACTTCAGATCTTGTGTCGAGGGTGAAATCATTGCAAAAGTCATATGAAGATTATTTGGAAGTGCAGCAAGTGGATATCTTTTCATTCTTTGATACTAGGAAGTTGTTGGATCGCTGCAGAAGCAGTATGATGTCGTTAGCGATAATGAAGGATTTGAACGTGTAACACAAGTTCTTAACCAACTCGGAGAATATTCAGTGCAAGAGAATTACAGGGATGATTCGTAGGATAAAATGGATCGCGTTTTGAAGCGAATGGATGCAATCTATGATCGAGTGTGTTTCTGATTCGTTTTTTATGTAGGTTGATCGACTTCAAGTTGAGTCCGAAGAGATGCTCAATGTAGTAAAGACAGGTAAGCGTTTATACCGAGTAATGAGAAGTTCCTCCTGGCAAACCTATTCCTCCTGCTTCCAAGCAGATCCATGATTCAGTAAATAGTTATGTAAATAGAGCGAAAAGTTCGATTGAAAACACGGTGAACTCTGCCAAGAGCGGAGACATGAAGGACAAGTTTGCCGATTCCATGTCTTCTTTTGGAGAAAAAGTGAGCTCGATGATGGATAAAGCGAAAAGTTCTGTACAAAACCTTCGCAATTCAATTGTTTGTATCAAACAAGGTTAGTCGCTCCATGCGGGGCAATACGCTATAGGAAGAATCCACACCCATCCTAACTTCTCTTTCGCAAAATTGATAGCAGAGATCGATCGCTTTTGATCGTCGTCGATACACATTTTGGAAAATAGGATGAATAGGGGTCCGATCAAATAACCCATTAAAATATTAAACAATACAATTCCAGAAGGCGATAGTCTCTAGTCGAGGTAGACAGAATATACACATATACCATATTCAAGGCATAAGCAGAAGAAATGATGGCATTAAGAATTCCATAAATTCCACAATATGCTGAGAGCAAAACAAAATACTAAAAATAAAACAAGGAAAATGTAGTAATGACACGGATATTCCTGTAGCCAACGCAGTTTCTTACTAAGGTACAGTGATGATCATACTACAGTCAAAGGAAATTTACAAAAAAACATACGCCTAAGACACACTCGTCACAAATGTCACAGTGTACACTTATGTCATGCACCACCAGCTTGCAACGTGAGCAGTAGTGATAGTTCTGCTCAACGGCCTCCATATCCGACTGTCGGGGCATATCTTTCTCATATCCCTTCGTTTGAAAGGATAATAGAATGATGTACCGGAGAGATTAAGGTCGTTTTCCAATAGAAAAAGAGAAAATTGCACAAAATCCACAACTCCAGTATACTAAAGAATACACGCTAGAAACTTATAGAATCAATCGAATGATACAATAAAAACGGTAGAAAAGGGTAGATGGGGAATCATCTTGCAAATGACGTACATACTCATCAATATAAAAGGAACTAAACTGGATGATGTAGAATAGGAGGATACTGTATACAAGGGTATCAATTAGGTATTCTGCACATCCGCGTTTAATATATCTCTCTGATGTCGTATTCACTCTAGCGAATCGTCTGCAAACACTGTGAATCTTTCTTTTCATGAAAAACGATTCAGTAAAGTATTAGTAATGTACAGAGTGAAGGCTTTTTTGTAAATCTAAGGATTACTACGATATAGCAAGGAGATTGGAGGATGCTTATTACAAAAATGGATCTATATATAATGAGGAGGAGGCACAATGGAGGATGGAACTAAGGATGAAAGGTAGGTGAAATGGAATGGAATGTGAGAGGTTGAGGCGTGTTGTTGGAAATAGAGAGCGGTGTAGATGTGTAGAGGGATGATAGGGTACCGTCGCTACAGTGGGTGAGACACACAAGATAGGCATTGGGTGCATAATATTGGATTGGATTGGTTGGGAATGTGTGTGGTGATTAGACGTTCAAATATGGTGGCAATCAGGGGACTAGTGGATGGTGGAATGGTCGTTTGAACGCGACCATTGAATGATAGAGTGAAAGAGGAGGATAGTATTGTAGAGCGTTTTAAAGGTAGAATGGTAGCGAATATGCGAAGAAAAAAAGAGTGAAAGGGAAGGTGTGAATGAAAAAATGGAATTGGAATTGCAGATAAGTGTGATACACGAAAAACAATGGAATTTGAATGAACATTAATAATGTGCTTGAGGTGGTAAATAAAGGAAAATGGATGAATAAAAACAGATTAGGAGTGAGCAGGGTGTTGGAATGATGCAGAAGGATATTAAGAATAATCCAGAACGAAGAACCACATGATTGTTTGCGTATAAAGAGACAGATTTGTGAGTTGACTGTTGATACAACAAACAAATAAAATATAAGGAGGTATCCGGAGTTGGCTCCTTTGTCTATAATTAGGAATTGATCAAAAATAAAATGAGTAGTGAAAATATAAGTTATTGTGTAATCATTATACTAAATCAACGCCTATTTCGATACGGTTTTATAGATTTGGTATATTCACAGCCAGATTAATTAATTTGTAAAAATATTTTGTCTAGGATGATGGGTGAATAGATTTGATAGGAGGAATGATGATGATAATACTAAAGGAGAGAGAGAGAGTAGACAAAATGGAGTGTTGTGCGAAATCCTTACTTGATAACATGACTTTACAATGATATTGTAAATATATAGGTTTTACAGACATAACGAAGAAGAAGTAAAAGAAAAAGTATTTCTTATTTTTCAATGTTTCCAAAAAGCAATCATTCTGATATGTTTTAACTTTCGAACTACTTCAATCACGATTATCTAAACAAACTGATGCATAACACAATTGATTTCGAAGACTTGGCCATCCTGGCTACAGTGTGTATCTTTAACACATGTACATCAACGATATAATACAAAGGTATTAAGATGTGTCAATAGTACAAACTGAGTTTCATATCTTTCCATAATACATTTAATTCCACCTGAAACTATGAATTTTAACGGTAGATGGAATGAATACGGAATCACGAATAGATGAATGGAATACGTTAGCGGGAAGCGAATTTTTATTGGATGGGTACATAACGTGTGGTGAAGAACGAAAAATTACTGTTGGTGGCTGTAACTATTATCTACAACGTTTTCAAGGGGAACATGAAGACGAGTACACATTGAAAAAAGATAACAAGGTTTATCTATTCCAGAATGGAATAATGAAAATGGCTTGGGAAGAAGATGAGGATGGAACTCAAATTGGGGATTTTACTCGATTTGAGAATGGCCGTGTCGCTTTTATCCAAGCGTTTGATGAAATTTGGGATCGGAAAGATTTTTGTCGTATAGCCAACCATGTTAAAGGCGAGAGGATGGAAATCTATTCTCATGAGAGTGGAAAGTTGATTTATTATGGAGAATTCAACGAGAATCGTGAGAGAGATGGATGGGGAATTGAGTATGACGAAGAATCAGGTAAAATGTTGCTAGAGGGAGTATGGAAAAAGAACAAGCTGGTGGAGATCATCCGCAAGATTGAGGGAACCACCATGATCGAATTCAAGGAAAACGGCGACAATACCATTGCTTCGAACCGAATCCCAATGTATGTCGGCGGATTCGTTTATGATGAATCGAAAGAATCGTTTCTTCGAGATGGTCGAGGATACTGGATCGATGAAGAAACTCGGATTGCTACTCGCGAAGTGGAATGGAAAGATGGAGTGGAAGTGAGTGGAAGAGATCTCTATGATGGATGGTACACTCAATCGACCAAACCGATACTAATCCCGAAATCCATTCCGAGACCTACGCCTGCTGTTGCTCCCACTAAAATCAACGTCAGTAGTTCTATGACACTAAGCAGTGTAAGCTTACAAGTGACCGATTTGACGATTTCATCGAATTGCTGTAACGATTTGAATGCATTGGATCTGAATCGATTCGAGTGGCTACGATCTATCGAAATCGGCGATGATTGTTTTGGATCAGTGCAAGCATTCCAAATCGATGGATTGAAGCGATTGAAAACTATCAATATCGGAGGCAATTCGTTTACTCAGGTGAAACAGGCTGAATGGGATCCATTAAGTTATTCCGAAGCTGTCAGTCGATGTATTCAATCGAAATCATTCAACATATCGAATTGTGAGTCACTGGAATCCATTCAATTTGGCGAATATAGTTTTGTTGATTTTGCTGGAGACTTTGAATTGAGCAATCTACCGCAACTGCAGTCGATCCAAATTGGTTCAATCGGTAATAGATCGTGGAATTTCTTTTGTTGTTCCTTTATGATTGGAAGTAATGATATGATATTGGATAGTAATAGATAGATCTTCCCAATCTGCAATCCATTATTTTAGGCGATGGCTCATTTGATTACTCCTTATCAACTATAATCGAGAGTAATGCATGAGTTTGAGTGGTATGATTTGTATAGATCTTCCTTCATTACAATCCATTCAACTCGGTAATTGGGCACTTACTGGAAGAAATGACGAATCATGTATCTTGATAATGCGAAGTAAAATGAAATGATTAGAGATGATTGAGTGTAGACCTTCCAAGTCTCACATCCATTGATAACTCGAAAGGATTCAGTTTCCGTTTGCCTCGTTCAGTGACATTGAAGAGTAGTTCTCACCATTAAATATTGATTGTATTTAGATATTCCAAATCTTCAAAATGTCGTACTACCAAATGGTTTTGCTCCAGTGAGAGAGGACAATGATCAAACTGTAAGCCCATTTGAGAAAGTTCGATGGAAATTAATTTCGAGTATTGACTGATTGACTGATTTGATACTATTCATAGATGTTCATTGGAGACTGGCCAATTTAATCCACTGAATCAATCAGTAATTCTAGAATTGGATATGTCCACTACATTCAACGCCATTCAATGATCATAATATGTTATATGCGTACTTTGTTTGTTCCAAATATCTTTTATCATTCTTGTCATTTTACTTGAATCCAATCATCGATTGAATCTTTTCTATCAGTTCAACTTAGATTGGATGAGCTAGCATGTTTCAATCCTCCGTGGAGCCGATCTCTCTTGGAGTTGAGATTTTCAACGACTCGTTCTATTTCAATAGTATCAAATACAGCATGATGGTTAAATTAGGTTGTATGAAAACGATTCAGTAAGATTGCGGTTTTGAATTCACAATTAATCTGAAAATTAAAAATGTCAATGATTGAATCAATTGAAAAGAAGCTAATTCTGACTTGATTCATCAGTAGATACTCCGTATGTATATGTGAAATTACTTTCTCACACATGTACCAATAGTGTAAGTCTGATGTTTGTGGTAATATCTCAGATTGAATAAAGAAAACTTACAAAAGTAACAGCATTCTATACTCAACAATACTTTGGTTATAGTTATTTCTTTCGTTTTTATTGATATTTACTCATTTTTATATGATATGATTATATAGCTGTTATAGAAAGTGGGGAACATGCATCAATCATGTTGTGATACATTAATTATCTACAAATCAACAATGTGTTATTGGTTAAATACGAGTGATTATGACTTGCGTTCTTTATTACTAAATACTCTTTATGGAAAAGATTCCGCTATAGCCAACCTCTGAAATCTATCATTCACACTTTTTAGTTATTGTTTTGTTAATAACCATAAACATATATATATATATATATATATATATATATCCATTTTATCTAAATTGCTGATGCTTGTTACATAAAACAGCAGGACGTATTCTAGTTAATAATACTATATTTGTTTGTTCAGATTGACAATCATATCATATTACTACTTTTTCATTCCTTGCAGCAGTAAATACTGCGTTTTCCACTACTTTATTCCTATTAATCAATTTAGTATAAGAAGCGCATTTCAGTTTTTGAGTGTTTTGAATATCACAATTAAGGATTATATTTGTTCCAACTAATATATCATCTAACATGTTTGTAATCATGAATATAATACTACTCTTTTCTTGTTATTGGCATGTTACTTCCTATCATATTGTTCTGTAATGGTTATCATTGTTTTGTATATTACCTTATCATGATATTTGTTTTGTGTCATTATGATCTATCTGGATGTGTGTATACAAAATGTGACAACCTATCATCACATGAAAATAACTTCAGTTCAAATGCACATAGTTGTAGTAGGTGTGTATTGATATTGATAGAATTGGAGAATAGTATAAATAGAACAATAGCAAACTCGACAAATCATCAAACAATCGTTCATTCATTCATTCATTCATTCATTCATTCATACAATACAAAATACAATACAGTACAATACATAATACAATACAATACAAATACAAATACATTATAGTTTGAGTTCAAACAAACAACCATTTCCAACTTATTGGCAACCAACTTATTACAGATTTTTGTATCTCATCGTCTCCGTGTCGAATCCGGGCATCGGGAACGAGGTGGCGAACTGAGCGACTTCGTGAGCCAACACAGGGATGTCCTTGTTGTTGGGCAGAGCGGCCACGAAGTCCTTCAGCTTCTTTCCCGAGCTCTTCTGCACGTCCAGCGAGATCTTCACCGCGCGATCCAGGAATCCCGCCACCTTCTTGAAGTCCGCCTCCTTCAGTCCTCGCGTCGTCAGCGCGGGGGTTCCGATGCGCACGCCGCCGGGCGACTGCGCCGACTTGTCTCCGTGGACCGTGTTCTTGTTCAGCGAGATGTTGATCAGGTCGCACACCTTCTCGATCTTCGAGCCCGTCAGTCCCAGCGGACGCACGTCCCACAGCAGAAGGTGGTTGTCCGTGCCGTTCGTGCAGATCGTGTAGCCCATGTCCATCAGCGCCTGCGCCAGCGCCTTCGCGTTCTTCTTGACCTGCACGCAGTACTCCTTGAACTCGGGCGACGCCACTTCCTTCAGCTGCGTGGCGATGGCCGCGATCTGGTGGTCGTGCGGACCGCCCTGCAGACCGGGGAACACCGCGTCGTTGATCTTGCGCTCGAAGTCGCGCTCGTCCTTGCGGAAGAAGATCATACCGGCGCGCGGACCACGCAGCGACTTGTGCGTCGTCGTCGTCACCACATCGCAGTACTCGAACGGATTCGCAGCCTCGCCCGTCGCCACCAGGCCGCTGATGTGCGCCATATCCATCATCATGATCGCGCCGCTCGCGTCCGCAACCTTACGGATCCGAGCGTAATCCCACTCACGAGGATACGCAGAAGCTCCGCAGATGATCATCTGGGGTCTGTAGATTCCAGCGATCTGCTCCATAAAATCGTAGTCCACAAGACCCGTCTTCGGATCCACGTGGTAAGGAAGCGTCTCGAAGAAGATCGAAGAGCCCGACAGAGCCTTTCGGGTGTGCGTCTTGGCGTTGTATGTGTAGTAACCGTGCGTCAGATGACCTCCAGAAGGAAGATCCAGACCCATCATTCGGCTACCAGGCTTCAACAGACCCGTGTACACAGCCAGGTTGCAAGGAGATCCGGAATAGGGCTGAACGTTCACGCCCCACTTTTCAGGATCCAAATGGTAAGCAGCCAGAGCACGCTTCTTGCACAACTCTTCGATCTGGTCGATGTACTCGTTACCTCCGTAATAACGGTGACCCGGATATCCCTCCGAGTACTTGTTCGTCAAACAAGAACCCAAACATTCCATAACAGCTCTGGAAGTGAAGTTCTAGTTCTGAGGTAAGCAAACTTACACAAATACCTCAGAAGCAATCATCTCCAGCGACTTCCAAGATCGGTTCTTCTCCTTCTCGATCAAATCGAAAAGTTCAGGATCGTGCTCTTCGAGAGGTACGCGTCCAGGCTATGGGGTAATACAATTGAAAGATCTATGTACAATAGTAGCAAAACCAGCCCTAGCAACAGGCTATATATAAGTTAGGAGAAGAAAGATAATACGGTGATTCTGGCAGCAGAAAGTCTATAAATGAGAATTCTATGTGAAATAATAATACCTAATAGAGCGAGAAAGTGCGCTAATCATCTTTGAACGGAAATATTGTATAAGAAAATCGTGGAATGTTTCTCCATTATTACGGATGAATAACCGCGATTGCTTGCTAATCATATTCATATCATCTTACTAAATGTAGATATTTGTCAGGAAGATTTATCTTTTTCCTTTTCCTTAACGACATTTCCGATATCTATAGTGAAATATATCGTTTACCACCAATAAGATACAAGGTTTGAAAGGCCAAAACCAATCATTGTGTTTCTATTCTTTCGCGTGCAATACACTATTTACAACATCAAAAACATATCTGAAGACTACTTTTCGATAGAAAACCGTTATATACCAAAAATCGGAGTAATTTTCCACGATTTTCTTATACAATATTTCCGTTCAAAGATGATTAGCGCACTTTCTCGCTCTATTAGGTATTATTATTTCACATAGAATTCTCATTTATAGACTTTCTGCTGCCAGAATCACCGTATTATCTTTCTTCTCCTAACTTATATATAGCCTGTTGCTAGGGCTGGTTTTGCTACTATTGTACATAGATCTTTCAATTGTATTACCCCATAGCCTGGACGCGTACCTCTCGAAGAGCACGATCCTGAACTTTTCGATTTGATCGAGAAGGAGAAGAACCGATCTTGGAAGTCGCTGGAGATGATTGCTTCTGAGGTATTTGTGTAAGTTTGCTTACCTCAGAACTAGAACTTCACTTCCAGAGCTGTTATGGAATGTTTGGGTTCTTGTTTGACGAACAAGTACTCGGAGGGATATCCGGGTCACCGTTATTACGGAGGTAACGAGTACATCGACCAGATCGAAGAGTTGTGCAAGAAGCGTGCTCTGGCTGCTTACCATTTGGATCCTGAAAAGTGGGGCGTGAACGTTCAGCCCTATTCCGGATCTCCTTGCAACCTGGCTGTGTACACGGGTCTGTTGAAGCCTGGTAGCCGAATGATGGGTCTGGATCTTCCTTCTGGAGGTCATCTGACGCACGGTTACTACACATACAACGCCAAGACGCACACCCGAAAGGCTCTGTCGGGCTCTTCGATCTTCTTCGAGACGCTTCCTTACCACGTGGATCCGAAGACGGGTCTTGTGGACTACGATTTTATGGAGCAGATCGCTGGAATCTACAGACCCCAGATGATCATCTGCGGAGCTTCTGCGTATCCTCGTGAGTGGGATTACGCTCGGATCCGTAAGGTTGCGGACGCGAGCGGCGCGATCATGATGATGGATATGGCGCACATCAGCGGCCTGGTGGCGACGGGCGAGGCTGCGAATCCGTTCGAGTACTGCGATGTGGTGACGACGACGACGCACAAGTCGCTGCGTGGTCCGCGCGCCGGTATGATCTTCTTCCGCAAGGACGAGCGCGACTTCGAGCGCAAGATCAACGACGCGGTGTTCCCCGGTCTGCAGGGCGGTCCGCACGACCACCAGATCGCGGCCATCGCCACGCAGCTGAAGGAAGTGGCGTCGCCCGAGTTCAAGGAGTACTGCGTGCAGGTCAAGAAGAACGCGAAGGCGCTGGCGCAGGCGCTGATGGACATGGGCTACACGATCTGCACGAACGGCACGGACAACCACCTTCTGCTGTGGGACGTGCGTCCGCTGGGACTGACGGGCTCGAAGATCGAGAAGGTGTGCGACCTGATCAACATCTCGCTGAACAAGAACACGGTCCACGGAGACAAGTCGGCGCAGTCGCCCGGCGGCGTGCGCATCGGAACCCCCGCGCTGACGACGCGAGGACTGAAGGAGGCGGACTTCAAGAAGGTGGCGGGATTCCTGGATCGCGCGGTGAAGATCTCGCTGGACGTGCAGAAGAGCTCGGGAAAGAAGCTGAAGGACTTCGTGGCCGCTCTGCCCAACAACAAGGACATCCCTGTGTTGGCTCACGAAGTCGCTCAGTTCGCCACCTCGTTCCCGATGCCCGGATTCGACACGGAGACGATGAGATACAAAAATCTGTAATAAGTTGGTTGCCAATAAGTTGGAAATGGTTGTTTGTTTGAACTCAAACTATAATGTATTTGTATCGTATTGTACTGTATTGTATTTTGTATTGTATGAATGAATGAATGAATATCTGCACAAATTCGTTTTATGCAAGATTGTCCTAAGTGTTTTTTGGTGTTTTCTTTATCATCCCATTTATAACCGAGTAAACAGCATTTCTACTAATGTCTTCTGTTTTTGTATAATAGGATGCAATTCAACATTCGATTTTCTTTACAGTAATAAATGTACAAAGAATCATTCAATGATCTATTTAGTCAACACATCCTAATCTTATTTTAAATGTGTAAACTATTCTTATATCTTGTATTTATATGCTTATCGTTTGCTATCTGTAAGAAACATGATTGTGTGAAGATTAGATGCGGGTACTTATGAAAGTGAGTGCATTGCTTTTTTGGGACAGGGGAATCGAGAGCGTCTAATTATAAAATGTGGCGACAATGATAACATAACCGAAGTGATCAAATTCGAAGCGAGATATGAAGATGTTTTGTGCAAGAAGCTAAGTTTGGAAACATCTTTAGTATATACTGTTTCTCTCGTTTCAGGAACTATTAGTGATACACATACACTTTATTTTTGATGTTTAGAGAATGGTTCATATACAGGCAGTAGTACGGATATCAGAATCCGTACTGATAATTATGACGATTTTTCTTCGAGTAATGGTATTGTATGCTCTCCAAAGTTGAAGAAGGGGAAGACATATAGTTTTACCGAAATCGACTGTACTGTGGGAGACGAAAGCTATAGTAACCAAATGTTGATGTTTGTCGGTATTCCCTATACAATGACGGCGAAATTTGGAAAAGATGAAAAAGGAGTATTCGTTGATCAAAATGATTTTCAATCTGATATTCGATTATACAAGGTGAGTGATAGTACAGACGAATCTGGAGGTGGAAATGTAGCTCTCATAATTGTCGTTGTTGTTATTCTTATCATCGCAGTGATTGCAGGCGTTGCATATTTTTTGATTAAAAAGAAATCTAGTCCAATACTGACTGCTGTATAGTCTTGTTTGATTGTCACACACCACGAATTGGGATACTGTAATTATTGACTACATACATACATTATCAATTGCTTCATGGTATTGAAAATAGTGAATATCATTTCAGCTATGTACACACCATTCATCCGATAAGTTTAACAATAAGCGATTGATCATTAGTTCTCATAACGATGATGACTGATAGAAATGGAAGCGAATTACAAAAACTGAATAAAAGGAAATGATAGTAAAAAAGATATGTCAGTTTATTTTTGTATGAGTAAACCAAATTTATTTATGTGGTTCACTTCAATCGTTTTATTACTCTTCCTTTCATTTGCAAGCGGTAAATATGCGCTCTAGCGTTCCACATAGGCACGATTTCTTTTCAGGGAACATACGAGAGTAACTGTATTTCGGAATATAACGGTCATTATATATATCGGTCCATTGTTCGCTGCGATAATAACAATAACATAAATGAAGTCATTGTGTACACTGTGGAACACTTGGATGGAGAATGCAAGAACCAATATTTAGAAACATCATTTGTCTATAGCACAGATCTCTATTCAGGAGTCAGTGGTATGTATTGTATCTATGGATTAAAACTAGGAAATGGAAGTTACAATTTGGTAGTAAAAGATGCTCGAATCTTAACTGAGAATTATGATTTTCTTCAACAAGCTTTTGCAATGAGTTGTAAACCTGAATTACGGAAAGGAAAGAGATACAGTTTTACTACCGTACAGTGCACAGCCTTAGGAGCTAATTTAACTGAGGTGTATTTGTCATTCATTGGCGAAAAATCTACAACCAAGATTGTAATACAGGAAGATGAGAACGGAGTTATTTGGTGGGACTCATGGTTTTATCCAGAAGCCAAAATGCTTTATAAAGTCAGTGATGCAACTAACGAAACTGGAGATAACTCTATCACTACAAGTAATATTCTACTGCTCATCATAGTGGTAGTTGTTATAGTAATCATTGTCATTGTGGTTATAGCAATTATTATGGCTCTATCTGCAAAAAGAAACCAATCGGCAAAAAAGCTTCCAACTCAACCAACTACACAAAAGTAAAAGCAAAACACTTCTATGCAGTTGACAACGAATAAATCTGCTTTATCGACTTAGTTTGTTTGATTGCCACAAACCATGTGCTTTTTATTTCATACTTTCCCAGATATTTGTATTGATCACCATTATCTAATACAGTCACATTGCTTGCCTATGCTATCATTTGCGATATAGCAAATAGGGTGTTTCAGTTTCGCCCTTCAAATAGCTGTGCATATTTATTCTAATGTTTGGTACTGTATTGCATCAAAAAACAAAATATAAATAACATCTGATTCATATGACAAGTAAAAGTGATTAGTCAGTTTATTCTTATTTTTCAAAAAATGTTAACGTTATTGATACCTTTCTTATTTGTATGCTCTGTTTCCTGTGCCAGCTGTAAACATTTTATTTGTATACTACATAGATGCAGGAACCTATGAAAGTGGCTGCATGTATGTAAGTTCCAACTATATGCGCTATCGAGCTATTGTTCGTTGCGATTCAAACGGGAATATAAATGAACTTATTTACTATGAGTCGACTTTCTATACCAATGCATGCACACAATTACTTGTGGAAGGATCTATAGTATATAGTGTTACTCGGGACGTTTATTATCCTGGTACTACAATTGTATGTCATTGATTATAAGGAACATCACGATACAAAATAACTACCCAGGATGTTAGAGTCCGAACTGATGATTACGGAAAACTGATGGAAGAGGAGAATTGGGAATGCGTTCCTCCGTTAACCAATGGGAAACGATATAGTTTTACCGAAGTGAATTGCCATATAGGCTATTGGGCGATTAGCAACTCAATGGTTGCAAGTATAGGGAATACAGAAGACACAAACATTGAGTTTAAATCTTATGATGACGGTACACTTTATGTGATAGGCTCTTTCATGGCACAGTCGTATTACCTCAAGAAAGTGAGCGATAGCACATCTGATACAAATCCTGGAGATACAAATCCTGGTCTCATTATCGTTATCATTGTTGTTGTAATCATTGTAATTGCTGTCATCGCAATTTTGATAGTTCTTTATCGCAATAATGATAAAAAACCTAAAAGGCTTCCTACCCAGACAGTCTCAACCAAGTCTCCACAAGGTATGAATCCCCAAGAAGCCCCTAATCAGTCCCAGCAAAGCATTCATGCACCAATAGCACCTAACCAATCAGCTCAAAACGTAGCTCCTCAAGCAATGCCGAATCAACTAATGTACATGGCTCAAAATCAATCTGTGCCAAATCAACCTTATTATACGGCATCGTACCAGATGGTACCAAATCAACCAGTCCAAAGTGCGCCCGTTCAAATATCGCCAAGCGTGCCTACTCAATCCACTCCTAGCGTTCCTGTTCAACCGGTACCTAATCAATGATAATAATCTGCATAAGGAATGTTTGATAATCAAATACTACTATACACTTTACCTATTTATCATTATTATCTTTAGGATTACTTACCAGATACATCATAGATGATATTAGAATAATCACTTTTCACTCATTCGTCAATTTGAAATACTCGAATTAGAGAGGTTGGACTGATCGTTTCTATAACTATTATTTCAATGATTATGTATTAAATATCATCAATTTATCAATCACAAATATTCATATTTATCATATTTATGAACTATTTCATATTTCCACGAAAGTCCATCAGTTCATATCATTTTTGATATCCACTTTATCAATCAATGAATCCAGTAATAATAATCTATATTCTATATAAAATACTTCACCTCCTTGTTCTATTTTATCACGATAAAACAACAAGTGATGACTTCGATTGATAAATGATATACCGAATTAGAAAACGAACCTTATTATCGTTTATTCATTCACTCATTCATTCACTCATTCATTCCTTCTCAATCTATTTGAAATAGAACCGTTAATTTTGAAATAGTTCCGAAATTTGGCATTATCAAGAATTGATGTTTTTAGAATTTGAACTATGTGTACATATATATATATATATATATATAATACTCTATAAAATGAATTAATCATGAAATATGAATAACCATCTTATTACTTTTCGACTCGAATAAGAATATGAAACCGTATTCGTTTTGATACAAATATAATTTAAGATATACGAAACAATAATAATGTGATTTCTGTATTCAAATCGTATATCTGTATTTGAAGTATCTCCAATTGAAAACGAATCTATTATCTTGAATCTATTTTTGATTATCATAATAAAATTATATTATGTTGTGTAAATTCTTAATCTTAATCGGAATCCTTTCTTTCTCGCTTGCTAGTTGTAGGAACTCTGAGTGAATCCAATATAGATCAAGGAACCTATGAAAGTGATTGTAATGTAGTAAATGGAAGCATCAAAAAAACAACGAGTAATTGTTAATTGTGATAAAGATGGAAATATCATCGAAGTTAGTGTATCTACAAGAGAGTACACCGATAGTCAATGTAAAAACCTTTATCTCGATTTAATTTTCGTTGCCAGTATTTCTCTTTCATCAGGAACAATAGGTAATCATAGTATGATACTAGTATTATCTTAGATGACGGAGAATATAAAGGAACTACTACAGATGCGTTAATTCGCACTGATGACTACGACACACTGACAGTAAAGAGCGGAATGACGTGTACACCAAAGTTAAAGAATGGGGAGGTATACAGCTTCCAGAAGGTTGACTGTTCTAATCTGTTGTTCAATATCACTGCTATGATGCTGATGATGGTTAACAAGCCATATGCTTCTACTATGAAATTTGGAGAAGAAGATGGGAAAACAATTTTGGAGTATAGTGAATCATTATCATCTTCTAAGCTTTACAAAGTGAGTAACAGCACTGATATAGCTGGAGGTAACAATACCGCTCTCATTATAATCATCGTTGTCGTTGTCGTGGTGATTATCATTTTGATAATTGTTCTTATTCTGGTTCTCGCTTCTAAAAAGAAGCAGAAAACTAAAAAGCTTCCTACTAAAACAGTTTCTGATAAGCCAACCCCAGATGTTCCTGTGCAAGTAACAGTCGCTAAATAAGCCAAGTTGTCAGTATAATACCTAATTTCCATGCACTATAACTTGTTTGATAGAAAATAGTTTATATATATGCAAGCACATTTCCTACTATAGTTAGAATACATATCCTCATGATTTAGTTACACTATTCTAAATCTACCCAGATAAGAAAGGTTGTCGATCGTGTTTTCCCTCTGAAAACGTGTACACTATCCTATGGACTACATTCTCGAGGAAGAATAAGTCGTTGTTGCCCTCTATTATTTGCATAATCATCCAAAACATAATAGTATTAATTTGGACTCAAATGTACGTCAAGTTATTTCGTATACTGCAAACATATTCGGATACCATGTATTTCAATTGTGTATAAGTTCTTTAACCAAAATAATGAAGAATCCCTTCCTGTCCTATATTAAAGTATCTCATTTGTTATCACTATTCTAATTACTCTGCACACTCTATTGCACACAGACGTTTCTAAATATTCTGTTTTACGCATATCATTAATCGGCTCACAATTAAAATGAATCGTTATTGTCCTTTTTCGCATCCATTGTGTTAAGTCTCCCACCTCCCTTGTTTAAACATAACAGACGCAAGTTTCACGATTTTCGAATCTGTAGTACGTATTTCCGTAACAATTGTAACGTATTATTTTTCCAAAGTATACTTTCCTATCAAGTATTTCCACCCGTACAAAGAATAATAATCGTTAAGTTGGAATTCAATTATATCTTGTTCCGTTGGCGTTTCGACATACAGACTTCCTTCCAAACATTTTCATATTTTTATTATTGTGCTTGAAATGTTTGTGTTTGTCCTACTTCTTTCTGTTGCTTTGGCAGGAAGTAAGAATCGCCTAGCTTTGTTGATGGTGTAGATTGTGGTGTTTATACTAGTGGTTGTGTCAGTGTTGTGGGTATTCCGCAGGGCGTATCTTATGAGTCGACAGTGTCTTGTGGAATTACTGGATATGTTAGCAGCATTAAGACCAAAGAAATGTATTATAGTGATGACAAATGCATTGGCTCCATATGGATGGAGAATAGTTTGTCATATTCTTTGAAGAAGACCAATGGAACAAAGGGTTGGAGAGATGTTGTTGATCTTATTTTTAGACGATGCTACGTATAATGTTGTATTGAAAAAGGCCACTGTGAAGAGTAACGATCTTGAAACCATGAAAAAGATGACTGTTACTTGTGTTCCTGAATTGAGCAAAGGAAAAACATACAGCTGGTCGGATGTCACTTGCAAAGTTTTGAGTATTTTCGATATTGGAGCGGCTTATCGTTCTGGTCTTGGAAAGGAATATTCTGGCTATCTTAAATTCTCTGAGAACGACTCAGGTATCAGAACGATGTCCGGTTCCACTGGTTTCTCTGCATTTGCCGGTTATTCTAGAATCAGTAGTTTCGGAGGCTGCTGGACTTGGTGGGGAATTCTCCTTATCGTGCTGGTAGTCTTGATTATCATTGCGCTTGTCGTGCTTTTGATTCTTAAGAAGGGCAAGGGCAAGGGCAAGGGCAAATCTTCTAAGAAGAATACTAAAGTTTAGTTCGATCGATCGTTCGTTCGTTTGTTTGTTTGTTTGTTTATAAAAATAGAATTTGGACTCATTCCTCTATACTACTGCATGTACTTTTGCTAGGATAGATTCTCTTTTTGTCACGTTTTCTCTTAACCAGTTTATCGAAGCCATAAAACAGACTTAATTTGGGGATCATCTAATGCAATGTATGGAAAATGAGCATGGAATACTGTTTGAGCAAATCGTTCTGCATCTTGTCGGCGTCCTTCCTATTTTTTACCCCAATTCTGCACAATCTACTAGAACATAGTCAATGCAGTAATAATAGATTTTCTTTTTCTGTGGATTATTATCCTTGTTTGAAAACAAATGGTTCCCTGTTTGTGGTTAAAGTCACACGACTCGAAATCTTTTGGATATATTCAAATAGATGAGCGGCCTTTCTTTATGCTTCTCCCACACATTGTAGTTAATGTAAGCGTTGTGGTGGTAAACGAGAGAAAACATATGAAACATGTTCAATTTGTCTCCGTGCCTCATAGTTTGGGAATCTCCGGAAAAGTCTATCAGCTCAATATAGGACCATTCCGGAGATTGTGGCTCTGACTGATTCTTCAATTCATACCCATCATTGTATGATTGCAGATAGTCCAGAGACAGCTCAGGAATACCGTAAATCGTCAAGGAATCCACATCAGCCGTTCTTTTGTATTTTAGGCGGTTAAACGTCATGTAAAAGAAGGAGAGAAATCGGTTCGGCTTTTCACGAAATGATCGAGAGTAAGCTGATTCTCCCTACACATTACTTTTTCCTTCTATATACTCTAAACACATAGTGAAATTCAAGAGCGTTATCTTCCTTTCGGTAATGGTAAAAAACGGAAACAAGGCCATATCCTTCTTGGTAATCAATCTCTGGTTGAACGATAATCGGCATATGGCCTATGACCCACTTTTCTAACAGCGCAGAATAGTTCATTAATTGTGCACAAACTGACACAAACACGACATTCTTCTCGTGTTTACCAAAAACAAGCTCAAACTACTCCAAATTACTTCTCATGTTAGGTTCTCGGCAATACCGCTCCAAATCTTCTTTACTTACAGATGGCTTCACCACCTTTAAAGCAGCTTCAAAATGGGCTTGAGAGACGCAAGATGGTGCAGGTTCTCCCGAGAGCAGTGATGGGCGGATCGCTGCTAAAGATGCTTCTCGAACTAGATTACTCAAGTCTGCACCGCTAAACCTCTAAAAACACAATCATTTCACATTCCCATCTCCTACCTCGCAGCGCTCGTCAAATGCAATCTTCTCCAAATCGACATCATCCGCCAGTGGTGTCTTCTTCGTGATGGTTCGTAGAATATCCAAGCGATCGGACTGGGTAGGTAACGGAACGAGCAGCAGCTGGTCCAGTCTTCCTGGCCGCATCATGGCGGGATCGATAATATCCGGCCGATTGGTCGCAGCGATGACGAAAACTTGCTTTCGATCTTCCAACCCGTCCATCTCCGTGAGCAGCATGTTCACCATTCGCTCGGACACGCCGCTGCTGCCTCCGTCCATTCCTCTATCATGAATTCATCCCCGAAATCGCACCGTTTCGGACACAGCGCGTCGATTTCGTCGAAGAAAATCACGCACGGCGAGCTAGCGCGCGCGCGTTCGAACACCTTCCGCACGCCTCGCTCGCTCTCGCCCACGTACTTGTTCAGCAGCTCCGGTCCTTTGATCGAGATGAAATTGGCGCGCGATTCGTTGGAGACGGCTTTGGCCAGAAGCGTTTTTCCGCAGCCCGGAGGTCCGTAGAGCAGCACGCCTGCGGGCATGGTGAGGCCCATCTTCTTGAAGATCTGCGGGTTGCGAATGGGCTCCACAACGCTGATGCGAAGCTTCTCTCGGACCGAGGCGAGGGCGCCGATGTCGTCCCACGTGGTGTTGGGAACGGTGACGAAGCCTTCGCGCTTCGAGCTCGGCTGCACCTTCTTCAATGCCTTCTCGAAGTCCGCCATCTCCACGGAAAGAAGCGCCAGTTGCTCGGCGGGGAGGCGATCGGGCCGCGATTCGTCGGGCTCAGAGAGTTCGAGATCCATGTCGGTGGGCGTGGGAGTGGGCGTGGGAGTGGGAGTGGGCTGTGCTTCGAGCGGTAAAACGAATAGTTCGTGGAAGATTCGATTGATCGCGATGATAGCCGCTTCCTTTCTGTCCGTTAAGAACCCTTTGATAATGATTTATTTTTGATTCATTCATTCAATTCATTCAATTCATTCAATTCATTCAATTCAATTCATTCATTCAATTCATTCATTCATTCAATTCATTCAATTCATTCAATTCATTCAATTCATTCAATTCATCGGATATGTTAAGGCGGAGAGATCGGCCCCCACATAGCCCGGGGTTTTGGCCGCCAAAACGGGATAATCGACATCCTCGGCGACTTTCATTCGCTTGGTGAGCAGACGAAGAATCGCTTCGCGCGCCGCCTCATCGGGGATTCCCAGCGAAATCTCGCGATCGAAGCGTCCAGCGCGGCGAAGCGCGCTGTCGAGAGCGTCAGGACGATTGGTGGCGCCGATGATCATAACGGGCTTTTCACGAAGCGCCTGGCTGTTGAGAGAATCCATACACGTCTGAAGCTGGGCGACGATTCGCTGCTCCATGCTTCGCGACGTGCTCTCTCGCTTGCCAGTAATCGCGTCGATCTCATCGATAAAGATCAGAGAAGGCGCCATCGCGATCGCATCGTCGAAGAGTTTCCGAAGCTACATCGAAAGCTGCCATCACGCCGACGTTCTCTTCGCTCTCCCCGCTCATTCCGCTCACGATTTCCGGCGCGCTGATGCACACCATCGGGATGCCCAGCTCGCCACCGATCGCACGCGCGAGAAGCGTTTTGCCGCAGCCGGGAGGACCGTAGAGGAGGATGCCGCGAGGAGGAACCACGCCGATTTCGTTGTAGATCTCGGGGCGGCGGAGCGGATACCAAACCAATTCCTTGATGTCCTGCAGAACGTTGTCGATTCCCGCGAGATCGCTCTGGGGTTAAGAAACGATGGTGCGATAGGAGAGGAAAAAGGATATGAATCGCTCGTCAGGACGCTTCCAAGTCTTGAAACCGCCTAAATGTTAGAAAAGGAAAACAATTCGGTCAAAACATACTGTTGTCGGAACCCACTTTGGAGCGCTTGGCTTGCGAATCGCCAGATTTCTCCTTGTCATCGTCAACTTTATCGACTGTTGTATAGCTAGAAGTCATAGACAAACCAAAACTCTACGCGTTGTGAAGATTATCATTCAAACTTAGAGGAGATGCCGAAATTCTTGCTCTCCTGCGTTTCTTCTTAGAGTCTGCATCCGACAATTGAGGTACGGGAGACGATTCGCCCCTATTCATCAACTTAAAACAAAATATTCACGAAAAATTGTCATTCCCTGTCGGAGTCACTGGCTCCGAGCTTCCTTCAGCCGAGGACCGAGCGATCGAGTAAGCAAGACTGATCTCCTTCATGGCGAGGTTTTGATTCTTTCTGCGATATCTAGTCAGTTAACAATCGAATGAGAAATCACTCTGGCAGTTTGCGATAGATATACTCGACAACATCACTTTCGGTGACTGTAGAACCACTCGATTGATCCAAATACTGTTTAATTATCGGGATTAATCTCTTGTCATTCACTCGAGTAACACTCATCTTCGTTTTCGCAATTCTAGCAAAAATCCCAAAATCAGACAGTTTTTCGGAAACAACCCGATTGTTTGTTTCAATTCGCACCGTTGTTTTCTGAGTCGTTTTTCAAGTAATTCAGTCAAGAAATCATCACACTTGGGTTATCAAACATGATTGCGTCTCTGCCTAGTGATATTACTCGAATATCTTGTCCACTAGTTAAATTTTGTGGAGATACAAGTCTGGCTGTGTTTATTGCCGATCGCTTTTTCAGAGACAGCTCTATGCACTATGATATCGAATTTCTGGATGAAGCAGGGTCCAAGAAGGATAACCGCATTGGCAATCCTGAAAAAGATGAATCAGAACGGATTATGAAGAGTTCGTGGTATTATAAGCATTCGCATATGCAGCCGGCAATCTGCATCTTCTGTGTGGGTGTTGATATAAATGGACTTGCTACTGACCGTACAAAATGGCGCGAGTCGATCGTTAATCAATACAAGCATGCTGTAAATGCACTCGCTGCGAACAGACCTGCTTTTATGACGGTGTATGTTTGTCCTGGGAATCGTGTTCTTCTAAACCAAGGTGCTGTTACCGAAGATTTGCTTATTAGAGAGTAATGCATTGTGTGAGTTTTTATTTTCTAGACTCAATTCCCTGTCTATAGACCATATTCACTCCCATTTGTTTTTCGAAGAAGAATTGATTGGATCTTCGATTGGAGCGATCAAATCGATGAAAGCCGAAGTGTATCAAGTCTGCCACAACTACTACTCCTCTCGAATGGACATGCTAGATTCCGATATGTGTTCTACCGAATCCGATATTCCTCCACGTAAGCGAATCGATTTTGCATTACAGAAAGATCGAGTGATTCGAATGATGTTGAAGATGAGCTTCTTTAATGAGTGTCTTGCCAGTCTCACGCTTCAAGAATCCAACGCTTTGTATGCCTATACGCGGTGTTTGGAGTATTACACTCGAGTGCAGGACTATTGTTTATCTCTCTTTACGAAAGTATTCAATGCATCCATTCGAATCACAAACAGATTCAAAATCGAAACAACGAGGAAGTGTGTCAGATTTTATCCATCATCAACTTCAAAATCATTCAATACAGCATGCTCATTCAAAACACCAAAGGCTTCTCTCAGACATTCCGAAAGATCACCGGATGTATTCATGCCATGTCCGCGATTCTCTCAGAAAACAACGTACTCTTCGCTGTGTTGTTGTGGTTATTCATTCATAGTCCTCATTGTTTTCTTTCTGGAAAGCACTGCAGTATCAATTCTTAATCGACATCTATGAAAAAGAAGTCCTCGCTCACGCCATCTCGCAAGAAATCGAAACCCTTCGTACGCCTCCCTCTCTTCATTTCTTATTTATTGTAGAGAACTGCCATCGAAATCGTCTGCTTTTCCTGCGCGAAGCCTACATTTTATCGCTCGAAAGGACGCTTTGTTTAGAGCTAACATCGCAGTCCGCGTCGCCGTCGCCGCCGTCGCCCACTTCGCAGTCTCTTTTCTTGCAGTTTTCTTCCTGGGAAACCTTCGAAGCTTACGAAGAGACGCTTCGCAACAAGATCAACTTCCGCGAAGCGTATCTCAGCGCGTTGGAAAGCTGTCTTACCCACGATATCTACGATGAAACAGCTGCCTTCCAAGCGGTGGATGAAACGCTTCGCTTGGAGTCAATGAATTCATTCCCGCTGCTTCTCGACATCATCAACAAAACGGCGCATCAGCGTCTTTTCTCGCTCTCAACGCGTCTTTCGCTTGTTTTGGCGCATGCTTCCTTCAGTTTCCACGATTTCCCCGTTTTGATAAGACGAATTCATTACGCGTAGACGCTTTGTCAGGTGCTTCTTTTATTGCTGCTCCCAGAGAGCGTCGTGCGTTCAGAGTCTCGCTCCATCTTCTTCCGTTCATTGCGTTCGCTGCTTCCTCAAATCACAAACGAACAAAACGCATTGGCTTCCTTTCAATGGCCGTTTCATTGGAATCTGTACTCCAAATCGCTTGAGGTTTGCGTAGAAGATTCGGCTCCGCTCGTCCTGCTCGTTTCCAAGTCGAATTCGGTTCGACTTCTGATCGTCTAGTCCGTTCCCCGAATCCATCGACATCTCCGCAGTCCGCATCCAATCAGCCGCTTCGCCGGAGGATTCAACGACGATCGTTCTCTCTGAGAAATGGACGCTTCCTTCCCTCGCCGTTTCGACACTGGATTGCTTCGTTCCCGCGTCTGCGTTGCGTTCTCTGCCTTCCGTAGAGATCTGCTTCGCCACTCTGCAATCATCTCTCTGGATTCGGTTGTCGCCTTCGCTCCTCACTCTCTCCACACACACTCCCGATTTGATGTTCTGGAAGATTACGCAGCTTCGAATCCTCCCTTCCAACGTCGTTCCCTGTCTCAGCTGCCCACTCCAAGAAAAAGTCATGGCCGGCCAAGTCGCCGTTTTGGATTTCCCCATTTCGGTGCGTCACAGCGAAGGACTTGAGAAGATCGACGTTTCTGTAGCGAACGAAGACCTCCAGAAGGTGATGGAGGTCAGCCGATCGCCGGATTTGCTCCGCGTTTCGTTAGATTTGCGCTCGTCTTGCTGGCTTCTGCCCGACAATCGAACCTTCCCGCTCGAATTCACTCTGCACTACGCCAATCACGAGCCTTTCCATGCTTCCTGCCCACTCACCATTTCCTCTCCTTTCAGCGTCACCGCGAAGGTTTCCACGTTTCCCGATTTCGCGCTGTCGGAATCAGCAGCGGCGTTTCAGCCTGAGCAATCCATTCAGACCGTTTTGGAAGCGTTGGAGCTGCCGAAGCCTTCGTGTCCCTTCCCTTCCCCTTCGAGCTTCCATTCGAAAACGTATCGAACTGCGGCACAGCAGATAATCGCGGGATTTTGGTTTGATTTGGACGTGCAACTCCACAATTCCGTTGCGCTGTCCATTCATTCCATCCGCGTTCAACACCCTCAAAACGCTTTCTCGCGATGTCTTCTCATCAATCCAATCGCTTCCTCTCCTCTCCTTTTAACGCCCGAATCCAACACGACGTGGCATTTCAGTTTGGCCGCTTCAGCAGAATGGATCGACCACGAAATCGGAGGTGGAATCGTGGAAATCGAGTATTCCTTGGCCCAAAACGCGGAGAAAAGTAGCGAAATCCAGCGTTTTAGCATGAAACTCCCCGAGTTGTTCGTTTTACACCCGCCGATTTCGCTGCGATTTGAATGCGAAACGACGTGGATTCGTGGGGTTCCTCAGACGATAACCGCGGTAATAAAGAATCACTGTGTCGATATGATCGAAATCAGGACGAGTTGCCACCGGAGTTCCTGTAAGTGGCTTATAGGTAGTATGGTGTCGACGTCTCGTTGCGTATTCTATGAAATCGAAAATCGAATTGTAGTTGCTTCCTTTGGAGGAAACCCGAGAAGTGCTCAAAGTCGTTCCAGTCGAAGCGGGAAGTTTCGATTTTACCTATTTTTCGCTGAGTTGTGGGAAGTTCGGATCGAATCTGCAATACTATTTCGATGTGCCGCGCATCTTCGTTCGCGACAGCAACTGCGTTTTGTAATTTGTTTTATTGTTTGTGTTTTGTTTGTTCGTTTGTTTGTTTTAAATTGTTTTAAATTGTATTGTATTGTATTGTCGTGTTGTTTGTGTTTTTTTAATGTTTGTAGTTCTTATTGTTTGCTTGTTTGCTTGTTGATTTGTCTACTTGCTTGCTCGCTTTCTTTTTCTTTCTTTCTTTCTTTTGAACAAACACGACAAAGAAACTGTTTATCAAAATTCGGATAAAGCGCCTTCAGACAGTCGCAGCACCGCATTAATACCGCCTCATCGGTTCCACACATATCCAAGAGTGTGGGCACAGCATTCTCCGGTGGCATCTTCTTCAACACGCGAATCGCCAAATAGACGCAAGCGGCTGCGATCGTTTTGGCTGTGTATTGAATCGACGCTGTGGAGTAGATGCTACGCGTGAATAAAGAGAGGGGAAGGCGGTACGAATCGTTTGCAAACCTCCATGCGCACTGAACCTCATCGCTCACTAAAAATAAGAAAAGAAAAAACAAAAAATAAAAAAAAACCTTTGAGAGATTGAGAGAGGGTTATAATGGTATTGTAGGGCTGCTCCACGATCAGATCGAAGGAGAGAACGTTCAGAATGATGCGCTCGGCGAGCAATAGCTTCATTTTGATCTCCTAGAATAAAGAAACACGACATGATGTACCTTGCAGTCCGCAGGGTCAGGCTTACGTTTTTGTTGAATATCGATAAAGTGCTGAGCAATCATATCAGCTTTTCGGAAACTTTCCTCCACTTTCGCCGCCAAAAAACAACAACCTGCTGCTATGATCTAATAATCACGTTTTCTGATCGACAATACAAATTGATCGTGGGAATGATATGACTGGATGCTGTAAAATCGATGGAAAAACACACAAGCAGAATATATGACATACGCCTTTTTGCAAATGTTAAGAAGACCAAACACGGTCCATTTAGAAAGGATATAATTCTAGACTTTTGCAAAGTTGCCGAATGAAAGTACACGACCTTTTCCGCATTTCGTGCTCTTCATTCGGAGAGATACCATCTCTTGATGACGGTGACTTCGCGATTTGCTCATCTGTAAGTAGTTGAAATTGAATCATGGTTGGGACTCCTCTCTATGCTTAACAAGTTTCTTTCTCCAATACCAATAATATGAGCACGTCTCGGATATCACTTCGGAAGTCGCAATGCTTTTTCTGTCAAAAACAGATATGAGATTCGTATATTTGTGTATACTTTTGTTGTTTTGCGCTTTTGTAGCGGATTCATCTCAGTCTGCAAAAGAATTGGGTAGAGTTGCTTGTATTTGTTGATTGTTGTAGAAGTCTCGAAGAAGTACAATCTGCTATTGAAGAAAGCTGTTTCTATACTCAAAAACAAGACGAAAAAGTCCAAAGCGGAGGCGGTTAAGCTTTTGAACAAAGCCACCGAGTCTATATGCTATTTTGTTTCTAAGGTGTAGAATCAACGGTTCTGCATCCAAAGCATGGTGCATTCTCGGAAAATATTATCAAGGCCAACACAAGCTCAAGGACAGTCTGTCTCCGCTGAAGCAATGCAGTACATTGGATCCTTCTGCCGAAAATCGTTTAACTTACAGCATCGCTCTTTTTGATTATGGTAACTTTAATGCATCCAAAGAAATGTTTTATCTCGCTCTCTTTTTGACGATTAGCCTATCATCCATATATAACGAAGATCCTTCCAACAAAAAGGCGGCCTATTACTATGGATTAACGCTTGCTTGGGTACTTCTCTCTTTCTTTTTCATTGATTGAATCGTAGACAACAGAATGCGATCGAGCCAATTCCATTCTTCAGGATGTTCGTCCTTCTCAGATCGATGACAACTGCTACTACTGCGTTCTCTGTTTCCCTAGTTTCTCCATTTTACGGTAGATATGTGCTACGACGCCACAAACAACGTCGCGAAAGCCAAAGAATTCGATAGTCGTCGAGTCCACAGCATCACTTCCCTCGGCGAGAAGTTTCCATTTCGCTTTCCTTTCATTCCAGAATGAATCTCGCAATCGCTCAGCTCAACGCCAATCAACTCTCCGAGTCGCTTCAGAATGTCCAGGAAATCATCGCGGTGAAACCGACTTTCACGGAAGCGTATTACGTGATGAGCAAAATCTATCAAAAACTGGCCGAATCCGCGTCTGCGATCGCCGCAGCGGAGAAAGCAGTGAGTCTTCTGAAACGCGGACATTGCTTGGAAGTGAAGGTGATCGAGCTGTTTACCACGTTGTACGACGCCTATGTGATGCAGCCGCCCGACCATTTCGGCGGAATGCGGTCGATCGAGCAGATTTTATCGCTCTATCCGCACAACCTCGCGCAGCTCTTCAATTATTTCCATATCAAGAACTACATTTCGTCTCTGCAAGGACTGCTTCCGCTGAAGCGCCACGCGATTGAAGAGCTTCTCGCAGAGAAGGAAACCATCGCCGAAGAAGCGAGGCGCGGCGTGATCCCGCCGTTAGTTCCGATCCGATCGAGCGTGATGGTGAATATGGACGTGCAGACGGAAGTGAACAAGCTGTTCGGATTGTATTTACGAAGCATGTTCAAAAGCGAATACAAACACGCGCAAGTGCGGAATCGAAAGCTTCGAGACGTGCTTCGCGTTGGTCTGCTTTCTGCGGATGTTTTCTATAATCACCCGATGATGCATTTAATGCGCGGAGCGTTCAAACTAATGCGAGTAGGATGCAAAAACGGTGTGGAATGAAGGGGTGCGAAGTGATTCTGATTAATTTGTCGTCGACTCGAGGAAACCAAACGCACGCCTTTGAAGAATTGGGGATCAAGCAAGAGAGCATGTTGGATGAATCGGATTATCGCAAAGGTCGCGATGTTTTTAACGTGAAGAAAAGCTACCGAAATCGAAATCGCGAGCTTCGAGTGATCAATCTCGAGTTGATGTATCCGGATAAAAAAGCCGAGATCATCAACGCGTTAGATCTCGATTTGCTCATTGATCTGATGGGATACACGCAGGGAGCCGAAGCCTCCATTCTCGCTCGTCGCCCCGCGGTTATCCAAGTGAACTACCTCGGTTTCCCCAGTCAAATCTCGAACTCCTACATCGACTTCAATCAGGAAGATAGCATCGTTTCGCCTCCCCAATTCAGCCATTATTACCCCGACAAACTCGTCTATCTTCCTTATTACTACGCCTGCAACCACTACAACAAAGTCCCCGATCTCCACCCCTACCAAAGCGATTCCGCCACTTTATATCTTCGAAACACGTTTAAAGTTCCACAGGAGGGAACACTCTACTGCTTCCCCAACCAGCTCTACAAAATCTCATCCGATCTGCTCGACACCTGGGCGAACATTCTCCATCGCCATCCTTCTTCCTATCTCTGGCTGCTGCGCCATCCCCTCGAGGGCGAGGAGAGCATTAAGCTCGAACTAATGGCTCGCGGAGTCCACAAAGATCGCGTTCTCTTCAGCGATTTCGAAGATAACAAGGCGTTGTATATGGTCCGCACCAGCATCTGCGATTTGATTCTCGACAGTCCCGTCTGGTCCGCAGGCGCCACGGGACTCGATGCCTATTGGTCAGGCGTTCCGGTCGTCAATCTCCCGGGCGATCGAACGGTGGAACGGCTGGGGATCAGCTTGATGGTGGCGAAACGGAGTGGAATTCACGCGTAGAGAGCGACGTATTTCAACGAAACGCAGCGAAACGCTCGGTTTGACGCGGGTTTGTCGGTGGATCCGCCGATGATCGTTGTGAACATGGAGGTAAGGTGATGGGTGTGCGTGGAGATGCAGGATTACGAGAACGTGGCGGTGAAGGTCGAGGGAAACAAGCAGCTGCATGCCGCTGTGCGAACCGAATTGATGAAGAAAGTCGCGGGAGAGACGTTTGATCCGAGAGCCTCTCCGGTGGTGCGACACCCGCTGCAAGGAGGGCAGTTTGATATTGAGTACTGGCTGCAGCAGTGGGTGATGTCGTTCTACGCCATGTATGATGTGATGTATGTGATGGGCAAGCCATGGGTTATTTACGCCGTTTCTGTTGACATTTGAGTTTTTGATTGTTTGTTGCAATAAGGAGTGTTAGCGCTTATGCCGGTCTCATTTTTCCGATTAGCTGATTGCCAATAATGCAGCAATTGTTCAATATCAATAGTTGGCTACTTCTACTGTATATTTACCTGGCCGTTGTTTTAATCAGCTTTATCTATGGCGTTGCAACGAAAAATGTCAGCCAAGTGGATCGTCTCTGGTCTATTCTTCCTATCTTCATGGCATGGATCTATGCTTATATTTCTGAATGGGCAGACATCGTCATTGTGATGGCTTGTTGTATAACCTTCTGGGGAGTTCGTCTCACTTGGAATTTCTTTATTAAGGGAGGCTACAGAATGGAGAGGGGAATCTTTGTGGAAGAAGACTGGCGTTGGGGCTATTTGCGGACTTTCATCACAAACCCCATTCTCTGGCAATTGTTCCACTTTGGATTCATTTGTTCTATCCAACTAGCACTGATAATCGGATTTACCATTCCTGTGTTGCTAGTTGCACTTTCGGATCGTTCTTCTGGGCTGTATCTAAGCGATTTTTTCTTTTGTTTCCTCTTCCTATTCTTTTTTGGTATGGAAACCATCGTGGATATCAACATGTTCCGCTTTCAAACCGAGAAGCACAGTCTGAGTTCTGAGGAGCAGAAGATGAGTCGCAATATCTGTATCAGAGCAGGTTTTGATTTTTCTGGCCTGCGTAAGTATTCGCGACATCCCAACTATTTTGCGGAGGTAATGCAATGGGTTGTCATCTACATGTGGGGTTCCTACCGAATTGGAAACTGGCTGAACTGGGGGTTGCTGTTTGCGATCGCGCTGTTCGTTGTCGTGTATTGCTCGACATTCGTTTCCGAGCCAGTGGCATCCAAGAAATATCCTCTTTTTGCGGAATATCAGAAGACGACGTGGCGTTTTATTCCCTTTTTCCCGGTGCATTTCGGTGCATTTGAGGAGAAGGCGAAGAGTGGGAAGTAAATGATTTGTGGTTGTGGTAATGGTTGTGATTGCTCTCTTCTGCGTGCAGCTTTTGAATAGAGAATCCGACAAAATCGGTTATTTTTTGGTCCTTCCAAATGGTTTGTTTCACAAACAAGGGAGTGTACAAAGTGAAAGGCTAGAATCCCCATAAAGAAAATGGTGTAGTTGTCGTAGTTTGGAATGGTAAGCGATTCCATCAATCCACACATCACAGACACAAACAGGGAGTTCACGACATAGTTGACATCCGAATTGAAAAAGGAACCTTCTCTACAATAAATCAACACTTCGATACACACTTCAGAATCATCCAATTGTAGAAAACGAGCGAGATCCATGAGAAAAAGACGAAGGACGCGAGACCAAACCAGGTTTTCGATGGATTCCAAGGCAAGAACCGATTCCCAGGAACATTGGGACCGAAAAACGCAGAGAACCCGTCTCCAAATGCTATGGGAAGAATACTGTACAGGCATTCAACTCGCTTCCAATAGAAAAGAGTAGCCAGCGAAATGCAAACTCCATAGTGGACTGGTCCCCCAACCAACTCACTTGCGACACCCGATCGGCTCATCGAATCGGTTACCATGTCCACTTTGACAAAACCCTTGCCAATTACCCAAAATACAATTGTGAACGCGAGCGGAACTATGTAATATAAGAAATAAAATAGGTACTCAGCATTGCCTGATACATTCCAGAGTTATCATCAGGAAAAATACTCCAACACAGAATATACACTGGCGCCATACCTACCTCTGAAGAACATTATGATAGAATACAGATGTGCAGTAGCTTTCTGGAAGTGGCTGAAGATACCCATTTAAACTTTCGAATGGCAATAATCGGGAGGCATACACATAATGATAAAATGGCCGTCTCGATAATCGGCGGTAGTGGTGTGGCAACCATTTTGTGTCACATTGTGGGATCCCTCGACTTTGGTAACCTGGTCATATAATCAACATGGACAATAAAATGAATGAAAAGCCATCTCCCATAGCGCCTGAGGAAGAAAAGCCAATCGTATTTCCTGATGGATCGATAGTTTTCGACCATTCAGATATCACAATCGAATCGTGCTCAGCGACACTCAAAATATCAATAAATCACCAAGAAGGATTCTCCTATTCTGTATACTTGCGAGATGGTATCGGTTATTGGTTTGGTAATAAATAGAATCTGCAAATGTATTGGAATCGAAAGTCATATCCGCAGATGAGTGTGTTATGGATAAAACAAATGAGTTTGAAGTCATTGAGTACTGTGTATGTTATTTGTAGTGGATCATTGCTAACATCGCTCCAGGAGGCACCTTTTTCGTGAATGCGGTGTGCAAATTGGAAAGTGGTGTGATGAAACCTCTTTGTCGAAGCACGCAGTTCTCTACGCCTTGTACACGCCCTGGAATAACTCCGCTGATCGTTCAATCGCAGTCTCGCCGAGAGATCAAGGTACAAACTGAGAGAGGGTTTTATTGCAGTTGAAATGGAGGGAGGCGAGAAGTAATGGCCGAAAGATCACTGGCTACACTGTTCGTTGCAGTGCAGACTATTTACAGGCTGCTTCTGAAACAAGCGATGTGGATCTTTGTACCGTTTTGATCGACAGAGAAGACGTTTTGAGTTGCAAAGTTGTCTTTGACTCGATTCAATCAACAATTAGGCGCAAAAGCTAAAGAGCGGCCGGTATTACGCTTTTCAGTTAACCGCCTATAACGAATGCGGCGAAACGAGTGGCCTTGTGTACTGGTTCCGAACGCAATCGAGCGTTCCAAACAACCCTTCGAACCTGCGCTGTGTAGGCCAAACAAACCACTCCATCTCGCTGGAATGGGACGCTTTGCCGCCCGAAGATTGGAATGGGAGCGAAGTGGATTCGTATATGCTTCAAATGAAAAAAGAAAACAGCGATAAGAGCTCGCAAGCCAGCAATTGGGAAATCGTGTATGTGAACAAAAACTGCGAAGCGACCATTTCAAACCTGACAGCGAACAGCGATTACTCGTTTCGGCTCTGCGCACACAATTCAGTGGGAGATAGTGGCTTTACCGGCCCGGTAATCTTCTCTACGATTCTGGGATTGGCGTCGCCGCCAGTGATTCGACCACAGCTCTCTGCGAAGAAACACACAACGATGAGTTTGTATGTGAGTTGGGAGAGCGAAGAGCAGTTCCAGAAGCTGATCGATTCCTATCGAGTGATCGTAGAATCGCGGATAGGCGTTGAATGTAGACGCAGGATGCGCAGGGCCAAACGATTTCCTCGATGGAGGTGTCGGACGTGTATTATCGCGTGAAGGATTTGCTTCCTGGAACGACGTATTCGTATGCGATCGATCAGGAAATAAGAAATAGAATCACCGTATCGGCTCACACTTCTTATGGTTGGAGCAATCCTTCCAAGCCTGTTTCGTTCTCAACGCTTCCTGACATTCCGACTTCGCTTTCGCCTCCAACGTTTTCATTGCAATGCGCAGACATGACGAGCAAACCGCTTCCTGCTTATTTCTGCAACTGCACGCTGTCGTGGGAGGCCGCAAAGGATAATGGAAGTGTGATTACGAACTATTTGGTCCAAGTGAACCCGACAAGTTCCAATTTCGACCAACAGAAAGAGATTCTGTTGCATTCGATTTCGAATTCTTCGGAGTCGAGAAGCGAATTGAAGGCGGGAGAGCGATGCAGAGTGTTGGAATCGGAGGGATGGATTATGGAGACGAGCGATGAGTTGGTTACGGTCTTATTGGACAATCAAATGGCGTTCCAACGCGTTCCCAAAGACGCTGTGGAATTGCTCCCATTCCCCACGCAATCGCTCGTATTGCTTTTGAATCTTCTCTCTTGATTTAGCCGAAAAAATCGCCTTGCATTCCCTCGCAAGACTCGATGGCTTCGTACTCCATCAATCCATCCATTCATCATCTCGCAGAACCGTCCAAAGATTCCTGGATCACCATTCTAACAATCGACGCGCCTTTCACAACAGCTCTCGTTTTGACTTCATTCATTCAATCATTTTTCGTTTAGATTTCGAATTTACTTCCCAATACTGATTATTCGTTCCGCGTTCTCCCTGTAAATAGTGTTGGCAAAGCCAACTCAGCTCCTTCCATTTCGCTTCACACGCTTCCAGCACCGCTGCCTCGTCCTTCGCCTCCCACCCTTCTCTCTGCGACTCCCTCTTCACTGAAACTGTCGTTCGACGTTTCTCCATCCTACGAACTGCGTGGAAACGACAAAGCCTCCCTGCAGTTTTATTTAGACGGCGACACCGAGCAGCTCGGCCAACTGAATCCACTCTACACAGGACCCAACACTTCCTTCTCTCTCTCCGGACTCAAACCAGCGCATTGCTATCACTTCCGACTGGCGATCGGCACGCCGTTCGGCTGGAGTCCGCTCTCTCCCATCGTTTCCTTCTCCACGAAGCCTTCGGTTCCATTGCCGCCTCGCAATCTTCGCGTGGCGCCGCTGGACGCAGTGTACAGCCCTCTTTCTTTCATCCGCGTCGAGTGGGACGACCCCGACTGCGACAACGGAAGTCCGATTCGCTGCTATCACGTCGAAATGGCCGCGGGAAAGAGCCCGGCCAATCAGAATTTCGCTGGAATCGAAACGACGACCGATCATTCGTCGCTTCTTCGCGGATTGGTGGCCGGAAATTCCTACACAATCCGCGTTTGGAGCGAAAATTCCCTTGGTCGCAGCGCCACTCCGGCAATCCTGAGCGCCCAAACCGGCTCGGCAATTCCCGATGTGGTTCCGCAGCCGTTTCTCCGGAAACAGCCAGCCTCGACCCACGCGACAATCGGTTGGAACGAACCCACCGATAACGGCTCTCCGATTCTTGGCTACCGAATCAGTTTACAGCCGGTGGGTCGCGAGTACTTCGTGACGGGGAGCGTTACGACGCTCACGTTTAACAAACTGAAAGAAGAGACTGCGTATTCTGCGATCGTGTTTGCGAAGAACGCGGTGGGCGAGAGTGCGGCGTCGACTCCGCTTTTGTTCTCGACGAGCCAGCGAGGCTTGACGGTTCCTTCGATCCCGTCCTTCTTGCCACACACCCAGCAAGGAGAAGAAGTGCTTCTTCATTGGAAGGAGCCTACAGAGCGAGAATGTGTGCAGAAGTACGCAACGATGGGGGAGTGTCACGCATAGCTTTTTGCTGTATCAAGATAACAAGCTCGTTTTTGAAGGAAATGCCACCGAGTACCAATTCACGCCAGAGATCGCGCGACGGTATTCGTTCCAGCTCAAGGCGGTGAATGTGGTTGGTCCGTCTCAGTTCTCGTCGACTTATGATGTGTTTGTTCCGCCTCCGCCTGTGGTGAAGGAAGTCGTGAGGAAGCGAGAGCCTCGTGACCCGTTCTCTCGAATTCGGATGTTTACGGAGGTAAAGAACGAGGCGGTGGATACTGTGCTGGAGAAGAAGCGGAGAAAGAACTGGTTGAAGCTGTGGTGGAAGAAGTACTCGGCGGTGGTTATTATCGCCGCCATCTTTGTGGGTATCTTTGTACTTGTAAATACTACCATGAAATAAGATGTTTGTGGAACAAAGAGCAATAGAGCAAGAACAAAAGCAGCGCAATCGCGATGGAGATGAGACAACAGATACCAGCAATAACGGCTATCCAATAATAGCGGTTTAAACAAGGTTTTGGTTCAGTGTTGTCAGAATTGATCATATCTTGCTGAATCCCAGCAATTTCGTTTATATCCACACCCATACTACCGACTGTCTTGGGTCCAACGATAATTTCATTTGATGCACGAGGGCGTCCCGTATTTTGTCTTCTCATCATTCTGCGGAAGGAGCTTCCACGACCTACTCATAAAATTTAAAGATCCAATCCAACGAGTCTCTGTCTTTGTATCTATTAATCCAGTCGAAATTTCCTCGTAGTTCTGATCCATTGCGATTCCTCTATCAAGATCGAATTACAAAGACAAAGAATAAATGATAATGTAAATGGACTCTATCTATTTTTCTATCTCTTTGGATGTGGCGTGCGTGATTATAATTACATGTGTTTTTAAATGTGCATTGCGAATCGAATTAAGTAATTATGTGGGGTAAATTCAATTATATAGAGATAAGATAGCGAACATGGTACCCCCAGGGTCCAACTATTTTCTATTCTCTCAATAATCACCTTTTCTTAAAGAAGAATTATGGCTAGCATTCAGGAGCAAGTAAGTAGACACGTCGATGTTGTTGAGAAATGGTTTTCGTGCGATGCTGTCCGCTAGACTCATCTCTCTATCATTTCGCAGAATTTCTAATGTTACTGTAGAACCAAGCTGCTTTCCAGAAGCAGGATAAGTTCTCTTACCGCAAGGTCCACCTCTTGGGCAAGAAGGCCAACCAGCGCTGGTACGCCAACATTGGTCTGGGCATCAAGACCCCCGCCGCCGCCATCAACGGAAAGTACGTGGACAAGAAGTGCCCGTTCACTTCCGATGTGACCATTCGTGGAGCCATCCTGAAGGGACTGGTCATCTCCACCAAGATGGAGCGCACGATCATTGTCCGCCGTGACTACCTGCGTTACGTCAAGAAGTACAGACGGTAGGAAATGGAAGGTGGATCTGATTCCCTAGTTACGAAAAGAGACATCGCAACATCCCTGCTCACTGCTCTCCCTGCTTCGATGTGAAGGAAGGAGATATTGTGACCATTGGTCAGTGCAGGTAAGCTTCTGTCGCTTGATTGAGACTAGACCTCTCTCCAAGACTGTGAGATTCAACGTGATTGACCACGAGTCTCAGAAGTCCAAGGGTCTGTCCAACATCCGTAAGCAGTTCCGTATGTTCTAAGTCTGTTACACAGGAAAGGTGACGTAATTCATTTTGTTTGTTGGATACTCTTATTTGTGGGAGAGTTTGGTCATCGTCATCATCTTCATTCATTGTTGCACGTTTGAAACTTGTTGGTATGAAATTCTCGTACAAGTTCACAAACCTCTGTGGTACGGTTTTCAAGTGTGGAAACGTGTGTTACTCTACAGACGGGAATGTTCTGTATTCTCCTGTTGGGAATCGCGTGTCTGTGTTTGACTTAGTGAACCACACATCGTACACGCTGCCTATGGAGACGCGTATGGATATCTCCCGTATTTGCGTTTCTAACAATGGACGTTTTATGATTGCGGTGGACGTTGAGGGAAAAGCGGTATTTGTCAATCTGAAGAAGAGAGTCGTTCTCTATCGCTTTGCCTTTGCAAAGCCTGTTACAGACATTCAGTTTAGTCCCGACGATAGTTTGATCGCTGTTACAATGGAGAGGAAGCTTCAATTATGGTGGACTCCTTCAGAAAAACGTCATTTCGCTCCTCTTGAGTTCTACCTCGAGATAGGCAGACATTATGACACTATCAAGTCAGTACGATGGAGCCATGATGGTGAATATCTGGTGACAGCTTCCGCAGATATGAATGTCCGTATTTTCTCTGTAGGTAATAAATACGGCTTCGTCCCTGTGCTTCTGACAGGGCACCGTGGTAGTATTGTTGGTGCCTACTTCACCGAAGACGATCGTAGCATTGTTTCGGTTGCTGAAGATGGCGCTATTTTTGAATGGGCATGGAAACCGGTGAGTGACGAGGAGTGGGAAAAGCAAATGAGATATCAAAAGTTTGTGAAACGTGGAAAGAATTTCAAGGCAGGTAAAAAGGATTCAATGGAAGAAGAAAAGGAAGAGGAGAAGGAAGAAAAGAAGGAGGAGAAGGAGGAGAAGGAAGAAGAGAAGGAGGAGAAGGAAGAAGAGAAGGAGGAAGAAAAGGAAGAAGAAAAGGAGGAGAGTGAGAGTGAGAGTGAAGAAGAAGAAGAAGAAAAGGAGGAGAGTGAATCAGATAAGGAAGAAGAAGAAGAGGAGGAGGAGAAAGAAGAAAAGGAAGAGAGCAAGAATGAAGAAGAAGAAGAACCCAAGGAAACCCCCGTTTCCGAATCGGAAGACGAATCCGATTCCGACTTCCCCACCAGCATCTACGCGCACGGCAAATGGGCCATCAAAGATCGCCACTACCTCGGCGAAACCTACCCCACCACCAGCTGCGACTTCAATTCTCGCACGCATCTCCTCATCGTCGGTCTCTCCAACGGAGTGTTCTCTCTCTACGAGATGCCCAGCTTCAATCTCATCCACACGCTCTCCATCTCCAACCGCAGCATCTCCTCCTGCGCCATCAATCGCTCCGGTGACTGGCTCGCGTTCGGCTGCGCCACGCTCGGCCAATTGCTCGTCTGGGAGTGGCAGTCCGAGACCTACGTGCTCAAGCAGCAAGGCCACTATCACAACATCGGCGCCTTGGAGTTCTCTCCGGACGGCGGCGTTGTGGTCACCGGCGGCGACGACGGCAAAATCAAGCTCTGGAGCATGACATCAGGCTTCTGCTACGTGACGTTCTCCGAGCACACGGCCGCAGTGACCGATCTCTGCTACGTCCGGGGCGGCCACGCGATCGTCTCCGCCTCGCTCGACGGAACCGTGCGCGCGTTCGATCTGGTACGGTACCGAAACTTCCGAACGCTCACCACCCCCGTCCCCGTGCAGTTCACCTGCGTCACCTGCGACGCGTCGGGTCGAATCGAAATAAATCATCTCTAGGTCGGGTGATCTCATCGCGGCGGGCAGCAAAACCCCGTTCAACATCTACATCTGGTCGCTGCGCACCGGCAAGCTTTTGGATACGCTGACCGGCCACGAGGGCCCGATCTCCTGCCTCCGATTCAACGGTCGCGGCACGCAGCTGGCGTCGGGATCGTGGGACCACACCGTGCGGACGTGGGATTTGTTGGGCAGCGGGCTGAAGGAGTCACTGAACCACCCCTCGGAGGTGGTGGCGCTGGACTGGCGTCGCGATGCGGACGAGCTGATCGTGTCGTGCATGAACGGCAGCGTGTACATCTGGGACGCGAAGGAAGGTGAGCAATTCGCGGGGAGGATCACGCGCAGCGCAAGTCAAGGGAACCATCGACGGGCGTCGCGATTTGGCGGGCGGACGCAGGAGCACGGACGAGTTCACGGCGAAGCACAACATGCAGGGCAAGTACTTCCGGTCTGTCTGCTACTCGCCCGACGGAGACTTCCTGATCGCCTCGGGCCACTCCAAGTACGTCTGCATCTACGGCGTCCAGTCCAAAACGCTCATTCGCAAGTACCCGCTCACGCAGAATCGCTCTCTGGAGGGCGTCCTCGACAAGCTCAACAGCAAGAACATGACCGAAATCGGCGCCACCAGCGAGCTCCCCGACGAGACGTACGCTCCCCGCGGTTCCTGACCATGTAGGCGCGAGCAATACCTCGTCCCCGGCGTGCTGAAGGGCGACGGAGCCAAGCGATCGCTCCGCGACGAGATCTACTGCAACGCCGTGAAGTTCTCGCCCTCCGGAGACGCGTGGGCGGCCGCGTCGAGCCAGGGCCTGATGGTGTACACGCTGGACCCGTCGCTGACGTTCGACCCGTTCGATCTGAGCGAGGACGTCACGCCGGAGAGCATTCGATACGCGCTGGCGGGCGAGGAGTGGCCCAAGGCGCTCATCTACGCGCTGCACCTCAACGAGGAGGCGTACATCCGAACGGTCGTGCAGTCCGTGCCGTTCGACCAGATTCAGGTGGTGTGTGGGGAGGTGCCGCGGTTATTCTTAACGAGATTGTTACAGGTGCTGTGCGTGCAGACGCAGGAGACGATCTATCTGGAGTACTACGTGACGTGGATTTTGTGGCTGTTGCGGTCGCATGGAGAGTATATGCGGAAGAATCCGCGTCGATATGTGTCGGTGATGAGAGCGGTGCAGAAATGTCTGCTCGAGCATTACAACAATTGCAAGAACTCGGCGGATAGCAATATGTACACGCTGCAGTATCTGGGAGAAATGTGTGGACAGAGAGGCATGGAGCAGGAGTGAGGGGTCTTTTACATTACATTACATTACATTACATTTGTTTTCGGATCCGTTTCCGATTACTTGTAAAGTTGCTTTTATTGGTGCGTTGTTTGTTTGGTAAACACCGGATGATGATAGTACACAACCTATTGACTACTTCGCTTCCAGGCGCTTTTTCCAAACACTGGTTTGTTCTACACCATGAATCTTCAAATGGATGCGAAACACCTTTTATCGTGTCTTGGATGTGCTGGCGGTCGGAAAGGAAGAAAACGTCTCCATGCTTCTGGAACACTTTCTATACCTCATTTTGAATACGAGTACTGTAAACTCTTTTCGCTGGCAAGCCGCTTAGTTCAGAGGCTTGAACATCGAGAACGTGTAACTGTATTTTACTATGTGTGCGAATCATTACTTTTACTCTGCATTCCTCTTTGATTACGTCCATCTGCCTCTCCCAAAAAACCAAAAGTGGGTAAGTGTAAATGGTTTTTCTGCCCTATCTCCTCTTTTCTCTTCTATCTGCTATATAGTTTTTGATTTGTGTACTATCCTGTGTAATTACAATAATTATTCTTATTAACGTTAATTCAACCCTATCATCTTAAATATGATCTTTTACCTCGGTTTCCCTTTTTCCCTAATTTTCACATAATTCTCTGTTTTATGTAGGACCATTTGTTCTTTGTTTGATTTCTAGAGATATGCTTGCTACTGCTGCAAAGGCTACTTTTAGTGTAGGTCCGTGCTGCTTTGTTGAGGCTGTAGGCTGCTCGTACCTTCGCTACGGCCAACGCTCCCAGAATTCTGATCACTGGTGCTTGCGGACAGATTGGTACCGAGTTCGTTACTCGTATTGCTCATTTTGACCGCCATTGATGTCTAGTTCTCCGTAAGAAGTACGGTGTTGAGAACGTCATTGCTTCGGATCTCCGCTTCCCGAACAGAGAGTTCCAGACCTCGGGTCCCTCCGCGTTCTTGGATGTGACTGACAAGAACAACGTGACCCGCCTTGTGGCCGAGAACGGAATCACCTGGATCATTCATCTGGGCGCTCTGCTGTCCGCTATCGGTGAGAAGATGCCCCAGAAGGCTCTGGAGGTGAACGTGCACGGTTCGGAGAACATCATCGAGGTGGCTCGCCAGTACAAGTGCCGTCTGTACATTCCTTCGACGATCGGCGCGTTCGGTCCCTCGACCCCCAAGGAGATGACCCCCGATGAGACCATCATGCGTCCCACGACGATGTACGGTGTGTCCAAGGTGCATCTGGAGCTGCTCGGCGAGTACTACCACCGCACCCAGGGTCTGGACTTCCGCAGCTGCCGCTACCCCGGCATCATTTCGAACAAGGCGCTGCCTGGCGGTGGCACGACGGATTACGCCATCGATATCTTCTACGAGGCGATTAAGCACCACCACTACACTTGCTTCCTGGGCCCCGACACCCCGCTGCCCATGATGTACATGCCCGACTGTCTGCGTGGAACGCTGGAGCTGATCGAGGCGGACCGCAGCAAGCTGACGCAGTGCGTGTACAACATCGCGGCCATGACGTTCACGCCCGCGCAGCTGGCGGAGAACATCAAGAAGTACATGCCCGACTTCACGATCGACTACAAGCCGGACAGCCGCCAGGCGATCGCGGACTCGTGGCCGTACTCGCTGGACGATAGCCACGCTCGCAAGGATTGGGGATGGAAGGAGGAGTACGACATGGACGCGTTGACGCGCGACATGCTCACGGAGATCGAGAAGAAGCTGATGAACGCTAAGAACTAAGCGAGTGTTTGTTGAAAACAGAGGAAAGGAACCAAGAAGAAGGAGGAAGAAGGGTGCAAATCGATCCGTTCTTAGGAGGGATTCATGAGGAAAGAGAGAAGCAGTACGGATTCGCTGTTGGAGGAGAGCGCCGTGTTGAGCAGCGCCTGTCGGCATTTCTCGAAGAGCGGAGTATCGCCGTAGATGCAGAAGATGGCTTTCAAGGTCGCGGAGATCTCGGTGAGAACCTGGTCGGGGAGCGGCGAGATGACTCGGATGGGGGGAAAGAGGTCTAGAAAGAGAGAGAGAGAGAAAAGAGGAAGCAAACTATCCGCTTCGGCAGCGTTGAGAAGCCTACGAATGAGAAAAGGAGGCGAGGCGTACACCAAAAAGAGCTGGAGAAGCACGTCTTTGTCTTGGAAGTTGTGGGGAAGGTAGCGGCGCTGGATGGAGATGCAGGCCAGAATGTAGGAAACGTAGCTGTCCGGCAGGCCTTTCAGTTTGGAGGGCAAATCCTTCCGACTCGTGTCGATTACGCTCTGGTACTGCTGGAGACTGTTAGGTGTGAGACCGGGGGCGGATTTCCCGGAAACTGTGTGATAGACCTAGCAATGAATGCAAGCATGCAGCAAAACGGAAGGGAAGGTCATGGAAGGTTCCTGACTCTGTTTCGAAGTCGTTTCAATCTCGACGGCGAGCACTTTGATAAGGCAAGTCTCAATCGCTAAGAGTGAGGCAAACGCAAATTCGGTACAAACGGGATGGTTTTCCTCGAACCCTCCTTTCAGATAGTTGTACAAAACAAAGGGAGTAAGACGAACAGCCAAACACTTGATATCATTGCTTCGCGAACCCAGACAGTAGAAAAGCGCGGACATGACATCCTTCAACTCCTACGAAATGACTCCCATGACCATTGTTTGTACAGGAGTATCTGTATCATTGCTCATTATCACCTGGGTCATATAATTAAACAAAGGCTCCGATTTGGAGATAGATATCATATCCGACTCAAGCAGTTGATCTAACTTCACCAAAAAGGAAGAACCATCTCTCTGGAGACCGCTGACCCGTAGTTTGACCGGATCCTCAAAGCTGTCGATAACCTCTTGGAGAGTTACCATTCTTTGAAAACCGTCCGACTCCAAATCCCGCAACGAGCGATTCAAATCAACAAACAGTGCAATAAAGAGACATTTAATTGAAAAAGTACGGACTCTCCAGCACACATTTCAAATCCAAATCTCCCTTCTCCGGAATGGGCGGGAACGTCAAACTGGGATACCGAATCACCAGAGACTCCAAGAAATTCTCCAAGATGGGCTGCGAATAGAGCTTGACGAACTGTTCTCGAAGCAAATGATTCATTGTGTCCACATCGCCTTTCTTTCACCCCCACGCGAAATCGCCTACACGCATGCGTCCAGTACGAGTCATGCACGGTCGCGAAGTCCATATCATACTTATCGCACACCAGCGAAGTCATCATCATGTGCGTGCTGTCCAGCGAATGCACCTACCCCTCACGCCATTTCTTCGCCTGTACGAAATTGGGCGGGAACGCCGAGCTCTGCTTCCTCGTCAGCACGGGCAGCACATCGCTACGCTGGACCCCTCCCTCCTCGCGTACTTGTTCACCTTCACCTGCACGTCCTGCATCGCCGTCGCGATATGAAACACGTTCTCCTTGCGATACGGCTGCACAACCGGCAGCCCCAGCGGCGTAACCCAGCACACGGGGCTGTTCGTGTGTGCGATCTATCCGTCACCGCGTTATCTCGCTCCCACGATCGCTGCGATCTTGTTCAGCCACGCCATGATGGTCGTGGCGCCTTTGTTCGTCACGCCGATCGATCCCAGCGTCAATCCCGCGAGATACATCGACAGCGCGTACAGCATATCGTCATCGAAGTCGATTTTCTTATCGTCACGACGCGCCTACACGTCAGAATCCCCGCAGATTCCGACGTTGAGCTGGCCTTCGATTTGCTCGCGCGCGCCCACGAAGGTCACGCCGTACACCGACGTCATCACGGTCTGCTTGACGACTTTGCGATTGACTTCTTCGCCTCCACGCAGCAGCTCGGCCATCGCGCGAATCGACGCGTCGGGGTTGCGAAGATCCTCATGGATTCGTTCCTTCACGATGCGGAGAACCGCGGAATACACGTCTCCGGGCTTGGAACTCGGGACCAAATTGACCTGCGTTCCGCCGGTTTTGTCGAGTCCCAGCGCGGCGTAATGCTGCAATCCGTTACAGCTTCCGTCCTATGCTGAGAGCCCCTCCCATGGCGGACTTGATGCACGGGGATGTTGCTGAGATAGGCTTCGGGATGAGGCGAATCGATGGCTCGGATGTACTCCATGCAGGTGGCTAATAACTGCCAGGGATCGTCTCCTTCTTTCCACCACGCGTTCGGAGCGAGGGGGTTTCGCACGGACTCGCGAATCGCGGGGAGATGCTCGTCGACCCACTTGCTTCGATCGTCGAACGAAATCTACAAGATCACACGGCGTTCGATCGAATTCGGACCTTGTCGTTTCCGTAGAGATTGGCGACTTGGATCTTGAGCCAGAACAATCCGCGCTCGCCGAGCGGTTTTTTCCGCGCGAAGGAGAGCAGGCCACGACAAAGATCGTTTCCGAGATGGTTCAGATGGGGCGGAATGGGGTACACGCGGCCGCGAAAGTCGAGATTCATCGGGAAATAGATAGTCTATGCGTTATATTCTTCTTCCTCACACAATCGAAACTCACATCGTTCTGAAACTCGCGCGCGATGTCGAGCTTGTATCCGAGGTCGCAACGCAGCGAATGCAGGTCGTAGTTCTTCTGCTTGATCTTCATCATCGCTTTGCGGTACTTCTTTTCGCTCTCAAACTCGCTCTGCTTCAATCCCACTCAGCATTGCCCACCGGATCCGGCATTTTCAAGTCCGTCCGCGACGGAATGTCCAGCTCGCCGCCTCCATTCTCCCACACCGCCTCCGCTACCTTCAGCACGTCCTTGTTGATCACCCAGCCCACCTTTCCCAGAATGTTCAGCGACCGAAACACGCTCGTCAAATCCGCCTGGTACAAGCAGTCCGTCTGCAGTTTGCTTCCGTGCGTCCGCATGAACACTGTTTTCTGACTAATGAACCCGCCACTGTCCACCGAGAGCCATGGCCGCGGGGGAACCAGCATTGGCTTGTAGCGGATGAATGAGATCTCCCCGCGGGAGTCGCCTTGGTCGAGTTTTTGCTGGACGGCTTCGTTGAAGCGGAACATGCCGATGAGATTCCCGGAGGGTCGCTGGCGCCGATAGAAATGAATGAAAGCAGGCTCGTTCTAAAACTGGGCGATTTTTGGAATTCCGACTTTCCCATCGACTTTGATAAAGCAGTTCTTTTGGAGAAGGAAGAGGAGCACGCCTCCCACTTTGTACGTAATATCCGGCGCCCAATCTGTCTAACAAAATCAGGGGAAAAAGTGGAATTCACAAGATCGGTGTCAGGGAGCGGAGCGGTGACGAAAATCTCCTTTTTTTTGGATCTGCGCTTCTTGTCGCTTTCGATTTTCGCGATAGCTTCGGATTTGATGATCTTGCCGACGTTTTCACAGCAGAAGGTGTAGGCGTTTCCAGCAGGGCTTTGCATCAGGATGTGGACCAGCTCATGGAGAACGATAATCGAAATCTTTTCCGGCTTTAGAAGCAGGAGATAGGGCTGAATGGCCTTTTCGGAAATGGCTCCTTTTCCTTGTCTGTGGAGTAGAAAATAAAAAATACGAGCTGTACTTGATGTTTAATTGCTCTTCACGAATTGCTGTGGAAAGAGGATCGAACCAATCCGCAAGAAGAATTTGGGCAGGGCGTAGTGACACACCCTGACCGATCTTCTCTACCTCAGCTTTCATAGCCTGATATTTCTGAACGGCTAGGTCGATTGCGTTTTCTTCCAATTCAAGTTGTCTTTTGAGTAGCTACATAGAAGGCTATTGCAAAAATTACATCACGATTCACTTTCACCGCTTCAGCCATCTTTTCCTTACTAAGTGTGCTGTCTGGGTGCTTTTGTTTGTCTCTATCTATTTATTATTCCGAGAATACATAGTTTTTACCCATTATAGGAGTTAACTCGAAGTCGGAGCCGAACGGAATGTACGCCAAAACTCCGTTCTTTTTATCGATATCAAGCTGCTCTGTTGGCTTTGAGCTAGTCGACGCAAACCTTTGAAAGGGATGTCGGGAGAAAAGAGCAGTAGTGAAGAGTCGCTGTAGTCCGTGTGTTATAGCATAATGCTTACACCGCAGTGCGAACATTATAAGATATATTCACACAATACAACGAAAAGTGCAAAAATCGGCTCAATTTCCATTGATCATTTTTCTCCAAAGATAAGCTGTTCAGAATCATTTTGTGTAGGGTTCTAGCATTTACGAGATGGTACTATATCGTACAAAGAGAAAATGGGAAGGAATCGGAACTGTAGTGAAAAGAGCTACAGTAACACACCAAAAATGCTTGTTGAAATATATGTGTATCGATTGAACCGTATATTTGACTATTTTTTTGGAGGGGAATACAGACAAATGACTTCTTTCATATATATATATAGAGTATTATTTTTCTAAAGTATTTGAGTGTATCAAATACGAATGATAGAATAATACTAGCTAACTATTGTTCAAAGTTTAGTTTCTCTTATCTTCTCTGTCCCATTCTTTACCAATTACATTACTTTTAAAAATTAATGCAATTTATATTCAAGTTTTTGCATTCCATGTTTCATTCTTAGAAATCACATGCCCGTCTTTTTCACATTCCAAAGTTGTCAATCCTGTATTAAAAAGCAAAACACAACTTGCTTTTGATTTGAGTTCTTCATACTTAAGATTCAATTATACCGCGATTATTATTATTATTATTCTGTAATAATAGGTTTTCTATGAAGAATCGGCATATCCTCGGACTGCTCTTGCTTTGTGCAGCATGGGGATCAATATGTGGAAGAGAAATGTGTGATTCCTGTGTATCTGCTCAGGAATATGTGCCACACTGGAGTGGAAGCAACGTACTGAGTTAAAGTGACGAATAAATAATAGAATTCTGAGGAACATTATCTTAATTGTAGTTCTTTTCTTGGAAACGACTATTTAACTGTAAAATCGAAAGTAATGAAGATTAATGGCATGTACAAAACGGTTGATACCGATTATTTGTACTCCTTTTGAAGTGGGGGTTTAACTATAGATATCAACTCTACTACGAGTGGATGGAATCTGGAGGCCATCAAGCTTCCACCACGTGCCAGAATTTAACTATGGAGTTATTGTGCATGGACTATTTCCCTCCTTGTTCATCTCCTACGGAATATGCAGTTTTTCCATGCAAAGAAAACTGTTTGCAGTACGCTGAGTAACATTTCTCCCCGTTGTTCACAATGAGTGTTTGCCAGTCGTATTCCTCTCCACTCATCTGCCCAACGGATGGTCCAGACTACAATGCTACGGACCCTGGTACGGGCAAGTACCCGTTCTCCAACAATGCCCTCGAAAGTTGTTTTATGGGCGATCATTCAATTCTTCCGTTTCTTTTTCTCTGCTTTTCTCTCATTCTAGAAGCCAATGTCTCACGCGAGACCTTTTCTGCGGAGAGAATCCGAAACATCCCGAGTGTATCTCGGTAGGACTCTCCTCTTCTATTCTCTCTTTCTAATGACTAGTGCGTTTGCCTCAACGGAAAGACGGGCGAAAACTGCGACTTCTGTGCCACGAATTCCGACTGCAAGCATTCTCTCAGTCTCAATCAAGTGCATCCACCCGGCCTCCTCAAGCCCTAGACATGCCGCACAGACCCTTCCGAAGTGCTCGTTTCTCTGCCCCAATCTGCGTTCAATTTCTCCGTCTCGGCGCGCCAGCTCGCCTGCCACGGCGCCAAAGGCTTACTGCAGACGTACATCGGCGAGCACGACGTGTTCATTCAGCGCATGGAGGGCAACGCGCTAGGACTCCACGTGGCCGCCGCCTACGACCCGCAGTCCCCCGTGATTCTGGAGTGTTTCTCGGACGACTGCATCGTAGAAACGCCGCGTCGGTTCTCTGTAGATTCTGTCGCCGGTCGAGTGCTCGCTCTACTTCCCAACGCTGAACTCCTGCATCCAATGCCCCACGGTGTCGTGTTTGGTTCCGCAGCTCGCCAAGCCCAGTCCGTTCGGACATCTCTTCGACTTCTTGGAAACGCCGCTCGTGATCGGGTGCGACGGATCGCATTGCATTTGGCAGCAGCAAGACGTGTTCTCGCAAGAATTGGAGTGCGTCGCGGGGGTTTGTGTGGACGATATTTCGGCAGCTTCAGCGTTTGAAAGGGGAAAGCGAGTGATACATAGTCCGTGGACGACGTACATTATCTTCGCAGCGATCGTGATTATTATCATATTCGTTATCTGTACGAGCGAAACAAGCTTTGGACTGTAGTTATCGTCGTGGCAACGCCGAATAAAGCGGTCAGCACGACTCCCGTGATGCGTGAAGTCCAAAAAACGATGAGGTTTGCTCCCCACTTCTCTCCTCATTCCCAGCTATGCTCGAATGAGCACGCATCTGCTCACTCCTCTCATGGAGATCGACGAAGACCCGCACACTTCCTTCCTGAACTCCTATTCCGCCCCGCAGCCCAACGCAAGGAATGAATCGCTTTTTGATCATAGGAATACGTTTGGTACGACGTAACCGTCACCGAACCCTCCGATAAAGTCATCGTCAACAGCCGAATCGGCGCTGTGAACAACACGAAAGGCCTCTACGCCGTCGTGGGGCCGATGGGAACGCGCTCGCGCCACTTGCTGATGGCTCTGTGCGGATTGTGCGACCCCGGGAACAAAGTGTCCGGGACGTTTTACATGAACGGAACGCTGCTTTCGCTCGACGAGTTGCTTCGAAAAACGTCGTATGTGAGCGGAGCGGACGACATGTGTCCGGAGCTTACCGTGCGCGAAGTGATCGAGAACGCGTTCAAACTCTCCCAGCCGCCTTGGGTGTATGAAAGAGGCGGGGGAGTGACGAATAGTTCGTCGTTAGAAACGTCGGGGAAGGTGGATTCGCTGCTGGCAGACGTTCGATTGGTGAAGTATCAGCACACACAGCTGAAGTTTCTGCGAAAAGATCAGATCATGATTCTTCGGATCAGCATTGAAGTGTTGACGAAGAGCTCTGTGATCATTCTGGACGATCCCTTTAATTCATTCACGCCGTCCATGACGATGAATGTAGAATTCGAAGAAGGTGTCAACGATTGTAGGTGCTTTCCTATCTGAAAAAAGCGCAGAAGTCGGGAGTGATTCTCCTGCTCGCCTTCCGTCAGCCTCGCTCCATGGTTTTGAAGTTCATTCAGAACGTGATTCTCATTGGATCCCAAGCGAATATCATTTATAACGGGCCAATCAGCCGCGTCGATTCGTATTTTAGCCAGTTTGGATTGACAACTCGCCATGGAAACAGCGATAGCGATTATCTCCTCGATATTGTGATCTTTCCAATGGATCGTGATTCATTAGGTGAGTCGAGCCGACGATATTCAAATGGAGAAAATGATCTCTGCGTTCCGAAATAGTGAGGAGTGGGTGTGATCGGGTTTTGATCATTGTAGGAACAAGCTTTTGTTGCTGAATATTCGGCAGATTCGCAGAGAATCAATGACCAATCTGCAGGCTCCCAGCTATTCTTTTATCCGCATTAACGACGCGATCACGCTGGATAACGCAGATACCGCCAATGTGATCCACGCCCAATCCAATTCGCGTATGCCTTTGCCCAAGAAACGCTCTCCTTCCAATCGCGTCGAATCCACAAACGAAACGCCCGGCAGATCTCCGAAATCCCCAGCCAAACACGTTCTTTTCAAGCCGGTCTCCTCCTCCACGCATCGATCCAACTCGCCTTCGTCGCCTCTTTCAGACAGACCCACCGCGGAGCTTCTTCCGCGGGGATCCTACACCCAGGTTCCAGACAGCGATTCCTCGGGGAGTTTCATCTACCAAGGGTTCTCATCGAACGTGTCGCTGTCGCACCCGCGGTCCTCGAGTCCGCAGCCCTCCAAACCCGCGCGAACCACGCTCTATTCGCAGCTATCCTCGTCCTCGTTGAGCCAGCAGTCGTATTCGTTCAATTCGCGCTCGCCGGAAGATGATTGGACGCTCTCTCCGCGAACGAAACTCCAAATTCTCTTCTTACGAATCGTGTATTGCCTTCAGCGCAACCCCATGTATCTTTATCTGCACAACGGAGCCGCGCTGCTCGTCGCCGCCTCGCTGGGGATTTCGTTCTGGCAGTTGCCGCAGGACACGATGGGCATTTCTCGCCGCTACTCGCTTCTCATCACAATCGTGCTGTATCTGATAGTCCAGGGCTTTTCGGGGCGGATTTGGTTCCAGAAAGATCGTGAAGTGTTTATTCGCGATATTCGGTGCGGCTATCATTCGTCGCTGGAGTATTTTTTGGTGGTCGTGTTGCTGGATGGAGTTTTCATTCGATTCTTGCCGTCGATTCTCTTTGTAGAGACGCGTCGAAATCGTGAAGTGTAGGGCGTCGCCACGGCGTTTATGACGGGAATCTGCCGAACCGACAACGGATTCTCGTTCCGCAAAATCATGCTGTACATCTTCATTTGTTTTATCGCCATGTCGCTCTTCTCGACGCTCTTCGCTGTGACTTGTCTCCTTTCCCAACGCCTCTGAGGCGTAGATCGGTCGTCCTCTTTCACCTTCGGCATCTTTTTGATTCTTCTGATCGTCGTGCAGATCATTCCCGCCATGGCAAACATGTGGAACGTCGGCGGTTGGTGGGTACGAAATTGGGTTGGCTGCGAGGTAGTCGTTGATTACAGTCTTGTTCCCTCCCGCTCTGGTGTATCGCGTGTTGCTCAGCACCGAACTGGAGGATTTGTCGTTCGTGCTGAACATTCTGGGCGACGGACGCGCGATCACGCGCGTGATGGGAAAAGATTTGTTGGTGGAGGTGAGAATGTGAAGGAGAGAATGAATTGCAGAATGGAATCGACGGGTTTTTAAGCATGGAAGTGATGCTGACTCTTTTGGTCGTGTACCTCGCGATCGGGCTGACGGTTCTTTATTTCCAGCTGCAGAAGAATGCGATCGCTTCGCCTGTGACGATTTATCAGTGCGCGCGGCAAGAAGCGAAGCGGGTTGATTTGGAGACGAGTTCCAGCGAGATTCGGATCGAAAGCGACGATGAAGGCGAGGAAACGATTCCATTGGGCGAGGGAGATATGGTGTCGACGAAGACGCCGCGACATGATAGTGTGGATTCGGAGATGGAAGGGAATGCAGGTTTGGAGATTTAAGAAGAATGGTTTGGATTGTTTGATTGTGAGAGTGTTTGTTGATGGAACCAAATGTGATTGAGTCGATGAATGCATCAAAGATGGAAAGAGAAATGAAGAGAGATCAAAGAGAGATGAGGAAAATAAAGGAATGAAGAAATGTGAAAAGGAGCATCAAATAGAAATAGACAAAGTATCAAAAACACTCGCATGATGAAAGTAAACACATTAATTATCCTCCTCCCTCCCTCCCTCCTTCGACTTTCATTTCCAAACAAACACACAAACAAACATATAATATATAGCACTGAAGGCTCTAAAGAGACTCTACCAAAATCGATTTCCATACATACAACGCGAGCGAATTAAACTCGTCAAACACATCACTACGCCTCACTTTCCTCCTTCCAACCGCCCACTCCGAACTCACGAACGTGACAATGAACCCCATCTTTGCTTCCTCACTCAACACCCCCACAAAAGACCACGTCTGGACAGGAATTCTCCCCATCAACCCTGAGCATTGATACGAAGTCGACTTGCACGCATGGCCTTGCGGCAAGGGCACTTCGCGCACAAGCACCATCGACGATTGCCGCTTCAAATTGGAGCGGAACACAGCCTTCATCGCCGCTAATGCCGGCGAATCCGCTTGCTTGAAATCGACGACGAGCGCTGTGATGGAGAAGAAATGATCCTCGTATCGACTGCACACGCTCTTCAAAAAGAAGCGAGATTCGGTCTATAACAAGGTTAAACAAGAACGAGGAGGCGGTACGATGGAGGTTTCCCAGTGCGACGGAACTTGGACAGAGCAGCTTCGAAGATAAAACCGGGACCATCGAATGGCGATGGGATTGCTGAAGGTAGCGACGTGAATTTTCTAGGATAGAATAAAAGGGAGAAGGAATCGCACGGAGTCTTCTTCTGAATTCAAAATTGTGAACGAGTTCACCATGCGGAATGCGATGTCTCTGAGCTGGCGGTATAAAAACGAGGCACAAACATAAGTTATAGTATATCCCTTTTTGTTCTCGACAAATACGATGATCAGCACAGTGGTATTTCGGCCATTGCGTGAACATGTGTAGGTAAACTTGGATCCTTTCCTATTACCGACCACTATTTGCATTGGTCTTCGAATAGCAAAAATCTGATTGGATGAAGACAACGAAGTAACGATCTACACATAAACACAACGAATCAGTGTTTACCTTTTCTAAAAAGGACTTTGACGTGTAGTTAGTATACGAAAGGTCATCGACAGTCTAGTTCTTGATAAAAAAACAACAACAGTTACTATGGTTAGCTCGTGAACGCCCCCCTCCGATGAAGGAGGACAGAACGATACTTCTGCATTGACATAATCTCCCAAATTGTTGTTAACACTCCAATTGTTGGGAAACTCTATCGAATACTGCATATTTTGCGCGCAAAACACTGAAAACGAAATATTCGTCTCGATCCCATGCTTCGAATATATATCGATTAGCGGGGCGGTCATTGACAAAAATTGCTGATGTAACTAATCATAATACGAGGAATCAAGTGTGTACCCTATCATTAACCCATTTTGTATAATTCAGTTCACTCTTTGAATGTCTCCACCGAATATACAGAAGGATGAGAATGATCAGGATAAGAACAAAGATTATGAATACCCATAAAGCGGCATTCCCCATCCTGTGGAAAGAAAATACAGCAAACAAAAATGTGAACAAACAAGCAACACGCATATGCAAACTTACAATCTGCAGCAATAACTGTTGGACTGAGTGATATAGCGAATATATCTGTGTCTACGCCTCACCATCCCCCATGTTCCTCCTACGCATTGTAATTCTTGTCCTCCACGTCCACAGCCAGTCCCTTCACTCGCAGTCCCGACACCTCGTAATTGGGAATCTCGAACCGAATGCTACGCCTCACTCTGCCCCTCGACGGCTACGTGATGGGTCCGATCTCCTTGGTCACGAACTGCGTCGCCGGCTTTTCGAGGTTGAAAATCACCTTCAGATAGTACTCCTTCTGCCCCGAGACCTTGTGGATCATCCACAGCACGCGGTGGTCCTTCTCGCGGTACTCCTTGGTCTGTCCGATAGCGTCGGAGGCCAGCGTGACCGAGCACGTGGTGGTGTCGTGCGGCGTGTGCATCGCAATGAACACGTTGCTCGCGTCCACGTCCGGCTCGAACAGCGACTTCACCTGCAGAATCAGCTCGATCTTGGTCTCGCTCTTCTCCTCCACCATGGGCCGAATCATGAAGGGCACGCGGAACGGCGTGGTGATGCGGTAGTTCATCGCCACGAACTCGCCTTCCGGCGGGTTGAAGCTCAGCAGGCGGTCGCTCTCGAACTTCTCCAGGTTCATGCACTGGTGGAAGTTCATGTCGTCCACGATGATGAAGTCCTCCGCAGACAGCGTGCGGCCCGTCTCGTCCTGCACCACGGGGATCGGCGTGTCCTTCCCCACCAGCAGGTTCTGCGAGAGCAGCATGCGCACCGGCGGACAGCCGTTCAGGTAGCTCCGCATCGTCAGGTTGCCGTCGATCGACTGCGACAGCACCGTGCCGTCGCACGCCAGCATCACGTTCAGACGCTCGCAGATGTCCACGTACAGCTCGTTCACCTTGCGCTTCGCGCCCTTGTCCGTCAGGATCGACTTGTTCACATCGCCGATCAGGTTCTTCTAAAGGAATAAAATAGGACTACAAGAAGAAAACCTTCGGGTCGGCGATCACAACGGGCTTGTTGTGCACGAACTGCACAAGAGCCTCGCTGGATGTGTCTTGCGGATAGCCGAAATCCTGGGGGTTAGAAAGATAAAGAGAGAGGGGAACGATCGCTTCGTCCAGCAATTCGTAGATCAGAGAGAAGTTCTTGCGAGCCGCTTCTTCCGTCAGCATTCCGCAGTAATCCTTGATGATCTTGAGGAGACGGCTCAGTATCTCGATGCCCAAGGCGGGAGACATGTTCATCTACAGGGAAATAACGAGATGCTCCAAACCTTCGTGGTGACAACGAAATACAGACCATTTCTGCGCTCGAAAATATAGGTAATCGCTCCGCTAATCTGCAAGTAACGAAACGCGACCTATCCTACAAACACCGGAGGACAGTCTCCATGCGGCCACGAACGCACCACACGCAAGAACTTCTCGCAGGAAGTAATGGGAGTATCAAAACGGACTGAGATAATGAGCACTCTCCGAAATCCCTACAATCCTTCAGAATAAGACGATCTCCTCTGTCGGTCAGAATGAAGAATTGAGAAATCATATTATTGTGCTTTTATAGAAATGGATAGAGGGAAATCTATATTGGAATATTTGGATAATAGCATTACGAAATAATCAGGTAAAAAGAATGAATATATGCTCATATTCATATATGAACAGAGTACTAAATAGGGGTATATGTGGCGCATAAGTACATTTGTTTGTAATCACAAAAAAGAGGGACTGTTGGATCAAATTGAGTAGACAAATACATTTTAGGTGAAATGTAACCGAATGAAAGATATGTAAAACTAGAAAGGAAGAAGAAACGGTGAACACGGATGATGTATGTGAAGATGGATCAGTTTACTGAAGGTACGCAAACTAGACAAACTGCGTTTAACATACATCGATTCTTGGGAGTCATGATTATGTATTTGTGGTAATTATTACTCCTTAATAACATTATGATAGTATTAAGTGTGTAATAATCTGTTATGAACAATAATAATTCCACGTTTTTATCATATCCATTTTACTTCTTGAATTTGGAGTGAAATATGACAAGAAGAGTTCCTTCATATTAATTTTGGAACAAAAGTGATGATTGATGACAAGGAAGGTGCATAGTCCAAATGGTGGCGAAAATGAAAATAGATAGGTTTAGAAATACTTTATATGCGTAATGACACTAAAAGGGGTTAGAATTAAGATTGTCGAGCAAAGTTACGTATTTTTATTTTCTAAGCTCATTCTTAATTAGAGACTACTATAAATATCTTTAACAGTTTATTAAATCTTTCTGGATAACAACTTGCACACTACTATCCTTCTAACCTAAAATAGTGATCATTTCATACTCAATAATGTACTTATGTACAAATAGTGTTCGTTTAGGGAATGCCTTTTACTTGCAGTAGTTTCTACGCCATATGTGATCCATAATAAGCTATGTGGTTGTTTTTGAACAACATATTAACACTATCAACTCAATGATCCGAATTGAATCCAGTATAATCATAACTATTATAACAAAAAACTCTGTTTCCTACGAAAAGATCATATTATTTTTTATTATGTTTAGAAAAAGTAATAGTTATATATGGATGATAACAAATAGGAAGACTGCAAGCTTCTAAGGGTGCTGACTATTTTTTGGATGGTTACACACCCTATGGTAGTGCTAAATTTGTTTACAAAGGAGGCTCAGTATATTCTCTTCAATGCTTCGAAGGGGAACATGAAGACGAGTACACATTGAAAAAAGATAACAAGGTTTATCTATTCCAGAATGGAATAATGAAAATGGCTTGGGAAGAAGATGAGGATGGAACTCTAATTGGGGATTTTACTCGATTTGAGAATGGCCGTGTCGCTTTTATCCAAGCGTTTGATAACATTCTGGATCAGGAAGACTTTTGTCGTATAGCCAACCATGTTAAAGGCGAGAGGATGGAAATCTATTCTCATGAGAGTGGAAAGTTGATTTATTATGGAGAATTCAACGAGAATCGTGAGAGAGATGGATGGGGAATTGAGTATGACGAAGAATCAGGTAAAATGTTGCTAGAGGGAGTATGGAAAAAGAACAGACTGGTGAAGATCATCCGCAAGATTGAGGGAACCACCATGATCGAATTCAAGGAAAGCGGTGAAAACACTATTGCTTCGAACCGAATCCCAATGTATATCGGCGGATTTGTTTATGATGAATCGAAAGAATCGTTTCTTCGAGATGGTCGAGGATACTGGATCGATGAAGAAACTCGGATTGCTACTCGCGAAGTGGAATGGAAAGATGGAGTGGAAGTGAGTGGAAGAGATCTCTATGATGGATGGTACACTCAATCGGCCAAACCGATACTAATCCCGAAACCAAAACCAAAACCAAAAATCAAGCCAATACTGATACCGAAACCTGAACCTGTGCAAACAACGAAGTCCATACACATTAGAAGTTCGAATTCGGTAAATATAAATACTTTGGATATAGAAGTGACAGATTTGGTAATTGATTCGTATTGCCACACTAGTGTAAACTATTTGGATTTCAGCAAATTTGAGAGGCTGCGTTCAATCGAAATCAAGGATTATTGTTTCTCATCAGTGAGATCATTCAGAATCGATGGACTGAGTCGATTAAAGAGTTTGAAAATCGGAGCTAATTCATTTACTGAAGTGTTTTTATCTGACTGGAATAGTAATTGGCAAGGGGCGATTGAAAAGGGGAAAAAGACGGACTCTAGCTTTCGAATAAGTAACTGTGAAAAGTTGGTATCAATTGAAATTGGTGAATTCAGCTTCTTTGATCATGGAGGTTCATTTGAATTAGTGAATCTTCCATCCCTGTCTTCTATTTCAATTGGATTTGTAAGACAGGAATCCGGCAATTTCTGGTGGGCTACATTAATAATTAAAGGTATTATCTGTGAATACAATATACTTGTATAGATTTACCAATGTTAACATCTGTGGTATTAGGTAAAAGGTCATTTGCGGATTCTCTAGAAACTGTCTTTGCAAGTATTGGCATTGGTGATTATAAATCACTTAATAGACCTTCCTTCTTTACGGTCTATCAAGTTGGGTGAATTCTCTTTGTGTGGAAGACATTATGATAGTAGATGTTCCTTAACAATGAGAGGTATCAGTGATGTTAATTAGTAAATCATAGATCTTCCAAAATTATCGAGGCTGATTTCTAAGGGTAGCTCATTAAGAGATGCACGTACAGTAATCTTAAAAAGTATGTGTGCTGTCGCTCATTATTATACATAGATATCCCAAGTTTAGAAACTGTTTGTCTACCTTCTGCATTCAATTTAGTTAGTGATAAGAGTATACACAGTAAAGATTAATCAATACTTTCATTACTGTAGATGTATCATCCTCTTTAACACGACTCCTCTGATCTGGAGATTGACAAGCATTATTCTTTCCTTATTATTCGTGTAATGAATAAGAAGTATTTCTTTTGTACTTGTTAATAAAAACAATACTATTCGGGATAATATGACCGAAAAAGCGAAAGCTACTCACTTCTTACTTTTTGGCGATATATTTGTAATCCAAAATATAGAATCATCAAACAAGAAGTGGTCCATCACAAAGAGCAGTCAAATCATTATCTACAGTCGAATTCAAAACGATCTGAATAATCCACAGGGATTTGCGGAAATACTCTTTTATTCTGACACGACTAACGTATATGCTAGAAATGTCTATGAATGAAACCTATTAACCAAATAATACCCGAAATTGATTCTGATCGAATCCATCTATTAGCAATAGGTGGCTCGACAATTAAGGAATTTGGGATCTTTATATACTAGTAACATTCAAAAATTAAAGCTGCTATTCATTGTTACTGAGCAAAGTTTTAAGAAAGGATATACTGCAGGATGAGTTATAAATTGTAGATTTGGAGATCTATCCATTCAAGTATTCAATATCATATCAATGCCTCGAATCACAAATGAACTATAATAAAAATTGTAAGAATCATTTCCAATTGTACCAATATGAATGGATCGTAGTTGTGGTAGATTCTTCAATTCAAAGTCTCCAGCAAAATCACTGAAACTATATTCACCAATTTCTATCCATTCCAATGATTCACAATTCAATATGTGGAATGATTTCGATTCATCATTTCCAAACCTATTCTTGTTCTGAGTAAATGAATTGCTTCCGATTTTGATAGTTTTCAATCGATTCAGTCCATCGATTTTGAATGTTTTCACTGATTCAAAACATTCATTGCCGATTTCGATTGATTCCAAATTATACGACAATGAAACATCCCAATCAACCAATACACAATTGTCAATCAGTTTCAAATGTTTCATTCCGATATTCATTGGTTTGCTTCCATCTCCTTCATATTTCTCATAATCATTATCACATTCAATTCCATATACCATTCACATTCATTCACTAATTTACCATATCGATCAAACACTTTTCCAATTCCAAATCGATTATCATCACACCAATATCCTTCATATTCAATCAAACCATTATCATGATAACTCGTTCCATAGCCAAATCGTTTCCGATTGATCATTATGCCCTTGTACACCAATATTCCATCATCATCATACATTTCACCATATCCAAATGGAATTCCAAACTTGTTTTCTGTCAATACCAATCCTTCAAATCGACTTCCATGATCTAAATCCACGATTCCTTCTTCTACTACTTCTATGGATTGTTCTTCATTATGTGAAATAGCACCAATTTGATGATTTCCAATCACTTTCAACACTTTCTGCTCATTGAGGACAAATCCTTGATTCATGAATACTCCATTATTGAATCACAATATGGCACATTCTCTATTACTCTGCACTTTAATAATAAAATGTATTGATTCATTACACATACTACAGGGTGAAATGCCCATGTGAGGCTTTTACAAACTGACACCTATTTTAATATACAGAACATGTAATATTCGTGCCATCGAACAATACGATAGTTTATTAATAGTCACTACTCTGACCTTTGAATCAAAACCAAGCAATAATAGATTTTGCGAGTCGTCCTGTAGCTAATAGTCGTACCAGGGTCTTACTTCTAATATCTGTAGCCATTTTTACTATCACAGTCTAATAGCCATTAAACGATATTCCAATGTCTCAAAATAGGTCATGTTCAAAATCAACAATACGGTCATATCATATTTATCCCACTTATGTATTATTATTATGTTGACGAAAAAGGTCATTATTTTTCAATATTTATTATTTTTTTGATTTGTACAAGCTGCGATGCTTTTACATACAGTAAGTTATTGGAATTTGGTTAACCTAAGGTTTTCCTACTCTTTCTACCTTTTCTTGCTACTTCTATAATTACAAGGTATGAACCTGTGGTTATTAACCAGCCTTCATTTATTTACCAGAAGTTCTATATGTTCGATCAAACTACAGCTCCTTCATCAAAGTGAGTTTGATGTATTTTTTCTAAGTGTAGCAATATTGGAAATGGATTGTCTTACATGGAAATGACATTTAACATTACTCAAAATAACCCTAAGCTTCCTTCCAAAGGTTTTGTCGAAGTCATTATATATGGTATTGTCAACAATAGGCATACTTTGCATCTGAAGAATTTTTCAAAGCAATTGGGTACTATGAGAATAGACATCACGTAATTTGTTGCGATGCTACGGCAAAGAAGGTAGTATTTGTAGCGCTGTTGACGAATATAGGAAGGAAATTGCAGCAATCTAAACCGCCTCATCGCTCCTAAAGGAATGGAGCAAATGTATCGAAAACTGGAACTTCCTATTTCGTACTCCTTCTTTCTTTCCTCTCTTACTATAGAAGCGGAGTTAGCAATTCGATTTGGCTCCATTATGATGTTCCTGCGGAAGGCAAGTACTACATGATGTTAGCCTTCTGCGACTCGGCGACTGCCAACCTAAATGTCACTGGAAGCATCACAGTGATGAATCCTTACGGCCATTTCCCTGCTCGGTTGTATGGCTTGCTCCCCTTCACCAAGTTCCTTTCGGTTTTGAGTTTTGGCCTGCTGCTGTTTTGGTGCTTGCGATGCATTACTTTAAAAAAGCAAGTGATGAACGTTCACAAAATGATCCTCGTCGTGTTAGGATCGTTCTTCATCGACGAAATTCTGCGACTTCTCAACATCACGTACTACAATAACTATGGCAGCTATTCTACCACCATCGCGTTCACCAGCGTTCTCTTTAGCGTCATCACGCGGACCGTCGCTCGCTGTTTGACCATGATGGTCGTTATGGGGTGAGAGTCGCTTCGTCTTCTGAGGTGCAGACTGGGCGTTACGTGCTCTTCTCTTGGTAATATGGGTTGGAAGATCGCTATTGCTGCTATTGGGTACTTTGTGTTCTCCCTGTGGGACTCGCTTTCCTCCATTTTCTCTACGTCCAGCTCGCAGAGCTCTCTCTATTTGATTCCTTCCGCGTTGATCGACTCGTTCATCTACTTTTCGATTTTGCAGTCCTTGATGAAAACGATCGAGGACTTGAAAGAAAAGAAGCAGACATCCAAGCTGGAGATCTTCTTGAAGCTTCGCAACATGATTGTTATCATGGTGGTCTTCTCTGCTATTTACAACGGTCTCTTCTCCTATCTCATCGCCAAGAAAGCGCTGGATTCCTTCTGGAAGTATCAGTGGTTCTTCAATGATGGAATCTGGTCCGTTTTCTACTTCTTCATTCTGTCCGCCATTGTGGTAGGCGTTTGGCTTCATTGCCACTTGTAGTATCTGTGGACACCGAACGAGCGCTCGGTTGCTTATGCCCATCACGTGCAGGTAGCTACGGAGGAGCAGGCTGGAGGTGATTCGGTGTCGTTACAAGATGGAGAGCTACAGCCCAGAGACATGCTGGATCAAGTGGAAGTGAAGACGGTTGATGGAGATTCGAATAGCTTAAAGCCTATGAATATGTAACAATGCTTCAATGGACGTTTTTTGTTTGTTTCACATAATAATACTTGATGTTATATGGTCAATTCCAAAACCCAAAACAGGAGTCGGGTTGGTGTAGTGGCTATCACGCTCGCTTCACACGCGAGAGGTCGCGAGTTCGAACCTCGCATCCGATATTTTTCTATTTCTTTCTTTTTCTTGAGGTTCTCGATTTTTGGCATTCCAAAAATAGAGGTAATACCAACCCATAATGAAAAATTCCAAATGATCCTAGTTATCATTGCGAGTCTATTTTCTGGTCGTACCTTCTCAGCCGTTTGGCTAAGATCAAGTGTAGTATCTGTTCTTTTCAGTGTGAAAACTGAAAATGTACCCACTGGGTACATCTTTTTCACCTGTATTTTTCGACTGGGCAGGCAGTAAACCTAGTTTACTAGGTTGTGCCAGCGCGAGTGTCCTTTGCATTGCACTACCGCGAAGTGATGCTCACCGCCCTTCATTTAATTGAATTTAACGAGTGTGTAGAAAGGTTTTGGAGAAAAGATGAAAGGAGGAATTTGGTGCAACAAACAATTCAAAGTGTCACAAGTTTTACAAGTTGGATTTCCCTTTCGTTGTTCATTTGAACCTACACGTTACCAAATCACACCAAACAAACGAGCCAAGCATACGACCGACTTCCCTCGCAGAACAGCTGCTGCAGTTCATCAAACTCCTCCTCTGTCCATACAAACTGCATTCCACAGCTGCACTTCGGCCTCATCGTTTCACCCACAACAGAATGCGAAATCAGCGAAGACAGAAAATCGGAGGCGTAATGCTCGCTCGTCCTCCTTCCGAACCAGCAGCGCAGCACAAACTGCTCCGATTCGCTCCTTTCTCTGCTCACTCTCCTTTGCACGATGGCCTGAATCGATTTCATCATCCTCCAGCCAGCGCGCGCGTCCTGCTCTGCCAGCTTCTCCAACACTGTTCTCCACGCCTCTTTCGAGAGTTTTCCATCGAACGTCAACCGCGTCGCGAACACATCGACCAAACCCACTCGCATTTCCCCTTCGCCCTCCCACACTTCGCACTTTTTCTGCTCCCAGAAGCTGCGAATGTCGTCGATCGGCTCGATCTCCTCCAGCAGCGACGTATCGGAGCTGAGAAGCGACGTGTCGAGCGCTCGGCTGCTCGCTGGTGCGGAAAGCTTGAGTCGCTTGTCGTCCAGCGCGTTCAGACTTCGTCTTCGATGGACAACGCTGGTCGACGCGCGGCGAAATCGCGAGGCCAGCGAGAGATCGGAAGAAAACAAGCAGAAGCTGTCGGAGTTGGGAGCAGAGGCGACGGTTGTGGGGAGAACGAGGCGGAAAGAGCGCATGGAAGCGCGGGCGGAGGAGGAGGAGGGGTGCGATTGGCCTGCGAAGATCTGCGTGATTTCCTCGCGGACGGAGAGGAAGGACTGCTCGATCTGGGGGCTGTGCGCGGCTTCGCGCGTGAGCGAAGCGAGGATGCGGTAGAGCGGGGGCTGGGAAGTGAAGGTGGAGAAAAGCTCGGTGTGGATGGAGGCTTGGAAGGTGTGGATGGAGAGCGTTTTGTTGAAGGTGCGGAACACGACGTCCTTGAAAAGGTAAAGCGAGCAAAGCTTGAGCGACTGGAAGGGATTCTACAACACAATCAGCGAGATAAAGGTACAAAGAGGCTTTCGTTCACGGAGATCACTGCGATATGTCCCGATAAATCGCAGCAGGTCACGTCGTAATAGCAACTCGCAGAGTCAAAGTCACGCTCTTTCTTCTCGCTGCAATGCAAAAAGAAGAGAAGCAGGTCGTAATCCTTGTTGATCACAAAGTCGTCGGTGTGAAGCGAGCTAATTCGGCGCGGCTCCCAGTGATCAAAGACGTTTTCGCGATACAGACCGCGCGGATCGTCCATTTCGCCGGTCGCTGCTTTGTCTCGGAGTTTTCGGTATTCTGCAGTGACGTCTTCCCAATGAGTGGTGTTGGACGTATAGACGGAGAGAGAATCGAACGAGCGGAATTTATTGGGGGGCGTTTGAAGCATGGTGACGCGGTAAATGCTGCCTTCGGAGAGAGAGTCCATGACTGCAGGCGATGTGTCCCATAAAGTAACGTTAATCGATGTGTAGAGGTGATGATGAGCTCCGATTACCGGGTTGGCATGCGGATCGGCCATGAGAGAAAGACAAGAGACATCGAATTGTTTGTTCTCTTTGAATCGATAAGGAGAAATGACTTTCAAATACCCGATCATTTGAACGGATCGCTCTTTGATGCCTTCCTTTTCTAAAGCTTCGTTGATTTTCTCTTCGAGTTCGTGTTGGTGCGCTTCCATGACTTTCGTTCTGTGCTTCTCTTCCATCATTTGCTGCGTGTGCGACAGCTCTTGCGATTCGTCCACTCCTTCCAATTCTGGAGCGTCATGTTGCGCGAGCACTTCACTCGTCACACGTTCTCTTCGTAACTCCCATCGCTTCTGCTCTTCATCCTCTTCACTTTGGTTCCGATAGATCTTCTTCTCGTCGATGGATTCTTGATAGCGAACGCCATACTTGCGCGTAATCAGCACATCGGTCTGAGGAATCATGCCTCCATTGCTGATGCAGTCGTTGATGTTCGTATTGAAAACGTGGGTGGTGGTGAATCCCAGATAACTATTCCATGCCGCACGACGCGTTCCGTTGTACTGCAGCATCAATTGGGGCGTGGACAGACCGTCGGTTGTGTAAAAGCGGATTGGAACTTCTTCCGAGAACGAGTTGAAGAACGCAGAGCAGGGGCGGCGAGGCTGATTCGTGGTGATTTCGAGCGGAGCACAGCCGTTCTCGTTGTTTCGCATGTGCGAACACGCGATGCGAAGCTTTAATCCGGGGTAGATTTGATGGGTTTGGAGGAGAATCGTGAGGGAAGCGTCCAGAATTGCTTCGATAAAGTACCATCCATCGGTCAATTCGATTACTCCGGCAGGAGGAGCTTCGGATTTGGAGGTCGAGTCTGGCTTTGAATCGTTGTTTGTGTCAGCAGCAGAGTTGGATTCGGGGTCCGAAAGATAATCGAAGTCAGGAAGCGGAGGAGATTTTAGAATATCGGAAACTAACAAAACAATGAAGCGAGTTTCTGCTTCATCTCGCTGTACAATTCGTTTTAGAGGAGGAGGTTTTGCTAGGTGTGGTTAAGAAACCAATGGATATTATGAAAAAATAATACTTGTGAAAAAGGATATGTATAGTTCTGTAATATATCTCCATAGAAGTTGTCTGATGATAAAGCGAAGCTGAAGATGAGTACACTCGCCGCTCCACTTCACCTTGCTGCTCTGTTTCCAAATGATATTGCGATATTGACATCGAATCCAAGCAACCGACAGAAGAGTTGGATCCGCTCCAGCAGCCGACAAAAGTTGAATTAGACGCGAAAACATGGGCGATGGGTTGTCCGATTCGTCTGTATAGAATGATGAGGGAAGAGACATCGGATCGTCTCCTTCATACAATACAAATTCACTGTTTCGGTGATTGATCGAAAGGATGAATTGCGAAACTCCAGACTTTGTTAGTACTTCTTTGAGCTTTGTTTGAGCTTCGTATTGGCAGTGACTCATTGTGAATTGAATGTCCACTGCAGTGAGCGCGTTCCGTTCGTTAAGTAAATTGTTTTCCTCGATTGATTTCATCACAGTGCTGAAAAGATCTTTGTAATAGGAAGAAAATGGAGAATCAAATTGTTTTGTGAGTGTAGAAAAACTAAATGGGTGGAGATCGGAGGTGGCTTCATGGTAATTTGATCGATCCATTAAAGAGAGAAGTACTGTGTCGACATGCGAGGCATCATTTTGTTTTGAAGAATAGTTCTTCCGTTCTTCGGATGATTCATATATAAAATTGTTGTTGTTGATTTTGATTGGAACATATCCAGTTCGCTTCTTCTTCTTCTTCTTCGGAATGGATGGACGGGGATTATTCTTTGGAGGAGGAAGAGGAGCAGAGAGCTGAGGCTTGATTGGACCATCATTGCCTGCCTCACATTCAATTCGCTGGCGATTGGATAAAAGCGATACGGGAGAATCATTTTTCTGAGGCGATCCAGGCAAAGCATGAAGCGAAGAAACACAATGATTTTCTTGATCAGCCAAACACTCAAGTAGAGCGTTTGCCTGCTGCATTTGAAGAGGAGTAACGGGCACATCCTTCCCACTCGCTGTAGAAAATAGTGATTCACCCATTTTCTCTTTTGCTCGATTCATTGATTCATCAGAAATCGTTACTGACTTACCACTCGCTGTAGAAAATAATGATTCACCCATCTTTTCTTTAGCTCGATTCATTGATTCATCAGAAATCGTTACTGACTTGCCACTCGCTGTAGAAAACAATGATTCACCCAATTTCTCTTTAGCTCGATTCATTGATTCATCAGATATCGTTACTGACTTGCCACTCGCTGTAGAAAACAATGATTCACCCAATTTCTCTTTAGCTCGATTCATTGATTCATCAGAAATCGTTACTGACTTACCACTCGCTGTAGAAAATAATGATTCGCCCAACTTTTCTTTTGCTCGATTCATTGATTCATCAGAAATCGTTACTGACTTACCACTCGCTGTAGAAAACAATGATTCACCCATCTTTTCTTTTGCTCGATTCATTGATTCATCAGATATCTCAAGAGGTTTGCCTCGAGCTGTAGAAAATAGTGATTCACCCAATTTCTCTTTAGCTCGATTCATTGATTCATCAGAAATCGTTACTGACTTACCACTCGCTGTAGAAAATAATGATTCACCCATCTTTTCTTTAGCTCGATTCATTGATTCATCAGATATCGTTACTGACTTACCACTCGCTGTAGAAAATAATGATTCACCCATCTTTTCTTTAGCTCGATTCATTGATTCATCAGAAATCTCAAGAGGTTTGCCTCGAGCTGTAGAAAATAATGATTCACCCATCTTTTCTTTAGCTCGATTCATTGATTCATCAGATATCGTTACTGACTTGCCACTCGCTGTAGAAAACAATGATTCACCCATCTTTTCTTTTGCTCGATTCATTGATTCATCAGAAATCTCAAGAGGTTTGCCTCGAGCTGTAGAAAATAATGATTCACCCATCTTTTCTTTAGCTCGATTCATTGATTCATCAGATATCGTTACTGACTTACCACTCGCTGTAGAAAACAATGATTCACCCATCTTTTCTTTAGCTCGATTCATTGATTCATCAGATATCTCAAGAGGTTTGCCTCGAGCTGTAGAAAACAATGATTCACCCATTTTCTCTTTTGCTCGATTCATTGATTCGTCAGATATCTCAAGAGGTTTGCCTCGAGCTGTAGAAAATAGTGATTCACCCATCTTTTCTTTAGCTCGATTCATTGATTCATCAGATATCTCAAGAGGTTTACCTCGAGCTGTAGAAAACAATGATTCACCCAATTTCTCTTTAGCTCGATTCATTGATTCATCAGATATCGTTACTGACTTGCCACTCGCTGTAGAAAATAATGATTCACCCATCTTTTCTTTAGCTCGATTCATTGATTCATCAGATATCGTTACTGACTTACCACTCGCTGTAGAAAACAATGATTCACCCATCTTTTCTTTAGCTCGATTCATTGATTCATCAGAAATCGTTACTGACTTACCACTCGCTGTAGAAAACAGTGATTCACCCATCTTTTCTTTAGCTCGATTCATTGATTCATCAGATATCTCAAGAGGTTTACCTCGAGCTGTAGAAAACAATGATTCACCCATTTTCTCTTTTGCTCGATTCATTGATTCATCAGAAATCGTTACTGACTTACCACTCGCTGTAGAAAACAATGATTCACCCATCTTTTCTTTAGCTCGATTCATTGATTCATCAGATATCGTTACTGACTTGCCACTCGCTGTAGAAAACAATGATTCACCCATCTTTTCTTTAGCTCGATTCATTGATTCATCAGATATCTCAAGAGGTTTACCTCGAGCTGTAGAAAATAATGATTCACCCATCTTTTCTTTAGCTCGATTCATTGATTCATCAGAAATCGTTACTGACTTACCACTCGCTGTAGAAAACAATGATTCACCCAATTTCTCTCCATTCGGTGTTTCTATTTTCCTAGAACTCTCTTCATTTTCAACCTCTCTTTGTGATTGAAGAGACATTGCCATCATCAATTCGATATCATTTTGTAAACTACTGGTGATCGCTTCCGTTGTCTGGTTCCCCATCTGCCTTATTTTCACTGGACTTGCAAAGAGTGACCTTTTCTCCTCTCCATGCTCTTGAGATACTGACCCTGAATCAGATGACTCACGCTCTGGGTTTGTCTCTTCTGACAGATCTAGTACAGAATTACTAAACTGTGTTATTCCTATAAAATTTGCTATAAGGGAACGGGAAAAAGCGCGAACACTGAACGAAGGGACAAATGAACTCGACCTCACTAAAAGTAAGCACAATCTTTTAGAGCTACAGAGCCCTCGCTTATAAAGAACCGATTGAGCATACTGTATAGGGATCCTGTTTTCTTGAATAGCTTGAAATAGCTGCTTCTCCTCTTTTTCTGTCAGAACATGGTAACTTCTTCCTTCTTCAACATGATTTCCTTTAGATTCGGCTTTATCAGAAGAATTCTCCTTCCTTTCACTCTTTGATTCTTCGTCTACAAAAATATTGATCACACGTGCGTTGAAACCTACTTTCTTCGTTCTTGGAATTATCTCGATAATCTTCAAGATTATCTCCAAAAAGACTGTCAGGCATATCGTTCTCCGATACACGCCAATCCCTTTTGATTTCAATAGAAATATGAACAAATTAATTTCCCGCCAACGTTCCAATCCTCCCTCCTTGTGTATACAACAAACAAATAACCCTCTTTAGAAAAACACAGACAGATACCAAGGGGTACGAATGACGAAACACACACAATACGCCGCAAAACACAAACTCACTAGCATCATGTAAAGGTAAAGGGTGTTCGTTCCGTCATCCTACTCCTAACACTCTCTCCTCTACCTCACCTTCTCATTCTTCGTTCTCTCGATCAGCATAATCAAGATTACCGCACATGCAATCACTACACCTCATTCCGCCTTCCGGTTCCCACAAAGTCCTCCAGTCACAAGTCCTTCCGCCATTGTCTGCTGGTTCGGTCCCTTAGCGAAGAGAGAGCACCCATTGGGGCCGCAATTCAACAACGCAGGTCCGTGAATCAGATCATAAGCGAATCCCGTTACTGCCATTCCATATCTAGTTTCCACGTTTCCACGATTGAGTACACGAGGAGGGAGATGACGAGGTAGATTCGCTTCTTTCCGAAGAAGGCATAGACGCGCTCGTATTGGAAAAGGTAGATAAACGCGATGAGAGGAAGTCCAAAAACGAAGAGACAGGCGATGATGACTTGAGGCCAAGGGAAGCGCTTGATTTCGATCTAGAGAACATGCTGAATCAAGAGGAGGGGATACGGTCGTGTGGATCTTGGAACGGACGTAGGATGCAATGCCTTCTGCAAGGACAGGATAGTCGAGCTGGTAGTCGTTGTTCGCGTTGAGCTTGGGAGAAATAGCGAAGAATGAATACTCGTTTGGTGATACGGTCGGTGGCGGCAAGGAATGTGATGATAGGAGCTGTGGTGAATTCATGGAACTGGAACACGCCGGGAGCCAAATCGATGGGTACTCGGATGAACAGAACGTTGTTGCTTGCCTTCTCCTCTTGAGATTCATACGCAGAAGCCACTAATCCAAACTCACTGTTTGCCGCACTATTTCTCATGTAATTAGTATGGAACTACGGGCACAGAACACAGCGATATCTGCTACCAAGTGTGGTATACAACAAAATAGCGTCAAAATCCCGATCGCCGTTAAGCATGTATTCAGTATACTTGTCATCATTCATGGTTACTACACCTCCAGATTTCATCTTGGACAACCTTTCATACTTGCTCTAAGCAACATCAGTTTTCACACTAACTAGGTCTTACTTGGCTGTTGCTATTATTTGCTGCGATACAAAACGCAAAGAGAGTCAGGAATATCAGAGAAGTACTCTTCATGGCACTAATTGTTTAAAGTTGTCAGACACTGACAATCCTGCAGAATCCACATGTTTTTAAAACAAAAAGGTCTTTAATATTCGTACAGCTCTGATGTCTCAATATCGGAGTAAATTAGACGTTCAACTGATGAATCCTTCTTTCTGTGGTGATGACGATGGTGTTTCTTTTTGTGATACTTTCTTGTCTCTTGCTGATGTTCCAAATCCTCACTGTTATTACTCCTTGCTTCCCCAAGAGTTGGATCTACCTCCAGCAATATATTCATCTTCTTCTCTAAATGATAAAGATCGTTTTCCAAGTGAGAAAGCTCCTGCTCGTAATCAATTTCGCCAGTGAAAGGTCCGAGCTTTTCTAATTGTGAATTATTTGCAACAATGAAAATACCTGCAACAGATGGATAACAATAGCACATACAACTATCACACTCTTCGAGGCTTTTCTACACTCAGATTGGTACATTAATAAATCTACAGCTCTTGTGTGAACGCACGCCTCAAGCTCTCTTAAAAAGATGGAGGATTCTTCCTCAAGCAATTCCTCGATTCGTTTAACAAAGAGCGGGTCCCGCGAACTATAACGACGAAGGCCTTCGGTTACTATAGAAACAAAAAGATCGCTGTCGACTCCTGGTTGAAGGGTCTATTTCAGTAGGGGTCAAGATTATAGACCTACTTCAATTTCACGCTTTGTCCATTCCTTCAATATTACACACTTATTCGCTTCAGAAGGATGAACTTCGCCAGAATAGTCAGGTAATGGCTCGAGTTTGAAAGTGTAACTTATTATGACTCCAATCAATTGCATACATGATTCTTCGATTCGGATCGTAATCAGAATAGACATATTCACCATTTGGCAAGAATTGTGTATATTGAGATGAATTCACAATGTCTGCAGTGACTCGGTTCACTTTGCGCTTACATAAAGGACAAACGGGCTGTTTCTGTAACCAGGTCAAAATGCATGTTTTGCAGAAAATATGGTTGCAGCAGTCAAGAATTGCTGGATTCTACTCTGAAAGAACATTTTCATGACACACCTTGATGGATTGCAGGCAAATCGCGCATGCTGATTGCATTATATCAACTGCAATGCAACAATATTTCTGCAAAATATCGACAGAATGACAAAGTATTTTCTGTTTGGAAAAATGGTAGGAATAGCGTGTGGATGATCGATGCAGCATGGACGACAGCGACGATTAACTGAAAAAACAGAAGAAGAAATCAAGCAGGAACAGATGAAAGCAGCCAAACTCCAAAAGGCCGGTCTTTTGGTATTGAGCAAGGTAGTAATACAGAAGTCATATCTATACTGTAGATCCGAGCAAAAGACTACTCTTCAGAGTCTTTCAAGTTAACAACAGTATTAGCAAAACTCAATCCGGATTTCTACACAGTTTGGAACTACAGAAAGGATTTTTTACAGATTCAGTTAGAAAGCGAGACTCTGTATTCATTGTCTTTTTCCCCTAACATCATAGGAACGAGGAGCAAAAGATCGATCTCTTAAAGAAGGATGTCACTCTCACAGAAGAAATAATCCGTGAAAAGGATCCAAAGTGTTATTCGGTGTGGCATCATCGACGCTGGTTGTTTTCCAAGTATTGTTTTTATGATGGTGTAATATAGACGCCCTTGCCTGCTTGAAGAACGCGAGATCCAGCTCTGTGAAATGCTCTTGAAAAAGGATCAACGTAATTTCCATTGCTGGAATCATTGGATGCTGATTTGCCGAGACTTACACATCTCCCTAAAGGATCAGATGGCGTTTACATGGCAGCGAATTATGGAGAACGAGAGCAATTATTCGGCTTGGCATTTTCGCGGGGAACTGCTCCATCGGCTTCTCTTCGAACAGTATTCCGAGGATGTTTCGACATGTTTTGAGATGATAAGCAAGGGTAGACAAACAGAATGAAATGCACTGTAGAGTTGGAAGTTAACTTAACGGCTCTGTACACAGAGTGCGACGATCAGAGTTCGTGGTACTACATGCGAACGTTGTTTACGATCATTCAAGAACTGGTGGAGAAGAAGATCTTGCCGCAGTCAGAGGGCGAGAAACTGCTGAATGAGCGAATTGAAGCCATCAAAGAACTGCTGGAAGTAGAGCCGGATTGTATTTATGGCGATCGTTTCTTGAACGAGTTGACCGCCTTGCAACTGTGTCTTGTTTGTTGTGTAAAAAACAATCGAAAGCTAAGAATATGAGGGCATTACTTCCACTTTATCTCCCGATTGAACGGCTCGAAACACGATCTTTCTCTTCTGTTTGACTGTTTGTTTGGGATGCTGTGTTATCGTCACAATCTTCGGTTCTTTCTTCACAGCAGCTTGGGTCGGAGCCGACTCTTTCACGACCTTTTTGCTGGATTGCTGTTCGGAAATACGCGTCTTTCGATCCTTCATATCTTGATGATTGATCGCGATATTCTTTGTAAATCGATCTACGCCTCATTCACTTTTCGACTCAGCAGACTTTTATAGCGATAACAAACGAAAACGGTACTATCATCATTCGTATGGGATCGAAGATCCGTCAAAAACTTCCGATACACAGTTCGCATCGTGATGTTCGGATTGTTCTTCACTTCCCAGAGCTTCGTCCAGCGCTTTGCGTATTCCGATGCAGGGTGAGGAATGTCAACAGCGAACGACTGCGTCAGCAGAGCGAACTGATAGCCTACGAATCAGATCTCTGTAGAACATCCACCGATCCATCGAAGATGCTCAACCCATTGCACCTTGTTGTATCCATAATTGATAAACCGCTCATCGAAAAGCGGAAGGTGCGCCGATCGTCTCACCAGCAGATAAGGCTCTTGAAAGACGTGATTGAAGCAGCTTTTGAACATAAAGCGCACAGAAGACGGGAAGCTGTACCACCCATCCACCATATAATTCTAAGGAACATTGTTTCCATTCCAAATACATGTGTCAACGTTTCAGGACGGAAGGTCGTGCATTCTTCCCTATCAATACACGCAGCGAGCTGCTCCTTCGTTTGCGGCAACACACTGATCGCCTTCTCCACGCAGTCTTGGAAGCTCGAGCAGTCTTCGATGACGGAGGATTTGAGGGAAAATGCAGGAAGAATCATCGCAAGATGTTCATTTCGAAGAATGGGAGCAGGCAGCGTCACGATATCTTGATATGTCGATTCTAAAATCATCAAATAGTGAGAATAATAACGTACCGACCGGCCACATATCCATATCGAGAACAAGAAAATGTGTTGTAAGTATATTCTGAATCGCCAGATTTCGCAGTCGATTGATCGGGTAAATTCTCTCTTGGTAGTTCTCGCAGCGACGAACGTAGGTGTGATTCTTTCCCCATTGGTCGGTCGTTTGAAACAGATCCGACGCGGAAAAGGAAGAGAAAGGCTCAAAGACTTCGTCGTAGTACACCACGCAGTGGTGTTTGGCTCGTTCTGGGGGGAGAACGCGATACTGAATGAGGCGAAGCCGATGAGGAAGTGGAGTGTTCTTCAGAAAATGGTCGAAATACGACGATTCCTCATCAGTCATGTAGACCGCAACGCTGATCGGACTAGATGTGAGAGACGGACACACGAGGAGGAACCCAGGCCATCGATGGAGCATGTGGGACAAATAAAACAAACGCTCTAACCTAGAAAATGAGGGAATAAGAGAGCAACATACGAAGTCTGTGAGATAATCGATACATCAAAACTATCGGTGGAAGAGGGAAGAACTAGGATGCAAGCAGAGGAGCGACACAAACTTGGCGTAGGGTGAAACTTGTGGAATACACGCCGATTTCCCTCGTAAAGTAACAATTCGTGATCTTGATGCACCGAATACTCATCATCCAGACCATTCAACTCGATTTCTCCCGACATACTATATAATGCATCTCGGTAAACATCAAAAATCTTGGGTTTCTCCCGTAAAGTACGGTTATTGACAAAATGGTAGTTTCCAGGAGCTAAAAAACTATCATCATAAACTAACGTGATGGGCTTGTCATCCTCGCTCTTTTGAATAATGCGAAAAGAGGAGCTTTTCTGCACCATCCTCTGTGCACTCATTTGAATATCATCTATGTAAACTGAGGAGTCCGTAGCACTATTGATATAATAATAATAAAGCGATTTCTTACGTATCTTTATAACTCCGCGGAATCGATGAAATCTCGCTACGAATTATATAATTTACAATAAAGATGGTGAATAATGTGCTATACATGGCTCGCAATCGATAATCAGTACCACATGGCTAAAGCCCACTCTTTAGCTGTATTGCTCATTCGATATCTTAAAGTATGGGTCATAGGATTTTGCGGGGGGATTAAAAACACGAAATAATCCTATGATGAAAACTTGTTTGAATTGTGCAGAAGAGCGATATATACAAAATACACGGCATATGTGAGCAGAGTGATTCGCTAGGGATAATTTAATCAAAGTGGACTATTGGTGAGGTATGATTATTCTGCGTATATATATGTGTGTTTTCTATTGGAATTAAAAGTATTATTGATAAAGCATTTTGCACGAAAAATTAGTGCGTCCAATCGTCTGGGTTGGGGTGTGAAAAGCTCATTTATTTTTTTTCTTGTCGTACTTCTTCCTTAGGGGAAAAGCACAACAAATCTACATTGTATACACTAAGAGTTTACGTGTTATTATTTAGACATTTACTTAATTACCTGTTCATGCCTTTGTGGTCAAAACCGATATTTATTGAGTTCCTGGAAACCATTAGTATTATCAAAGATATTAAAAGAGACGTATTTTGTTGAGATGACTACTCCTGGATTTGAAGGTGCTGAAAAGATTTTGCAGATCAAGATAGAATCTGTTAAACCAAATAAAGGGTTAAGGGCAATTCCTCAATCTACGTGGCAGCTAATTCTTGATGAAGCAAAGTGCTCCATTGTAAATAGCATTTGCTTAGGGTGGGAGTTCTCGTCATCACTGATTCTGTAGGGACAGTACTGCCTATCTTCTTTCTGAATCAAGTCTGTTTGTTATGGATAGCACTTGTATATTTAAAACTTGTGGCCAGACCCAGCTTCTACGTGTTATTCCTCTTGTCATGGAGGTCTTGAAAGTGTGTTCTTCGATTGTCTTTTCATCTCTAGAAGCGCGGATTGCAGTTGGAATTTCTGCTATACACGACAAAGGATTTTTTGTTTCCAGAGAACCAGATCTTTCCTCATAATAGTTGGGACGAATCCGTACGACTTTCTTCCCTCGGAGTTTTAACGTACAGGAAAACTACTTGCGTTCCATCTTCCCTGAGGAACGTTGCACGATTCTCGGAGACCCAAACGGGGACCACGTTTTTATGTTCTCCTACAGCCGCCCATCTCCCGATGACTCCCTCCCCTTGGAGGTGGAGCCCGAAGAGTACTCGACGAACTCGCTGTCGTATCCCTACCGAGAGGGTTCTCCCGTGTTCTCGGGGCAGCGTTCGTTCTGCGAGGGGGGTCCCGACAGTTGCTTTTTGAACCTGATGATGTACGACATGGCGGACGAGGCGTCGAAGTTGTTCTTCAAGGACGGCAAGAAGACCGCCAAGGATGTGACGGTAGGGCGTGTGGAGACGAGTTAATGGAAGGACCAAATGGGCTTGCGATCGTTGTTCCCTTCGTCTCTGATCGACGATTATCTATTTGACCCTTGCGGATACTCGATGAATGGATTGGACGCCTCTGGGGGCTTCTACACAATCCACGTTACTCCGGAAAAGGAGTGCAGTTATGCGAGCTTTGAGACCAACATTAGGGATGTGGACGTAGATAACCTTATTCGATCGGTACTAGCTATCTTTCAGCCAAAGGTACGAGTGAGGGAGTGGGGTGATGAGCAGCGATTCACGTTTACGGTGACCTATCATATGGATATGGCCTATGGTATTAAGAAGACGCCCCTTTGGCCTGAGTCGTTCACGAGCCTCTGTGGAGAAGACTATCGACTAATTTATCGTTCCGAGATCAACAAGAATAAAACGGTTTATTCGCTGGGTAATTATGTATCACACTAATGATTGTTTCTTCGCATACACGTTGTTGATGGAGAGAAGGGATATAGGTGATTTGTTCATCCTTTCTACTCATTCTCTACAACTCACTTTGGAATGGCTACTCCACCTCCGACTACAGTTTATGAACAAGTTCCACAGGATGCGATCCCAATTACCTCGGCTCAACCTCTAGTCTACCCTGTCCTTCCTCAGCAGCCAGATCTGCACCCACAACCAGAATTACAACCTCAGCCACAGCAGACCTATCCGCCTCAGCCACAGCAACCCTATCCGCCTCAGCCACAACAACCCTATCCGCCTCAGCCACAACAACCCTATCCGCCTCAGCAGGTCACGCCCCCGCCCCCGCAGCCGCAACCACAGCCGCAGGCAGTGCAACCTGTAGTGGTCAGCAACTCGTCAAAAGATTCCTCGGAAAGGGCAACCTCTGTAGATACAGGGTATGGATAGAGAGGAAGAATCATAAATAATAGGGAACACTTCAATCTTAACACTGCAACACTGGGCAAAATGCAGGTTCTTGATTCTATTCTAACGTGAAGGCCTGTGAATGCATACTGCAATATCTGCCGCAGTATTAATGCCACCTATACAGAGCGTTGCGTTGGCCCCTTAGCATATCCTATCAGCCACACCCTAGGTTCCTTAACGCGAGGGTCGCAATGACGATCATTTTCTTTTTCGTAATCGGGCCATTCTCCCTGTTTTTCCTTTGCTGTGACTGCTGCAAAGAAACGTATTCCCTTGCTGAGCATTAAAAACTAGACGACACTTTTGCCCTCGTTGCCATAACCTCATCGGTAAATGCGGATCTCACTATTTGCATCCCACCATGTACTCTCCTTAAGCAGAATACCCACAATAGGCATGGAACGAACGTCTACGTTGTGAATTCTCCAAACTGAAGGTTCGTATTCATATCAATGTACTGATTGCTGCGTTTGTTGAAACCAATCATCGAACGAAACTCCCTCTTTCCCAACATCCACTATTTCTGTGCAATGCAAACTCAACTTGCTGCTCAGCTTCAGAAAATTCGCGTAGAGGGAGCCGATAGGATCGATATATCGTCCATTCTGTTTTCTCGCAGCGATGCTTCGAAAATCAGTCTGTCGTCGATCTATTCGATGGCAAGAAACGGTATCATGGAATTAACTCGTGTTGATAGCCGTTTTCAGCGTTTTGAAGAAACTCTCTTTGGAAACAAGTTCCTTGGAGTAAACCGTTTCCATGTTACTCCCAAAGAGAATGAAGAAATCAACGAGATGATTCGTGATTACCTTTATTCCGTATCTCCCTATATGTTGCTAAAGTGTGTCCAAAAGACCCTGGAATATTTAATCCGTCGACTCAGCATCCATACTTTCAATGCGGAGGACTTTTTCATTGCTGTTCTGCCATACCACGAAAGCCCGCTTTTCCCGCGTGTGTACCGTATTCTGGATTTGAAGAGCCACCTCTTTGACTTTTTGTCTGGAGTCAAGAAGAGCGAAACTCCGGTCATTCGTACAACCTTCTCGACCCAGTGCTTGAAGGACATTGGATTGCTTCATTTCATTCTCAACTCCTACCGTCGCATGCAGGAGCATCATTCGATCCCGGTGGTGCATCTCACTCTTCTGTGTGCTATGGTGGTTGATATGGGACGAAGCGGAACGATGAAGGAAGAGTACATTCGAGCACTTATCTCGTTCGCATCGATGGGCCTTTCAAGCACGAACTCGGAGCTTCAAGCTGCGGGTCTTCTCATTCTCGCTCAAGTAGCAATCAACGTAACGATGAGCAACGATGTGATAACGGCGTGTCTGAACAACGCGTTCCGTGTGAAAGATATCAACATGAATCAACTGGTGGAGTGTCTTTTGATCATCACTCGAAACAATCGCGACTATATGATTCCACGACAGACCGCAGAGGTCTTTTTGCAGAACGAGACGCTCCAGATGTCTCTTCAGAGTCTGTCGAAGAAGGCGTCGATCTTCCCGATCACCAGAGCGCTCGTCGAAGCGCACGTCGCTCTGCTGCGAGAGAATGAGAACTTCCTGCCTCAGCTGCGAGTGTTGTGCCAATGCATGCAGGAGAACGAAGTGAATCCGTTCCTGCAGGCGTACTTGCAGGCGCTGAGTCGGTCGATCTGCGCGAAGGAGATGTCTGGCAATGAGGTCAACAACGTGGAGAAAGCGCTGCTTGTTCTGAGCTCCGAGTTTTCGGAGCCGTTTGACGCGTTGATCAGCGCGATTCCGATGGAAGACCCACTGAAGCAGGTTTCTTCGCGCCTGTTCTTTGGCAGTTCGCACATGCTGCTGAGTAGTGGACGCACTTTATATCTGAGTATCGATACGCACGAGTATGCTGTTCGAAAAGAGGTGTGTGGATTGGTGAGAGAGCAGCTGGAGAAAGTGAGTGCGGAGACCTCGCCGAAGGAGCGAAGCTTCTTGAAGAACAGCGTGCTGTCTCTGCTGGAGGACGATTTCATGGATATCTCGCTGCAAGTGCTGGAGACGCCGTTGGAGCAGTTGCTGCACGTGTTTGAAGAAAAGGAGGTGGTTGTGATGGTGCTCGATGTGTTGCAGCACGAGAAGGTGATCCAATCCGTGCAAGACGAGGCAGTGGAACGCGTGATCCAAGCTGCGTTTTCGCTGCTGAAGGCCGCTTCTCTGGAAGAAGTGTTTGAAGAGAAGCCTGTCCAAGTGGTTTGCTTGCTGTTCCAATACTTGCTCATGTGTAAGCAGGCCACGCAGCGAGAGATTCTCGCTGTCATGGCTGCTGTCCCGTCGCCTTTCTGCCAGGGTTTGCAGGCGTCTTTCTGCGAAGCTTCGCTCCAAGAGCAGGTTTCGCGCGTGGCTTCGTCCCTGCAGACGCAGCTCGAAGCGGAGGACAAATGCTTCTTCGCGACCTGCCGGCAGTTGCTGCGAACCTCGCAGACCGTGGCCGTCTTCTGCGTCTACACGTTCCTTCAGCTCATTCAGAGCAAGAAGGAGAGCTCCGGATCGAAGTCGCTGGCTTCTCTTCTCTGCGAATTCGCCACGTCTGTGATCGAGGAGATGCCTCAGACGTCGTCCGTCCAATTGAAGGTGAAGGAAGCCGATCTGAAGTCGCTACCTGCGTCTGTGAATTCCTTTTCGGAGTATGTTCTGCTTCTTCTGCACACGATTCTGTGTTGCTCAACGCTGCTTCCGTGGGACACCACCGATCTGATTGCTCACTTCGACGCGTTTGCGAAGGAGCCCGCGCACCCCGTGGCGGTGCTTTGCTTCTGCTTCCGCTCGTTCATTCCCCAGAAGTCGTTTATCATGGTCTTGGCCAACTTGATTTGCGAGCAGGTTTGGAAAGAGCAGAGTTTCGTTGTCTACACTTCGCTGCTGGCGTGTAGCGACGAGTCCAACATCCTCGTCCACTCGCTGAACAAGCTTCTGAACTACGTTGCATTGCAGAAGACACTCTCGTCCTCGTTCTTCAGAACCGTCTTCCTCGCATTGGTGTACCACCTCAACAATCCCGCGCTGACCGTCCGATCCACCGCGCTCATGCTGCTGGACGCGATTCGTTCCCGCATTCCGCAAGACACGCGGGCAAGCGAAGTGCCCACCAGCGAGCAGTCGTCCATTCCGTTTGTGTCTACAGGCGAGGAATCGTCCGTTCCCAGCGAGGAGAAATCGTGCTCCGTTCTGCTCCAGTTCGTGAACTACTTGATTTCGATCCGCTCGGAGATTCGCGATGACCCCAAGCTGTTCACAATCAAGCTCAACCTCCTGTTCTCGTCTTCCAAGCCGCAGATCGATCCGTCCTTACTCGCTTCGGTTCTCTATCCGCTGATTCTGTCCAGCAAATCGCTGCATCAGCGCGTGTGCTACTTGCAACTCTTCGGAAAGATGCCTTATCACCCCGCTGCCGAGACGGAGGTGCTGCAAGTCAGCAACGACACGTTCGATGCCTTTTTGGAGACAAAGGAAACGGTTTCTCCGCTCCTGGTTCAGCAGTGGCGATTGCTGATGCCCTTGTTCTTTGCAGCGATGGCGCACACGTTCACACACCAGCAGGAATTCCGCGACTCGCTCTACCGATTCATGAGCACGCCGCTCTCCTTAGCAGAAGCGGACGGAACGTTTGCTCCGCTCACGGATGTGCTTCGGAACATCGACAAAAAGATCTTTGCGAGCATGAACACGCCCGAGAAGCTCTCCCTCTTGCGGGCATTGCTCTCGGTAGTGCCGAATCATCCTTCGGTCGATGCGGTGGATGTCTACAACTCCATCAACGAGTTGGATCTGAGTGTGGCTTTGCTGAGCGAGGAGGCGAAGGCGTTGGCCAACGCTTCCATGGACGATTTCATGGTGGTGCAGCTCATGACCGTGTTTATCGAAGTGGTGACGCGAAACGAGAAGCTCTCGCGCGATGTACAGATCATCGATCCCTTGCTGATCATTCTCAACCGCCTCGTGCAGATCGTGAAGCTTCACGCTCCCACAAAAGACTCGGTGTCTTCCGAAACGAAGCGAGCGGAAGCGGGCGCGATGGAGGTGGAATCTGTATCGACCTCCGACAGCCATTTAATCATGAGCGATATGCTCGCGGTGCTGTATCCCATCCAGATCCTCTTGGAGTGTCTTTTCTCGGTGGTCAACGCGGCCACGAGCGATATTCGCGTGACTTCCACGCAGACGTTGAAGGCTGCGGATCCCTCGCAGCCTCCCAGCAAGCGAGTTCGCCGCAACAGCATCAGCATTCGTCGCGAAGTGGCAATTCCTCCGCAGCTGATCGTGGATCTGATCAATTTGAATCTGACCACTCAAATCAAGAAGACTTGTCTGCAGCTTCTGACAGTGCTGTCCAGCATTCATTCCGAGGAGATGGATCGTCACTTGTTCGCTTGCTTCGATTCGTTGGCTGCGAAGGTGATTCAGAACCAGGACGAAGAAGCATTCAATGTGATTATCAGCATTCTCTCGTACTGTCTTCGCCAGTTCACCAACCAAAACCAGCTTCTTCGGATCTACAAAACGTTCCTTTCCTGCGTCCCCTACATTCCCTATTCCCAAATCATTCACTTGCTCAACACGCTCATCGCGCATTCCTCCATGCGCTACATCGGACACATCACTGCGTATCTCCTTCTCCTCAACAACGGCTACGATCTCAACGATCTCAACGACGCGACCGCGGCTTCGCAAGACATGGAAGTGGAGCGCGAAGCACCGATTCGTATCGAGAACTCTGCGGTCGCCAGTTCGAACATCAGTCACTTCATCGCCTCCATGTTCTTGGGAATCGGGCTTCTTCCTCAAATCCAAGCGCTTAGCGTGCTTTGCTGCTTCTCCGAGATCATAACCGAGGGCGAGCAGGAAGAGCAGAAGGAAGGCCGAATGCGTGAGCTGACGCAGGCGCTGCTGCAGTCGCTCCCGATCGCGTCCTGGAAGAAAGACGCGTCGAACAGCACGCGGATCGGACAAGTCGTCCTGAATTTCATGCGGAATATTGTTTCGAACTCCACGTTTATAGGGAAGGTCGCGTCCGCAGAGAAGGACGTCGACAAAATCCAGCAGTTCTTCATCCAAATCATCGAAAACCTGCTCATGATTCTCCAGAACACGTCCGCGAGTCGCGATGCGATCGGCCAGGACGCGCGAGGCCGCGCGAAAACGGAGCAGGAGCTGGCCCTGCTGCGTGGCTATCGCGAATTGGAGAATTGTGTGTACGACTGCGTGACGGTTTTCGCGGAGGTCATGACGGTGCCATCGCTTCTGACCGTGCTGTCGGTGCTGCTGAAGCACGAAGACAGCGGCATTCGCAAGCGCGCGCTGGTGATGCTGAACAAGAAGATCAGCGACAACATCGACACGCTGAGCGAGGAGGAGCAGACCGATTTCCTCCACTTCATCAAGAATCTGCTCGAGATTGTGGGCGATGCGCAGGAGCAGAGCGCCAACAAGCAGACCGCGTTGCTGTCTCTGCACATTCTGGTGCAGTACTTCGGCAGCGAGCATCCGCAGGCCTTCCAGCCGGTGGTGGCTTCGATCGTGTCCATCGTGACGCGCACAGACGTCGTGTCTCCCGACTTCCAAGCGCTCAAGGGCTCCGCGTACATCGCTCTCTCGATGTGCTGCACGCAGCTGGGCGTCCGCATGCTCCCCTTCCTCCCTCGCTTCCTCCCTTCCCTGCTCACCGAGCTCGATGCTTCCGCCGCGCGATGCGACTCGCTGCAGGAGGAGATTCAGCTGCTCGAAGAAGAGCACGACGAGCGCGCGGTGGACGAGCGCCGCGGCCAGCTCGACGAGGTTTTCGTGCTGATTCAGTCGCTAATCGCCACGCTGAGCTCCGCAGTGAGCTATCAAGGCTCGCTTCTGTCGAGCTATCTCCAACGGATTCTCTGCCTCGTTCTTCGCCCCATGCTGGTGGCTTCCGACAAGCAAGTCGTTCGCGGCGCCGTGTCGGTGCTGCTCAACCTCCTCGCGGAGAAGATCGAGCCTCGCCTGCTGCTCCCTGCGGTGTACAACAGCTTCAAAGCGCTGGGCTCGCGCGCTGCGAGCAGTTACTGCGGGCTCTTCTCGCTTCTGGAATCGCTGTTCAATCACATGGACGAGCATGCGATCGAAGGGTTCTACGAGCGAGCGTGGTCGTTCTGCGTGTCGGGTCTGGAGCTGCGAACGCGGTGGGGCGAGGAGAACGACGGGATCGACGATGTGGAGCGGTCGGTGGTGAAGGCGATGATCGCTTTGACGTTGAAACTGAACGAGAACCAGCTGACTCCGCTGTTCGTGAAGACGGTGAATTGGATGCAGGAGAAGTCGGTGGTGCAGAGCGAAGAGAGCGCGGAGAGCGCGCTGCCGCCGACGGCGAAGGCGATTTCGTTCTTCGCGTTGGTGTCGGAGCTGAGCAGCACGTTCAAGTCGATCTTCACGAGCTATTTCGGCCAGTTCTTCTCGACGATGGTGGACCTGCTCACCGATTTCGTCAAGAAAAACCGCAAAGAAAAGGAGGTCACGCACGACCAGCTCGCCTCCTTCCAGCTCGTCAAGCTCGTCGTGCTCTCGCTCTATCGCTGCTTCCTCTACGACAGCGACGGCTGGATGGACGAGGCCAAGTTCCGTCTGGTTTCCTCGCCGCTGGTGAGGCTTCTGGGCGCGTATTTCGTGCCGAACTACGCGACGGAGTACCCCAAATTCATGAGCCAGTTCGTCGTTCCCACGCTGATTCAGCTGGTGGTTTCGACGTCTGGACACGACGACTGGTGGCAGCAGTTCAATCACGAGGTGCTGGTGCAGACGCGGTCGCCGATGAAGGACGTGAAGCTGGCGGCGATGCGCGTGATTCGCGAGTGCTTCGAGAGAATGTCGCAGGAGTATCTGCCGCTGCTGCCGGATGTGATTCCGTTCCTGGCGGATTTGCTGGAAGACGAGGACGCGGAGGTGGAGAAGGTGGCGCAGGATCTCCGCGTGCAGCTGGAATCGATTTCGGGCGAGGAGCTGACGTCGTATTTGACGATGTAGTGCGGGAACAAGGGATGGGTGGCGTTGGTTTGATTGGTGTGTTTGGTGTGTTTGTTGGGAGCAATGAAAATAAGAAGAAACGATTTAATGAATGAATGATTCAGTGATTGATTTATTGATTCACTGATTCATTCATTCATTCATTCATTCATTCATTCATCCATCCATTCATTCATTCACTCATAATGCTTGTAACAAACAAATGAAAGCAGGAAGGGGATCAACGCCTTTCGGTGGGGAGGATATTCATCACCGAACGTTTTCTTGTACCATTTGTGATGTTGCCACGCACGCGGACCGATGTTCGCGATCGTGAACACGGCGAACGTCAGAGCCGCGAGATCCCAGCACAGCACGGCGTATCCCGTCCATTCGAGGCATTCACCAAAGTAGTTCGCTCCCGAAACGTATTCAAACATCCCGCCATGAGGGATCTTGTAACCGCTCGATCCGTCGGCTCGAAGGCCGCGAAGAATAGCATCCGAGTTCCAGTTGATAGAGAGACCAACAACGAAAAGAATAGCACCGATAATGAAACGCGGATCATACAACCAAGAGAATGTACGGTAGCAACATGGTATAATATGGTATGCTGCCTGGATGTAGCCATTCAAAACGCAGAACAAAAACGCCATTAAGAAAATCTCTGTAGGTGTTCGTTTTCCGCCACGCAGTCTCCATGGATAGATGAACGACCTTCAATGAACCCGAATCGATAAAACGTACCGGTAAAAGTAGTGAAACAGATAGAAACACAGGCAAATGACACTAGGAATGTTCTCTTTGACGGTCCTGAGATTCATCAGTAAAAAAACAGAAGGAATAATAAACGAGGGACATTCTTGCAGAATCCACGCGCTCCTTGCGGAAAGTGACCCCAGATAGTACTTATAGTTCTGGGTATATCTGCCGTACCATGCAGGGAGGAAGATTAGAATTAGCACAATCGGAACGCTAACCGCAAGGAGGCAGAACGCGACAAATCTCGCGAGTCCGCAGTCGAGCAGGAAAACATCACTCATGAGTTGCAACAAACAATTCAATAGATCTCCAGCGGGCGATCGTTCCATCCATAAATGCATCTGTACTTGTAATACACTCGCTGAATCTCGTCAGCCACGAGCTGCTGAACCTCATCCACATAGGCATCAAAATTGGGATCGTTGCGATCGACCTTCTTCACCTCCACAGGCTTTCCGCACACGCACATCAGCGTCATTTTATGGGGCACCGGCAATCCCCATCGACCCAAGATAATTCCCATTGCGCATTTGTACTTGCGAGCGTACGGCTCCAACCACTTCGGCACCAGCTTCAAGAATCGCGAGTTTCCGAACTGATAGACCGGGCAGATGGGCGTTCCGGTCTCCACGGCGGCTCGAATGAAGCCTTTTCGGCCGCTGAATTTGATCATTTCTTTGGTCGGTTCGTTGACGTACATCCCCGCGATTCCGTCTACCACCACCGCGCACGAGCCCTTGGCTAGTGACTTGCGGAGGTTCTCGTTGGTGGCGGTGACGCAGCCCATCAGCTTGAGGATGGCTCCGTAGAGGGGGATCATCAATGCGCTGGGGGTGGTGAGAGAATAGCACGGCGTGATAGGGCTGAAGTGAGGGAAGGCAAAGCCGGAGACGAGGCAGCCGATGGGCGTTCTGGAGTGAGAAAAGAGGAAAAAGAAGGTACACGCCGTGGGGGTATTCGGCGTAGAGATATTTCTGCTTCCGGTCGAATTTACCGTCGAAAATAATCGAGCTGTCTGTTAGGAGGAGGAAGAGAAAGAGAGTACAAAGAAAAATAGTCGAAGAGACAATGCCAAACCTTCCATCGTAATACGTTGGCGTCGTACACCTTCACGGGGATCAGCAACGTGAGGAATGACAGAGCAAAGATTACTAGGGAAAACACAACACGGACATTGTACAGCGGGCACGTACGGAGTACCACGCAATGACGCTTAAACACATGAGGAAGGGAACGAGACCCGTAAACAGAAAATTGATGCAAACAGCCATGATTTCAGACAAGATGGATTGCTTTGATCCACCGTTCTCCGACATAAAGTAGCGGACCCCGGGGATAGGGTCTGTGTACGTACTCTTGTCAACAAGGACATTCTTGACTTCCTTGCTAAGAGTAAGAGTTTGACAAAAGCACGCTTACAGCTCTTCCCACTTCTTGTTCTTGTCCCACTTTACGGTAACTTCTTCGTGACGACTCATTTTTTTTGGCTTAACAATTGTGTGTTTTTGTGTACAGAAACTGATTATTCTTAGAATGACGTAATTTAGCTATTGGAAGAGTATTAGGGATTGTACAGACTAGGAAATAATGTCCACTTTTGGTCCAAAGTTTGTTATTCAACCAGATCATGATTGCAAAGACGCATACATTCTGATATTCTGTGTAAACGTTGGTCATTTACGGTCATTTTGACAAGTAGGGACGGTTTTATTTTATGCGCGTTCAGCTGCATTTAGCTACATTGGAAGACAAAGAAACTATGGAAAACGCAGTGATTGAGTGTGACGATTCCCTCAATTCTTTATTAAAGGATTATGAAGCACTAATCAAGAATGTACAACATAGAAATAATAGATAAACTAAAGAAATTGGAATATTGCGAAAGCCTTGATGATTTCGCCAAGGAAGTTTCCTGCATAATTGAGCGTCTGGAATTCGATCATCCTGAAACGAGTGAATCCAATTTTGTGTGTAAAATGACGTAAAGTGAATTCTAGTCGATGCCCTTCTCTTACTATGATACATTATTTCACGATTTGGAAGAATTTGGATGGTCCCACGTTTTATCGGTCAGCGATTCACTCCAGCGTTTATCCCTAACGCTCGATGACCCTTCCGGTCGTTCTCACGAGATCATGATTTCCTTGCCTCCTACATACCCTCAAGGAGCTCCTTCCTGTCAATTAGCGCTTCCCGAAGCTTACCAATTCCATTGGAATGCTTCGAACTCGATTCGAACAATCATGCATGCTGTGTCGGAAGCTTTGGCAAAGTTCGATTCTGTTTGGAACACACTCGAAGATTTCGATAAACATTGCGTAGTGATTGACCCAATAAAGCCCACTTTTCAACACAATTACAGACGATTGTATTTAGGTATGCAAATCACAGCTGCGATGACACACAGAGAATCAGTGTTCGCTGATTTACACAGTGAATTGTGAGAAACCGTTTGCCATTGGCGAATGGAAATTACTGGGACCTACACAGCATACATCAGTGTTTGAGCAAAGAATCAATAAAAATCTTTCACTCTGGTATGTAATCGCTCATCCCATAATAGAAAGGGATGGAAGTCGTTATCCTCGAGAAAATCTCGAACGTGTTTTAGATTTTTCGTTTCCATCTCCCTCCGAAGCATCGATTAGTCAGTATGAAGTCGAATGTGCAATTTGCTACACGTTTTTATCCATTCCGAGTTGAATGATAGATATCAGCTAGATGTACAGGGAAAGACGATACTGCCAGAAAAAACGTGTCCAAACGAAAAGATATCCATCCTCTAGTGAGAGTTTGTTCCTTCATTATACTGTGGGCGTGTTTTCCACTCTTTTTGCCTTCTTGAAATGCTGCGATCCAATCCGACCACAAAACAATCGTTTAACACTCTCTATGGTAGTTGTCCATACTGCCAAACTGCATTAAGCATTCGAACTGATGAGAATCTTTATTAGTGATAGTGCGCGCATATTCAGATGTGTAATCCAAAACTGGGACGATTATTGTTGTTGTTTTTTTCAATAAATAAATAAGAAGTGGAATCATGAAGACAGATAATGTTAAATGGAAAGAATGGTCATTATAACTTATTTACAATGCCTACTTGCTTGTTTGAGGACGATCCATCTACGTTGCATTTTGTAGTTGTTAGGTAGAAGTAGTGAGTGGCTAATATCCAGCGACATTCATTCCCAGAATGGTCTTGCTTTCACGAAGGCTGAAATCGACGAAATTCTGCAGTCTGGAACGAAAGTCGATGCTATTCTGAATGCAGGGGATATGACGTTTCTCTCACATACTGGTGAGGCCGAAGAGAAGGAGAATGAAACGAAAATCGAGTTATTTAAAACTGTACTAAGCAGTATGATTGCAAAATCTGTTGAAATATAGCTTTGGAGCAATGTGAAGTACCTCACATCTATTTACCTGGGAATCATGACCCATTATACACTTATGAAGCGACAGACTACAGGCAACTCACTGAGTTCGAAAAATCGGTCAATCTGCATCGTCGCGTCATGCAACTTGCACCGCACCTATGGCTTGCTGGTATCGGAGGCAGCTGCTATATCCGTTACAAGGACAACTCGATCCGTGACTTTGGCTTTCCCTATAAGGAGGAATTTACGGACGATCTTCACGATTTGTTTGCATTGATTCCTGAAGGTGATCAGGTGATTTTGATGACCCACGTTGCTCCAGCAACGGTGGGTACAGCTTATGCAGACCTACACCCATCGATGGACGTGTACATCAACTACGGTAGTGATGTGGTGTACGATCAGTTTTGCGACCTCTTGCAAAATGTATAGAATGAATGTAGATTAAATGAGTAGTACGAAGTCGTGCTCTACGTGCACGGACACTTACACAAGAGGCCAGGCTTCAATTGGCTTTGCCGCTCGATGCATTCGTGCTGCGTTTTGAACCCAGGCGCCGCGATGTATTTAAAACGCCAGCAACCTTGAATTGTAGGGGAAAGAAACTTGCGGAGGTGACGCTGTCGAAGGTGAATGGAAAGTGGCAAGTTCGGGACGTGAAGCATCGAATTAATGGAATGTGATATTTGTTTGTTTACAAAGCGGAGGGAGTTCAGAATCTTTGTATCTGCTTCGAATCGGAAGACATTATGCTAGCTCGGCATTGCGTTAAGCGATGTTCTCAACAGATATCGACCTTCTCGAAGCTGTTCACTCAATCTGCTACTCGCTGCTATTCTGGCATGTTTTTGGAATGAGCGTCATGTGCAGTTTATAGTTACGGGTGTGGAAGTATTGGGTGTCTTGGACACAACGATTTTGAAGATCGCGAGTATCCAACTGTACGTACACGATTCATTTTGTAAGTGGCAGGTAATCGAATCGCTGGAAGGAAAGGGAATCAGTGCCATCGCCTGTGGCTGGTAGAGATGTGGTAAATCTCTAAGGAACAGGGCCCACAACTGCATGATCGACGGTGATGGTAATTTTGTGATTTTCGGCAGAACCCACGACGTTCGCAACATCATCGGCGCCGGCAACATGTCCTCGTACATGCCCCGCGTCCTCCGCACGTTCAGCAAGTTTCCGTTTTCCGTCCCCTCTCCCTCAGCATTTTCAAAAACACAGTGATCGAGACCCGCTTCCCCTCCATTCTCCCCATCGACGACGGTCCCTTCACCTCCGTCGCGGCCTCCATGGCGCTCTCCTTCGGCCTCACCTCCACCCGTCCGCCTTTCCTCTCCTCCTCCCCTCCAGACCACATCTACGCCTACGGCTACAACCGCTACGGCCAGTGCGGCGCCGACCTCAAAGACGTCCATCTCTACACGCCCAAGCCCGTCCTCCTCGACGACGACGAGAAGCCTTTTAAAGTCGTCGCCGGCTTCCAGCACGGCGCCTGTCTCTGCGAGAGCGGACGCGTCTACGCATGGGGGAAGGCCGACCACGGCCAGCTTGGCCGCGGGGATGTCGATATGACCTTCAAGCCGCTGCTGGTAGGGGAAATCGGGGCGATTTCTGGAAGATGGACACGGACGCGACGGTGCGGTACCGCGACATTTTCGCGGGATTCAACTCGACGATGGTACGGAAATCGGGGGTATTTTTGTCATAGTTGGTGTCCGACAAAGGCGAATTGTTCGTAACCGGGAAATACTGGGGAGAAGGCACCAATCGGAAGAACGCCAAGATGTTCGGCGACGTTGTAGGGGTTTACCCGCGGTTATGTCGAGACCTACCCGCGGCTCGTGCCGCTCCCGCGCCCCATCGCGTTGTTTGCGAGCGGCCAGTTCCATATGACGTTTCTGGACGATGCAGGCGCGCTGTACCAGCTGGGATTGGAGGACACGGAGACGGCGCGCACGCTGCAGCAGCAAGGAAGAACCGATGAATCCGAGCGCATGCACAGGGAGCCGCAGAAAGTGGATATGTCGTCGCTGGGAGATGTGAAGTTTACGAAATTGCGATGTTCGTTTACGGAGTCGTACGGCATTACGGACGATGGAGATGTGTACAAGTAGGGGCGATGGGAGGGCTCAAAACGAGGTGGAATTGGATTAGTCCGCCCATAAAAGTGAAAGTTTTGGAGGATATCAAGGTGGAAGACCTGGCATTTGGCTGGAAACATACCATTGTCCTAGGAACTCCACGATAAAAGGAAATGACCGGAGGATGCAATGCTAGTGATAGCATGAGTTGGAGTGAGGGTGAACTGTGTTGAAAGCTTTCTTTTATTCGATTGTTTGTTGGATTTGCGTTTCCGCGGTTTTCTATCCATTTTACCTTTTTTCCACTTTTCTTGAAACAGGGATTGAGTCTAGTCATGTTGTCACAGTAGGACGCTTCTGAGGGGGAGGGGCTCATGCACATAGATTAGCATCGAGATCTGCAAGACTGGTGAATGTCAGCAGCGTCCGTTGTTTCTCTGCGTTTGCACCAACCGGTAGGATGCACATTGTCCGCTCATAACCCACAGCCGTTAAATTCGATGGAAAGAAGATTGATCCGCATACTCCTTTAAGCAAGAGTATTTTATGCTTTCTGCAAAATTCCGATTAGTGCTCGAGCGGTCTTGTCAGTACCTGTTCCTCACTGACCTGTTCCGTGGTCTTTGGGTGTCGGTGATCAGCATGTGCAGAGAAAAGCTCACCATTAACTTCCCCCACGAGAAGGTCACGATTTCTCCCAGAATGAGAGGAGAGCACTGCTTGAGACGCTATGCCTCGGGTGAGGAAAGGTATGTTTCTTTCAGTGTTATGAACGCTAGATGCATTGCCTGCAGACTCTGTGAAGCCATCTGCCCCGCTCAGGTTATCAACATTGAAGCTGTGAGGTTAATGAAGCGGATTCACGGCTAGGAAATGCGTCCGGATGGTCTGCGTCGTACCACGCGTTACGATATCGATCTGTCTCGCTGCATCTTCTGTGGATATTGTCAGGAGGCTTGCCCTGTGGACGCCATTGTGGAGAATCCGCTGCTGGAGTTCGCCAAGGAGTCGCGTGAGGAGCTGATGTACGACAAGGCCAAGCTGCTGCATAATGGAGATATGTGGGAGCCGATTTTGGCCACGAACATTGCCACTGATATAATGTACCGATAAAAGCAATTTGATTTCGATTTGGATTGTTTGTTGGAGCAAAGAGGAGACAGTAGAGAGGATTTGAAATCTGAAATGATGTGCTTCCGTGTTAATTCACGGGCTCTTAGTGTGTGATCTATTTCTTCACACTGCTTGAGGCATAATGCTAGGTATATATCTGGATTGTTGTCTGCTTGCTTGTCTAACCATCTGATCATCAGGAAAGAAAGAAAAAGGGCAAATACTGCAAGAGGGAGGTAGGAACCGCGCAATCGAACGGGATTGGCTTAGATAGCAACTGACGTATTTTTTCTATAATCTCGTTTCTAAAAACAGAGAAATGCACAACGAAATACATTTTGGCAGCAGCTTTTGCCATATCTGGATTCATCGTACTATCTCTACAAGAATAAAATATGCAAGGCATATAAAACTTTAGAGTCGTTGACAAACCCTGAATTTGGCTATGAAGTTTTTCCAGTTGTCTTAAAAATTCGCGCGGCTCCTTTTCTGTATCAACATTCATGCTATGAAGGAATAAGTTTGATTGAATGTATGGGATCCATGCTTCATAAGGTTAAAACAAGGAAGGAAGACAAGCCCGTCTAGCTCAGTCGGTAGAGCGCCAGGCTCTTAACCTGGTGGTCGGGGGTTCGAGCCCCCCGGTGGGCGTTTCTCTTTTTCCTTTTTGCTTTTTGGTTATTATCTTATGACCAGAGGGAATGTGATATCTGTGTTGTTATGGGTAGAGCGAATTGAATTGTTGTAGTATAATGTATAATTCTTGTATTCTTAAGGAATTACTAATCGTGTGTTTTGTTTTAATATAGAGTGATTGATATTTTAATAATGTTGAAAGAGAACTATTTTTGATCAGCGATTAGTACTGTTGTAGATTGATGTATTTGCTATAGTGAATATGGGTTAGTATAAAAGTCAATATTCGTATATTCACAAAAGATCTATATAAATTGACGAAAGTGATAAAGGGGTGCGTCCAAATCGATTTCTTAGTTAATATATATATATATCCATTCACATTAATGATAATCATGAAAAAGTAACATTTTCACTTTGCATATTCTGTAAAACGTTTGTATGGTTAGTTATGATTCAATATCACTATATGATCGCACAGAATTAAAAGCCAGATATTTGAACATCAGTACGATAATCATACTATATCTTGGAAATATATTTTTATTCTTATTATATATGGTACTTTTCCCTATATTCCTTGTGAATAGTTGATATAACTGTTTGTGCACGCCACACAGAGACTCTGTCCGAGATCCTTTTGCTATCAATCATTTTTAGGGTTGCGTTTAATCTGTCACTATTTCGTGAAATAAAGGATAAACCGTATTCTTTCAATTATCACATCTGAGTCTATCTATTTTTCAATTATTATTATTATTTAACATTTATGTGATTACTCTTGTTATTTTACAGTTTTGTTGGGTTAAAATAATGGAGAAGGAATCATCCAATCATTTGTGGATAGAATTAATTTGGATGAAACTCTTTTAGCACAAAATGTTTCATTTGGAAGTGATTTTCGTATTTTGTATCTTTTCACAGCTGATATGTGCGTCTCCCATAACAAACTGTGGCCAAGAAGAGTATTCGCTGTATCTCATCCAATATAATTCTAAGTGTAATGATATATGCCCTAATAATGAAATGTAATGTTTAACAAATGTCCATAAAGAAATAGTGGCCCTTATACCGTCTGGAAACGCTCATGCTTAGAAATTCAAAGAAAGGCGGGCTATAGAAACTACCCCATGGGTTTATCTATCCTATCTGATTTTAAGGACGAAGATTTAGAGACTATGATGGATCTCGGAGTGAAGTACTCTGGAGAAGGTTCCTATGCTGAGCCTGTAAGTTATTCGGAACGTTATTCCAATGATTTTGTTACTGGTCGCGATTTGTGTGATGAAGCAGTTGCCAGAGATTACTCTGTATCTAATCCACATTCTACCTCATGGGCAAGTGCATTGGTCCTGGCTGCTGAAGCTGCATTGAGTAAAGAAGGGCATGTTGTACCATTATCTTTGACCTATGTGCTAAAATGTCTTCCAAAATATCAAGAGGTTGGCTTAAATGATGTTTCCCCAACAGATATAATGGAATTTGTAATAGAAAGAGGATTAATGAGTAAAGAAGCAGCTTCTTTATTTGATAATGATGAAGATCTTTGCTCGGCTGATACTTCCAAATATTATTTTGATGTAACAAAGAATGATATTCCTAACAAGAGTGGATTGATGACCTTTATTGCTGAAGGAGATCCTGTGATTGTACTGATGGCTATGGACTTGATCCGTCTGAAAACCGTAAACGACGTTACTGGAAATGATATCTATACTGGAGCTACCGACCAGCCATCGTTATATGGTGTGATGAAGGAATACGATGAAACAAAATGGACCGTAACGTTCAATGTGGTTCCTTGCGAAAACATCATTATGAACCTTCCTGTGAAATCTGATAATGAAACAAATGCTAATTATGCTGGAATTGCTGGCTATGCAATGTCTCTATTTGCTAAACCAGTGCCATCTACTGAACCGACAGATATCACTCCTACCGAGTCTCCTACCACTGAAGTTCCTACTACTCAGACTCCCACTACTCAAACTCCTACCACTCAGACCCCCACTACACAAACTCCTACCACTCAAACTCCCACTACTCAGACTCCCACTACTCAAGTTCCTACCACTCAGACCCCCACTACACAAACTCCTACCACTCAGACTCCTACTACTCAGACTCCTACTACTCAGACTCCTACCACTCAAACTCCTACTACTCAAACTCCCACTACTCAAACTCCCACTACTCAGACTCCCACTACTCAAGTTCCTACCACTCAGATTCCCACTACTCAGACTCCTACCACTCAAACTCCTACTACTCAGACTCCTACCACTCAAACTCCTACCACTCAAACTCCTACTACTCAGACTCCTACTACTCAAGTTCCCAGTATTCCTGGAATGCTACAAATTCAGGTGGTGCGCACTTGTGGAACAAATGCTCCTCAGGAGGAATCGTTTGCTATATATGAAGGAGAGGATCTTTCCTCCGAACCTGTGTATAGTGAGACAGGTTGTGAAGCAGGCACTCATGATATTTGGATTAAGCCTGTTTTGCACACAATTCTATTAATGGATGGTGGAAGGGATGGCTGGGATTCTGGCTCGAAAGTGGAACTGTTTTACAAAATACTTTCTACTGAGTTTTATATGTCTGATGGTGCTGAATCGATCAGAACGTTTAATTTTGGACCGGCTGCAACTGAAGGTCCTACTGAGAAACCTACTACGTTGACTCCTACCACGCAGGTACCCACTACTCAAACTCCCACTACTCAAGTTCCTACCACTCAGGTTCCCACTACTCCGGTACCTACCACTCAAACTCCCACTACAATTGCTCCCGGTACTATATATGTTAGTGAAGAAGATTATCCCACGCTTGATTTGATTCCTCGTGATGCTCAAGTTTTGATATTCCGTTCCAATTCTTATCCCGATTTGACAGAAGTGAATCTTAGTGGTTTCACGAATCTGGCATCTATTGTATTCGAAATTGGATCTTTCGCGAATGTTCAGTCTGTGAGCATTGAATCATCGACTCTCACAAGTGTTACATTTAATTCCAATACTTTCAATGGTGATTCTGTTGATGGATCAGTTACTCTCTATACTCCAATGCTTGAGAAAGCAACTTTTGAATCTAATTCGCTTCAGTTTGTACGTTCTGTTCATTTGAGAGGTTTGGCTGCTCCTGTCCAATTTTGTGTCGAAAATGCAGCTTTGAACAATGTTGACACTATTTACTACATGAATACGCACCCCGGATATGCTAGTCTTCTAGCTCAAGTAATGTATGATTCAGGACATGTAGAGTCTATTAGTATTGTCGAAGAGACAGAATCAACCACTGAAGGTCCTACTGCAACTACCACTCTCCCCACCACTCAAACTCCCACTACTCAAACTCCCGGTACTATATATGTTAGTGAAGAAGATTATCCCACGCTTGATTTGATTCCTCGTGATGCTCAAGTTTTGATATTCCGTTCCAATTCTTATCCCGATTTGACAGAAGTGAATCTTAGTGGTTTCACGAATCTGGCATCTATTGTATTCGAAATTGGATCTTTCGCGAATGTTCAGTCTGTGAGCATTGAATCATCGACTCTCACAAGTGTTACATTTAATTCCAATACTTTCAATGGCGATTCTGTGGATGGATCAGTTACTCTCTATACTCCAATGCTTGAGAAAGCAATTTTTGAATCTAATTCGCTTCGGTTTGTACGTTCTGTTCATTTGAGAGGTTTGGCTGCTCCTATTCAGTTTTATGTATATAATGCAGCTTTGAACAATGTTGACACTATTTACTACATGAATACATACTCTGGATATGCTGAAACTCTCGCTCAAGCAATATACGCATCAGGACATGTAGAGTCTATTAGTATTGTCGAAGAGACAGAAGCGTCTTCTGCATAAAGGTGGTTATTGTTTAGATAAGGTATGTCTAGATAGTACCATGCAGTTGTTTGTTATAAGAAAAGAAATTTGTATTTCATTATTTGTAGTGCATGGAATTACACTCTCGTTCAACAGTGGAAGAGTCTTAGTATAAAAATGTAACTATTCTATCACAAATAGGAAAAAAAGTACAACGTGTTTTAACGTATTATTATTAACTATTGAAACAGGATATGTGACTTTTTGGATAATATCGAATGAATGGGTCATTCTTTATTATACGAGCTTAATCATCATCATATTTTCAGTTTCTATTCAGATTGATATGATTTCTTTTGAACATGCCTTTAATGTTAGCACACACTTAGCAGTAAATACTGAATTCTTCCAAAAGAATTTGAGGGATTATGGATCGATTAAACATAACAATATATTAGGATCGATATGTTCACTTAATGATGAATTATGTTTTCTATTTTATAACTAACATATTCAAATGATGAGATATATACATATATATTTGCTTT